GAGAGAACAAAGCATGTTGATGTCAGCTATCACTTCACCAGACAAGCAATCACTGATGGCATTATCAACATTATTGGATGTGGAACCAAGGATATGGTTGCAGACCTTTTGACCAAAGGAATTGCAAGAGAGCAATTTGGAAAGCTGAGATCAATGATGGGAATGAACTGAATAATGGAAAAAGTGGGAGTGTTGAAAATAGTGTTCCATTATGCAGCAGGATCAAGGGTTTCCTTGGAGGGAACAGAAACCCTAAGGAAATTACTAGGTGGAACCAGAAGCAACTGGAAACAGCTAGAAGGGACCGGAAGCAACTGGAATCTACCGGAAGGAACCAGAAGGAACTGGAAAGAACTGGAAGCAGCTAGAAGGAGCTGGAAGGATCTGGAAGGAGCTGGAATGATCTGGAAAGATCAGATGACTGATCAGATGACTGGTCAGATGACTGATCAGATGATACTTGAAGAACTTTGTATAAATTTTGTATGAACTTATTTTGTCTATATATTGACCAGCTCCCTCCCTTGTTTTGTACATATCATTCAATCAACAACATATAATATTATCTATCAAAGCACACTTAAGGAATATCATCATCAATGGATAACTCTGACAACTTCAATATGTCTGGAACTTCCACTGGCAAAGACAATTTGCAACATCTATCACTATGAGCGTCCCTGAAGAATACAAGTCTCTGGAAACTTCCTTTAAGGAATGCACTGCCAGTTTTAAACATTGTCCACCTCCCAACGACTAGGTGAGTTTTACTTGTTATTTATTTGTTACGATGCTGGAATGAGCTGCTGTATGATTACTTGCTACAGACCGGTTTCTCTCAGTCAAGCGATGACTATGGCATTTACAGAAGCAAGAAATCAAACCTATTGCTTGCTGTATATGTTGATGATCTGATTATTACTGGCAAGGATTTGGACTCTATCAATGAGTTCAAAGTGTTGAAAGGGTTGAAAGTGGGGAGTTGTTGTGACTTTTTATGAAGTTGTTGTGACTCTTTATCATGATTTTATTGTACTTTGTTGTTGAGATTTGTTTAAAGTCTTTTCCCCCAACCATTGTTGTTGTTGAGGGGTTTGTACTTTGTGTTTGTGGGAGAGGAAATACCCAGGAAGTTGTATAGGGTTGTCTTGACTGACTGGGCTGTTTTGTGAACATAAAAGGAGCCTCTCCCACCTCCCTAGCTCGTTGTCAGAATTTATTATCAGCGAAAGGAACAAACGTGTATCTGACCAACGACTAGTCCTTTTAATAAATTGTGTTACCAACCATCATGAGTGCAACTCCAGCAGAGACTCCTGCACTTCCAGAGTTCGCTACCACAACTCTTGAGACAACAGAACACCTATTGCAACAGTAGAGACAGCAGACCACCTATTGCAACACTTTCGGGCATATCATGATCCCTCGCAGTGCTTTGAATGATTAGACTTGGGTCTCTCCTAACAGCCTTAATAGTATTATTCTATCTTCGTGTGAAGGGGTTACCATGGTTGGTTGGTGTGGAATAGAAAAAGAGGGTGGGTGGGTTTTCATGTGGAGGTGTGCAGAACCCTAGTCATGAGCGAATCTTTCGGGAATTATGTTACACAATGGAGCAGTAAAAGAGACGAGAAGCCCTGGGTTATGGATCATACTATGAACTTTACCACAGCACACTCCCCTGTCAAAATCTAGTTGTTGCAACGGACTTAATTTACTATAATTATCATCAAATCTGTGAGCTTTATGCACTCATGAGGGGTTGTGGGCAAATCGAAAGATACAAAGTATCAATAGGGCATTAGGGTTTTAGGGCGTATTCAGGGTTTTTCATCCCTACAAAAACTCTCTCATCTCCATCAGATAATTAAAGTCACTGGTACCATCAGAGGACTTCTCTCACTCAGAGCCGGAAAGATAAGCTATTGGGAAAATGGGTAATTAGTTATTTGGTGATGATGATGATAAATCTCTTTTTTAAGTCCATTGCAACAGCTAGGTTACAATAGACTCTCTCCCCCTTCTCCACTACTACTATATGATAAAACAACATAGATCCTAAGATTGTGTCATAATAAAAGATAGTTTAATATAAAATAAATGATCCTCAAGTGAGAAACAGCACGAAAAAATCTCGCAAAATTCACTAGAACATATTTCGAATAAAAGATAAAAATTCACAAATCTCAATAATAACCAAGCAAGCTCTCAACTTCCTCAAGAGACCCCACTGCTACTCCTCCATCTCAACATGGGCAATGCACACTCTCAAATTTACAAGAAATTAGTGACCAGTGCCGATGTGGGTCTTCTGAAGATATTTGACAAGTACAGAAAGACCTTTGTCTGTCCACCGAATGCGATCGAGCATGCATTCGGCCATAGGGATACCTTTAAAGGCGCTCTTGTGTTCCTCTTTGTGCTTCTGACAAGAAAGAAGCACATGCTCAACTGACTGCATTGGGATTCCACACCAACACTCTGGAGAGGCACGAGGCTCGTTGCCATGCCTTGCAAAGTAGCTGCTGAAAAGGCTATGTCCAGTCCGGAAGCTCACAATACAGCTGGCAATGCTGTGAGGGATATCCACAAGGGGCTTGTCAATAGAGAGTCGAGGCTTGCCTTCATATTGATAATATTCTGATCGCGGTGCGGCTTGAAACCTTGCATTCCATTCCTCAAGAGCGAGATCCTGCATCATGCTCTGCTGGTAAAACATCAGCCATATGGAGACTCCATGTCTGCCAACATGAAACGAAATCTTCATCTTCCTAGGTTGAAAATACATCAAATAAAAGTACTCTATTCTTTCATTTTATATAAAGCAATTTGTCCGGCAATATTGTCAACCTGTTGTTTGTTCATCCTGTCACCTAGGGTACTTTCGCAATCAATATGCCTCAGGAGTGCTTCTACAGTTCCGCTTTTTTTTTTCTTTCAGATAGCGTGATAATAAAAGTTCTTCGTTTTCTTTTTTATCGGATGCCATAGTTGGTTGGTGTGGGATTTTGCGGAGAAAGGGGAACGGTTGGATTCTATGTAGAAGCATGCTGCTACAAGGGGCTCAACATCATGTCATAACTAGTGAATTTTGCGAAACTTCTTTGTTCTTTTTTGACCTTGAGACTTAATATATGTAGACTTCTGTATTATTATGACACTATCCCAATATCTGTTCTGTTTTGTCCTATTTTGTTTGCTTTCTACCATCACTGGTGGAGAAGGGGAGACAGGCTGTCATAGCCTAGTTGTCATACACAGACTATAAAATAGATTTGAGTCATCATCAGCATGAGGACCAATTATGCAAACAAAGCTGTGAAAGAAAGCTGCATTCTATGGGTTACACAATGGACTTTACAGCAACACATTCCCTTTCTGTAAAAGAATTTGAAGACAGGCTCCTACTGGCTAGCCTGTCCTCCACTTCAGGCAGGCATACTTCGATTATAATATTGAGAAGACAGAAAATTGAAGTTGGACTAAATGATGATGATGATGATGGTGATAAATATTTGTTTTAGGTCTGTTGCAACAACAAGGTGATGATGATGATAAATCTCTCTTTTAAGTCTGTTGCAACAACTAGGTTATGACGGTTCGTTAATATGACAGACTATCTCCCCCTTCTCCACTGTATAATAAACAAAAGAGATCCAAAGATTGTGTCACAATAACAGATAAATCAATAACAAATAAATCTCCTAATCAAAATAAACACAAAGAAATTTGTCAAAAATTCACTATAAAATATTTCAAATAAAAGATAAAAGTTCAAACAAATTCAATAATAAACATCCAAGCTATTGACTTCCTTAAAAGGCTTCAGTGTTACCCATCCCACTCCAGGTCACCAAGTGCTACTCTCAAATCCACCAAACAATTGATCTACAACTCATTCCTCTGGCTCTGTGCGAGAGCGGTTTGCTGGTGATACCAGTGACCAGAGCCAATGTGGGTCTTCTGAAGATATCGGACAAGTGCAGAAAGACATTCATCTGTCCGCAGAAGGAAGTTAAGCGTGCGTTCGGCCTTAGGGATACCTTCAAAGGTGTTAGTTTATTCATCTCTGTGGTTGCAACAATAAAGAAGCACATGCTGGACGGACTGCAGTGAGATTCCACACCACCACTCTGGTGAAGGACGAGACTCTCTGCCATGTCCAGTTCGGAAGCTAACAATACAGCTGGCAAATACTGCGCGATGAACAGTCATGATTGACCTGGTCCGGCGATGAGGCTGCTTGAGTGGCTAGGCCAAGAGCGGGATTGCTGCCTTCAACTTTGGTAGCAGAGCGAAGCCAATAAATCGAGACTTTGGTGTTGAAGTTGGACTAGAGAATGGAGACAAAAAAATAATGGGATAAATTGGCGACAGTCTGTCATAAGTAGCTGTTCTATGTAGACTCTATAATCAGAAGATATGCCATCATAATCATCATCCTCATAGTGAGTTGAAGCAGTGAATAGCTTGGATGGTTATATTTGAAGTTTTTGATATTTATCTTTGATTTGAGATTTGAGATATGTCAAGTTTTGCAAAGTTTCTCTGTGTTTTTGACCTGGAGATTTATTTGATATTGAATTATTTAAAATTGCGGCACGATCTTGTAGATTTATTTTGTCTTGTTTTGTTTTGTTTCCAGTATTATTTGGTAGAGAAGGGGGAGATATCCTGTCATAGCCTAGTTGTTGCACACAGACTTCGAAATAGATTTATTAATCAATCAATCATTCACATTGAGTTGGTGAAAAGAGCTGACTTCACAGCTCACTATAGCCTGCCTTCAGATGATGAGAATGTCCCATGGTTTTAACTGATGAGGGCACATTTCTGAATTTTCCAACCTACTCTCATGCTTAATTGGGAAAGAGCATGCATTTTGTGATCAAGCCGACTACTAAAGATGAAGTGATTCAAACCCATCAGAGATCAATTAAAGTAGTCGGTGGTCTCCTACAATAGATGCCTCAAAGAACGTAGCTTTCTTGCAATCCTTATGTGATGTTAAATGATAGATCATAAAATGATAACCTTTTATATACAGCAGATCCATTCTTTCTCAATATAAACCAAACCGATGTATAATACAAATTCCAAAAAGCTGCAAGAAATAGATAGTCACAGCTGATCACACATCATACTACTGTGTCTATGAAGACAAGCCAAGTGATGACAGCTGAGCTTAGCATCTGCTCTTTGTCCAGGCCTTCACAAATTCAGCCTTTGACTCGGCATTGAGCTCATCTCCGAGCTTTTTGATCCGGCCCAATGTGCAGATAGAATCAATGCACTGAGCGATACTTCCTTCTGCGGTTTGTGGGACAGGTGTGCCAAACTGAACTCTCACACTCCAGCCCTTCCAATTGCACATCAACTTCAATAAGTATATGAAAACAGACGAGACAGGTACTGGTGTAGAGACGTCCGGCGGCGTGTACTTGATATGGGAAGGGATCAATGTATTTTCGGTAGACGTCGAATCCAGCTTGATTTTCATGGCAGAAGAGTAGAGGAAGCCTCTGCCGTTAGTTGTGGTGCCTTCAGCGAAGAGAACGACGACTTTATCTTTCGATTTGGCTTTGGACACGATATCCGACAATACCGACGATGATCCACTAAGCTTGGTAATATTAGGTAGCCTCGTCGCAGCGATAAATGCCTGCAGAGTGTTGTAGGTCTGATAAGCACCGGTTGGAGTTGGAATCACGAAGCAGCAATCGAACCTGTGGTACCAGTTAGACACCCTCGACATACTGCAAATAGAAGGCAGTTACTCCGCCAAAAACTTACTCAGTAGAATATACCATGGCATCCAAAGGAGACACGAAGTTGGAAACCACAACATCGCCTGCGTTCGGTGTCTTCTTAGACGAAGAGGCACGACGTGATCTGACACCAGATCTTCCACTGGCATAGGATACTCTCCAGTAGAACAGGCCGATAATGCGAAGCAAGACTTTTGTGGATAAACTTTTTACTGCCGGAGGCAGAGGAAGCAAGACTATCACTGAATGCAAAATACAGTAGATTAGGCACAATGGTAATTTGATCGCGACCGAGACTATCGCAAGAAGTATATTACCGGCGCGCAAGCAGATAGCTTGTGCGCTAGTATCGCCATCACTGCGGAAAGTTGAAGAAGGATGAGGTAGGAATGGAGCTATTCCAGTCCCTTTATCGCGCCATATTGAAAACTTCTCCATTACGCAAACACACAACTTGTTGGAGCCGAAGCAACTTCGATAAGCTGAATGCAAGCGATTCAGATACACAAGTCCTGAAAGCTCGGCGCGGCTCAGTAAGGCTTTAGTTGGTCATGTGATCTTAGCGCGTCATTGATTAAAGACTTTCTATTTAGATGCATCTTTTGTCGCTTCTTTGGAAGTGCAATATTGAACCGAAATCAAAAGACCAACATAACGCTGCAATGGTCTAGAGAGGCTTCAAGTCTAGGATTTAGGAAAAGGCATCTGAAATCTTTTTGCGTCGAGATTTGCGTCCCGTGGTAAATCTCTTTACCTTTAATTCGGCAACCATGGCTCCCCCATATCCAACGATTGCAAACGGTCTCCAGTTTCTCAACAGCTATCCCCGCAGCAAGACATCATGGAAATTTGGCAGCACTATGATTATGTCAATGACAGGAATACTGTCTCGTTTTTTTCTCTACGGGTTTCATAAGGTGGAAACTTCAGGTCTCAAAGAATTTGAGAATATGCTGGACGAGGCGCGACGAAGAAATCGAGGAGTCCTGACGGGTAAGTGCTTTTCTTGAAGCTGATTGACGTGTCGCCATTATTCAATTGCTAACAATTCTGTGCTGTAGTTTCCAATCATGTTTCAGTGTAAGTCGCATATCCACACCATACCAAGTGTCAAATGATAACTGACTCGACATCTTCAGCGTCGACGATCCCGTCCTTTGGGGGCTGCTTCCAATCAGAAAGATGTTCAACCCGAGGAATTTGCGCTGGAGTTTAGGCGCTGCCAACATCTGCTTCACTACATCGTGAGTAATCAGATCTTGTCTGTGAATTGTACTCAGCAACTAATCGCAAAATTATAGAGTAACGAGCAAATTTTTCTCGATGGGCCAGGTTTTAGCAACGTACCGATTTGGAACAGGCCCATACCAGGGGTCAATTGATGCCGCGATTAGCCTGCTTTCCCCGAATATGACCACTGCCCAGTTAAAGTCTGAATCATTCGCGTTTCCAGAAAAACAGCTCAGTCCTCAGTGGATCCATATATTTCCCGAGTCGCTCGTGCATCAGGCTCTTCCCCCCACGACACCACAATGAAGTATTTTCACTGGGGAGTGTCCAGAATCATTCTGGAATCCGAGGAATTACCGGAAATTGTCCCCATATTCCATTGCGGTCTGCAGAACATTTTCTCGGAAGACCGTGAAGTTATGAAATACATTCCCAGATCGGTGATATTTCCCAAGTTCGGGGCAAGCAGACAGAAGTTGAGATTTAACTTTGGGCAAAAACTGGATCCAGCAATGTTCGCCAGTGAAAGAGAACAGTGGAAAAAAATTCCGGAGACTGAATACGATGGGGAGGAGGCGCGAAAGCTTCGCTCTTTGGTAGCAGCCAAGCTTCGTGAATCTGTTGTGAAAGTTAGAGACGGACTTGGTCTACCGAAAGAAGATGAACGTCTGAAGGATCCTGAGTTTTGGTCTGGTTTGGATGAAAAATCTGGTGTTAAAGTGGCGGGAAAATATGGCAATACGTCGGTGAAGGTCATAGAGAAAGAAGGTTGAGTGTGAGTATTACGAGGCTCTACTAGAGGCCCGCAGTATATGTATATAGCATTCTAGTACTACGATAGATATGTGTGAATTGGGTGAAAAGTTTTTGCGATGTATTCAGTTCATCAAAGTCATTAATGATATATATTCGGTCATCTGAACAAAAGCACAAACTAAAAATAAAGCTGTCAGTCGCATCCGCCGTTGTTGCCTTGTGCAGCGATCTATTTCTTCTTTGCCGGTCCGATATGGGTATTGTTGACTACTGTAGCAAATCTGAGTGAATTCACGGTCTCGGGGATGTGCTGCTTGACCGGAGAGATGTTGACAAACATAAGGGTCTTCGAGTTTCCCCCGAGAGAATATTGAAGGAGATATGTCAACTAGGTAAAGCAATGTTAGACTTTGTCGATATCGATAGAGAAACGTAGAATGAAATATTACCTTCGAGTTTCGGTATGGAATATGTGTACGGTCCTTAGTTCCGATGGCGGTTATAACTTCGCGCAGAGCACTTAGACTCTTGTTTATAGCCACAGTCTCACGTAATCGTTCGTCTTTGCTCTGTGAATGTGCCAGTCGCTCAGATCCAGCTAAATCGATGAGGTTGAGCGTGCCATGTCTCTCCTCTCCTGTAGACTCATTTGTGCCGTGCAGCGAGAGAATAAAAACACTGTGTGAACGAGATGAACGCTCGTTAGCTTTTGTTGCTGCAACGGTTCGATTCTTGGCCGCTCTTCTGAGTACATCAGCAACATCAGTCCGACTCTGCAGACGGAGCGATGAGAGTCCTGGTACTGAGATCTTTCCCTCCTTGATATCTTGCCGTATGTCCAGTTTCTTCTTATCAAACTCGTCGGACTCGACTAGTAAATCGTAGATTGTCTCGTTATAAATTTCGAGAAATTGCCCCTCCAGTTTGTAAGTCCATCCTCTATCCTGCAAGCCTTCGGCTGTCGAGAAAATCTGGTCGACAGCACGTCGAATCATACCATCGTCAGACGACCTGTAGTTCTGTTAGCATATGACCTCAAAGTCAAAAAAAATAACTGTGCCCATATCTTACATAGTGAATGTCTTTCCAGATCCGGTCTGACCATAGCAGAAAATACACACGTTGTATCCATCGAGAGCGCTCTGAACGAGCTGTGAGATCTCATCAAAAACGTCAGCATTGGTAGCGGCAGGAGAGAACACCCGATCAAATCCAAACGAGTGCGTCTTTGTAGAGACTGTTCCCATAGCTGTTCCCAAAGCGCTTTCGTTGCTTGGTCCAATCAATTCGATTGCCGAGCATTCTCTGTCCTTATCAGGATAGTGAATATCTGCCACATCCAAACTCTCCTTGGCGGACGGCGGTCTAACTCGGCAGAATACTCGGATGTTTCCTCTCAGCTCCTGGACTTGGTTGTGCAATACACGACGCAAGGTCTCTTCCTTGATCAATTTCTCTTTGGCCAAGGCAGCTGCATCTGTCGCGTCTGCAAGTTGCTTCTCCATGTCGCGAATTCTGCTGTCCTTGTTCATGACCACGTTTTCCAGCTCGTTTATTTTTGCAAACAAAGACGCCTTAGTGGTCTCCATAGAGAGTGTGCTTTCAGCTTGTTGGCGAAGTCTTGTTTCCAGATCTCCGGTTATCTGTTGCTGGCGTTGAAGTTGCTCCTCGGTTGAAGCAACCAAGGCACGCGTTGTCTTCAATTCCTCATCTCTTTTCGACACTTCAAACGTGGCAGTTGCGCGTTCAGACTCTAGCCTTGTTGCAAGAATCTGTAGCTCCTCACGTAGCGAGACGGCCTCGGCTTCGTATTTTTCGCGAAGCTGCTGCTCCTGCGTTTCCAGTTGAGTCTGGAGAACTGACTTTTCTGATTCAAAGGAAGCCTGTAGTGCCTCGACAGCCTTAGAGTGCATCACATCGCGTTCTTCTAGTGTCTTTTGGGAAGTCGTCTTTAGCTCTTCGCTCTTCATTCGCTGCTCGTGGTGAAGATCCTCCTCTTTTATTCTCGCCAGTCTGCGTTGCTCATCAAGTTCATTCCGATATTTCCGCTCGAGATCTTCCATTTCAATGCGGGCCCGGCGCTGATCGTCATCCATATCGCTTTTTGCTTTGCGCAGCTCTTGCTGAAGTTCCATGTTTGCCATTTCCATTTGTCGAAGCTGCAGTTCCGAGCCTCTTCGTTCGGTCTCGAGTGCCGCAACTAGATAGACATTAATATGATTGAATGAAGGGGATATGGTGGAAAATATTATGTAATGGCATACCTTTAGCGTTAAGTTCTTCGCTAGTCTCGTTGAGTCTCGTCAGAAGCATGTCGTAGCTCCGCTCCATTCCGTCTAGTCTGCCTTTGACATCCCAAGGTGCATTGATTGCATCTACAGAAACCGGCATGATCCGAGAAGAGGAGACGTCGTCTTGCGCACTTCCTGGTCTAGATCCAAGCTGTCTTGGCCTCATGGAGGTAGCAGATTTGGATCGAATGGTATGTCCGCCATTGAAAGTGGTGGTGCCCGAAACCGAGCTCGAAGTTGAGGATTTTCGAGACAGCCCGGCTGCAAGCTTCGTGTTGTTGGAAACACCCCTTTTGTCGTTGACATCTAAAGCACGAGTGCTCGCGATGGTAGTGCTGACGCCGCGAGTAGCTGCCGGTTTCTTGGGCATGGCCTGGTATTGTTGCATTTTAGGAGCACCGCGGTTCATAGTGCCTAGGGGAAGATCACCCAAGGGATTCGTAGAATTGCCTCCTCGTAGTTTTCCGGAAAGAGGGGATGTGGGAGCGGCATTAACCTGCCTCTGAGGTATGCGAGAGACTGTAGCCATGGGGGTGCAGGGCACTGTTGGGAAGGCTGAAGAGTCGGCCATATTGTTGAATGACTGCGAAGACAATAGACCAAACCAAAAAAGGAGAGTGTGGTTTTGGTGCCAGCTGTTGCGTCTGTGCTGAATATAACAGATACACGCAGCGATTCGTAGTTGTTGAGTTGTTGATCACAGGCCTGGGTTGGGATAGCGGAAGGTGTCGAGCGGGAGCATAAGAACTGGATCTGACGGTTTGTTTGTTTACATTATTGCCCGGTTGCGAAGGCAACGGGATAATTTGAGTGAGCAGCGGGTTTTGTGTCATTGTGTTAGGCGGCGCCGGGTGCTGCACGCCGCGAAAGCCGCACGCAGCAGAAATTTACGTGAGGCGTCGTTTAGGAGCGACCGTAAAAAGGAGCTCTGCTTCCTGTTGCATACAAACCTGCGCTCAATTCACCTTTTCTTGCATAGTTTACCTTGTATCTGCTTCAGCAATGGTTGCCCCTTCTGGTGGGTTATTGTTCTTGAGTATTGAGCATGTAGGTACTGTGGCTAACGTTATATTTCTTCTAGTCTCTCTGCGACCCATCGTCATCTCTGGACCTTCTGGTAAGTATCGGTAGTTTTCATCTCCCTGGCTTTGTTCAGGACTAACAAGAAACCACTCTATAGGCACCGGAAAGTCGACGCTTCTCAAGCGTCTGTTTGCTGATTACCCGGATACCTTTGGATTCTCGGTCTCGCGTATGTCAACCGCCCACCTTATCAATGACTTGTTCCAGATTTTCTGTAATCAACGCAGATGGGAGAGACTAACTGGGAGACAGACACCACCCGAAAGCCCAGACCCGGTGAGGTCAACGGTGTTGCCTACCATTTCGTTGAGCGACCGGATTTTGAGAAGCTGATTAAGGAGAATGCGTTCCTTGAGCATGCTGAGTTCTCTGGCAACTACTACGGAACTTCGATCAAGTCCGTGCAGGATGTTGCTGAGAAGGGAAAGACGTGCATCCTGGATATCGATATGCAGGTACTGTGACACCATCTGACTTCAAGTTAAGACGCTCGTGTATTCATCAGTTTGCTGACTATTGTCTTGTTCTTGCAGGGTGTCATTTCCGTTAAGAAGACCGACCTGAATGCTCGCTTCCTCTTCCTTGCTCCTCCCAGCTTGGAGACTCTGCGTGCTAGATTGGAAGGCAGAGGCACCGAAAGCCCTGAGAGCGTTCAGAAGAGAATGGACCAGGCTACCAAGGAGATGGAGTTTGCAAAGACCGGTGCCCATGATAAGATTATCGTCAACGACAACTTGGACAAGTGCTACGAGGACCTCAAGGCTTTCATCTTCGAGTAAAGATGTGAAATTCAGTATCTTCATAATTTTCGATCGACTTTTTGTACAAAACGCCTCTTTATGATAGACATATTTAATATATAGAGCTCACTCAAAAGTGACATATCAGAATATACAAATTTTCCAACTAATGAATCATCCGGAACGGCCGACCTGGTTCCCATTCTTTTAGAGAGTCCTTTATGTTCACCCAATACCGTAGCACAGTTACCGCTTGTTGTGCATTCTCCAGGTCATTCGTATCAAAAACCTGCTCTACCCGTTTCTCCGCATCGGCTATTTTCTCGGTGACCTGCTCCTGAATACGCTCGACCTCGTCATCTGTCTCACATTCTTCTATATCCTCGAGCACGTCGTAGACCTCCATCAGAAGCTCTGGATCCTGCGGCATCGTTCGACCAGCGTCCTCGGCTAGAGTGAGTCCATGTAGCTCTAGAAGGTAGGTAGCCCGGTGAAGCACGGAGCTCAAGGTCGAGTACGCCTTATTGATCTCTGACGATATCTTGTCCGACGACTCTTTCTCGGCCTCGCTTCTCGCGAGATCAGGATGGTTCTGTGACTGTAACTCCAAAAACTCCCGTCGTAATTCACGGTTATTGATTGCAAACGGACCTTTGGGCGGAGGACCGTCTTTCAGTGTCTTTGGAAAAAGCGAGTAGTAAGTCCGTCCCTCTCCGATCTGGTCTGTCGAAGCGGCACTGTATAGCCTGCTGCACCCGAGGCGGCTGCTGCTCTGCCACTGCACGGTCTTCAAAGTCCGGCTTGCGAATCTCAGCGATGATGCTCTCATTGTTCAGTCCGAATGTAGGTTGACGACGGTCATCGACGACGTACAAATCAATTTCCCTGAGTCCCAAACTTCGCTTAGCCACACCCACCAGCCCCATCCAGCACCGCCACTGCAAATAAATATTCACCGCTTCGCTTATTATTATCTCGACTTTATATTATCATGAAAAGATTGCTACATTACAGCCAGGCTTTTTACGTCGCCAAAGAGTCTTCAGTGAAGAAAAGGGAAGAGAAGCATCGGAATACACAAAAAAAGAAGAAGCGTTTGAAATGATCATTCAACAAAATAAGCACGACGAATGGAAAAGAAAAAGAGAGAAAAAAGCAACAAATTTTCATTCACTACAACTAGGTTAATGTAGTAGTATTATCACCAACAAACGGTTACTGCATTTATATAAGGTCAGCAACGTCCATGGGCATCTCCTCGATCTGGGTGCTGTAGAACTGTTCGATATCTCTCATGACCTTGACATCATCGTCGGTCAAGAAGTTGATGGCAACACCCTTACGACCGAAACGACCACCACGACCGATTCTGTGGATGTAGTTCTCCTTGTTGACGGGCAAGTCGTAGTTGATGACAAGCGAAACCTGCTGGACATCGATACCTCTGGCCAGCAGATCGGTGGTGATAAGCACACGCGAGGATCCGGATCGGAACTCAGACATAATGACATCTCTCTGGTTCTGGTCCATGTCTCCGTGCATGGCCGAGACAGTGAAGTCCTTGGCGCGGAGCTGGTCGGTCAACCAGTCGACCTTTCTTCTGGTGTTGCAGAAGATGACAGCCTGTGTGATAGTAACAGTCTCGTACAGATCGGTAAGAGTGTCGAGCTTCCAGTCCTCCTTCTCGACAGCAACGTAGAACTGTCGGATACCTTCAAGGGTAAGTTCATCCTTCTTCACCAAAATTCTGACGGGATCACGCATGAACTTGGTGGTGACCTCGAGGACCTCCTTGGGCATGGTAGCCGAAAGAAGGACAACCTGGGTGGAGGGAGGGAGAAGCTGGAAGATGTCGTAGATCTGGTCCTTGAAACCTTGCTGTGGTGATAAAAAAAGTAAAATTAGTCTCTGTAACCTATAAAGCCAGCAATAAGCGTCAAGATACTTACCGAAAGCATCTCATCGGCCTCATCGAGAACGAAGAGCTTGATGTTGTCAGTGCGCAGAGCACGACGCTGGATCATATCGTGGACACGACCAGGGGTTCCGACAACGACCTGAACACCCTCCTGGAGGATTCGGACGTCATCTCTGATGGCAGTACCACCAATGCAGGCGTGGCAGGTGACGTTCATGTACTCGCCGATTCCGAGGACGACCTTCAAGATCTGCTGGGCAAGCTCACGGGTAGGGGCGAGGATAAGAGCCTGGCACTGCTTGACGTTGGTGTCAATCTTCTGGAGAACGGAGATCGAGAAAGTGGCAGTCTTTCCGGTACCGGACTGGGCCTGGGCGAGAACATCACGGCCTAGATTGCCGTTAGTCAACAATTAAGAGGATAGCCAAATTCAGAAAGAAGAGACGAACCCTTGATGACGGGCATGATAGCACGCTGCTGGATGGAGGAAGGGTGCTCGAAACTGCATAAGTTTTAGTATTCAACGTCCTGCTGCTCAAACTGTATATTATTTGTTAAATGATCAGACGTACCCGTGAGCGAAAATTCCTATTGACAGTTAGCAAGAGCACAATCAAACAAATGCAAATAATGGAAGTAGCAGCACATACCTCTGAGCAACTCGGGCTTCAGATCCATGGCATCGAACTCATCGACAACCTCATCGTAGTTCGACTCAATCTGATCTCCGGCGATATCTGTAAGCTGCTGGTCGGCCATGTTGGGTGGTTTTTTATCTCTGATAAGAAGACAAGTGGAGTAGGAAAGGGGGTCTGCTTCGGTGAAGATAGCAGAAAAAGGGAAGCTGTAGTAGTGCTCTACTGGGGCAAGAAAGGAGGGAAGAGAAAAAATTTTTGGGAGCCGTCTGACAATTCTGCGGTGCACGGTGCGCGTGGTAGAAGTGGCTTAAGCGTGATGGTGTTTAGATGTGAGCAGTAAACCTAATCTGCCCTACTCCAACCAGAGACATTCAGTCTCCCTATTCTTGGGCCCCGGTCTTTTTTTGGGATATGTGTACCGCCTGCTTCAGTTCATGTTGTGCGTGTAGGAGTGGCTTTGTGTTGGGGCTAGTATTCTTGTCATACCTGGTCGTAGGAGCTCCGGTTCTGTCTCGTGCAAAGTCCGGAACAAAGTGTGGTCCAGGTTATTTTTTACCGGTTGTAAACTAGTCAATGTCTTTCTGGAGATAATGTAGATACCCCAAAGAGTCTCCCGCAGTCATGTACTGCAAGAAGTAAAAGTATACTATTTCAGTAGTCACTTCTAATGGCAAAAATGATCGAGCGCGAGTGATCATGAGCTACGCTACACCACGTAAAACGAACCAGCTCCTCTAGTGGCAATTGCGCGATTCGTTCCACACTGAACCATTAGATTTCTAAATCAAAGCATGCTGCTTCTATCCGACAATGGTCATGCTGAGTTAGGCTAGACAGTTTGCGTCCGCACCTCCGCTGTCCATATAGACTCAATGAAGTAGCCATAGTTGTCAAGTATGCGAGAATTACTCCGTGTATTATATATACTCCATAACAAACCAGAATCTTAATCCAGCCACATGCATGATCCCGTAAACCTCAAAATATGAACGAGGTCACCGACGCGAGCCAACGCGAACAGATTCTTTGTATCTGTACGTATTCCACCCTTTATAAGTCGCCGAGAGACACCAATCCTCTTCTCGGCAGTCTTGTTGATTCACCCTTCTTCTTCTTCTGATTCAAAACCTCCTCGCGGATCTCGTTCAGTCTCGCTTTCTGCAAAATAGGGATTGTTAATACGAATCCAGCAGGCTATGTCCATGTGCTTCCGAGACTTACCTCCTTCGTGTGGTGGATGCACTCCATATAATCACCTCTCGGTAAGCTGCACTCAGTGCCAGCAATCAATCCGGCTCTGGTATCTTTGTAGCACTGAATGAGATCAGTGAAGTCTAGAAAACAGAAATCATTAGAGTCTTTCCACAATATCTAGTTTGATCGTAAATACTTCGACAATTCTTACTGTTGTAGCAACGGCCAACGCCGCCCTTCATGCCAAAGCCGGAAGACATTATGACGATAATTCAAAAAGAAGTAGCTTCTAAATCAAGCAGAAATTATCGAGTCTCGAGTATATAAGAGCTTCGAAGTTCGTGGTTGAATTCCGTTGGACTTGCAAACGTTGTTAGCACGGCAATTACTATCAGTTTGATTGGCCCAGACTGAGCGGTCATCTCACATCTGTTAAGGGTTTTGTGTGTTGCTGATGTAATTACTGAGTAATTTGCTGTTGCGCGCAAGGTGACCGCCACATAAAAAAGTTAACAGACCTGATATTTGCTCTCTATATCTTGTTGTTTTAGCCCATTGATCGCAACATTACAATCAAACTCAAGCATTAATCTACGAGTCTGTATTGCTAGACCGCTAAAACATGGGTATAACTGGTATGGATCTCTTGTCATTTCAAGCAACGCCTTCTGTCGACGTCCGCTAACCTCTGCTGATGCTCATCAGGAACGAACAGTGTGCCTCTGGGCGCAAGAAGAAGAGGGATGCCTGACGCGTTCATTCCTCCGCCTCCTAGTGAAGCTCTGCCTCCGCCTCCTGCGGATGATTATCCACCTCCTCCTCCGGCCATTCCTCCTCCACCCGCCCCGAGTGATCTAAGTGACTACCCTCCTCCACCTCCTCCCCCAGGGGATGATCGTGAAAGAGGAAGACCTTCTGCGCGTGAAGATGAGGCGCCTAGAAAGAGAAAGAGAAGGAACCGATGGGCTGCTGCAGAAGATAATCAGGTTGCTAATTTGATCAACCTCCCCACTTCTATCTCTGGTAACATGACGCCAGAGCAGATCGAGGTATGTTTCTACAATATTAGTCGTCGAAAGCTCGAGCACTCTATGATTTGTTGTTCTAACTCTCATTTTTATTAGGCCTATGTTCTCAACTTGCGTATTGAAGAGATCTCACAAAAGCTGAGAATCAACGACGTGGTACCAAAAGATGGCGAGCGGTAAGTTGACGATGGATCACGTCTCTACCATATCATTTCTAATGCGTATCTAGCTCTCCGTCTCCTCCACCTCAATACGATAACAACGGAAAGCGAGTCAATACAAGAGAAGTTCGGTACAGGAAGCGTCTTGAAGACGAACGCCACAAACTCATTGAAAAGGCTGTTAAGACCATCCCTGATTTCAAACCGCCGGCTGATTACAGACGGCCGTTGAAGACTCAAGAGAAGGTCTTTGTCCCTGTGAATGAATACCCTGAAATCAACTTTAGTAAGTCCAAAATGTCTTTGTCATTCTCCATGGTTTGGGATACCTATTAACCGTGATATTTCACTTGTTTAGTTGGACAACTTATCGGACCCCGTGGTAACACCCTGAAGAAGATGGAAACTGAATCGGGTGCAAAGATTGCTATCAGAGGTAAAGGATCTGTCAAGGAAGGAAAGGGACGATCAGACGCTGCCTATCAATCCAACCTTGAAGAAGATTTGCATTGTTTGATTATTGCCGACACCGAGGAGAAAGTGCAGAAGGCGATCAAACTGGTTAACAAAGTTATTTCGACTGTAAGTCTGCCAGCCTATTCTTTCTTACTGAGCCTAATACTGACTGTTTATTTCAGGCTGCGAGTATTCCTGAGGGTGAAAACGAATTGAAGCGAAATCAGCTCAGAGAGCTGGCTTCTCTTAACGGTACCCTGCGAGACGACGAGAACCAGGCATGCCAGAACTGTACGTTCAAACATCGATTTTATATGGTCTCTGAAATCTGTACTAACAATCTACCTAGGCGGAGAACTCGGACACCGAAAATACGAATGTCCTAACCAGCGAAATTATACTGCAAACATCATTTGCAGAATTTGTGGCAATGCAGGCCATTTCGCCAGAGATTGTAGGGAAAGAGGTTCGGCTAATGGTGGAGATCGTGGTCGATTCAACAACGGAGGATATGGTAATCCTGGAAATGAGGTCGATCAAGAGTATGAGAAGCTTATGCTTGAGCTCACGGGCAACAGTTCTGGAGGCATGCCTGGGCCAAGAGGTGCTATCGAAGGCGGCCGGGCACCTCCGCCAAACGTGCGTCCGGAATATGCTCCTCCTCCGCCACCGCAGCCAATGCCTTCTAAACCTAGCGCGCCACCTCCTTGGGCGCGGAAATAATTGTTGTCTCTGGTATTCTTCGATGTGTAATTGAGAATAGTTCTGAGGGTTAGCTTGGTTGCAAGGCGTATTTAATATATCGCTTCTAAATATCAGTATGTTCCATTTGGTTTTGGATACTGTCCTCTCTCGCCCTACGATGGTCTTGTGGTCATCGATATATAAATCAAATAAATCTCAAAAGCCCACAAGTCTGAGTATTCTACGGGAAATTTTATGATATAACCCAACTTTCATTATATAAAGAAACATGACATTCTATGCGAAATGAATACCCGCCATATGAAACGCATATAGCAGCCTAAAATAGCAATAAAAGGTTAGATTCTAGTCGTCAGGCTGCAATCTTGAATTAGGATAGGGATACGAACTTCATAAAATCTGCCTCGTCGCATTTTCCCGCGCGTTTATCTCCCAGTTCAGTGTCTTTCAGAACCTTGTCAACCATAGCACTTATGTTGATCTCGTCAGTTATCATCATATCATTCTGCGAGCAGTATGCTTTGTAGTTCTTCTCTAGAATGTCGAGAACTGCCTGCGATTTGAAGCCAGCGGAGATGGTCTATATTCATATCGGTAGAGTTAGTACATCTATATATATTGGCAAAGTCATGGAAATAGATGCAAGATTATAAAACATACCCTATTTTTCCGGACGAAGCAGATGCGTAATAAACCATCCCATTCTTCAAAGTCGATAGGCGGTCTAGGATTTTTCACCTCGATACGCACAACAGAAGACTCCACTTGAGGTGGGGGTCTGAAATTATTCTTTCCAACCTATGTAGAGCATTGTTAATTATCTTCCTTGCGAATAAAAATAGCTTATGAGGGAAAAGGTCAGAACGCACTTTCATGATATGGGTGACAGTGGCCCACATTTGAACGTTTACACTTAGTCTGCAGTATAGTTCCTCGCCAGGTTTTGCGACCAAACGAAGAGCAAATTCTCTTTGAAACATGAGGATGGATACTCGCGGAGGCCGGGGCATATTTAGCAGCTTGAAGACTAAGGGGGAGGAGATCTATGATACATGTTAGATTTTGGGTCGCGATTCGATTTGAAAATGTTAGGCTCACCTGATAAGGAGTATTGCTGATGCAAACGTCAAAGTACGGAAGATCCGCTTTTATGACATCTCCTAGAATAACTTCTAGTTTCTTTTGCTCTGGCTTTCCTTGTACTCGTTTCGTCACTTCTGCTGCCATTCGAGGATCCATCTCAGCCGCGATGACTTTCCTAGCTTTCTCCAGGATACGGACTGTCAAATTTCCCGTACCGGGGCCAACTTCGAGAACAATGTCAGAAGGCTTAATATCTGCCTTGTCCACAATTCCCTGCGCTATTAGGGGGTTCTTGAGCATATGCTGGCCAAGTCCTGTGTTCATCTTGAAGATATTTAGTCGCTCTGGACGATCTCCGCCGCCAGCGTCCGCATTTTTCCGTCGAGATGGTGGTGCTTTTCCCATAGTGTTCAAAAACTGAGTCTAACTATCGGAGATATATTACTTTCAGAAGCAAAAGCTGTTCATCAGACAGAAAAGTTAGCCAACTACATAATCTGATTGAACCAGGATCTGCGAACTCAGAATCTTAAGACCGAGTATAACATGAGCAAGTCTCACCTCTATATAGCTCTGTATATCAGCAATATTAAATGATAATAGCAGGTCCTTTAGACTTAAAGAGCTAGACCAAATTTCTTCTTTGTGGACAAATAACTGATCAAAATCAAGCTGATTTCATGATCGTTGGGAGTTGAAAAAAAATTCACAGATGGTGCGGCGGGCACGTGATCTTGAACGTGCTCGAAGCATGTTCGAAAATATCGAAGTGTCGACTTCATCCACATCATAGAACGGCAACGGGCAAGTCAACCTTGCGCTCTAACTGGTATCTTCAGCTACTTTACGCTCAAATCATCAGATCACTACTGATAGAAGCTACGGTTGGTCTTCAAAATGTTCGCGACTCCTCGGCGTGACTTTTTGAACGAGCAGGCACCAGAGAACTATGTTGCTGGATTGGGTCGTGGTGCCACCGGATTCACCACTCGATCCGATATCGGTCCTGCCAGAGAAGGACCCAGCGAGGATGCGATCAAGGAAGCTTTGGCTAAGAGAGCAGAGGCTTTACAGAACGGTAACGCGTCAGATGACGACGATGAAGAGCGATTCAGAGATAATGAGAACGATGAGGGATTGTTTGCCAGCGGCGCCTATGACGAAGAAGATGAAGAGGCAGACAAGATCTACAGCGAAGTCGATGAGCGTATGGACTCGCGAAGAAAAGCTCGAAGGTTTGTGGTGTGCTTTGCATATATTTTGAGAGGTGAATAGGTAAACTGACACGATCCTGTTAATAGGGAGGCGCGCGAGAAGCGCGAACAAGAAGAATTCGATTCCAAAAACCCAAAAGTCTCGAAACAGTTTGCTGATCTGACTCGTGCGCTATCTACAGTAACCGATGAGCAATGGGCTAGTATTCCGGAAGTTGGAGATCTTACAGGGAAAAACAGAAGAGACAGAAAAATGATGCAATCCGAGCGAAGATTCTATGCTGTGCCAGATTCTGTCCTTACTAGTGGTCGCGGTCAGACTACATATGAGAATTCTGTGAATCCGGAGGATGGCACCGCGTCTACTGTCGACGGAACTATCACTGACTTCCGTCAGATCTCTCAGGCGAAAGATAAAATGCTCGGAATGCGTTTGGATCAAGCCGGTACTGATTCTGTTATTGGCTCGACAAATATTGATCCGAAGGGCTATTTGACTTCTTTATCAAGCAGCTCTACTTCTACAGGTGTAGATGCCGCCAATCTTTCGAAACATCGTGAGCTTCTGTTATCTGTCGTCAAGGCCGATCCTAAACACGCGAACGGCTGGATAGCTATTGCAAAGCTGGAAGAACAGAATAACAAGATGTCAAGCGCGAGAAAATTTATCCAACAGGGTTGTGAGAACTGTCCCAAGAATGAGGATGTCTGGTTAGAAAGTATGCGCTTGAACGACACCAATCACGCCAAAGTCATTGCCTCAAAGGCAGTTCAGCATTTACCCAAGAGCGTCAACATTTGGATGGAAGCTATGAGATTGGAGTCAGAAACGGCTAATAAAAAGCGGGTTATTCGGAAAGCTCTGGAAAATATCCCCCAGAGTGTTACGTTATGGAAAGAAGCGGTCAATTTGGAGGAGAACCCTAACGACGCCAAAATTCTATTATCGCGAGCAACTAGTCTGATCCCACTTTCGGTTGAGCTCTGGATAGCTCTCGCTAAGTTGGAAACTGCGGATAATGCTCGTAAGGTGTTGAACAAAGCCAGACAAGCTGTTCGAACATCGCACGAGGTGTGGGTCGAGGCTGCAAAATTGGAGGAGAAGGAGGGAAACATCAAAAAGGTAGAGATGGTCATCAGCAGGGGAATCTCCGAACTTCAGCGTCGTGGTGGAATGCTCGACCGCGAAGGATGGATTCTGGAAGCTGAAAAGTGTGAGCAAGACGGCAGCGTGGCTACCTGTCAAGCTATTATACATACCACGCTTGGCTTTGGATTGGATGGTGAAGACCAGGAATCGATATGGTTGGATGACGGAGCTAGATCTCTTCGGAAAGGCTGCTTTGAGACCGCACGTGCGATATATGCATATGCTCTCCAGCACCTGCCTAATGTTATCGCATTCTGGAACGAAGCTATAACGCTCGAAAAGGCACATGGTACATCAGATTCTCTCTTCTCTTTGCTGGAGAAGGCTGTGGAATCCTGTCCCGGAACGAAAGAGCTCTGGTTACGATACGCTGAAGAACGACTTGCCGCTTCAGATGTCAACGGTGCTCGTTCTGTTCTTGAGCGAGCGTTCGATCATAATCCAAACGACGAAGACATCTGGCTTGCTGCGGTTGATATCGAGGTCAGAAACAACGAGTACGAGAAAGCTCGGATTTTGTTGTCGCAGGCTCGTGCAGGCGCTCCAACTGAGCGCGTGTGGGTTAAGTCTGTCGTTCTTGAGCGACAGCTGAAGAATTTGGAAGGTGCTTTGCAGATTGTGAACCTAGCACTACAGGACTTTCCCAAGTCTGCGAAGCTTTGGATGATGAAAGGTCAGATCTACGAGTCAGAAGACCGGATCCCCCAAGCGAGAGAGGCGTACATATCAGGCACCAAAGTCTGTCCCAAGTCGATTCCGTTGTGGCTTTTGTTATCTCACCTGGAAGAATCCACGATTGTGAAATGCCGATCGGTGCTTGAGCGAGCGGCTTTGGCGAACCCCAAGAACCCCCAGCTTTGGTTGCAGAGAATTCGAGTTGAGATCCGAGCAAAGAATATCAACCAGGCGAAAGCACTGATTGCGATTGCTCTGCAAGAGTGCCCGACATCAGGTGCGATATGGGCAGAGAGTGTGGCTCTGGAGCCTCGGACTCAGAGAAAGCCGCGACTGATTGATGCGCTCAAGAAATGCGATAATGACTCGATTGTCATTGCTGCGATTGCCAAGCTGTTCTGGTCTGAACGCAAGCCCGACAAGGCAAAGTCGTGGTTTGAAAAAGCAATCAAGGCTGATTCGGACAATGGTGATCATTGGGCTTATCTCTACAAGCTGTTGCAGACGCATGGAACCAAGGACGAGCTCGATCACTTGGTGCAAAAATTCTTGGTTGCTAATCCAAAGCACGGCGATGTGTGGCCGAGGGTGTTTAAGGATGTAAATAATTTCCAAAAGTCCAAGCCAGAGCTGCTCGAAATGGCGGCTAAGGCTGTGACTTTGTAAGTTGGTTAGTGGAGTTCCTGTATGATTAGAGAAGATGATTTACTATAATATACTGAAGTTGCTGTCTCATTACGCATAACAGGATCACAGTTTTATAAATTACTAGTAATCGTAGTCAAATTACATCGCGACTTCTTACATATCCTCCTCAGAATCATCATCGATACCCCAATCGTCGTCATTCACTAGCTCGTCTGCCCGCTTTCGCACCTCAGCTAAACCACTAACCTCATCCACATAACCACGAACATTCAATGCTTTCTTGACAAACTCCCATCCCTCACTTTTCCAAAGATTGACAATTGGCTCAGAGCAGGCCGAGCAATGCTCGTAGTTTACGCCCATGATGTTCATTTGCTGAAAGCGGCGGAGAAAGCCTCGGATCTGGTGAGGTATCTCGCCCAACGGATGGTCGAAGTCGTCGTCAGCAGGGACAGCGGTTGCGTCGTTGGTTTCTGTAGATTGAGAAGTTGGGGCGGCAGGGCCGAGGGGATGCTGCACTATTGAGACGAAGAGCTCGGTTGCTAGACCAGCTGCGATCAGCGCGATTCCGGGCCGAGTCACCGTGCACATCTGGTCGAGTGTCCGGTCTGTGAGACTGTCGGAGGGAGCAAAGATATCGTTGCAAAAGTAGCATCCAAGGCGATTTGTAGATGACGGAACACCGTGTCGCATAACCACATAACTATCGAAGCCTAGAGCAGCGTTTATGACAATCTTCCCCAGAGCTGCGCCGATGACGCTCGGGAGCCAGCGCGCTTCTCTGCTATCCATTAGTAGAAATACAGCGTCGTGTGAGGAAATCAGCTCAACAAGCTTTGTGTATTCTGCGTTCTGCTTTTCTTCGTTGGTGATAGGATGGCCGGCCATTGGCACTGAAAGATTGTAGCCAGAGCTGTCGACACCGGGGTAGATCTGTTGTAGAGCACTAGCAGCCGTACTGGCTTTTGGTGCGTTATTTTGAGAGTCCTCAAAGGTGTATAGAGCTTGGCGGACTGGATTAGAATAAGAAACCGTTGAGTTGTCCACGAATGAGATTTTGCGAACTCCCCATCCCTGGAGCAGAATTTGTTAGCGTTGATCGTTATTGGCAAAGATCAAATCAGAAATAGTAGATACTAACCATCAGCGACCGAGCTACATAGCTTCCTAAAGTGCCTGCACCTAGAAGCAAGCATTTACTGTTCTTGACCTTATCAATGTCCAGAGTCGGCGCTATTCTCCATCGCATCAGCTGAAGATTCAAGTCGACGGCTTGGTCTGCCAATCTAGTAGCATAATGAACGTTAGAGTTGATCAAATCTCACGTATATATCATTGAAAGAGTACGCACCTTAGCGGATTCAAAAGAGAAGACAGATCAGCACTTTTTGGCACGAGTTTATTTTGAACGCTTCGCTCCCATCCGCTGACGCGAGGTGTTTCGGCTTTGTTGAACTCGCCACGATACTCAAAGCTCATCCAGATGCTGCGAGTTTGAGATGAGAGAGATGGTAGGTCTCGGTAGCAAAACACTTTCACCCGTTTGCAGCCCTTGCTGGCTATGTACGTCAGGAAATTTCGTAAAGGCCAGCCTGGGCTCTGGGGGAAGGAAGATGGGTCGGCAAAGCCTACTGTAATCTCGTCATCTGTGGTATAACCTCCAAAGAAGTCTTCCCATTCTCCTAGAGTTCCGAATGTTGGGCCTGAATCAGGAACACCTTCTTTGATAAGGAAAAACCCGTTCTGTGGATCAGGAACTGAGCTTCGCCAGCTGTCGAGTGTCTTTACAAAGGCGCTGGTTATGGGAGTGGATTCGTCGTCTGCGAAAGACCAGTCGCTGTGAAGAGCAGGGAATGCGAACCAGTAGTAGAATTTGTATTTTTTGAGGTCGGAGAAGCAGAGAAGATAGAATGAGGATAGTAATGAAGGATTGGCCGCGACTTCGCCGTTTAGTATCGATGACCAGAGCTGATGAGATCTCTTGTGTTAGAGAATACAACAGCTATCCACTGGAAAGCAGTGAGCTCACCTTTTCTCCTTGCTCCTGTATCAGAACGGATTTGTCAAGAGACTTGAACTCCTCGCTGGTATTCAAGTTTCGGATTAAACCAGGTGCAAGACATTCGTTAGGTCCGGGAGTTCTGATGAGGCTGTTAGTCGTCGTCTCCTGCTGCAATGCTACATGCGCTCTCTTATAACTAAAGCCACATACACGCTATCAAAACCACTACCGCTCAAAGTTATAATACCGCTACTGTTTGCAGCGGAAGAGACAGGGATGGAGTATAGTGCGGAGATAGGGCGCTCGGAGGTGTCGAGTTTGAAGTCTGTTAGCTTCTTGTCGGACAGCACCTGGAAGAAAGAGGAGTCCACAAAAGACCGAAACGGTGCAAATTGCAGGACCTTTTCCGACGACTGCATCTGTTTGTTGGATCAGAGTGGTGACGTCGCGAGAAGCTGGAGAGAATCTGTGGAGGAAGCTGATTCGAATCGACGCGAGTCGCTTACGGATCTGTGATACGTCATTAACTTGGTATTTGCGGGTTAGGGTGTCCGAAAGAAGCATCTCAAAATCAGAGATATCTTATTTATTGCAGTTAGCTGATATGAAAGATGAATTGTATTACATAGGCATTTCCAAAGCCTACTTCACTGCTTCCAGCATATCATTAAATTCCCGTAGCCGTCCAAGAACACCGTACTCCCCGCAAACCAAAGGCGCAATCCGGCTCAGCTGAGCCACTACTCCCACGCGCTTGTCTGTCGCATCCTCTGCCGTTGCTTCTTCTTCTGTAGACTCAGCATCGTGAGCTGCCCGTGTCTTTACGCTTCCTACAGCTTCTAAAACATCTTGCACCAATCCCTCGCTGATAAGGTCGCTCTTCTTCTTCAGATAGCTTTCTCTCAAGGTCGTGATCTGGTCTTGGACCTTTTGCCTGTCGCTTCTGAGCTCCAATAACCTCTCACGCAGCTCGTATACTTTTCTGTCGCTTTTCCTTGTCGCGCGGGATAGAATTCCGTGAGTGTCAACGGCATCGCACATTGCCATCAATCTTGCCTCCACCTCCTCAGTGTACGTCTCGATAACCCGTCGATTAAACACCTCGGGCTGGACCAGAGATGCTGTTGTAAGCTGCTCTATCGTAACTCTGGTAACGACATCGACTCCAGATAAATAAGATGCTCCACGGCCGCCTTTTCTTGGGAGTTTAAAAGCGAGTACTCGAGCGCCCTTAGCACCATGCTCTGCCTTTTTGACCTTCTGAGAGGTTTGCGGTTTCGTGGTTGATTTCGTCTTTGGGCGACTGACAGGCTGCGTTGGCTGCGCACGACGAGCAGGAATTTGTTGCGGAGTGGGGTTCCTTCTTGGACTGCTCTTGGGTGCTGGAGCTCTTCTTGGGCTGCTCTTTGGTGTTGGGGCTCTTCTTGGGCTGCTCGTAGGTGCTGGTGTTTTTCTTGCGGAGGGGGCATTGCTGGCTCGAGGACGTCTAATTGACTCTTCTCGTGAGCCTCGATCTGTAACAACATCCGGTAGAGCAGGTGTATATGAAGGCTGTTCTTCAGGTCTCTCCTCCTCGACTACTGGTGTATGTGAAACGGCTGTAGAGCGTCGTCTGACTTTCCTGATTGACGATGCGGGCGTTGCCGTCGCAGTCGCAGTCGCAGTCTTTGCCGGTGTATCTGCTGCCGCTACCACAGGTCTTCTCTTTGTAGACCTCCGAACAGACGATCTCTCTCGCGGAGTGATTTTGACTTTCTTCCCGCTGCTAGCAGAAGCCGGCAGCTGCGGTGTCTTTCTTGCGTTGTTGAGCTCGAGCATGGTCTGGCTGCCACCTTTGTGTATAGCTTTCGGAGTCACGTTTCGCGTGTAGGAGATTGAAAACATGGATTCTGTGACTTTACGGGCGCTGTTTGAGGGTAGTGGTTGTTAGTATCGTGTAGTGATATACGCGTCATGTTGGGCGGTTGAACATACCCCGATCCGCGAATTCGGGCCGCGAGACGCTCGTTGCGACCAGTAGGACGGTCCATAACTGTGTCTGTTTGTTATTGTTAAATAATGATATATAACTGAGTGAGTGTTGGGTGGCTGAAGAAGAAAGAAGGCGCTGTTTATGTTGAATATTGTTTGTTTGTTTATCGCGGCGCAGGTTTCGAGTTTTTGTTGCGATCGGATCGGAGCCGCACCGAAATTCAACACTGAATTCGAGAATTAAATTGAGGAAAAGACCACCAATATTCCATCAACTTGATTGCATTATCAACATTATGTCGATACTAAATCGTGTTAAATCCTTCTGGGGCGGAAACAAGCAGACCTCGGGAGACACAGAGCCTAAAGCCGACAGGAAGATAACCTACAAGGACGTCATCACCGACCCGGAAATCGTCGAGTTCTTCGAAAGCACAACGCCGTCGGTCTTTCGCCGGACACTGACCCAGAATATGCAAAAGCACGGATTCTCGCAGGCAGATATTGATGATGTGGCCAGTATACAGCGGTATCGCGAGAGACTGGTGGATGATGGAAAGAGAAAGGATTTGATAAAGATCATTGCTGATCAGAATTGCGCGGCATATTATGGCAAACGAAAGGACGACGGTGAGGAGAGGAAGTTCGAAGAGTGTTTATCTTCACAGATGGTAAGTACTTGTTCTTGGTTATGAAGGTTAGTTGTGTTGATGTGCTGACTTGAGCAGAAAATGCTATGGGATCTTGGCTACAGAGTGCGCGATAACAGCGGGAACGTTGACCTTGTCATTCAGCAGAAGTGCTACGAAAAATACGCAGAGCTGCAGAAGGAGAATTAGTTATTCAATCTATGTACATATCATCAATGCCAAGCAGTGTCTTCTACACCTGCTTCTTCTCCTCCTCGATAAAAACTCCCAGACCCATAAAAGCGTCAAACAAAACCTGCTCGTACACTACTCCGACTTGAAACCCTGCAGCCTGTGCTTGCTTATTTGATGCCACATTGTCCAGAAACGGGTCGTAGTACTGGGACTGCACCTTGTAGAACTCGTTGACATACTCCTCAGTCGTAGGATCAAACGGCGCGCCGTCCGCAGTATCCGCTATATTTGTCCGCGTCCGTTGATTGAGGAGCGAGAGTGCAGAGTCTCCGAACGAGACGGCGGAAGTAGTCTCACGAGGTCCTCTTCGTGCCGAAGATTTCTTCAAATCTAGACCGCGCTGAACATATGCTGCTGCGCGCTTGACGATATTGTCGGCCTCGCCGTCTTTGGCGGTGGCCAGGTCCTGAATGATCTTCCGGTCGGCTTCTTTCTTTAACTCCTGCTCTGCGACACTCTCTTCAATCGCAGAAAGTCTCTGATTTAGTCTGCGTTCTGCCTCCAGCTGACGCATGATCTCTGCCTTTTCTTCTTCCTGGCTTAGAAGCGTGGCGTTCGCTTTGATTGCTGACTGATTGGCAGCCTTGTATTCGTTCAATTTCTGCTCCGTCTCTTCTTCCTGCACATGGTTCACCAGATTAAAGATCGCGGCCTCAACCTGCTCGAGGTAATTATTATACTCGTCCAAGGAATCAAACTCCTCCCGCCGCCTGTTGAAGACCTGATTCACGCGCCGGCGCACGTCAACCTCTCGCTCGACCTGCAGATCCGCAAACGTCTGCCTTTTAAACTTGTTCTTCCGCAGCGTCATGTTGCAGCCGTAAATCGGACATTTCGCCGGGCCCTGCGAAAATATACGGTCGACGCACGACTCGCACATTCGGTGGTAGCATTCGGTGTTGATCAGGAACCGCATCGACGGGTTCATGTAGGTGTCTAGCCGACACACCGGGCATATTTCTGCGAGTGTCAGTAAGCTATCAAAATATACAGGCAGTAGTCAAACGTACCATCCTCAGGCTTCTGAACAGCTGCTAGCGAGCTCATGGTTGTTCTCGCTGGATGGAGTTGGGAAGCTGATCTGCTGTGATCCAGATATCTATCTACGAATTGTCACGTGCTGGGTAGTCAGGTAGAAGTCTGTTCATCCTCAAGTTACAGATATTCATCAAAGATTAATGATCTGACTCGATGATTCCGTGTGATTGTCTGCTGTTTTCGTATTGAAAAGTGTTGCAGTTTATGATTGTTCTGTAGATCCAGGCATTGCATATCTATATATCCAGATACCGGCTGAGAATGGCGATAGCGATTTCATAGCACTGACTCCACATTAAGCGCTCAATAAACACAGTAGAAGCACGCTATTTGACCAACAAACACATCAACTACCATACAATTGATTGTTAACTCATTTCTAAGTCTTTTACTCAGCTTTTCGTTAGTTTAAAGTACAGCGGGATGATGTCATTGGTTGTGCAGACAATGCGACGCGAACAAGCGCATTGTTTTCCTGATTCCCTTTCCACTCCTCCTCCTCTTCCCATCCTCTTCTTCCCCCAAACCCATCTCTATATCCCTCCCGATGCGGATCCTAGACCACATTCTCTCTCGACTAGGCGGATACTCCACCGCAGGAATCTACAACGCCCTCAGAGGCTACGACGAAGACTACCTCGATCCAGAGCTAGATATTGCGCTCGTCACCGGCGGATCAAACGGCTTGGGCGCAAATCTCGTCAAACGCCTGCGTGCTCGTCGGATTCCTGTCGTTGTGCTTGATATTGAGACGCCGGAGTCGCCGACTGATGGGGTTTATTACATCAAGTGCGATATCTCGTCGCGCGAGCAGGTTCTCGATGCCGCTCAGGTTATAAAGTCTGAGGTAGCTCTATTCGACCGCTCATTCCATTTCTATCTACTCATCTATCTGCTCATCTATCTGCTCATCTATCTGCTCATCTATCTGCTCATCTATCTGCTCATAAAGTTGCAGTACAAGAAGACTAACTCGAGAACATCACCTTACAGATCGGAGACGTCACCATCGTAATCAATAACGCAGCCATCGCACAGGGCAAGACGATCTTGGATCTAACCTACGAAGAGATTGAAAGGTGATTCATCAATACTTCTATATCCTCTCTTCTCATGCTGACTTTTACTATAAGCTGTCTCAATGTAAATCTTGTGTCCCAGTTCTATACTGTCAAAGCTTTTCTTCCCGGAATGCTCAAAATGCGACGCGGATACTTTGTCATTGTCGCTTCCGTTATTGCGTACATCGGACCTGCGAAACTCAGTATGAATGCTCACTGGCCCCTCAACAATGCTTTTTCCTGAAACGCGACAGAAGCTGACTATTATAGGTGCCTATGCTGCCTCAAAAAGCGGTCTTCTAGGCTTATACGAATCGCTGACCTACGAAGTCGGTCCCAACGCCGACAACGAGTCCGGAGTGCACACCCTTCTCATAACCCAAGGACAGATGGCGACCGACCTCTTTGCCGGGGTGAGCAACCCGCATTCGTTCGCTGCCTCAGTTCTCGACAGCAGCGAGGTCGCGGACCGCATAATGCTCGCGCTCTCGCGCAAGGAGCAAGGGCGGGTTATGATGCCGGCCTATGCGCGGTTGATACCAGTGATGAGGTTATTGCCTCGCTCGGTCGTTAGCGCGTTTAGGTACTGGAGTGATGTCGACCGCGGCATGGATACTTTCCTGGGACAAAAGCCGAACGGAGATGCTGCTGGGGCCGAATAGCTGATTTCTGCATTGCTAACCATTGTATTGCTTGTAGCTCTGTTTATTTGCTGACTGTTGACTGTTTTACTATAATGTACTTGCTGTAGTTACTCTTTGTCATCACGAATATGGATTGATGATTGCTATATATTTAATAAACACTATGTACATGCTATTTCTGGTCTGCATCGCTATTGCTCGTCCGTAAGATAGATAAAACAAACCATCCTAGTCCCTCGTTCCATCCCAGCTCATGTGCTGAATCTGCACAGAGCCTGACCTCCTCTACCAATGGCCGCCGCCTCTCTCCCTTCCAAAATTCCCTTGTCGGTCTTGATAAAAAGCAACTCGCCCGGCGCAATCGGCCTCATCCGCTTCACCGTCGCCCCATGCAGCAGCGCCACCAGCTCAAACCTCTTCATCTCGAAAAAATCCTTCGACGCCATCACCAGTCCCGCGTTCTTCAACACCGGCGTCCCGTCCTTATACTTGAGCGTGATCCACAGCCTCCGCGACGACACCGGCTCCGTCTCGATCGCCTGCGGCGTCAAATGCGGGCCGTACTGGCCGCCCAGGTTCACGGCGCTCACAACGCCGTGGCGGTACAGGCCGAGCATGATTGCGAGATGCAGCTTCGTGTACGGGATCGAGACAAGTGCTCCGCGCGCCATCGAGCAGTTGACGAGTTGCGAGCAGACGTTGGCGATTCCGTGGATTGACATCTTTCTTTGCTTTGCTTTGCTTTGCTTCTTGCTTCTTGCTTCTTAACTGTTTGTAACAAGTTCTTCTCCTGAACTACTTCTTCAATCCGTCCTTCTTTCTTATCTTTAGATAATTGCTGAAAAGAACGGAGTCTGCACTGCACTTCTGTTGCGATAAAAGTCGAGCTGAAGTTTGCGATTCTTCCAATCGTCGGGAGAAACTCGATGGAAAAAAACTTTAAAAAACCCCCCAGTTGAGGTTTGGGTTGAGGTCACGTGCACTACCTCATACGGAAATACGTAAGTTCTTTGACTTTGTAGTTGCGAGATTATTGTTGGTATAGTAAGGACTACTTGATTGCTTGAAAGATAAGAAGCGTCAAATTACTCGTATACTCTGGTGACGCAGAAATATCAAACACACACATTGCTTAACAAGCCAATGCATAAACTAAAAAACATCAAAGACGAAATGAAAATCAAACACGATAAACATACATAAAAACAGAACAGATCTTAAAAACTAGAGTAACTTCAACCAACTCTGGTAGAAGACATCTGCTCCGCCCGACGGTTCGGCGTCTGGCTCTTTGCAGCAGCACTACCAGAGCCTGATTTCTGCACCTGCTTGCTCGTAGTGCTGTCGAGAGTATCAACCTCAACCTCCTGCGCCTCGCAGATCTCAAGCTTTCGTCGCTGCTGCGGAGCGCGGCCCCAGTTACAGTCGGATCCCTGGTAGACAACCACAAAGACTTCGGCGTTCTTGGCAGCTAAAACGGCCAGGTTCTTCTTCCACATGTTGCGTCCGCCTGTTCCGCGCGTTTCCTTCTTAGCATTGTAGGTGTAGGAAGGAAGACCCTCACCTCCAAACTTCATGTTGCGCCAGAGCACGACTACAGAGTCAATGGAAACCTCGGGGGGTAGAACACGAAGAATGAGTTCCTCGATATCGATAGTCTCAAACGCGCGCACACTAACGGGATGCAGTGTGTGTTGAACGACGCAAAACACCCAGAGGGTATTCTCATGGCAGGGCCTGATGGTGACGATGTTTGGGCTCAGCCGCGGGTGCGTCAGATGACGCTTCTCGGGTAGCATACGCGCAAGCAGAGTGATGCATCCTTGGTACGTGAGAGAGAAGGGCTCGGTAGCTGCTTTCAAAGCAACCTCATCCGGAGTGAGCGCCGACATACTACCGGGCTTGTACAAGTTCTGATCACGCACAGAAAGATTGTCTTCGGGCATGACAATGACTTGCTGCTGATAGCGCAGAGACGGGTGCACAGCGGGAGTCGCAGTCAAAGTCTGAGCCGGAGCTACAGCGGGTAGCGCAGGCTGGATAGAAGCTCTTTTGTTTGCGACGCTTGAATTTGTGCTGACGCCGAGGGGGGTCAAAGCAGGCTGCTGCACAGCCGAAGAATACGTACGAGGTCTGTCAGGAGTCGTGCTGTTGTTCTCCTTGTCAGCGCCTTCGGCGCCCTCGAAGAGTGAAACAATATCTTGACGAGCACCAGATTTGGCCCCAGCAGACTTACCCTCGTTAGGCGACGAGAGGGTAGATGATGGAGATCGAGGAAGAAGAACAGAATCATGCACAGGAGTGGCCGGAGCAGTGGTCGAAGAGGTTGACACGGCGCGAGAAGAAGAGCGAGCAGAGACAGACAAGCGACTGAGGTCATTGTGGAGCTCGTTATCGTCAGGGAGCAGAAAGACTACGATACGCATGTTGTCCTCAACGAGGGACTCCCAGTATTCGGGATAAATAACAGCGCCGCCGGAGAGCGGGCCCACGGGGTTTCCATCCTGACCTAGAGTAGTGGTGTCGTAGCGAATCTGGATACGATGAAGAAGATCAGGTGAGTACAGCCGAGAAAGCAGCATGACGAGACCCTATGGAGCGAGGAAAGCATGAAGCGTTAGCATAGGATCAACAGATAGACTAGTGTATATATATGTATATATGGCAATATCAGGAGACTGTATAATAAAGGTAACTGTTACTTCATTAGTGTTGACCTTTGAAAAAGGCAAAACAAACTGTTCCTCCTCAGTGCGAATGAAGATCTTCTTCCGCGGAGGCGACGAGAGCACGACAGCAGCGGGCTCGGGATCGAAAGCGCCTCGAGTCGTCTTCATGCGCAACGACGCAGATTCGGCGGGCACAGCACTGTCTCTATCAGAGTCAATAGAGGGCTCACGAGCAGAGTAGGAGAAGGATGAGGAGGCGGAGATGGAGTGCTCGGGGTAGGAGTATCCTCTCTGTTGCTGCTGGGCGCCGGGACGGTCCTGGTCGCCGGGTTCTGCCGCGAAGGGGTTGAGAGGATGCGAGGCAGGATGGAAGAAAGACATGGGCACAGATCAGGCAGACAGCAGAGGAGCAGAGGACAGAGAGCCGGAGTAGAGACGAGCGAGGCGGTGGTGCAAGACGAGAGACGAGAGCGGCGGGAGGGCTGTTGTTTATACCGCCCGATTAGGCAGTGTGTTTACATAATGCTTTGTTGGAGGATTGCCACCACTACGGGAGGTTGCGGTCAATAATATGAGTACAGTATACTGTTTATAGTATTTTTAATCAACTATTAGAATAATTCACTATTCAGATGTATTTTCACCATCTACGGTGAGTACTCTGAGCAGACATCATAAATCAGCACCAACCCCTCACAAAAGTCAACAATTCTTTTCGTCCACCCGACTCGAGCAGAGCCAAAGCAAAAAGCTCAACGAAAATTTGTGCTTTTGGAGTCCGCACGAAGCAACGCCGAGAGGAACCCGCGTCGACACGAAAACAGGACAATTCACGACACCGGAGATGTTTGAGGTTCGACGGTTGCTGCAGCAGTTGCTGCTGCCGACGATGGCCAGAGGCGGACGGAGTGCTGCCGCTGCTCAGGTTCACGCTCCTGGAGTGCGACGACTGTTCAGCAGCACGGCGGTGAACGCAGCTCGGGCTCCGACGAAGAACGACAGTCCAGACGGCGCGATTGAGGCGAAGATCCGGGCACACAACGAGCAATACGCCCGGGCAGCGAACTACGCCGCGCAGGCAAAGTCGAAGTCGCGGGCGGCGAAGAAGGCCGCGACGGCGAGGACGCAGAAGGCACTGGACGCGCAGAAAGGCACGAAGCAGTCGCGGGCTGCGATCGCGGCAGCGCGAGAGGCCGCCGAGCGACGCAAAGAGATGTTTGCTGCCAACAAGCGGCGGCGGAACAGGCGCAAGCCGGTGGCTTCGGGACCGGTCGACTTCTCGGTCGAGCCGTTGGTGCACTCGCAGCGCGGTGAGCATGTGGATCTGCAACCGCGTCCGCCCATCACGCCCTCGCCGAGCGCAATCATCACGCCTGACGACCATCCGCTGTATCAGTTCTTCCGCTTCAGAGACACCGCGCTCACCCACCCGGACCTGCACGACGACATCGGGCGGCCGTGGGGTGTGCCCGAGCTGCGACGGAAGCGGTACGAGGACCTGCACACGCTGTGGTATGTCTGTCTGAAGGAGCTCAATCTGATCAAGACCGAGATTAGTGCGCTGAAGGGTGTGCTGGGCAAGTCTACGACAACCTCTGCGCAGGCTATGCTCAAGGAGCCGAAGCAGTCCGTCGTCACGTCGCTCAAAAACATCCGCATCGTGCTGTTGGAGCGGAACGCGGCGTATGAGAACGCACAGAAGATCCTGAAGGAGAAGGGCGGCGTTAAGGCCATTGAAGCAGAGGTTGCTGCTGAGACGGAGGCTCTGCCGATCGAGGAGGAAGATGGTGTGTTTGTGGAGGAGGCGGTCGAGGAGGCGGTCGAGGAGGCGGTCGAGGAGGAGTCGAAGAAGGCGACAGAGAAGACCTTGTAATTACCATCACTGTAAATAGATTATAAATACTTTTGTTACTCTTTATTTGAATCAACTAACAATAGGAATGATAATAGTAGAGCTTGATGTTACAACCCATATACACATGCAATAATATAAAATAAAAGGTTTTAGAGACCGAGCAAAGGAAATCAACAACAATATAAAAATACCCAAAACGTTTCAAATTTCATATTCATAAACAAAACACTTGCAACCCATCTACGCAGCTCCGGCACTCATCACAGGAGCGTTTATCCGCGTGGGCTGGAACCCAGCGCGCACAATCGCATTCTCCTCCGAGTCCTGCGCAATGACTGTGTCCTTGTGCTCGCGATGGGCCTGCTTCCAGATCTCGACCTCCATACCGCCACGAATCACACCAACACGCATCGTCGCCAACAGGTTGTGCGCGGCGTTCGAGTGCTCGTAAACACCGCCGTTGAAAACAGCAGTCGCGTCCTTGCCGATTCCAGACTGGATAAGAGCCTTGCCACCGGGGTGCGACTCGACAAAGTTGGTAACGTCGTGCACAACCCCGGCAATCAGCACGAGAGCGCGCTCCTTGGCCTGCTCCTGGAACTCCTCAAACTCAATGACCGGCAGCTGCTCGAGAGGAACACCCCAGTTGAGGCGCGAACGCCACTTGTCGAGCTTCTTCTGGCGCTGCTGGACGATGCCCTGCTCGATCGCGTTCTGCGAAAAGGTCTTGAGGTCAGAGGCGAGGCCGATCTTCTTCATCAGCCAGATCGTCCACTTGGTGGGATCGTACTGGTACCATATGATCGCGTTGCGGTAGTCGGACGGGAACTCGTGGTGGAAGTTGTGGTAACCCTCACCAAAGGTAACGAGCGCAGTCAGGACGTGGTCGCGCGGCGAGCGGCGGTCGTCAAAGGGCTGGTCGCCGATCCAGTGAGCGAGCGAGTTGACGCAGAAGGTAGCGTGGTGGACGACGGTCATGCGAGCGATTCCGGCCCAGAACAACCCGCCCTTCCAGTCGCCCCAACCAAGACCGGCGACGCACATGGGGAAGAGGAAGGCCATGACGACGAGAACAAGGACGTAGTTGCGGTGCTGCCATCTGACGACGGGGTCGGCGTTGAGGTCCGAGATGTCGACGCGGCCGGCCTTCTTGGGGTTCTTGACGAAGACCATCCAGCCGAGGTGGGAGTAGAGCAGTCCGCGGCGCACATTGTACGGATCACGGTCGGTGTCGGTGTAGCGGTGGTGCACGCGGTGGCCGGCGGCCCACCAGCGGATCGAGCCCTCGACGGCGCCGCCGCCAAAGGCAGCGAGGACGATGCGCAGAGGGAGCTTTGCGTTGTAGGAGCGGTGGGCCCAGAGACGGTGGTAGCCGGCGGTGATGGACATGCCGGTCATGGCATAGTAGAAGAAGGCCCAGACGGCGGTCTTGGTGCAGAGCGGGGTGAAGACGGCGGCGGTGCAGCCGGCGACGGGGATGATGATGATGAGGACGACATTGAGCCAGTTGATGTGCTTGTACCAGTTGGCGAGGGTGTAAGGCTGCTCGGAGATGTGGACGTAGTTTGGCTTGAGGACGGGAGGCGGCGGGAGGACCGGATCCGCGGGCGGGATGGGGACGCGCTTGCGGATCTCAGACTCGGGCGCAGAAGCGGAGGTTGTGGAGGCCATTGCAGGGAGATGCTCGAGAACAGCAGCAGCAGCGGTGAAGAGTTGGTGATGGCGGTGAGGAAGAGGAGGCCGGTGAGGTTGGGCGGCCGATTCCTTTTAAGCTCAGTTTTCTCCCCAACACAAAAATCGTTGGGTCTCCCAGTCCCGGAGGGCTCAGCACCTGGATTAGTGAGGGATTAGGTAAACATAATTAGTGACAAAGAGATTAGTAATCTCATCTCCCAGAACGCACTTGTTCTACCCCACCTCGACTATCTCTGATATCTCCGCTGCCTCTTCTTCTATTGTACACCACTCTACTCAACAATGTCCCGCTCGATATCCTCTTCTGAACTCGCAGCTCACAAGTCCGCCTCCTCCTGCTGGGTCGTCATCCACGGCAAAGTCTACGACGTCACCGCGTTCCTCCCCGACCACCCTGGCGGAAAGCGCTCCATCCTCACCCGCGCTGGCAAAGATGCCACCGCTGACTTTGACGCAATTCACCCGCCTGGCACTCTTGAAGAGGTTTTCAAGAACGGGGAAGGTGTTGTTGGCGTCGCTTCTGAGTCCTCGGACTCTTCAGACTCTGCCTCTGTCTCTGCCTCTGCCTCTGCATCTGCATCTGCATCCACCTACACAGAAACCCCCGCAGACATGATCAACATCGCCGACTTTGAAGAACACGCCTCGCGCACCCTCTCCAAAAAAGCCTGGGCCTACTACTTTTCCGCATCTGACGACCTCTACTCGAAAAACTTCAACCACGACGTCTTCGCCAAAGTCATGTTCCGCCCTCGCATCTTCCGCGACGTCACCAAAGTAGACACCTCCTCCTCCATCTTCGGCGTCTCTACCTCCCTCCCCATCTTTGTCTCCCCCGCCGCTCTTGCCCGTCTTGCACATCCTGACGGTGAAAAAGCCATCGCACGCGCTTGCGGCAAGCAGGGCATCCTCCAGATGATCTCCAACAACGCATCCCTCAAGTACCCCGACATTGTCACCGCCCGCGTCTCCGCCGACCAGCCATTCGCCTTCCAGCTCTACGTTCAAAATGACCGTGCACGCAGTGTGCAGCAGCTCAAAGATGTCGTCGCCGCAGGCTGCCGCGCCATCGTCCTCACTCTCGACGCGCCTACCCCCGGTAAGCGCGAGCTCGACGAACGCGTCGGACGCGAAGAGGCCCGCGCAAGTGGCATCCAAGACGAAGACTCCAGTGAGCCACTTTCTGCCAGCTCTGGTCTTGGAGGTAAGCAAGAAACCGGCGGCGGCGTCGGTCGTGCACTTTTCCAGGGCACCGCTGGTGATCTAGTTTGGAGTGATCTTCTCTGGCTCAAAGCGCAGCTGCCGGACTACATGAAAATCGTGCTCAAAGGTTTACAAACCGTCGAAGACGTCGTCCTCGCCGCGCAGCAGCGAGATCCAAAGACTGGCAAACCGCTCGTCGACGGCGTCATCATCTCCAACCACGGCGGCCGCGCAGTCGACGGTGCGCCTGCTCCACTCATGGTCCTCGAGGAACTCAGACTCTACACACCAGAGGTATTCACCCAGCTCGAGATCTATCTCGACGGAGGAATCAGACGTGGAACCGATGTCGTCAAGGCCCTTTGTCTTGGTGCCACTCAGGTCGGTATCGGTCGGCCTGCTTTGTTTTCCCTCGCTGGCGGATTTGGCGAGAATGGTGTCCACAGAGTCATTCAGAGTATGTTCACTATTTGTTTCTCTTCTCTCTTTCTTTTCTGTTCCTCACACTCACACTCTCTAGTCCTCCGCGAAGAAGTCGAGACCGCAATGCGGTTACTAGGCGCAACTTCGCTCGACCAGCTCGGCCCCCACTACGTCAACACCGCCCAACTCGACTCCATAATCGGTCCCAGTCCTGCCGCTGCCGCCGCTTCTGCTGCTGCATTCACCAAATCAAAGCTGTAATCGTAGCATATTTTGTTTATCGTACAAGTTCATAGACCGATAGAATCAGAGCTTTCTTATCAATAGATTAGATCCTGCCCCAACCCTGACCCTGGCGGCCGAGAATGCCATCTCGACTAAGCAGCAGCCTCCAACGCACCCAACCAACCTCCAAACCACCTCCAACACCTTCCTTCTTCCTCTTCACATCTGCTGGGTTCAGGATGGCGGAGTCTCTCTCGAAAATCTCCGCTGCCTTCGAGACCGCGAAGGAGATAACCATGGAAGCTGCTGCTGCGGCCCGCACTCCTGCCCTCGGCGACGATGGCGTCTTCCGCGTCAGAGACGTCAAGCGGTTTCTCAATTCTCGTCATGAGAAGGAGAAACTGCAGGGAATGAAGGCAATTGCTACTGTATGTACTTCTACTGTATACAATAGCTGCGTCTATGTGGTGCTAACATCCATCAGCTCATGTCCAAAGGCGAAGACGTGACCGAGTACTTCCCCGAAGTCGTCAAGAACTCGGCCGCGCAAACACTCGAGATCAGAAAACTGGTTTATATCTACCTGCTCCGGTACGCCGAGCGCGAGTCCGATCTCGCGCTTCTGTCCATCAACGCGATCCAAAAGTCTCTCGGCGACCAGAACCCACAAATCAGAGCGATGGCAATCAAAGTGCTCTCAGGCATTAAAGTGCCCAGCATCGCGCCCATCATCCTCCTTGCGATCCGCAAGTCCATTGTCGATTTCTCAGCCGTCGTGCGTCGCGCGGCCGCGGTCGCGATCGGGAAAGCCTACGAGCTCGACAAGAGTAATTTCGAGACTCTCGTGGGGTATCTCGGTACCTTGCTCGCCGATAAGAGTTACTACGTCGTGGGTTCGGCCGTGCAGACCTTTGTCAGAATTTGCCCAGACAGGCTCGAGATGTTGCATGTGCATTATCGTCGGTACTGCAGCATGCTCGCTGATATCGAGGAGTGGGGCCTCGTGTGCTTACTCGACGTCATGACTCGCTACGTGCGCGTGTACGTGCCCAAGGGAAAGATGGTCAAGAAGCCAAAGGACACGTTCTACTCCGACGACGAAGGCAGCGGCGCCGACCAACAAGAACCCGACGAAGAGGAATTCGTCATCGATCCCGATCTCGAGCGTCTTCTGGCGGCCGCAAAGCCTCTATTGCAGAGCCGCAATAGCGCAGTCGTCATGGCCGTCGTCAATCTCTTCCACTCGCTCGTCCCCGAGGCAGATCTCTCGTTTTTGGGGCCCCCGCTCGTTAGATTGCTTGCGCAGCCTCCCGAGATTCAGTATGTCGTTATGACAAACATTGTCGTTCTCGCCTTGACCAGTCAGGTTCGTCTCCTCTATTTAATTGCAGTAATCTGTCACTAACAAACCACAGGACCTCTTTGCTCCGTACCTGAAGTATTTCTATCTTCTCCCCTCGGATTCCTTCCAAATTTCCAAACTCAAGATCGAGGTCCTGACGCTCTCCTGCTCGGAATCCAACGTATCCGAAGTCCTCGCCGAACTGCAGTACTACGCCACCACCGCCGACCCGACCCTCGTCGCCGAGTCCGTGCGCGCCATCGGCCGCTGTGCACAAATCTCACCCACCATCGCGCGCCGCTGTCTGCGCTGGCTGCTCAAGCAGATTCACTCTCCCAGCCACGTGCTCGTAGGCGAGTCGCTCACCGTCATCCGCTACATCATCCAGCTCTCGCCCAAGGACCACATCAAGACCGTCGCCAAGCTTGCCAATGCGCTCGACAAGACGCGCGTGCCGCTGGCGCGGGCGAGCATTATTTGGCTCGTTGGAGAGTTCTCCGGTATCGCGCAAAACATCGCGCCGGATGTACTTCGCAAGTGCGCAAAGAGCTTCGCGGACGAGGACGAAGGGACAAAGCTGCAGATTGTCTTGCTCGCGGCAAAGATTTACTCGCATTACATTGAAGGACGGCCGGTACCAGACGAGGCCAGCAACGGATACGGCGAGAACGACGAGCTTGCGCCGACGATCAAGCCGTCTGAAGATCCGATGGATATGCTGTTTAACTATGTCATGTTGTTGGCGCGGTACGATACCTCCTACGACCTGCGTGACCGCGCGCGGCTTTACAAGTCTGTGCTGGATACGCCTGGCGCGCCTCTAGCGAAGCTTCTCCTGCAAGCCCCGAAACCGTCGCCGCATGCGCCGTCGCCGTCGCAGGGTAAAGATGCGTTTATGCTAGGTACAACGGGAATGCTGGTCAAGGGCAAGGTCGTGAGCACGAGTCCGCTGCCGCTGTGGAGCACCGAGACGCCCGATCCCTCGATCCGGGACGACGTCAAGGAGGATATCGAGATCGACGAGAGCAGTATCCCGACGCGGATTCTCGAGACGACGATCAAGCGAAGCAAGAAGTCAAAGAAGGGCAAGAAGGCCAAGAAGGTGTCGTCGACGTCGAAGAAGAAAGCGGTGAAGACGCAGCCGGAGATTGTGGAGAGTAAACCGGCTGTTAAAGCGGCGGCTACGAAGAAGAAGAAGGAGGAGGACTATCATGTCACTTTGGATGAATTTTTCGGGGAACCGTCAACGACGCAGTTCATCAGCGAATCTGACGAAGAGGAGGAAGAGGAGGAGGAAGAGAGCAGCGGAAGCGAAGTCGAGGTTATTGTCGAAGTCAGCGAGGATAGCGACGAAGAAGACTCTGATGAGGATGATGACAGCGATGAGGATAGTGATGAAGACGAAGATAGCGATGAGGAGGAGGAAAGTGAGGAAGACGAAGAAGAGAGCGAGGACGACGAGAGCGAGGACGATGACTCGGGAGCGCAGGCCTCGCTGCTGTCTGGGCGCTGAGGGCGTCTTGTAAATATCCCTTTTTATAGTCATAGATTATTTATCAATATATCTTATCTTCCTGTCTGATTATTGCTGTTAACTACTAATAATTACGAAATGGCCGGCGCGGTACGGTTTATTTACATTCGTCTAAATTGGGTAATCTTATCCGTCGCGTCTTCGCCCGGCCGAACCACAACGCGCCCGCCTCTCCGCCTCTCTTCTCCTTTCCCACACCACCTTCCCTGGCCGCTTTTTTGGATTTTTAATTCCCCTTTCCTTTGCTATCGATCTATTTTCCGACAATAGATCGACTCTCCGTGTCTAGAGCTTTGGACACTGTTTGGACACTGTTTGGACTCTTTTTGGTGATGTTTGGCGTCTTTTTGGAATCTGCCTGGTTTTTTGTGCTTTTTGGTGTCGTTCGAAGCTGGTGGTACTAACGCTCCAAACTCCCCGGCCGTATAGCAAGCGCTCAAAGGTTCTCTGGGTGTTTGGCTTTTTGGTGTTTTGGTTGTTTCTACGTCTTATAGGTATCTCCTCGATAGATCTGACCGGGCTGCTCCACCCCGTCGTCTAGTTTGGTTTTTTTGGTCTTTTGTTCCTTTCGCTGTATACCCGGCAAAGCGAGTAAGTGAAGCTGTATATACCACAAGAGTCCTTGACTAACGACAATTATCAGATGCACATGGGTTTTTGGACTTTTGTTGCGGTCTAGTTTTGGTTTTTTGGTCCTTTGGCTTTATACCCGGCGAAATAAGTGAGTGCAGCTGTATATTCTATAAGATCCATTGACTGACGACAAGTATCAGATCTGCACTGCTGCGCAAATGCCAGTTTTTGGACTTTTTGGTGCTTTTTTGGTCGTGTGGGGACGGCGGCCGATCTGATGGGTTCTTCTCTAGCCAGGTTGCCCATTCGGATTTAAAACGTCTACGTTGTCGCGTCTCTTCCACGTTTGCGCTGGCACGCGCGCCGTCGCATGGAGTCCGTGGCGACGGTAGTGGAAGAGAGTCTGCGCGACCGAGCGTCTTGTGGATGAGGGATCCTACAAGACGTAGCGGATAATGCGACAACAACGACAAACTCATCAATACGGGGGTAGTTTATGACTGCCCTTGGGTGAAGTCGGGTCTTAGTGGGTATGGCGACGTCGAGAGAGCGCTTGGTTGAGATGATCTCCAAGCGTAGTCGCAGAGTCCCACATAACTCTTGGCCAGCAATGGTCAAGAGTATGCGTAACGCATTCTTCCCGATCCTGGCACCATCTGCTTCACGCGCTCTGGCTGTTTTCTGTACTTGTTCTGTATATGCTGTCGCTGTCTTGCTGTCGATTGTATCTTTAGAGCTGACAGCGATTTGCCGTGTGTTTTGTAATGTTTTGTATCAGAGCGCGTTGGCGGTATGTATTGTAAAACCACAAAAGAAAAAAAAGCCTTTCTCTTCAAATCTTTATGAGGAAGTAAAAGTAGAAGTAAGAAGTAGAAGCACAGTGGATATATGGACTGAATCAGTCACGTGACTAAACATGGAGTAAGAGCAAAGCACCCCGCGGATCACTACAACTCCACCGACTGACCTCGGTATTCCAGACAATGGCAGCCAACACCTCGCTCAGCAGCATGATTCGCGCGGTAGGATCAAAGAGAGGATTTTATACGAGCATTTTAAGTAGCAGAGCCGTCAGACCAGCCGCGTCCTTCAACTTGTCTACGTCTACGTGTCGCCTATTCTCTGCGGCAGCGCCGACCAACTTCGCCGCGAGCCCGCGCCGGTCGTCGATAGTCAGTCTGTCGACGGTGCTGATAGCAGCGGCATCGCTTGCAGCAGGCGCGGCAGCCGGGTTCCGGTTTTCGCCGCTTGAGCTGTACACAGGCCGATCTGCGCCGCTGCCGGCGGCCGGCAGTCCCGAGGAAGCCGCGTTCATCGCTGCGATCGAGAAGGAGCTGCAGAGTTCGCGCGTGGTGCAGAAGATGCGGGCGACGGAAGGGTATGTTGAGCGGCGGATGTGGGCTGATGTGCCTCAGAAGTATCTCGATTCCGGGTTTTTGTCGGGCTCGTTGCGCGGGCCGGGGAAGTTTGCGGTGCCTGGGATTGTGTTTGTGAACGAGGAGGAGAAGAAGGTTGTTTCCGTCATTCACTGCGGACGGAAGGTGTGTGGGTTTCCGAGGATTGTGGTATGTTTGCTGTTGGTTGCTGTTTGTTTGGGGGTTGGGTGGGTTGTTGAGTGGGTGAGCTGACGTGATGTATTTCTAGCACGGTGGAGTGATTGCCTCTTTGTTGGACGAGTGCCTGGCTCGAGCAGTATGCCTTTCTTTCTTCTCTCTGTTGGTGAACAGCAGCTGACGGTTTATGTACAGGCGATTCTTCCACTTCCGGCTCACACGGCCGTGACTGCAAACTTGACGGTCAACTACCGGCGCCCTACGCAGGCCGATCAGGTCATTTCGATCGAGACCGAGGTCACCGAGGTGAGTTTACCAATGGATATATGGAGCACATCAAAGCGTTTCTTACTAAGTACCATTTGTTATAGAACACTGATCGCAAGTCGCTGGTGTCTGGTGTCGTTAAATCGGCACATGGAGAGAAACTGGCAGAGGCCACGGCGGTGTTTGTAGTGCCGAAGCATTACAAGCTGCAGAGTTTAGCCAGCATGTAATCGTCATTTGTGGTTGATTATATATAGGACGAATAAGAAAAATAGATTATAGTATTACATTATTAGAGTAGTTATGACTCGGCCGCGTACTTATTCTTTGCCCATGATAGGAAACTCGGGACGTCGTTCGTGATGATCTTCGGAAGCGCAATGTCTTGGACCCATTTCGGTATCAACCCGCCTCCATCGCTCTAAGCCACATAATTAGTCTTCCGTCTCATTTCTTCAACGCAAAATAGTAAACCGAGGAGACAACATACCACCAAAGCCATGACCCACTGAATCTTCCCATCCGGCAACTCCTGCACATGCTCGATAGCGGAGAACAAAGCCCTGACGCGACCGGGGGTGCATTCGTATTCTGCGGGGGTCGAGATTACAAAGAATTCGCGCACGTTGAGGTCTGGTTGCTGGGAAAATAGCCAGACTGGGGTCTCGCGGTCAGAGAGAAGACCGCCCATTTTATAATGCGAGACAATGCCTTGACGATGAAGAGTGTTAGTAGTTCAAAATTCACAGTTCACACCAGAATGAAGAAAAGACCACGCACCAGTCCATCCACTCTCCCCGCCATCAATCTCCTCATACGACTGAAACTCGTGGATATACTCGACCTCGTTCTTGGTATGATCCTCGCAAATCCCGCTCATGAACCACTCCCAGGGCACGTCGTGCACCGATTTCCGCGCAAACCACTTCTCGCCGTACAGTTTCCTGCTGTACGTCTGCACCGCTATCCCCGGCGCCTTCTGGTGCAGCTTGCACTTTGTCCAGGTCCCGTCGAGATCGGCGACCAGCGACCGCGCGAGCGAGATCGCCGTCGACGGAGGGACGAGCGAGGAAAGCGGTTTGGCGTTCAGGTCGTAGACAAAGTCTGTCGCCATGTTCTCTTGTTTTGCCTGTGTCTTCTTGCTTGCTTGTGCGTGTTTATCAGTAAAGCAGCGAGGTTATCGGCATGGCTTTATCGCGGGATCTGAGATAAATACCTCTTTTTTTTAACCTCTGAAAGGCCAAATGCGGCAATCTAACTCTTTCGGTAAGGTGCTTGTACTCAGGCATTGGGTTAGGTCTCGCTGCTTTGGGGTTCTTGTGCGATACTCGTCCACTCACTCGCGCTGCTTCACGAACGTGGTGGATCCCAGCATCCACCTGCGCTGTTTGCTCTTTGCAGACGCGAGACTGTTGTTGTGGGGTGCTGTTGCTGGGCTGGTGCAGAGCGGGGTGCTTTGCTCTGATAGTATTCATCAGAGCTGCGCTTTGTTCTCGCTGATCTGTCGTCCAGCTACAGACACACCTCTGCCTCAGATGCACAATCAACAAGACACACAAATCAACAAAGATCAAGCAAATCCCATTTTTTACACCAAAAAGTCATCGAAAGTCCTCACAGGGCCAGCTCCAGGCTTCTTCTTTACGAACGAATACATGGTTTTCATCCAAATTGGAGTTTGGGTAGTATAGCGGCTTTTACATTCTCTCACTTTTTTTCTCTTCTGTAGATGTATGCATTACTACTGGAAATAAAACAGAAAAACAAAATTAATACAATTGACTTACTTCACTCTCCCACGCACTGACTCGACTTATGCAAGAATATCTTCATTATACAAAACAGCATTCAAAACAAAACCACAGAATCAACTATCAGTGTCCTCAACCAAGAACACGCAAAACCAACGCCCACACACAACTCTTAATACACCTCGACCAACGCAGCCGCCTGATGGACCGCCTCGGTGATGATATCGAGCCACCGTTTTGCGTTTGTGATATTCCGCGCATCCAAAGCCTCGTCCAGTCCCGGGAACGTCGCGCCCGCATAGCCGGTCCAATACCCTGGCGCAAACACGATATGCTTGTACCAGTCCCGTTCATCCAGACCCTTTTCGTACAAGAACTTGCGCTCGAACTTCATGTACTGCGAGTTCAACCCCTGGATTTGCACGTACGTGCGCATCTTCTTGTAGCTCTTGAACCACGGGTAATCAGTCAGGTACTCTTTCTCGACCTGGCTCGATTTCACGTCGAATTTGTTGGCCGCCTGTACAAGCATGTCGAGCGCGTCGGTGCAGTTGCGCAGTGAGGAGGCAATGTACCACCACCCGAGCTCGAAATCAGGAAGATCAACTCCGTCGCCCACGTCCGCGCTAGTGCGATACCTACACTCTTGTACCAGACTATCGTGACCTTGACTGGTAGCGACCCCGCTGCAGTCATAGAACCCACCCTCGGTCCAGTCGGCTTTCAGCTCGGCGTTCTCCTCCGCAATGTCGTTGATCTTACTCTTGATGCGTTCAAAGTAGGTCGACAACGAGCGCGCGTACTCGCCAATGTCGAATTGGATTACTTCCTGCTCGCTCAGCTGTAGCAGCAAGAGACCCCAGATTTTAACCATCGTCGTGTGGAATTCCCATGTAGGATCACCAAATTTGTCCATCCATGCGAATGAGTCGTAATTTGAGTGGTCTAAAAATTCTGTTAGTTCTTCTCTGAATATAAAAGACAAAGGCCTGCTTACATTGATAAACCGCATCGTTAGCACCGCCGCCAAACCCAAAATCAATCGACGGAATCCCAAGATGATCCATAAACACCGTATAATCACTCCCAGACCCCAACGTGCTAATATGAGCGTTCGCTTGCGCAAACCAGTGGTCATAAACATAGCCCCCGCTCGGATGCGGCACTCGCTTCACCACGTCTTTCAGAATCGTGTTGAGCAGCGGCGAGGCGGCGGCGTTGAAGTTCGGTCCGGAGACGGCGACGTCGACGTTCAAGTACGCCATTGCTTTTGCGCCAAGGTATTTCGCGAGGTCTTCACCCCATTCTGTCGAGCCTAGGAGTGCGTATTCTTCTCCGTCCCAGGATGCCAGGATACTATAAACGTTAGTTGAGAACACAAATTACAGGAGTAGAGTAGACATACATTGATCGCAGAGGTTTCCAGCCAGTCTTTTTCAGCTCTCCTAGCGCGCGCGCAAGTTCAATCAACACAGCAGACCCGCTGTTTGGATCACCCGCGCCGCCCACGATCCACGCGTCGCGATGGTTTCCAATAATGATGACCTCATCCTTGATCACGCCATCGATGCGACCGATCGTATTCCAGATCGGCGTCGTCTTGTACTCTTGCAGATTAAACAGGTTGATACTGTTCGTGCTCGGTCCGACAGAGTAGTCAAACTCTCGCAAGCCGCCGCGCCAGTCTTCGCCAAGGTCGTTCGGGTTGAAGCCCATGCCGTTCAACTCCCGCAGGATAGGGATCATATCCTTGTAACTGACAGGAAGCGAGGGAATCGAAGGGATGGTATTGTACGGATCAACCCGCTCGGCAAACTCCTTGCTCGCCCAGCCGGGAGTGGTGGGGTCGCCGGGCGCGACTGAGAGGAACTCGACACTTCCTCGCTGCACGCTCGAGGGATTGCGCGCTGGTCCGTCGGGATATGCCTTGAATTTGTTGGTCGTAGTCACATTTCCGTCGTCGCCGGGGTCGGTGTACATGAGCACACCGGTAGCGCCGCGCTCCTGCGCGCCCTTAACGATAAGTCCGCGGAAAAGGCCGCCGTAGCGAGCAATCACGATGCGGCCGGTGACCGACACGCCGTTCTTCTCGAGCAGGTCAAAGTCCGCCTGTCGGCCGTAGTTGACGTAGACGTACTGCGCGGTGACGTTTCCGTTCGCAGAGTATCCGTGGAACGTGGGCACGCGGTCTGCGTTCATCGACGTGGGATCCTCAGGCAACGGGTCTTCCTCCAAGCTGGCGACGTACTTGATGGTCTCGTTGACGCCGAGCAGTTTGAGGCTGTGGTCTTTGGGGTAATTGAGGTAGGTGTAGTACGGCACGATCTCGGTCTTGATGCCGTACTCGGTGAACTTCTCGGCCGTCCACTGCGCCTGCGAGAGATTCGTGCCCGCGAGATGCACGCCGGAGGTGTAGTAGTTTGACCACTGACGCACCGAGTCAGTGTCAGGGATGCTAAACAGATGGCGCTCGAGGTCCGGAAGCGACGTCTGCTTGTGTCGCAGCCGTGCCAGGTCGCGTCTGAGCGTAGTCCTCGGCAGAAAGACGAGTTTCCAGCCAAGGATGAAGAACACGCCAAAGCCGACGTAGGCCAGCAGCCGCGTCAAGAACGTGCCCCATCGCTTCCTCGCCATCGCCGACCGTATCGACGACGTCTCCGACGGCGACGGAAGAAGCAAGTCTGCTTCGGTGGTCGAGTCGGCCGTGTCGGCCTCGGACAGCGACGGCGACGCAGCCCGCTGCGTGAAGAAGCCCGGGAACAAGCGACGAGCAGCGCCGGCGGCGACGTTGGCGCGCTTTGGCTGCGGTTGGCGGATCAGCGGCTCGTCTTCGTCCGCAGACTCGTCGTAGTCGAGCTCGTCCATCTGCGCGGAGGAAGAGGCGCCGCCGTCTGCGGGATTGTCGAGATCGTCCTGGTCCTGGAAGTCCTTGATGATAGGAGAGCCCGGGGTGTCGCTGACGTCGGTTGCCACGGAAGCCGTCTCCGACTGCAGCGGGTGCGCGTCGGTGGCAGCAGACATTGTTTGATGGTGGATTTAAGGCTCAGAACTGTGTGTTTATGAGCGCATGTGGAGGAAGAAGTAGACAAAGTCGCGGTTTATCGATAGAAAGCCGGTGCTCGGAGGTTGGTCCCAAACCGGTTCTCGCTTAGAACGAGGCCCTCGGCTGACATTCGCTCATCCTCATCGCCAACTTACTCGACTCTTCTCTTCTGCAGTGTTTTCGCCTGATAATGACGAGATGAAAGCGGTCTCGGTCCTGCTATCGCTCTTGCTCGCATGGATTGCGGCAGCTCTGCCTCCGCAGCGAGCAGCGCTCGACAAAGAGCAGGCGGCAGCGCTCTACAAGGCCTTCCCGCCTTTCCCTGCGCTGGATCCTCACTTCCCGCCCGGGGGCTCGACACCTGCGCTGCTCTCGCCGATTCTCATTCCTCGCACGCCGGGGTCCGAGAACGCGTCTCTTGTGCGGCAGCATTTTGTTGACCACTTTGCCGCTCTGGGTGACAGCTGGACCCTGCTCCGCGACGAGTTCACAGCTCCCGTGCCCGAGTACGGTGGCCTGTCCGGCACCCTCAACTTCACAAACCTCATCTTCAGACTCAATCCGCCTGGCTACGACGCCGACGATATCTCTGCAAAATACCTCACTCTTGTCGCACACTACGACTCCAAGATCGCTCCGCACGGCTTCATCGGCGCCACAGACTCTGCCGTCCCGTGCGCAATCCTGATGTACATCGCGCAGGCCCTCACAGCGGCCACGCGACGACGGTGGGCAGATGACCCGTGGGCCGCACAGAGCGATCTTGCGCTGCAAATCATTTTCATGGACGGCGAAGAGGCGCTGGTCGAGTGGTCTGCCAAGGACTCGCTCTACGGAGCGCGGCATCTGGCCGAGCGATGGGAGGCAGAGACAAGGGCGTATCCGTATGGACGACTGTCCGAGATCCAGAATATTGATCTTTTTGTCCTCCTCGACCTCCTTGGCGCCGAAGCACCTACTGTTCCTTGTTTCTTTGGAATGACTGCCTGGGCGTGTCGGCAGCTCTCCGACACCGAGTCAATGCTCCGCAGCGCAGGCATCGCCGCCTCAAACAAAAACACAGACGCAAACAGCAAAAAACAAAAGAACTACATCAACCCGACAAACCTGATGACAAACGCATTTGTCGACGACGACCACATGCCGTTCTTGAAACGGGGAACCCCCGTCCTGCACATCATCCCGGTCCCGTTCCCGCTCTCGTGGCATACCATCCTCGATAACGGCGATAACCTCAGTTTGGACGCAATCCATGATTGGAGTATATTTTTGGCTACCTGGGTTGCCGGGTATCTTGGGCTTGCTGAGTATATAGAGTGAGAGTAAAAGTTAAATACAATTGATTTGGTACTATAGTATACTACAATGAATGTATATAATGCGATGGTTTTAAAAATACAGCTACATTATGATACAATCAGGCAAGCAACTCAACCCAAACCAGTCTTGCCAGTCTTAACCTTCGCCATAATCGGCGTCGCCATGCCCTGATTCTCACTCGTCCCCAATCCCGATCCAGCAATCCATCCCATCTTCTCCAGCAACTGTCGTCCGACATTCTCCTGACTGATCTCCGGCGCGTCCCCGCCCACCACATCGCCTTCGCGGTGATTGAACTGCGCAGTTCCGCCCCTTGTCGGTCCGCGATCTGGGATCTGTCTAGATCTCTTGCCGGGCCGACGGCCGAGGAAACGTTCTTCGACTATGCTGGTCAGACCGTAGCCAACGTCTTGGTACGTCGACCGCGTTTTGTAGAGAATCGTGAATCTGTTGTGGCCTGAGCCTTGAGACTTTGAAGTCAGTCTGTAGGACAATGCCAGAGTATGAACTATATCAACGTGAGTCAGCGACAATCAAATCAAAAAGTAACAAAAACAGCTTACCTCTCTTGCGGTCCCCCTTGTCCATCGGAGGAAGCGACAAACTAGTCTGTCCCTTATCCTCCAAAAACCCTTCAATCTCCCTCACCACATCTGACACTTTCATCCCGCCCCTATACTTTGTCTTCAAATCCGCCTTACCCGTCTTCTTCGCCTTCTTGCCCAGCAATCCCTGCGCCCGCAGTTTCTCGCGCTCAACCTTTCGCTGCTTCTTCTTGGACTTGTCTTTGAGCCATTGCGACTTCAGTGTAAACTCGAGTTCTTCGTCAGAGTTGGCAAAGTCTGGCAGCTGCTTGAGCTTTTTCTTGCTCAGGCTCGCGTAGAGGGCGTCCATGTACGCACCACCGGTGAACTGGCGCTCAGAGTCGAGGATGTCATCGTCGTCATCGTCCATGTCCTCATAGATGTCGTCGATCTCCTCGTCATCTTCGTCGTCATCTTCATCCTCCTCCTCCTCATCTTCATCCTCATCCTCATCATCTTCTCCCTCCTCCACATCCTCAAAATCCTCATCCGCATCATCCGCACCAACACTGGCATCCTCGATAAAGTCAATAGTCTCCTCAATAGCAGCCTTGATCTCATCCTCAAACGCCTCCTCATCAGCAACCTCAGCATAGATGTCCAAAGCATCCGCAATATCCTGCTCTTCTTCTTCCTCGCTGTTGTACAAGTTTTGAATGTAATCGTCAAGCGGGTCGATCTCTGCATCGCTGTCGGCCATGATCGAGTACGGGAACGGCTGTTTCTGCTTCTTCTCCCGTCTTGCCCGCTTCGGTCTGGTTTTCCTCTTCCGACCAGGCGAAGCTTGACCGGGTGACAACGTCAAGCTCTCGGTCTGCGAAATCAAGCTCGCAGTTTGCCCAACAACAGAATTGTCATCAATCAGTCGGACTGTACTAGTTGATTGTGTGATCTCGATCTTCTTCTCATGTCTCGCGTTGCGCTTGATATTGCGAGGATGGAAAACGATCTGGTCCATGCCTTGCTGCAATTCCAAAGGCACTGGACCGGCGCTGTCGTCGGCTTCGAATATCAGCTCGTCAGGAAGATGATCAAGGCTCGAGGGGTCTTTCTCTGTTGCTGTTGTCTCTACTTCACTCGGTATGACTGCAGACTTCGCATCCCTCTCTGGCTCAGGCACTGACTCTACTTCAATCTCAATCCGCGTGAGCGTAGGTTCATCTGTTGATCCTTCCTCGACGTCATCCTGCTCGACTCTATCTTCATATTCTGACGCCAGCACAGACTCAAAGAGATCATTATCATCTTCCGAACCTGACTCAAACTGCACGTCACAGTGCTGGAGCGTGATTTCAGCTTCTGACGCCAGCGCAGACTCATATATGTCAAGGTCGTCATCCGTTGCAGACTCTGTCGCAGACTGGACTTCTTCGATAGCTTCGGCTACTGGAATCTCATGTGGTGTATCAACAGTGACTTTGGGAGGTAGAGCGGGTGCTAGTTTGCGGGTGTGCTCGACTAGCTTGTCTTCTTCGTCGAGAAGCTCGTTGTAGATAGCGTCGGGAATGTGCTTTGGGATAACCTCGCGGATCTCTCCTTCTTCCAGCTCGTCATCATCCTCGTATTCTTCATCCACCTGCTCCTTAGCAAAATCGTCGCCCATGACTTGGTCTTCGACATCTTCGTCGTCTTGCGACTCGCGCCTAACTTCTGCGCCGACCATCGTGCCAGCCTTAACAAAAACAATCCGTCGGTGTCTCAGCCCAGCAGCAGACCCGCCGGTAGCAAACTCGTTAGTGTAGGCAGCCTCATCACGAAGCGTGAACCTCGGTGCACCGAGTCCTAAGTAGTGAGTGTTAGAATGTGCGGACCGGTGCAATGTAAGAATGAGAACACACCCTCGCCTGCCCTGCGTGAGCGCCTTCCGGCTTCAGTTCCAATGGTCGCGGAGCCACCGCGTGCTTGCCGTCTGCCTCCACGACCACCTCGACCACCACGGCCACCTCGGCCGCCGTTGCCCGGGTTTCCAGCGCCGGACTGCGCGCTGGGCGGCTTCCTTGCGCCTCTCTTCTTCTTTGCCATTCAAGTAAGAATGGTCTAAAAGACAATGATCAGAAAGAGGCAGAGAAGATCAGGATAGAGAAGACAGAGAGCACTGCAGAGTGTGAAGAGAACGAGAAGAGGAAGAAGACGCGTTGGTTTCGGGCTTAAAATTGGGAAGTCTCGTCGCACGTGAGGCGCATCGTCATCTCCACAACTTCGACTCGGATCCGGCTCTGGCTCTGCTTCTGCTTCTTCTCTTCTCAACAGAATGGAGTCGACCGCGCTGTTTAATTCGAAAAGAAGAGCAGTGCTGCTGCGGGCGGTGCTCAGGCTGTGGTATCTGATTGGCAGCATATTCCTCGCTGCCGGTGTCCTCAACAGAGTAGGGCCCCTCTAAACACTGCTTCTGATACTCAACTGACCGACACCTCCGCAGATGTACATCCTCCCCAAGTTCATGATGCTCGTCATGGCCCGGAAAGAGCTCTTTGGTCTCACTCTCGACCTCGTCTACCGCATGAACTCACGCCTCGCTGCCATCATCGCCGAGTCCCCCGCTGCTCCCCTCCGTGCCTCGGCAGATCCAACCGCAATTAGCAGCAGCATCAGCGCCAATGATCCCGACGTCGTGCTGCAGTCTGTCAGCGATGGTGCGTTTGTCGATAAGCAGACGCAGACCGACGACTCGCTGCTTGACCCGTCTCTGCTCTCACCGCCGGCTGCTGCTGCTGCGGCGGCGGTCTCCCCCTCGTCCACCGAAGCGCGATTATCCTCCGCGATTGAACTCGATCAGCAAACAAATACAGACTCTACAAGTAACATGCTTCCGCTGAGCTACCACTCGCTGCAATACCTCTGCCGCAACGCAAAACTCATCCCAAGTCTCCTTTCCAACCCGGCTCTGGTCGGCGCATCCTACTCCGTCAACGAACTCAATCTCCTCGTCGAGGAGCTCTCGTTCACCTCCGTGACAGCAACTAGTTCGCATGTGAGGCCGGAGGCGACGTCTTTGCAGCAGACGAAGCAGTATGTCACTCATCTGCGGGATGAGATCAGGGGTTTGAAGAGTCTGGCGCTGACTATGAATTAGTGTGGAGTTTGGTATCCAACGGTCTGACGACCAAAAGCGACAGTCTATGAAGCGAAATTTGTTGTTTTGGTATGGAGTTTGTTTAAGGGTCATTGAATTGTTATAGCAAATAAAGATAAACCAGTTTAGATATTGTACACGTATATGTTGCGAGCTCATAGTCCCCTCGAGCTAGCGTCGTATGCCGGCGTGGAATTGATATACGACTCCATAAACAACGTTTTCCTGTTCCTAGCCAGGTGTCTATTTGTATCTGATTAGTGTCTGCCCGACAAGAATAGGAAGAATAACATACTTGAGTAGCTCTTCCACATGGGCTTTGAGAACGTTTAAGCTCTGCTGGTCCATATGTGTATGTAGTAGCAATCCAGGGAGAGACACTAGCTCATGGTTAGTCTTTGATCATGCATACAAACACAAAATAACAACATACCAAACAAGCGCAAAAGATGTTCAGCGCCATAAATCTCTCGCGGCAACTTATCAGGGTTCTTGGTCGAGATCTCCAAGTACTGCTGCCGCTCGAATCTGTAGAGTAATATCGACCCCAGGCATTTGTCAAAGTAGAGCTGGATACCCTCGACGATCTCATCCAGGATCTCGGCCTCGGCGTTTGACAGTCTGCGTTTTGAATAGTTTGTTTTAAAGTCGAGAATGATGTCTTTGACTGTGGGTTTGCGGGGTAAATCCACCAGCTATATCTTGTTAGTCTTGCGCAGACTTGATGTTGAAGAAAGCCACCTTATACCTGTGAGTTTTTTGTCACGTATTCCCAATCATCTACTAACTGAGCCATCAACACATCAGGTATTGAAATATTGACATCCAGCTGTGATAGAAACCGGTCCTCCTGATAAGCATAAGAGTTAGAGCAGTCTACACATAAACATAGATATCAGCGATCTCACCTTGTCATCAGCGTCGCGTCTTGTCTTCTTTAGCGACCTCGCTTCCCCATGCTCCTTCGCATCGCCCTTCCGCTTATGTGAACCCGATCCCGCCGCTGACGACGAAGACGGAGCAGCCGCGACAGCTGAGCCTCCCGACGCATCAGCAGACCCAGCTGGTGCAGGCGAGCTCTCGCTCCCCCCGTTTGCTTTTTTCGAGCGAAGTTGTTGCAGAGCTTCGTTTTTGAGCTCTTTTTGAAGACGCAGGTTTTCTTCTGTCCAGCGAAGGACGCGCTGCTGCGGTAGCTATAGTTATGATGTCAGTATGTATTTTCGTTTCAACACGAGATCTAGACGCGTGTGCTCACCCATTCGTCCCACCTGTAGATAATTTGATCAGTTAGCAGGAGATTCTTCACAGCATAATAACCAGCAAATCAGCACAGTAGCAACATACGAAGACTTCCAGCCCTTGTAATGTATCAGATAGGCAATCGCGTCGCGTAGCTCCTCGGGGATCTCATCGACCTCAATCTCCTCGTTCTTCTGGCCAGGCAAATACACCTTCAGTATCTTAGACTCGTAAAGCAGTGGCCCATGAAACGCCAAACATCGCGCGCCTTGGTGAAAGCCCTCGGGCGGGGCAGTTGCGGTCATTGCAGCTGGTTGTCGGTATCAGCTGCTGGCTGCCTCAGATTGAAAAGGGACGATGGCAGCCAGGGCGGGAGCTGCGGTTACTCTTTAAGCGCATTCAAGATGATGACAAAGACGTGTGTTATCACAAAGACGCATTCAAGATGATTGCTCAGACGGAGGCACGTGCGCGATATGACAAGGCTCTGGGGTTTGACACCGCGGCTGTGGCTTTTCTTCCTCAACGCCTCTTCGCTCCCTGCCCGGCTTCTCCTGTCTGGAATCAAACAAAACAAAGCAAATCAAACCAGAAACAGCGTCAAGAGCAGGGATCCAGCAGAAGGATGAAGTTCAGTCGCACCGTTCAGTTCAACGCGGTGCCGGAATGGTCGGCTTATTACATCAGCTACTCGAATCTCAAAAAACTGTGAGTCCAGACCGAGTTTGTTTATCCTGAGCGTATCTCATACTGATCCACTATACCAGCATCCAAAACCTCGAGTCTGAGGCAAACAACCGCGCCGTTCAGCTCCAGCGCGAGTCAGAGACCGTCTCGCTGATTGCGAACGACGACGCCTACGCAGACTTCGACGTCATCTTCCGCCGCGCGCTCGACGACGAGCTCGACAAGATCTGCAAGTTCTACGCCGACAAGTATCGCGAGCTCAGCGAGGAGCTTTTGCAGCTCAAGCAGGATGTCTATGAGTTTACCGATAACGCCGGACCCGAGGAGGCGAGCACGTCCTCGGGCTCGTCGATCACCACCAGTAGTCATCAGTTCTCTGACGGCGAGAGCGTGCTGGCGGCCGTGAACACTGCCGAGCGTGGTGGCCCGCTGACTGACAAGTCCGTTGACGCGCTCTCGCTGAGCTCGTTCCGCGACGACTCGGGCTTTGACGAGATGGCGGATCTGAAGATTACGCTCAAGAAGCGCGTCATTGCGCTCTATGTGGCGTTCTCGGAGCTCAAGTCGTACGTCACCCTCAACAGGACCGGGTTTGCAAAGGCGCTGAAAAAGTACGCAAAGGTTCTCAACCGAGAGATTCCCGGAGGCTATGTCGTCAACGATGTCGAGCAGTCTGTGCCGTTTCTGCCGCAGTCGCGCGCAGAGCTCGATGAGCGGCTCGACGAAGCGACGGAGCTGTACGCCGTCATCAGCACTCGCGGTGAGATTGGTCAGGCCAAGGCCGAGCTGCGGGTGCATCTGCGCGAGTACGTGGTTTGGGACCGCAACTCTGTGTGGCGCGAGATGATGGGGATTGAGAGTAAAGTGCAGGGCGTCGGCATCACGAACCAGGGCTTGCTCGTGAGCTCGAATCCGATTGCGGACGCGCTCGAGCACAAGTCTGCTGCGAGCCAGCCGCCGTACGAGATTGTGACGCGGTACGGAGTGATTCGGCTGCCGCGGATAATTTTCAACTCTACCTCTGCTATTCTGGCAGTTATCGTGGCTACGTTTGTCGTCTTGCTGGTCGTGCCTATCTTTGACGATCCGACGCCGCAGGCGTGTCTTGCGATTTTGATTGCGGCGTCGATGCTGTGGGCTACCGAGGTGATTCCGCTGTTTGTGACGTCGATGCTGGTGCCGTTGCTGGTGGTTGTGTTTCGAGCTGTGCGGTCGGACGATATGGAGCACGAGCGGTTGAGTGCGCCGGACGCGACAAAGTACATTTTTGCGTCGATGTGGACGCCGGTGATTATGCTTTTGCTGGGCGGGTTTGCGATTGCGTCTGCGCTGAGCAAGTACAATATCGCAAAGGTGATTGCGACGTGGGTGCTGAGTAATGCGGGCACGAAGCCGCGCAACGTGCTGCTGATGACGATGTTTGTCGCCATGTTTTTGAGCATGTGGATTTCAAACGTTGCCTCTCCGGTGCTGTGCTTGTCTATCATTCAGCCGCTGCTGCGGACGCAGGACAGCGAGTCCAACTTCCCCAAGGCATTGATTCTCGGAATCGCGCTGGCGTCGAATATCGGAGGCATGGCGTCGCCGATCGCGAGTCCGCAGAACGTGATTGCGCTGCAGAACATGCGGCCGAATCCGTCGTGGGGCGCGTGGTTTTTCATTGCGTTGCCGGTTTGCATTTTGTCGATTTTGTTGATCTGGGTGTTTATGTTGATTACACTGAATCCTGCAAAAGGCGCGATCTATACAAAGATCGAGCGCAAGACAGAGAGATTTGACCGGACGCAGATTTTTGTGAGTGCGGTGACGTTGGTGACGATTGCGCTGTGGTGCGTGTCGCATCAGCTTGAAGGGGTGTTTGGCGACATGGGCGTGCTTGCGATTATCCCTCTGGTTGTCTTTTTCGGCACCGGTCTGCTGACGAAGGAGGATTTCAACAACTTTATGTGGACGATCATCATTCTTGCGATGGGCGGAATCGCGCTGGGAAAGGCGGTTTCGTCGTCGGGCTTGCTGGACACGATCGCGATGGGTATCCGGTCGCTTGTGAGCGGGATGGGCGTGTACGGCGTGATGGTGGTGTTTGGCTCGCTCATCCTGATCATCGCGACGTTTATCTCGCACACAGTCGCGGCGCTTATCTTGCTGCCGATTGTGGCGCAGGTCGGGCAGGCGATGGACGACCCGCATCCGAATCTGCTGGTGATGGGCGCCGCGCTGCTGTGTTCGGGCGCGATGGGTCTGCCGACGTCTGGGTTCCCGAACGTGACTGCGATCTGCACGACGGACGACCAGGGACGGCCGTATTTGACGGTTAGTCTGTTTATTACGAGAGGAGTGCCTGCGAGTTTGATTGCGTATGTTGTGATTATCTCGCTGGGGTACGGATTGATGAAGATTGTGAGGTTGTGAGGTTGTGGTGAGGAAGGGATGAGATTGCGAACACGAAGATCTTATTTTACGACATGCAGAATTACTTTTTACGACGACATGAGAGAGCATACAGGTTTAATGGGGAGGATTGGGGTCATTTGGTTTTGTTTTGTGTTTGTGTGTTCAAATTGCAAGAATATGAATCTCTTTTTAGAATAATCGAACAAATGTATAGTTTTTTAGAATATAAGAATAAAAAAAGCAACTAACCTCTCGTCAAAAGAACTGCCATACGATAGTCAAAAGACAAGGAGTTAAGAGCAAGTAGAAGAAGAAATATAAGTTCGCGATAAAGAAACAAGATTGTTTATTTACAAAGTGCCCGACTTCTCGATCTTGATCTGAGTCTTGGTGGCACCGCTGCGGGTTCCGAACGACTCGATCTTCTTGACGACGTCGAAGCCCTCGGTGACCTCACCGAAGACGACGTGCTTGCCGTCGAGCCAGGGGCAGGGGACGGTGGTGATGAAGAACTGCGAGCCGTTGGTGTTGGGGCCGGCGTTGGCCATCGAGAGAAGACCGGGCTGGATGAGGAAGGGTTAGTCAGAGCCCTAAGCCTGTGGTGATGCCGATCTGGAGAGAAGAGGAGGAGGAGGAGGAGGAGTGTGTACCTTGGTGTGCTTGGCCTGGAAGTTCTCGTCGGCGAACTTGGCGCCGTAGATGGACTTGCCGCCGGTGCCCTGGGGGGTTGTTAGTATGGAGTAGGGGGGGTGGTGAGGAAGAGAGGAGGGAGATGGAGAAGAGAAGAGAAGAAGGGCGGAGAAGAACTTACGTCACCGCGGGTGAAGTCACCACCCTGAAGCATGAACTGGAGGGGAAAGAGAGAATATGTTAGTTGAGAGTTCAGAAAACAGAATAGAGCACAATTGAGCAGTAAAATGAACAACTGAGATGAGGAGTGGCGGTGAGAAAAGCAGGAAGAAGACATACGTCGGGGATCACACGGTGGAAGGAAGAGCCAGCGTAGCCGAATCCCTTCTCGCCGGTGGCAAGAGCGCGGAAGTTCTCGGTGGTCTTGGGGACGATCTGAGTAGAGTACGGTCAGAATTGATGCTGATGATAGAGAAAAGAAGCAGAAGAAGAGAGAAACATACGTCGTCGTAGAGCTTGAAGACGATGCGTCCGAGGGGCTGACCTGGATATGCGAACACCGCGAGTCAGAAACAGCGCCAATCAACTACAGAAAACAAAGCAGAACAGTACACACCGCCGGCAGAGGTGTCGAAGTAGATGGTAGTCATTTTAGAAGCGGCAGAGGAGGAGTAGAGTCTGGTGAAGAGCGAAGAAGACGTTGATCTGAAAGTCTGGCGGGCAAACATTTTTTGGCGGAATTAAATACAAATTTTTCTATTTTTCTATTATTGCGGTGCACGTGATGTTATGCAGTTATGCTTTGCTACCAGACCCATTGCTAATGCTGATTAAGTGATGACATAAGCACTGCTGCCCCTGCTCCTTTGCCGCCGCCGCCGCTGCCTCCTCCTCGTCGTTGTCGTCGTCGGATTGTCGTCTTAGAAACCACCTCTGCTCCTCTTCCCCAGCTCCGTACACTGCAATGAACGCCCAGCGCGTGCTCAACAACCCGAACATCAAGGGCCTCAAAGATGCTGTCCAGAACATCTCGCTCTACGACGTCAAGGCCTACGTCCGCAAGGCCCAGAACGGTATCTCTCTTGCCGACATCCGACTGTCTTCTTATCTAACCGTTATGATGCTCTAGTCATGATGAACTTCTCGCCTATGGAGGCGAAGGTGTGTATCACTTTATGTCGTGTGCTTTCTTGTGTATTCCTGCTAATCTTCTACAGGTCCGTGAAGCTACAAACAACGAGCCCTGGGGTGCCAGCGGTTCCCTCATGCAGGTATCTCTCTTCGTCTCTGCTCTCCTATCTCTATCAGTTCTGTTCTAACTCAATTGCATTCTAGGAAATCGCTGATGGTACTTTCAACTAGTAAGCTCACATCTACATTCTCTATCATCCTCAGCTGACTAACCCCCTCCAGCGCGAGCTTCAACGAAATCATGCCAATGATCTACAAGGTATGCCTCTCCTTCTCGTCCAATCTTTCTCTAATTCAACATACTAACAATATTTAAGCGCTTCACTGAAAAAACCGCATCCGAATGGCGCCAGATCTACAAAGCGCTGCAGCTGCTCGAGTTCCTCGTCAAACACGGCTCGGAGCGCGTAATCGACGACGCCCGCGCCCACCTCGCGACGATCAGCATGCTGCGCTCGTTCCACTACACAGACTCCAACGGCAAAGACCAGGGCATCAACGTGCGCAACCGCTCGAAGGAGTTAGTTGCTCTTCTCGGCGACGACGAGCGGATCCGCACCGAGCGCAAGAAATCACGCGCCGCTAAGGACAAGTACGTCGGCGTTTCCTCGTTCGAGTCTGGTCTCGGCGGCGGGAGCAGCAGCAGCAACAGCGGCGGATTCGGCGGCACGGGTAAGAAGTATGGCGGGTTTGGAAGTGAGTCGGCAGAGTATGGCGGGTACAGCGGTGGAGTGTACGGTGATGGCGGTGGGTTTGGCGGGGAGAGCAGCAGCCGGGCGTATGCCGCGCCTTCGCGCAAGTCCGGGCAGTTTGAGGAGTACGATGCTGGTGGTGAGGATGATGCTACTACGACTGCATATGCTGCGATTTCGCCTCCTACGGGTCAGCAGCCGGCAAAGGCCAAGGCTCCTGCGGTTGATTTGTTTTCTTTTGATGATGACGATAATGGGAATAGTGTTTTGGCGGCTACTCCTCCTGCGTCGCCAGCCCCTGCTGCTGCTGCTTTTGCTGCTCCCGCTGCTGCTGCTGCTTCATCGTCTGCGTTTGATGAAGACTTTGATGATTTCCAGTCGGCGACTCCGACGCCTACTTCACCCAAGCCCCAGGCATCAGCGGCGGCTAGCATCACCGGTTTGTACAATCAACCTATGCAGCAGCCGACGATGACGATGCCTTCTTACGCGCAGCCGAGCTACGTGCAGCAGCCGCAGCAGTATAGCCAATTTGGTCAGTTTGCTGCTGCGACGGCTGCTGCGCCTACTACACCTACTCTTGCGACTACGACCAACATAAGCGCTACGTACCAGACCGCGACTGGACCAAACTACAACATCAGCGGCTTCTCGAGCGGCACGTCATCATTCACGCCCGCGTCGAGCGCAGGCAATGGCGCTGCAGCAGCAGCAAAGAAGAAAGACGACGTGTTTGGCTCGCTGTGGTCGACTGCCGCGTCGGGAGTGACGAAGAAGTCTGGCGCGAATTCGTCCGCGTCGTCGAATGTGAGCATGGCGAAACTCGCGCAACAGACGGCGACGGCGGGGATCTGGGACCAGGCGAGGAGCAATAGCTCGACGTCGACGGTGCCGACGCTGGCGAGCAATGTCAATAATAATAACAACAACTCTGCGTCTGGGTCTGGGTCTGGGTCTGGTTCTGCGGCGGATGATTTACTGTTGTTGTAGATGCAGAGGAATGTTATTGTGTATAGAAATGGTGTAATGGGAATTCTGATTTGTGTAATTTTCTTTTGTTTATGAATGACATTTGTTTTCATTTAAAGTACTGTTATTAGATATTATTACTAGGAGGTAGAGACAAAAAGGTAATTACATAGTTAAGAAGAGCAAGAACGGCAAACACCCTGCGATAAAGAAACCAAGAATAGGAGAGAGAATATGTAAGTGCGTCAAGATGAAGAAGATAAAAAGATAAAGATCAGAAAAGATCAGCTACTCCTCTATGTCTTCCCATGCGTCGTCGTCTATTGATCTATCGTTGCCTTTCAACTTCTGGTCGTCATCAAGGCCGTGGCTGTGGTGGATGTGAGAAGAAGGGACGTCTGCATGATTCGCCATGTCTTCATCCGGATTAAACGCGTCGCGCTGGATGATCTCGACGTATTCCTCCGGCACGAGCCCAGACTCACCCGTAGCCGGGTCCTGGGCAACAAGCCACCCCTGGCCGTGCCGGTACGAGATCCAGATGATCTGGCCCTCGCGCAGGGCGACCTCGTTGTCGTTCTCGGGGACAAAGTCAAAGAGCGCGATTGCGCGGCCGTGGATCTCGTCCTCGGCGGAGGCGACGGAGAAGTAGTACTCGCGCTCGCCGCCGGCCGCGGTGGAAATCACGGGGGAGGAGAGGTATGCGTCTTCTGCGAAGGGCGGGCCGTCGGGAGCGAGTGATGCTGGTGCTGTGGATGAGGGTATTGGTGCTGTGGGGTCGTAGCTGTAGTCGTAGTTGTTGCTGTTGTTGGTGTTGGTGTTGCTGTCGGTGGAGTAGGTAGATGCAGAGGTCGACTTGTCGGCTGAGTATGAAGGACTGCTGCTCTGATCTGAGGCCAGTGGTTCTAGATCAGGAGGTTCTTGCACCTCAGCGGCGGGCGGGAGGGGCCCGGCGTGGAGAGGGTGGAATTGGGGGTAGGCAAAGTCGCGGACATGGAAGGCGGGGAGGGGTTGGCGGAGGGTGCAAGGACCGCAGACGCACGGGTCGAGGGGGGGTGATGCGAGGTGTGAGGGGGGTGGTGGTGATGCTGCGGTGGTAGATGTAGTTGTAGATGTAGGTGCCTTTTGGCTGTCGATGTGGGCAGAAGGCATAGTGGACCGGGACTGGATCATGACATCTTAATTGACGGAGATCTCGCTGCTGACTGCTTGAATAGAATAGAAGACAATACAATACAAAAGCAGAAGAAGAGCGGAACAATGAAGCAAACAATAATTCGTGATCTCGGCATTCAGCGGTCGGCTGCAGCCCCCTCCGCGAGAACAACCCTCGCCCTGAATCACGTGATATTAAACCGAGGGCAGGGGTTCGAGTCGAGGGCAGCTCAAAGTTCTCAGCGGCCGCGGTCTTCTCTCCCGCACCCATCCGCCTTCCCGCACCTCCTCCGCCTTTACTCTCATCTTCCTATTCACACAATGGCCCAGCCTGCTATCTTTGGTTCTTTCCTCGGGTGGAAGAAGTACCCGACCCCAATTGGTGCGTATCTCTGAGAAGTTGAGGAACGAGCGTGGTGTTTTCTGTCTGGGGGCTCTCGGGACATTTGGGTGCTAGGGCTCTGATTGGCTGGCATGCACCAGAATCTTCCTCGGACTCGGACTTGATCCACGACCTGCTGTGCTGCGACTGTGTAGAGGTTGTGGTTGTTGTCTGTTTGTTTGTTGTTGGTGTTTGTTTGGCTGTTGGAGTTGGTTGCTCGAGGGTCGGAATCGCATAGCAGAGTATGCAGAATATGCAAAGAGGACATCTGCTAACTACTATTCATCCTACAGTCAAGCCCCTGTGGCCCTTCATGGTCGGCGGTAAGCTCTTCATTATCTCTGCAGTTCTCTGCAGTGTAGATTACATTCATTGCATTGATCAGTGCTAACAGTACACCAGCCGCCATTACCTACTACGCCATCGGCAAGGCCGCCGATGTCATGATGGACAGTGAGTCTTCTCTTAATCATCATCATCATCATCATCAGCTGTCAACCAGCACAAGAACTTCTTCTAACATCTATATCTGCAGCCGACGAGTTCAAGAACGATCCTCGCAACCCCAAGCTCGCCAAGGGCCACTAAACGATCCATTCAATCCGACGACAATCATCGATACCGAGCCAGAACACGTCAGAGAAAGATGAGCGATCAAGTTGTCTTTTGCTATTTCTGGGAATGAGGTGGTTTTGTGTGGGTGGTTTAGTTGTTTTGTCATATATAAAATACTAGAGTTTCATAGTCATTTCTTGCGCAGAGGAGGTCTAGTATCTGATTGTAGTATCTGAAGCTGCAGTATACACCCATTCTACTTTGCCAGTCTATTCCACCTATGATAGAACAAACCATGAAAGAACAATCAGAGATCACAGAAAAGAACCCAGATAAATGCACGCTCACACACTGATCTGCAACGAGATACTCTACAAAAGCAAAGCAGAGTACTGCGAACGCACGTATCTGCAGCCTGATCCAGGCTGACCTCTACCTCACTACTCTTTCCATCTCGACTCACTCTATTTCGCATATTCATAAATAAAAGGATACACTCAGCTCTTCGCAGATAGAGTGCATATGTTATAAACCCGCCTGCGAATCTCGTCTGCGAAAAGACCTACAGTCAACCACGAATCACAGCACCTTCCTCCACTCCACCACTTCACCTCCCCAGCATCTACAAATACTCATCCTCCAATCAACCATAACCCACCTCCCAACCAAATCCACAGCCGCGATAAACCCTCTTTCATCAGTTTATGGACGACCCGCGCGTCTCGAGGCGAGAAGCAGGTTGTGAACCAACCGTCGTGTGAGCTCCTTCGAGATCTGGACCGAGAACGGAAAGGATGCGGATCACAACGCGTTACCGTCGCGTGTAAAAGTCTGTCGTCGAGTCATGTAAACATCTTGCATCTAACATGTAAACAATGTGAATATTCAATGATTGTTCATGAACAGTATCTGGAGTGAAAGATGTTTGTAGTTGAGAGATGGAGAGGGATTGCTTGCTGCTGCCTCCTCTCACCCATCTTCACCACATCACCACCACCACATCAGCACTACCATCTCGCAGCATCTCGCAGTCGAACAGTTTAATTTCTATTGCTCTATCATATAACAAACAAACAAACAAACAAGCAAGCAAAACAAACACCTATTTCTCATTTCATTCATCCATCCATCCATCCGTCCGTCCATCCGTCCATTCCCCATCCTTTCGTTTGTCTTGCTTTTTTCACAGTCTTCTTTCCAGTGTATGTCAACAATAGGCTCCTGCTCTCGACTTTTCTTTTCCTTTGCAGCTCCTAGCCATTGTGTAGCAGCAACTGCAACAACGCACAAGAAAACCTCAATCTCTTCCTCTCTCTCAATCCACAAGACAAACAACCAGAATACCAATCATAGCACCTTTTTTTTTCTGTTGTCAACTCACATATAGTAAACATAAAAGAAAAGAGCATGGAAAACAGAAAAATACAAAAGTTCACATCAAATTCGTTTTTCTTTTTCATAAAAAGTTTTGAAACATACAGTAAAACAATAGTAAAACAATAGAGCCCGATGTTTCCCAGAAACAAGCATAAAGAGTAGAGCAATCCGGAAACAAAAAAACAGCAGATTGTAAAGAAATGAATAACCACAGTTAGAAACATGAAAGACAGCACACAATAACCCAATAAAATAACACTAGTAATATCACAAGTAAAATACACAATCAAACATCTTCTCTTATTAACAGAAGACATTCTCACTCGCCGCGCTTGGTCTCTTCCTCTTTCAGAATCCGACACAGCCGACTGAGACTGATATTCGCCGCCCGCCGCCGCTTCTCAAGCTCATCAACCGCCTCGTTCGCAGTCATATTGCGCGTGCGCATCATCCACTCGATCGTGCGCACCAGCACAAGCCGCTGCGAGTAAAACTTGCGCTCGGCAACCTCGCTCCGCCACGACGCCCGGAACGTCGCGTTCAAAGCCTGGATCGAGGGCGAGCCGTTGATCCCGACCGTCCATTCCTCCCAGAACCGGTCGACAGACTGCGTGCTCCGGTCCATCTTGTACTGGCCCGATATTGACATCCCCGATCGCCGCCGCGAGCCCGTTCCATTCCCGCCCGCGCTCGCGGACGACGACGTCGTCGCCCCTAGCGAGATCCCGCGGATCGGCGTCACCGGCGCGGAAACGGTCTGCGCTGCTGCGGCGGCCGCGGCCGCGCGCATGTTGAGCAGGATCGGGTTCTCGAGATGCGACGACGAGATTGCGTGCATCGCCGAACTCGCGCCCGTATTAGACTGGTCCTGCGCCGCGCGGTGGTGGTCCTGCTGGTCGACGACGTCCATCGCGTCGCCGAGCATGCCCTGCGACGCTGTGCCGTTTGCTGCCGCGGCCGATAGCGCGAGCAGCCGCGGATCATGTAGCTCGACGTCGTTCGCGGCCAGCAGTTGGTGCGTCGGTATGCCGGCCCCTGCGATATCGGGATCGACCAGGCCTGCGCTGGCCAATCCCACTGCCCGACGACGGGATTGTTGTTGTTGCTGTTGTTGTTGTGCCTGCTGCTGTTGTTGCGCCTGCTGGACTTGCTGTTGCTGATGCTGTTGCTGTTGTTGCTGTTGCTGTTGTTGGTGGAGGTGGTGGTGCTGCTGCTGCTGCTGATGTTGTTGCTGCTGTTGTTGCTGTGCCTGCTGCTGATCCAGGAGGAAGGACGCCTGACGCGATACCGCGTTGCGTGCCGCCGCGAGTCCATCCAGCGTTCCCGGCGCGACCCCGCGCTGATCTATGATGCGCTGGATTGCGTCGACTTTTGAGTGCAGCTGCTCGAGCGATTCGAGGATCTTATCGATCTGCGGATCGTACTGCATTGATTTATGCTGCTGCTGTTGCTGTGCTTGTTGTTGCTGTTGCGCCTGTTGCTGCTGTTGCTGTGCTTGTTGTTGCTGTTGCGCCTGTTGCTGCTGCTGCTGGACCTGCTGCTGCTGCTGTGCCTGCTGCTGCTGGACCTGTTGCTGAGACTGCTGCTGCTGCTGCTGGAGTTGCTGCTGCGCGGCCTGCTGGAGCTGCTGCTGCTGCGATTGCTGCTGCTGCGATTGCTGCGACTGCTGCGACTGCTGCTGCGAGGACTGCTGCTGCTGCTGCTGCGCGGGCTGCTGCTGCTGGTAGCCCTGGCCGAGCAGGGCCGAGTGCTGCGCGGGCGGCGGCGCGGCGGAGACAACAACGGACGCCAGCGCGGAGTCGCTGTACTGAGCAAAGTCCGCCATTGCGGAGGAAGACGAGGAGGATTGCGCCCGGGAGGAGTGGAGGAGGGGAGCCAGGTGCTGTTCACGGCCGGGGTTCTTCGCGGATGATAAGTTCAGAGCGCTCACAAAGCTGGGCGTCCGCTCACCGCTCGGCTCACCGGTCACAACTTTAGTCACACGTGGTCACACCCGCGTCACAACTAGAAGCAGTCACACTTTAGGGCGCAACCCTACACTCCGCCTCCGCCCTCCACCGCTCACCGCTCACCGCCGCATCACCGCCTGCTCGTCCACGTCCATCCAACCCACCGCCATCACCAACAACCCTCCGTCAACACTCATCCCCCACAGACATCACAATGGAGAACGATAAGGGAGTCCTCGTCGAGCTGTACGTCCCCCGCAAGTGCTCGGCCACCAACCGCATCATCAAGGCCACCGACCACGCCTCGGTCCAGCTCAACGTCGCCGACGTCGACGAGTCCGGACTCGTCATCCCCGGCCAGTACACCACCTACGCTCTCTCCGGTTTCCTGCGATCCCGCGGTGAGGCCGACGACTCGCTCAACCGTCTTGCCCAGCGTGACGGTCTCCTCAAGAAGTATGCCAAATGTGTTAGGAGCGAGATACGTGTATGAAGAACAAGCAATGCTAACTCATCTACTTTTTCAGCGTCTGGTCCGCTCAGCGATAAATCACTCGTTTCTTTTGCCGTACGTCGATTTGGGAGTGTTCATTTAGAAAAATCACGAAAGAAAAAGATCAAAGGGCAAAAAAAAAGGATATATAATATGAACCAATAAAATATATATTCAATGGTCTATCGCATCCCCATCCGATTCTCTATCTCTCTTTTGTCTTTCTTCTTTTCTGTTTTGGTTCTAAACAGTGCGCTTTGAGATTAAAGAGAGAGAAAAGTTATTTGTACATTTTTTACGTCGATCTTCTAATTGAAAATTCCATGATTCCATATTTTTTTTTCCTCTTTTGGCTGCTTTCTTACTGCTTTCTTCTTCTGCTTACCGACTACTTCGCGCGTGTTCTGGTTCAAGAAAATCTGCGGCGCTACAGACCGCAAATCTGTCATACACCGTCTTCATAAGCCGTCGAGGCTCTGCGCAGAAGAAGCAGACGGGAGAAGATAGTGTGCGAGTTGGGCTACGAGGATCGTGAGTGTGCATTGACAAGGTCGAGAGTACCCGTTCTCTTATGAGCTCTGTTGGTTCTCTCTGATCTTCCAGTGACCTTGTTCTTCCTCTTCAACTCAACTCTCACTTCCTCTCGCGGTTCTATTCTCTCGCGGTTCTCGTACAGGTTCATGCTGATCCGTATCGTCAGGTCTGTAGCCATCCCGCAGATTTACCACCACCTCCACTTTTCTCAGAACAACGCGCGCTCGCAGTCCGCTCGCTCTCTGCTTACACTGCAGTGCAGCCGGGCGGGCGGCGATCAAGCTCAAGGTAGTCGGAGATCGAACCAGATAGCCTTCTGAAGACTTTTGTCGATAGTAGATCGTAGACTACCCCTCCGTTTGACAAAGGACAGATACGGGCTGCACATACTTTTATTGATCTCGTAGCTACTTTGCATTAGATGATTACTATCAACGCCTCGCTTTCTTTGCTTTCTTCTTCACCCGCGCCTGTCCCGGCCCTGTTTTACTAATCGTACACACGCACCGACTATCGCACCACTCCTTCGTAGCCAACACCACACCCTCACCCACCTCCTCCTCCCCATCCCCGTCCCTTCCTCCCCGCGCAGCAGCAACAAGCACGCCCGCGCGCACAAGGTACTCTGCAAATTCCTCAACCACGATCGGCTCGTACTTTAGTATCTTTAACCACCACGCCCGCGCAGTCTCGGCTGTGCGCACGTGGATCGAGATGCGGTTCATGATCGCGCTTCGGATTTCGGTGGAGGTCATCACTGATGCTGCTGATGTCTCGTCTTTCTTCGTCTGTGGTTGTTCTGTAGTTTCTGTCGAGATCTCGAGATCGACCTGCGATACTGCTGGCGGCGGCGGCTGGGCTCCCGTTCCCATCAGCCGTGAACTGTACTCCACAATCAAATCCACCATATCCACTTTCTTCCGCGGCGCTTTCAATCCCCACGCATTAAGTTTGGCGCGTAGTTCGGCGGCAGGTAAACCCAGCAGTCGTTTCGTTTCTTCATCCCCTTCCCCTGCTGAAGCGAACGGTGGTGGTGGTGATTTAGACCTTGACCCGCTTTCGCTGGATTCGACGCTTTTCTTCCGCCGCTTTGTCTTGCTCTTGCGCGGAGAGGATTCGTTGACTATACTGTCATCAAAGTCGGCTGGCGCCTCGGCAGCAGCCCGCGACGAGTGAAATTCTCGCTCATACCGCAGCACAGGCGACGACGGCGCTCTCAAAGGCGAAGACGACGCAAATATCGAACGCTTCGGAGGCGCTGCTGCTGCTGCGGGCGAAATAGACCTCCGCTGTGGAAATGGAGAGGAACTCAGAAGGAAATTCGCGTCGACGTCGGACGTGTACGCGCCCTCGCTCTCGCTATCTGAGATTTCGGCTTCGTATGTATATTTCGCGTCGGTTCGGACGGCACAGCAGTCGTACTCTGCGTTGTCGGATAATACTATAACTGAATCAGACGACAACGACGGCGACGATAAGGCTAGCGCGTTGATGATCTGTGGGGGTATCTCTTCGCAAGGGGGAATTAGTAAAGGCGAACCCTGCTGCGACGGTTGCGATGGCTGCGAGCTAGGCACCGTCTTTGAATCGTCCTCGTCCCGCCAACCCTCAGTCTCCAGCATCTCTTTTTCTTCAGTTTTGGGCTCGGGACTTGGCGTGCGCGGCACCTCGATCGCATTGCCGCCCGCATGTTCATCCTCGCATGCGCTCCCATCTAACCGTAGACTGATAAACGACATGCTATTAACCACCTCCACCGCCCCTGCCTCATCACGTCTACACCCCGCATCAAACAACCTCAACATCTCACTCTCACACATCATCTCCCGCGCCGCCGCTTCGCAGCACCCAGAGCGAGGAAACATCAGTCTCAGCGCTCGCATCTTTGCGATCGCGTCCTGGGGACATGGAAGGCTTGCGAGGCGCAGACGCAGGGTATGTGCGTCGCGCTCGGATTTCGAAAGCCGGGTGCCTGGCGCGGGGGCGGCAGGCTCTGGGGTGGTGCCTGGTGTTGCTGATGCGGTGGAGAGGGCGATGTTGTGCGCGGTTATTGATCTGCTTGTGCGCGGGAGCGAGGAGAGAGAGCGGACGTTGGGGGTTGGTCTGGGTCTGATTATAGACTATAGATAGACGCGTTAGTTCAATCGAGAGAATATCAGGAGGATATAAGATGATTTTATACGTACTTTTCTAGTAACCGACGTAATCACCTCCATATTTTCCTCGCTTTGAGCACTCGCAAATTTCGACTGCACAGAACTCTTCCTCCGTCTCGCCGTGTTCTCCCGCGCAGGATCACTGTCGCCGTTACTAACCCGCAGCACCGGCCGTCCACCCAAACAACTCGCGCCGTCGTTGCAGCGAAACGCGTCAAGTCGCGAAGCTAGACCTTGCTGGGCTGCTAGATCGTCTAGGATGCCCTGTTGATGGGCGGAGTAAACTGCGCGCTGGACGAACGTGACGGTGGGTTGTTTCTGCGGTTGTTGCTCTTGTGGGTGTTTTGGGGTATGGGTGGATGCGGGGGGGGAGATGTCGATGATGTCGAGGCAGTCGAAGAGGGAGTCGTCGGTGGAATATGACGGTTCTGGGTTGTTGTTGGCGATGGGTGCGCTCTGCTTTCCTTGGTCTGAGGGAGATGAGAGATCAACGACGGCAGGTGTAGATAGATTCTCTTTCTTCGTCTGGCTGCCCTCCGTGTTTGTGGTAGTCGGTTTATCGCCAGACAGCAGAGTCGGAAAGAGATCTATAACCTGTTCTTCTTGTCGCAGCAATACCTCCGTTGTAGCAGTATCCCCGATAGATATCCTCGCACTCGTAGAACTACCGCTGCTGCTACTACTACTGATACTGCATGACATTCCCGGCACGCAGCACTGCTGGAGTCAGTAAACGCGTGCTTTATGTCATTAATTCAGAGAGCGTAGCTGTGTTGAATGCGCTGGTGGATAAAGATAGAGATGAAGACAAGGAGGAGGAGGTTAATTGTGCAGAATTTGGTGATTGGAAAACAAACCCGTCGCGCGCGCATCTTCCAACTTTAACTGTGCCGCGAGCTCTGTTTATTTATTTAACGTACAACAGCAGCTACAAATGATGATTAATGCGGTTGCGATGTAGTTTCGTTGTGTTTGATAATTTGTGGAGATTATCTGGATTATATTTACTTATTTAGAGGGATCAATTTGAGCGCAATCGCGGAGGATGTCTGATTGAAGGTGGGGAGAATGGGAGTTTTTGGTTATTGCCTTGTATTTGCTTGTCGGAAACTAACCTGCTTTCACCAAAATACACAAAACTGAAATCCTCACTATTTGAAATATTAAACGTAATAAGCAGAAAAGCACAGGAAACTGTGATGCCGTCGCGCGGGTGAGGTAGAAGATCTGCTAAAGATCTGGAATACCCTACTAAACTCTTGATGCAAATCGTATCATTATCAGAACATCCACTATACACAACATTAAAAGCGCCCTGCCCGACGCAAATCTATCGACCTGTCCAAACACTGTTCATTATCCGGTCCTAAAAACAATCTACTCCTCTCTACTCTATAAAACCTCCCTACAACTCCACACACCCATCCGGCACCACACAATTCTCCCTCTTCCACGCCGTTTCCCAAATCGTCTCCTTCACCCCTCTATGCACATGATCCACCGCGTCGACCGCCCACAAAACATCAAGATGCTCGTACTCATTAATCATCTCCGTCTTCACCACCACCACGTCCGGCTCCGCGTTCTCCAGCCGCTCAATCAGCCGCTGCCCGTCCACGAGCGAGTCCCTGCCCGCGACCCAGAGCGCGACCGGCGGACACCGCCCGTCGAACCATTTCTCGGCCGGGTCGTCGCGCGGGAAAATACACCGCCGCGTCGCGAAGCCGTCTTTGCCGAGCCACCACCGCATGCTCTCGGCGCTGATGTACACGGGCGAGAACTGGAACATGCGGCCTTCGAGGGCTTTTTCCCAGCGCTCGTCGGACCAGTCGAAGAGGAAGTGGAACATCACGTAGGAGCAGAATGTGAGTGCGCGCGTGGGAAGCAGGAGACGGAGGTCGATCATGGCGGGGATGAATGCGTGGATTCCGAGGAAGGCGTGGTAGATTGAGTTGGGGAGATACCTCATGAACTAGAAGAGTCAGCTCTGTAACATAGTCAGAAAGATTTGCTAACCTACTTTGAAGAAAGAACGGTCGACGAGCGGACCAGCGTACACGGCCGGCGAGAGCGCGCAAAAGACCGAGATCTTGTTCCCGAGTTCAGGGATATGATACCGGCTCAGGGCAAGAAACGTTTGCGCGGTGCCTTGGGAGTGGCAAGCGAGAGCAATCTTCGATACGTGTTAGCACAGTATACATATTTTATTATAGTTATAGCAGCCAAGTACCTTTTCATAACCGGTCTGGGATTCGATGTAGTTGACGAACGCGGGGAGATCTTTTGTGCCCATTTCGCGCACGTCCCAGTCCTGAGTAGAGATTAGTTTCTGTAGTTGTAATCAGTCACAAGGTGAGAGGGCTACTGACCCACATGCGAGGATCGTTATACGAATATTTGACATGCTTGTGATTGAACCCGCACCGATTGTTTCCTAGCCATACGTCGTACCCGCTTCACGTTGTTAGCGCACTACTCAGATCAAAGCACTACTCAGATTAAAGAGACAACATACGATTTGCACAGATAAAAAGCCAAGCTGTCCTGCTCATTCACGCAGAATGCACCCGCGCTCTGCAGCAAGCCATGGATGAGCAAAACAGGATACCGCTGCTTCAACTGGTCCTGCGACAGAGTAGGATCTGTAACTCTATACAGCTGCAAGATAAACCCGTCATCTGTCGTGACCTCGAACTGCGACACTTTCAAGCCGATCAGACCGGCGTAGTATCCGATATCGCGCACGACTTTATGGTCTTTCTTTGTCCGCTGGGCCGCGCGCTGCCGCTCGATTGTGGCAAACGGACGGCGGGCGGGCGGACCGCCTGTTGCGCGTACGAGGAGGTGTTTGAGGTTTTGGAGGGCGTAGGTGAAGATGGCGGCGGTCATGAGGGAGCCGAGGAAGGAGAAGGAGAGGATGAAGGAGAGGCCGCGACGCGCGTAGCAGGATAGTGATGAGAAAAATGTGGGTTCACCGAAGCGAGCTGCAGTATGTCAGTAAATGAGAGTAAAAAAAGAGCAGTAATGAACGTACATGCTCTGATGTTTTGCGTAATTCCACCATTGGGACTGCTGCTATTCACCAAATTCCTCAGCTCGACGCGCACTCCACTCGTACTCGACATGCGCCGTCTGCCCGCCGGAGAACCCGGACGCGGCGTCGTCGGCAGCGACAAAGACGCAGCAGCGTTCGTAGCCGAATACGACACGTTCAACCGGAACGAGTTGACGCGTGAGACGGACGACAGCGTCGGTCGCGTGGTGGCCGAGGCAAGACTTGTCCTGCTCGCGGTCTTTTCGAGAAAGGACTGCTGGCCCACGTGAGCGAGAGTCGCTTGCTCGCGAACTACTGTTGCTGAGGCCATCGCGGTGCTCTGAGTAGCGGAGAAAGCGCGAGGAGGCAGCGGGGGGAGAAGTGGTGATCGTCGAAGCGGGCGGCGGAGGGCGAAGCGTCGGCGCGGCTCGTCACGGGTCCGGCAGTGAAATTACCTAATTCGGAAGTCGGCACCATATTCCGTCCGGGCTGCTGCAGACTGTTACTATTCTACAGTAGTTTGTAGAAGAGAAGTATTGTGATTGTATTTTGTTTTTGCGCGTGTGTTTTGTCTGTATGTCGTACTTATAGATACAGAAAGTACCAGTTGCTGCTGAAGTGGTCATGCTGTAGGCCTCTTTGAGCAGATATTCTCTATTACAGCACTATTCTCACTTCTCAACACTCCACTCCATCAATTGCCCCGAATTACACTCACAAATAACACAGTCTGAAAGATAAGATCCACCACCATCCCATCCCATCCCATCATCGTCTGCTCACAAGCCACATTACCTAATCCTCCAACAAAGTTACACCTAACCCGATGTACTGCGGAATAGGGTTCTGCACAGGTTCTCGCATGGAAACATTATTTGCGGGATTCGGTGGGCAAAAGACGCCTGATTCTGGGTGGAATCAGCGGGCGAAAGCGGATGGGTTTCAGGCACAGGGCTGTAAGGTGCTGGCGCGTGGGGAGGAGGGTGTGGATGGTGGTGGGGGATGTGGAGTGGCTGCGACGGCGGAGAGCGATTGGCGTCGTTAGCAGTCGACTAGCAGAGCAGCGACCGACACTGCGAGCAGAGGAAGTACATTCAGAGCATTTTAGCAAGTGTTTATACACAAATAGTCGCTGATGAGGTCAAAGTAGTGGATGAGTATTCAAGTGTAATAAATGCACTACTGTTTATGTAGTTATGGCACAAACCACTTAAACTTCCACACAACCGCCGTTGGGAGAAAAAAATCTGAGCGTAAATTCTCTGAATCTTTGATCTCTGAACATCCTCCTCAACTCATCAAACATGGTGAAGTCATACCTGCGGTTCGAGCCAGACGCCTCGTTTGGCGTCATTGCCTCGAATTCAAATCTGCTCTGGCTGCCATCTGAGTCATCTGCCGGCGAAGTCGTCACGGGCGCGCTCGAGAGCGTTATTGGCTGGGACGTGAAGAAAGGCGAGAAGCAGTTCAAGTGGAACGACATTGATATCAAGACCGAGGTGAGTTGTCTCGCGAGCTATGACTCTGACATCTTTGCGGTCGGATACGCCGACGGAACGATCAGGGTGTGGGACGCAAAGACAGAGACGGTCGTCGTCAGCTTCAACGGCCATAAATCTGCCGTCACGGTCCTCAAGTTTGACCAGTCCGGCACGCGGCTCGCGAGCGGTTCTCGCGACTCAAATATTATCGTCTGGGACTTGATCGCCGAGGTAGGGCTCTACAAGCTGCGCAGCCATAAAGATCAAATCACAGGGCTAGACTTCATCTACCCCCCGGTGAAGGTCAAGACCGAGCCTGAGGAGGAGGCGGTCATGCAGGTCGACGACGACGGCGAGGCTGCGATGGGCAAATTGCTCGTGAGCGTGTCGAAGGACGGGTTCATCAAGCTGTGGGATCTGACTGCGCAGCACTGCATGGAGACGCACGTCGCGCACCGCGGCGAGTGCTGGGCCATGTCGACGCGAGTCGACGACGAGTCTAAGACGGTTGTTGTCATGACCGCCGGCGGCGAGTCTGAGCTGCGCGTCTGGCACATTGACGTCGACGACGATGCTGCTCTTACTGTTCGCGGGAGTGATAACCCCCGAGTTGCTCTGCAGGGTGTTTTGCTGCGACAGAGCAAGGACCGCGCGGTCACCGTTCTCTTCCACCCGTCTGCGCCGTTTGTTGCCGTGCACGGGACAGATCGAGCGGTTGAGATCCTACGGATCCGCACGTCGGCAGAGGTGCACAAGTCCGTCGCCCGCAAGCGGCGGAGACGGAAGGAGAAAGGCGGCGACGTCGTGAGCGAGAACGAGCCGTCGGAGAGCGACGTGCACGAAAAGTATGTTCCCTACGTGATTGTGCGCGCGAGCGCTCGCGTGCGGTCGATCGACTGGGCCTCGTCGTCGGGCGAGAGTCTTCAGTTTGTAGCCTCGCTCGCGAGCAACAATGTCGAGATGTACTCTGTCAGCGCGCCCGCGGATGTCAAGAAGAGCAAAGGCGAGCCGCCAGAGTATAATCGGACGTATGCGCTTGAGCTGCCTGGACATCGGACCGATGTTCGGGCGCTGAGCGTGAGTTCGGACGATGGCATGATTGCGAGCGCGGCGAATGGGAGTATGAAGATTTGGAATGTCAAGACTACAAACTGCATCCGTACTTTTGAGTGTGGATATGCTTTGTGCTGCACCTTTCTTCCGGGAGACAGTATTGTGAGTGCCTCATTTTTTGAGCTGTGTTGGTTGATAGTACTAACTCTGGATAGATTGTGGTTGGAACAAAAGAAGGAAAGATTCAACTGTTTGACGTCGCGAGCTCTACGCTGCTAGAAGAGATTGATGCGCACGAAGGTGCGCTGTGGTCTCTACAAGTGAGTGCAGACGGACGAGCACTAGTAACAGGCAGTGCCGACAAGACGGTCAAGTTTTGGGAATTCAAGGTCGTGCAGGATACTGTTCCGGGCACGACGCGGACGGTGGCCCGGATGTCGGTCAAGCACCGACGAACGCTCGAGCTGAGCGAGGATGTACTTAGTGTCCGCCTTTCTCCCGACTCTAAATACGTTGCTGTTTCGCTGCTCGACAACACAATCAAGGTGTTTTACATGGACTCGCTCAAGTTCTTCCTCAATCTGTACGGCCACAAGCTGCCGGTGCTGTCGATGGACATCTCGTGGGATTCGAAGCTGCTGATCAGTAGTTCGGCCGACAAGAACATCAAGATCTGGGGTCTCGATTTTGGCGACTGTCATCGGTCGCTGTTTGCGCACGAGGACAGTATAATGGCGGTGGAGTTTGCCGCGCAGACGCACAACTTCTTCAGCGCGAGTAAAGACGGGCTGGTCAAGTACTGGGACGGCGACAAGTTTGAAAACATCCAAAAGCTGGAAGGCCACCGCGCCGAGGTGTGGGCGATTGCGGTCGCGCCGTCGGGCGAGTTTGTGGTGTCGGCGTCGCATGACAAGAGTATCCGGATCTGGATGCAGACCGAGGACCAGGTGTTTTTGGAGGAAGAGCGCGAGCGCGAGATGGAGGAGCTGTACGAGGCTACGCTTGCGGGGTCGCTGAGCACGGGAGATGAGAACGGGGATGAGAAGGAGGCAGACGAGGTCACGACCGCGGGCGGACGGCAGACGACGGAGACGTTGGTGGCCGGCGAGCGGATCGCGGAGGCGCTCGAGCTGGGGATTGCGGATCTCGAGCGGCCGGCGGAGGGTGATAGGAACATTGTGTTTACCGCGCAGGGCGGCATCAGCGCGGAGCAGTACGTGCTCGGGGTGGTTGAGAAAGTACGAGCCGCGCAACTGCAGGACGCGCTGCTGCTGCTGCCGTTCGACAAGATCGTGGGTCTGCTACGGTTCGTGAGTCTGTGGGCCGAGCACGGGTGGAACGTGCCGCTGGCGACGCGGGTGCTGGGGTTCCTGGTGCGGATGTACTACAAGCAGATTGTGGCGAACGAGGTCATGCGGCAGACGCTGGACGCGGTGCGCACGAACCTGCGGGCGGCCGTGAGCAGGCAGCGCGACGAGATTGGGTATAACGTGGCGGGGCTGCGGGAGGTGCGGCGACGGTACGCGGAGACGCGCGAGCGTGGGTTCGGAGAGGAGGAGGAGAGGGTGGTGAGGACGCGGAAGCGGGAGTATGTGACTGTTAACTAGACTGTGGATGTGTTGATATGTTATATGTAGATAGAAGTAGGAAAGAGAGGCATAATAATTACTCTAATAGGCAACTATAACTTCCCCTTTCGGCAGCGAACAATTGCCGTTCCTGTCAAGAGATCCATGCGGGTGTGGCGCACGGAGGGCTCGTGCGATGGTGGCTGTGCGTGGCTGGTGGAACACTTCTCCAGCTCAGAGCCTCCTCTCCTCGCTCTCCTCCTCCTCCTCCTCCTCCTCTTCACCACCCTCCTCCTCCGCTCCAATGCCGTACACTCCGCCGGCTGCGCTCTCGCAGACAGCGGCATCGCCTGTCCTGCACCGTCCCCAGTCCCTCCAGCCGGCGCCCCAGGCCCAGCCGGAGATGCTCCCGCCCGCGCTCCACCCGCAGAGTCCACCGTCGAGCGTGCTCTATCTCCACGGCTTTCTCTCCAAGCGGCCGCCCGCGCCGAAGCTCAGCGAGAGCCGCGCCGAGTTCCTCACCGCAGACGGCCCCGAGAAGCCGCGGCAGGTCGAGCTGCCCTCGCAGCAGAACGGCGCGGGCGCGCTCTTCCCGTCCCACTCGATGGTGGATCTGCGCGAGTCGGAATCAGCTTCGGTCTCGTCGGCCGTTATTTCGGAGGCAGAGGTCGACTCTGACGACGATCGCCCGCCGCGCATGGTCCGCAAGAAGTCCGGCGAGCTCGTCAAGCCGTCGCTCAAATCCAGGCGGCCGTCGTCCGTGCCCTCGACGCCGACGTTCCCGAAAAACGTCCACTTCGACACCCATCTCGAACATGTACGCCACTTCTTGCAGGCCGAGCGCCCCACCGCGGTCTCGAACCCAGGATCGCCCGTGGACGAGACTGAGCTCTACTTTCCCCCCTGGCGGCCGGAGGACGATTCGCCTGAGCCCGACCGCGTGCCCTCGCCGTTTTCCATCTACGACTGGGAGATCCTCCTGCCCAACTTCCCTTCCCGCTATATCCCGCCACTCGACTCCATGGTCTTCACCGAGCGCGTCTTTCTCGCGCCCGACCAGCGCTCGCTCATCGGCCACGTCGCCGTCCGCAACGTCGCGTTCTCGAAATGGGTCGCCGTCAAGTTCACTGTCGATTACTGGAAAACCGTGTCCGAGGTCGCCGCGGATTTCAGCGATCCTATCGCGTCGGCGCTGCCGCATCCGCCCGCGGGCTACGACCGGTTCACGTTCTCGATCAAGCTCGGCGATTTCTCAAAGCTCGAACAAAAGACTCTGTTTTTCTGCGTGCGGTACTCTGTCAATGGCGCCGAGTACTGGGATAACAACGGGGGCGCGAATTTCCAGGTCAAGTTTCGGCGGAAGCACAAGCAGCATCAGCCGGCACGGATCTCGTTCGAGCGCCGGCTGTCGGATTCCGATATCGACATCCCGCTCTCGTTTCTGTCGTCGCCGTCGCCGGCGTTTTATAAACCGCCCCCGCGGCCGGCGATGCAGGATTACTCGTTTGAGTCGTCATACACGCTCCCTGTTGTCTCGCTATCGTCCACCTCCGCAGGTCTGACGAGCAGCGACGGGGGCAGCAGTGCTATTAACAGCAGCAGCAGCGGGGGCCCAAACACAATGTCAAAGATCAAGTCGACGTCGCGGTCGACTACGCCGCCGGAGATCGTGCCACCGGCAGGCCGGCCGTTCACGTCGCGGTACGATTTCCGGGCGTCGCTGAACGCGGTGCTGTCTGCGTCGTCAACCTCATCCTCGTCATCGACCACACAAAATTCATCATCCAACCCATCGTCATCGTCGTCACAGGAGACTATTGTGCCGACGCAGCGGCAGGCGCGAGCAACGTTTGCATTCGGAGGAGGGCGGTTTAGATCGGTGAACGCGTCGCTAGGCGCGGGAGAGAGTAATAGCAACAGTTACAACAACAGCAATAGCGAGACGCCGCCGCTGGAGGCGACGGGATCGCCGACAAAGTACATATCATCGTCATCATCATCATCATCATATCCATATTCGTCTGGGATCCTGGAGCCGACCGCGACGGCGGTGAATAACGGCGGCAGTCGGGGGTTGACGTTTGGTCCGTCGTCGGAGGACTTGAAGCATGTTAATGAGCAGCTGGCTAGTTTACGGGTCGATCGAGAGCGCAATCGCAGGTCACAGCAGAGTCCGGCACAGAGCGAGCAGAGTGAGCAGAGCGAGCAGCAGCAGCAGAAGCAGCAGCAGTACTATGATCCGTCGCAGATTGTGAAGGAGAAGCCGGCGATCGACTCGACTTCGTACCAGGTGTTTTTGGATAACTTTTGTTTTGTACGTATACCCAAGAGAGATTCTAGAGAGGCTGGCTACTAACAGATGTGCAGTTCCAAGGGCCACAGAAACCAGGAAAACAGTCGGCGTCGACATCGCCGGTGGCTACTACACACTCGTCGTCAGTGACGTCGCCAGACATGTCAGTAGCAGGAATCCCCACCACAAGCACGAGTCTGTACGGACGCCTACCCGCCCCAATTGACACAGCGATCGAGGAAGGCGATATGAGGAGCAGCAGCAGCAGCAGCGCGGCGCGGTTCTACGTCGGACGATCGCACTCGCCCTCACCGACGGAGAGCGATTCGCCGTTCGATTCGCCGGTGAAGATGGTTGAGAATGTGGAGGACGTTCGGACGACGACGACGACTGCGCATATCAAGTTCACGACGACGACGGCGGCAAGTAATAATGCAGCAGGGACTGCGACTGCTGCGTCGCGGATCTAGGGAAGGGAAGAAGGGGGGTTTGCTATACAAAATTGTTTTCTTGTTTTTTGTGTTTGTTTGTTGAGTACATCATGTGTTGTATAAAAGAAGGAAGTGTTTGGGCAGGAAAGGGCGCACATGGTCGTTCAGGTTGTTTTACATGATAATGGTTTATTGTTCTTTCTATTCTTCTCATATGTTATTTGCTTCTTATATTCTCTGAAATACACCGCTGCATTTCTTCTTTGAGGCTTTCATTTGCGCGCAGATTAACAAGTTTATGCAATTTAGACTTCCGCACCGCCACAAACATCAGCCCACTTGCTTACATAACATCACGTGGTGCCCTGCCACACCCGGCGGAAGCGGAAGAGGCCGTAGGCCGCGAGACCGAGGACGCCTGCGCCGGCGCCGAGAGCAGCGCCGCGGAAGAGACGGCCTTGGTAGAGCGAGCGCTGCATGGCGACGTGGTAGGGGATGCTCGAGAACGAGACCATGTTGTAGAGCGTGCGGACGTGGAGGCGGGGGAAGCGTTTGTAGAGGAATTCTTCGGTGGACTTGCGGGCGAGGTACATCTTTGAGGACACGGACGAGCGCATTTCGACGTAGTTTTCCATCGCGAGGTCTGAGATTGCGAGAAGGTCTGCGCGCCGGGTGGTGGTGTAGTCTGCGAGGGCGGTCGTGAGCGAGTTTGTCTCTTTGATGTGTTTGAAGAGGACTTGCACGTCTTCAAAACCGCAGTTCATGCCTTGCCCGTAGAAGGGGACCATCTAAAGATATTAGCAGGTGTTGAGATATTGAAAAGAGAAGAATACTTACCGCATGCGCTGCGTCACCGATCAATATACATCTATCAAGGTAATGATAAGGCGAGCACTTGATACTAACAAGCGTTCCCTTTGGATTCTCAAAAAACTGCCGACACAGCTCCTTCTCGCCCACCAACGGCACGACGTCCGGAAAAAACGTATTAAACAAATCCACGACATCGTTCGGATACACGACATCATCAAAGCTCACGCGCGGCATAAACAGCGTGCCCGTGAACGACTTGTCGCTCCCGATGTTGGCAAGACACATCAGCATGAACGTCTTGCACGGCCAAATATGCAGGTGGTTCGGGTCGAGCGCGTAGGTCTCCGTGGTCGTGCCGTCGGCGGAGGTGATTCGTTTCGGGGGAATTGAGATTTCGCACCAGAGCGTGTCGATGTATTTCTGCTCAAAGTCGACGGGCTCGGCGCGCATCATCTGGCGACGGACTGTCGAGTGCGCGCCGTCGGCGCCGACGACTAGGTCTGATTGTACCTCTATCTCTCCGTCTCTATAACTCCTGTCAGCTCGAGTTCTAAAATACTTATAAAGAAGAAGAAGAAGAAGAAAAAGAGAAGAAGACATACTCGGTGCTGAACTTTGATATCCGCCGATCAAAATCACAGTGCACAAGCCGATGCCCAAACCTGAGCTCCACATTCTCCAACCTCTCCGCCGCGTCCAGCAGCACGCCATTCAACCACCCGCGATCAACAGCGTTGATATGCATCCCGTGCACGTCGTACGCCTGCGACGTCTGCCTGCCGTGCCGGTCGTGGATCATCCGTCCGTAGACAGGGACCACGTTCTTCAGGATTTCCGCCGCGAGCTCGGCGGACGCGCCGCGGAGACCTTCGATGCCGCGGTGGGAGAGCGCGAGGTTGATTGATTTCCCGGTCGATGCTGTTGGTCCTTTTTGCTGTAGTCGGGGGTCTAGTTCGTTGGTGTTAGCACTGCCTTTGATGATGCGGGTTGATGATCACCTACCACTACGAAGTTCGTAGAGCGTCACTTTCCAGCCTTCGTTGGCGAAATACAGCGCTGCCAAAGTCCCCACCGGCCCTGCGCCAACAATCGAGACCGTGTGTGCGGGCATCTGTCTATAATTTGTCTATATACAACAACGACAACAACAACAACAACAGTAGCAGCAGCGACAAAGACAAAGACTTCACGAAGATCAGGATCGACTTCACTCAGCCCTGAGCCGCAGCATCTCAGCTCCCAACCCCACCGCCTCTGCTCTCCATCACCACACCCATCACCACTCCTCTACTTCTCTCATGACCTCAACAGCCTCCCGCTCGCCCGCGAGCTCGGACGTCCACGCGTCGCGGCGACGACACCCGCCGCTCTACTTCACGCTCATCCACGACACCACCGCCGCGCCCGCAGACCTGATCCTCGACGAAGCCGAGCTGGCAACACAGTCGACCCGCATGCGCACAGCGACGCGGATGCATCATCCGCGACTCCACTATCTTTTCTCAGACGACCCTGATGATCCGGAATACCCCTCGCCGCTCGCATCGGCTACTCAGCACCAGCAGCAACAGCAGAAGCAGCAGCGGGTGCTGATTGTCGATTTCGCGGACGACGCGCAGAGTATCCTGCGCACTACCTCGCTCTCGCCAGAATGGCAAGTGACAAACACAAGCACCTCCGCGCTCGCAATGCGGTCTTCCTCCTCCACCGCGCCGTATCGCTCTTCAACCCCTACTACTGCTGCTGCTGCTGCTGCTGCCGCGGATATAGGCAAGATGCTGACGATCGAGGGCGTCGGTGCCAGCGCGGAGAATTTCGAGGTGCTTAGCAACGTCGTGAAGAAGAAGAAGATGCAGGCGAGTACGGCGGTCCCTGCCGAGACGGATTTGGGGAACGCGTTTATGTATGCCGATTTGTTTAACCAGACGTATGTCCCTCTCCCTCCTTCTCCATCTCTCTATCTCTCCATCTGTTAACAACATATCTCACAGAAACCAACGTCTCGAGTCACTAATCCAACAATCCCCACCCTCGCTCTACACCGACACCCTCGCCCGTCTCAAAACCGAACTAAACCACCTCTCGGACGTTACCCACCCCACCGACAACAGCGCAAATTCACTACACGAAAACCTGGCAAACACAGCTCGCATGCGCGAGTCACTCGCCGCTTTACGCAAGCACTCGCAGTCGCAGTCCGCTTCTTCTTCGTTGCAGGGGGGTGCGTATCGCGAGGCTGCGGAGGAGGAGAGTGAGCAGAGTGAGCAGAGTGAGGAAAGTGAAAGTGAAGAGAGCGAGGAGGAGCAGAGTGAGCATAGTGAAGAGGAAGACGATGACCAGCCTATGTTTGCGACAGAAATACCCCCGACGTCGATTCACCCTTCCCCTTCTCCCTCCGCCTCCCCTGCCAACGACAACACTCACGACATACAGAAAGACACACTCGCTGCCTCGGTCGCAGATTTAAATCTCACACCGGACGATGCTCAACCACATCCTACCACATCCACCGCCCACGAAGACGACGTGCACTCATCCCAATCTTCTCACGAAGACCTAGTCCCTCGCTCATAGACCTCTCCTTCCGCTATAGAGACTACAACACTTATAACATTCTCGGTATTCTTAATACTTATATCGAACGCAAAGCTCTATCATTAATACAAACATACACAAGGAAATTCTCGACCTTAACTCAAACGATCCATAAACATAAAACTAAACTACTCTTCGTCACTCTGTCTCGGGTATATCTCTCTCCAACTCCTACGTCGCCGCATTTCTACGTCGACGCCCGCGGCAACATCGATGGTCTCGTCTGCTGCTGCTGCTCATTCTCAATCTCAGCAAATGGCGCCCGCTGCGCATTCACCTCCGTCCTCGGCAACTTCGCCGGCACGAAATACGCCTTTTCTTTCTTCGGCGTGCCCCCGCTGCTCGCATACTCCCCCATCTGCAACCCCAGCACCGCCTCCCGCAGCGCACCGTACTGGCCCGCGCTCTCGGCAGCGTACTTCGCCACGTCTTCCTTCGCCGCCTCGGAGTCCCGGTGCGCGTCTTCCGCGTACACGTGCAGTCCGCGCCCGGTGTCTTCGACCAACTTCTTCGCGGCCGCGAGACCGTCGTGCACCCCGCTGTTGAGCGTCGTCATCGCGACTTCGTACCCGCTGTGATGCGTCTCGTTCTGCGCGCGCGCCCGCGTGACGAACTCGTCGAGCGCCTGCATCTGCACCGCGAGGTTCTCCTTCTGCTCGCCGACGATCTTGACGGCCTCGGAGTGAATCGACCGCGTGCTCTGCTGGAGCAAGTCCCCGCTCTGCTCAGAAGCGTGGTAGGCCTCGATGATTGTCTGCTTGATGCGCTCTTTATCCTGCGTGATTGATTTCTGAAACTCCTTCTGCTTCGCAAGCCACTCTGTCCCGCCCGCGACAAACTCCTGTCCCGCGCTCGTCAGCTCGTTCTTCGTGCTCGTCATTTCGCCGCACAACTCCGCAACGCTCTGCTCCAGCCGCTCGTTCTGCATCTCTCCAACAGACTTTAGCATCGCGCTCACTTGCGCGAGAATCTGCTGGCGCTCTTCCTCCGCCTTCTTCTTCTCTTGCTCGATCTTGGCCCGTAGTGAGGCGCTGTGGTTGTCGAGCTTGCTGAGCGTGCCTTCGCTGCTGCTCGCCATCGCGGTGTGGATCGTAACCAGCTCGTCGCGCTGCGTGTGCAGACGCTTGTTGAATTCATCAAACATGCCCTTGAACTCTCTACCAAGCTGATTGTACGCCATGGATGTCTAGAAATGTTAGTTCCAATCGCCATACTTCCCCAAACAATATGTGTAGCTCACCTGACTCTGAAAAATCTCGATCTGGTTCATGAGCTCCTGCGAAATCTTCTCGGTCGCATTATTCAACCCCTCGAGCCCCTCGCCAACTTTACTCTTGATATCCTCTCTCAGCACCTTAATATTCTCAAGCACCTGATTCATCTCCCCCTTTGAACTCCCCATCAGCTCCTCCAGATCCTCCTGTTGCTGATCAAACAGCGCCAGCCGATCGTCAATCATCTTGTAGACGCTCCCGAGCTTGGCGGTCTCGCTCACGAGCATACTGCGCACTTTGTCGCCCGAGCTTTCAAAGTACTTGCGCTGCACGTTTGCAAACTGCGACACGCGGCTCTCAAACTGCCGCGAGGCGTCGTATACCATCTTTTGCGAGTTTGTGAATACTTGCAGGTTCGTCTCTGCCAGCTCGCTCTTGCGCTCGATCGTGTTGTTCAGGAGCATGATGTCGGCCGCGGCTTGGTTGACGGTCGACATCAAGGTCTCGGCGGTATGGCTCAGCTCGAGTTCGGTGGCCTCGTAAGCATGGCGCAGATTCATTTCTTCGTTCAGGCTCTGCTTGGTTGCTACCAAGTCGCGCTCGGTGTGGTCAAGCGAGACCTGAGTATCCATCAACTCTTTCTGCAAGATGTTAGTAGCTATCACAAGAGTAAGAAATCACAGAGTACCCACCGAAACCATCTCGAGCTCCTTCTTAGTTTCCAAAGAAGCCTTCATCGTGAGCTCCAACTGCTCGCGCGCCGTCTTGAGCTGCGTCTCCATAACCTCGATCTTGCGCTTCTGCTCCTCGTTCAAGATCCGCCGACTCTCGCTCTCCTCCGTGATATCCTGGTACGATTCCTGCGTGATGTACACGCCGTTCTTTTGCCGGCACGCCACGAGATCGGCCTTCAGCCGCTCAATCTCGAGAATGTACTCCTTGATCAATGTTTTCTTGGACATGACCTGGTTCAGCTGAGGTTTGTTTCTGATGCTTTTCGCGCGACTGGCGTAGTCGAGCGTGCTGATTGTTTCCTCCATGTTCATCTTTGCCGGGCTGACGGTCGCGATTATACACGTCTTTGTCCGGCCACCGAGCGAGTCCTGCAGCAGTCGCGTGAGCTTCGACTCACGGTAGGGAATGTGCGAGGAGCGGTCGACGAGCGCGTTGATGACTCGGCCTAGAGTCAACAGACTCTGGTTAATCATTCCTGCCTCGCGGGCGCGCTTGTTCTCGGCTCCCGAGCGACTGATATTCTCTGATCCGGCAAGATCAACCAAGTTGAGCTTGCCGATGCGCAGATACTCCTCGCCGTTGCTAGAGACCTCTTTGACGTGCACGGTGACGGTGAATACCGTGTGCGAGCGAGAGGAGAGGTCGTTGCATTTAGTGGCCGCGACCTGGCGCTTATGCGAGCCGTCCTGCAGAAGCTTGAGACCTTCGGTCGCGTTCTTGATGAAGGCTTCCTCCATGCCCTGGATGATGATGCCCTTTTTCGCAGTGTCTTCAAAGATCTTGACCTTGCGATCGTCATCTTTCGAGATGAGGTCGCGGAGCTCTTCGTTGTAGAGCTCGATGAAGGAGCACTTGACGGAGTACTCTGACTGCTCGGCTTCGAGGGCAAGAAACATGCGATACAAGACTCGCGGGATGATACCAGCGTCGTTAGCAAACGTGCCATAGTTATCCGACACATCACCAGACATGGTATATGTTTTTCCCGTTCCAGTCTGTCCGTAGGCAAAGATCGTACAATTATACCCGCTAAGCGTTTCCTCAAGAATCGGCGCAACAACCTGGTCATAAACCATACTCTGATCCGCCTCGGCGCCAAAGACATGGTCGAACGAGTACGTCTTGTTTGAGAGCGCGATCGGACCGGTCTGGATGGTGACCTCGTGCGCGGACTGCACGTCGAGCACGACGCCTGAGTTTTCGCGCACCTCGCGGTCGTTGCGGCCACGGCAGCGCACGACGACGTGGATGTTTGTCTCTTTGTTTGCGGCGTCGGGGTGGTTGTTCGAGGCGGTGGCGAGCGAGCGGGAAGACGGACGAGCGACGTCTGATGCGGAGGAATTCGAGCAGCGCGAGGATGGTCGTGATGAGCTCTGCTGTTGCTGATCTTTCTTCTTGGCCGCGACGACGTTCTCGGAGTTGCTTCTCCGGGAAGTAGGCGCGGAGGAGATCTTTGATGAGCCGGGCACGATTTCAGAGTTACGGTTGAGTCTGGACGAGGAGATGCTCAGTAGCGGCGCGGTGGAGGGCGGGCGCATGCTGCTGGAGCGGTGCTTTGCTCCTACTGAGAGGAGTTGGGATTGTCTGTTTGTGGCCATCTCAGACTTGACTTGACTCGACTTGACTCGACTTGACTTGAATCGGGAGCTGTCGGGGCTTGTCGTGGCAGCGGTGATGGTAAGAAAGAGGAGGGAAGAGGAAGCAGGGCGGTGTTTACAGTGCGAGCGGGAGTAAACAAAGGTCGCCCTGGCAACGTGCCGCAGCCGGATTTGATATTAGCGTCAACTGCAGCTGACGCGTGTGAGTTGTGGTGTTAACTAAACAGACTGTTGTGGGGTTATGTAAATAGTAAACAAACCTCCGGGCTCATCGTGTCTGTTGCGTTGTAAACAGAAGACTGCATTTGAGACTCAGTGGTCGGCTACATATCCAGACACAGTTCACAGCGCAGATTACAGAATGTCGAAAACACGCATCTCACCCAGCGCAGGAACACCGTCGATAGTCGGTGCGCCGGCGCGAAACAACACGAACCAGCGCGTGGCATCCGGTGCGTTCACGCAGATCAGCCAGGCGCAGATAAACCAGATCAAGGAGTCGTTTACGATGTTGGATAGTGATCGGGATAGTGTTATCAGTCGGGGTGATTTAGAGCAGATGTTGACTTCACTAGGTGTGTCGTTCTTCTTTGGCGGACTGAAGAGTATCTACTAACTTCTTATTCCAGGACAAATGCCAAGTTCAAAAACACTAGACTCAATGATGGCAAGCATGCCCTCCCCTCTGCAATTCCCAACCTACCTAACAGCAATGTCCTCGATCCTGTCGCAATTCTCCACCCGCGAGGAACTTGTCACCGCGTTCAGCGCGTTCGACAACGACGACAGCGGCGCCGCGGACGTGGATGAGCTCCGCGAGGCATTGCTCGAGAACGGCGCGGTCAAGGCGGAGGAGATTGATCGGTGTTTTAAGCCGTTTGTGAAGTATAGTATGGGGAAGGGGAGGTTGATGTATAGGGATTTGGCGGAGTCGATTATTATCTGAGGTTGCAGCAGTTAAATAAGAGGGAAGCTGTATCAGAGAGGGATTAGATATCCGGTTTGGAGTTCAGTCGAGTTGTATCATGTTGACGTTCGGTTATCTTTTTACTTGTTTGGATGAAAATCGAGTTGACGTTGGTTAGTTTGTTTAGTGTTTGGATAATTGAATAATTAGATCGAGTTTATCTTAAAGCAGATGCAGAACGCCAGTACACTGTAGAATCAAACACACACACACACAACAGCTACTCAAGAATACCCAAATTCATAAAGACAAAAAGATTAGAAATAGAATAGTGATACATAACAGTCTAGAGCTTTTCACCAGATATAAGGCAGAGAAAAGAGGAAGAGAAGCTAATTCTCAACAATCAGCTCATCGCTCCCCCAATCCTCATAACTTCCATCCGGCAGATACCGTCTGACAATCAACGGGATCTTCTTCTGCGCCAACTCCTTCATCGCGATCTGCAACGGATCGGTCTCGCCCTCAAGGTCGACCAGCACCGGCGCATTCATACTAATCTGCAACGCACGCGTGCCTAATATCCGCGCCCGCTCGTACTTGGTCATGTACGGCGTCGTCGTGCGTTTGTCCTTCGGGATCGCGAGCTCGCGGTTGGTCTTTTTGCGCTGGCTTTGGTTTTGCTGGTTGATGGCGACGATGTTTGCGCCGTCGAGGTCGTCGTCGATGCCGGCGCCGTTGGTTGTGGCGGTGGGTTGTTTAGATGCTGAACCATCCGCGTCGGTGCCGTTCACGCGGGCGTCGTCGTCGAGGTTGTCGTCTTCGTTGCCGGAGAAGTCGGCGGCGTCTTCGTCAAAGTCGTCGTATGTGTTTTCAAAGCCGTCGTTGAAGCTACTGATAGTTAGACAGAGCACAGAAAGAAGACAGATAGGAATAGACATACGCCTCTCCATCGTCGTCGCCAAAGTCAGACATGTTTCCTGTTGAATAGAATAGGAAGAAGAAGAAATGAGGAGAAGTGGATGGGGAACGGGATCGAGGAGAAGTCGAGAAAAAAAAAGTGAAAGGGTTTGGGTACCAGACCCGCTGTTTGTCAGCGGAGAGTAAGAGTGTGGGAGTAGTAGCCAGACAAAGACAGGGTGGAGGAGGAGAGAATATTATAAGATCTATAGAATACGTAGTGATAATAGGAGGATAGATACATTACAGTAAGAAGAAGTAGAAGAAAAGAGCGAGGAGAGCGCAGAAAGAGAGCGAAAGCGAGCGAAAGCAGAGAAAGTTATGAGCCCTGTTCTCCCACCGTCGAATGTTAACACAAGATCCAGAGCAGAGTAGAGGTTGTTTACTACTGCAGAATAGCAGCGCAGCACGCACGCACAGAGTCTGAGAGCGGTGGAGATGGCAGCGTCTGAGGTTTTGACGAGTACGTATGTGCAGCAGACGGTCGGGTGGAGGGGGGGTGAGGGGGAGGGTGTTGTGGCGAGAAGCGAGTGTGAAAGATATGAAGAGAGAGAAGAAGAAGAGGAGGAGGTGGAAGAAGAAGAGGAAGAAGAGGAAGAAGAAGAAGAGGAAGAAGAAGAAGAAGAAGAAGAAGAAGAAGAAGAAGAAGAAGAAGAAGAAGAAGAAGAAGAAGAAGAAGATCACAGAGACAAAGACAGACAAACATCAAGCAGACCCCGACCAAAATGCTACCACTGCGCCTACGACGGCTGCGGGAAATCCTTCACCCGTCCCTGTCGGCTCGAAGAACACGTCCGGTCTCATACCGGCGAACGACCATTCGCCTGCACGTTCTCCGGGTGCAGCAAGACCTTTCTCCGCGACTCGCATCTGAAAGCCCACGAATCGAGCCATCGGAGCGAGAAGCGGTATGCGTGCACGGCGTGTGGCCATGGGTTCAACACCAACCAGCATCTGAAGAGACATATGCTGACGCATGAGAAACGGACGCCGTATCAGTGTACGTGGGAGGACGGGTGTGAGGCCGCGTTTCATAAGCAGACGCAGCTGCGGAGACATGTGGCGGAGGTGCATACGCATACGAAGCCGTTCCTGTGCAGTGTGGAGGGATGTGGCCGGTCGTTTGGGCAGAATTCAAGACTAAAGGCGCACGAGGTGCGGGATCATGGAGAGAAAGGGTGGTATTTGTGCGGGAGGGCGATGGCAGGAGGAACAGATACAGAGTGCAGCGAGAGGTTTCATACATGGTCTGCGCTGCAGAAGCATATCAAGGCCGAGCACAAGGCGGTGTGCAAGGACTGCGGACTGGAGTTTGCAAAGCCGGGAGCACTACGGCAGCATATGCGGGTGCACACGGAGACGCTCGAGGAGCGGAGGAAGTTTACGTGTGAGGAGTGCGAGCGCGGGTTTACGCGGCGGCAGGCGCTGGTTGTGCATCGGAGGACGGTGCACGGGGGCGAGAAGCCGTTTGTGTGTGGGGTGGAGGGGTGTGGACGGGCGTTTGGACATAAGCGGTTGTGGGCCGCGCATGTGCGGTCGCATGAGAGGATAGAGGAGGGACTGGGGGAGAGAGAGAAGGAGGGGAAGAAAGAGAGACCGCGGAAGAGGAAGAGGGAGGAGGGGGTTATTGATAGGCTTGCAGGGACGGGGTATGAGGATAGGAGGATTGCGTGTGAGCAGTGTGAGTACAGGTTTTGGAGGGCGTATGATTATGAGCGGCATGTGGAGGCAGAGCATCAACGTGGAGATGAGCACGCGGTAGAAGAGAGGATGAGTGAGCAGGGGCAGGTGGTGGATCCTAGTTTGCTGTGATGTATGATAGAGAGTAGATGTGTATGATACTGTATATTATAATGATGGTTGAATAGTTGAATAGTTGAAAGTGTGAACAGTTGAATGTTGATATCAGATTTGTCGTGGCAGATCAAGTCATGATCTGCGCGATGATCTACGTGTTCGAGACCGCTCATCACAGGTGTTTACCACAGATTTCTGTATGCTCTGTATTCTTCTACATATTACCACTACTGTATTGATGTATTTACTACAACTGCATATATTCAATAGTATTGTCACTGTATTGTATAGAACATGACGTCATCCACGTGACTGGGTCCGCACGGTTGCCCGGCTCAGGGACGCAGACCAGTTTGTTCCGGGGAAGCCGATTGTGATAAGTTGCTGCTATTCCTGCGCTGTTTGGCAGAGAGAATAAATAGAATAGAATAGAAAGTAGATAGTTTGTGTGTTTAATTGTATTATTAGAATAATCTTTAGCAGAACAAAGAGCAGTTGTCGCTGTTGTTCTGTTTCTCGTCTTATCTGCGTTCGTTGACTCGAAACGGCTGCTCTTCGGCTCTCGACGCCGTTTATCTTCTTCTTCACTTCCTCTTCTCTACTCCTCCTCCTCCTCCTCTTCTCTTCACCACTCTTCTCCCTCTACTCTACTCTACTCTACTCTCTCTTCTACTCCCTCTCATCTCCTCCATGGCCTTCCTCCGCGGACTCCGCTCCCGCTCGGTCTCGGAGCCCCGCCGCCCCGCCCAAGCAATCCCCCCTCCGCTCCCCCCATCCACCACCACCACCACCACCACCACCACCTCCTCCTCCTCCTCCTCTCCCCCCCAGCAGCCCTTCTACCGCACCCTCTCCGCCCCCCTCGTCGCCCCTCCCCCCGAATACCCCCCGAAGACCCGATCCTCCCCCCTCCCCGGTTCCCCATCGCCCCCCGCGACGAAGAGGGCTGTGAGCCGCTGCCGCCCTACTCCGCGACCCTCGTCCGCGCTGCCGTTCTCTCCCGCAAGATGGAGCTGCTCTCTCCTCTCGAACCCGCTCCTGTTCGCTCCTGGTCCACCGTCATCGTCGTCCTCAACAACACCCAGCTCCAGGTCTACCGCGCGCCGCCGACCGCAACCACCTCCTCCGCCTCAACTCCCCCCTCATCGGCCCCCACAACCACCACCTCCTCCTCCTCCTCCTCCTCGCAGTTCCGCGGCGTCCGCTGGCGTTCGGCCTCCACCTCCTCCAACTCCTCAACCGGCCCTTCCTCCCTCCTCTCCTCCCTCGCTGAACTCCCCATCCCGCTCCTGCGCTCCGGCTCAGCCTCCTCCTCCTCCGCCGCCCACCACGGCTCCGCCTCCGCCTCCGCCGCAAACGATACCATCGACCCCTTCTCCTGCCCTCTCTCTCCCCTCTCTGCTTCTTCCTCTGAGGCTTCTTTATCGCCCTCCTCCTCTGACGCCTCCTCCTCCTCCTCCTCCACCGCGTCCCTCGACTTCCTCCCCTCCGCCCTCCTCGGCCTGCCCGCCGAAGCCGTCTCCCCCTCCCGCCTACTCCGCTCCTACACCCTGCAGTACGCCCAAATCGGCCTCGCAACCGACTACAAAAAGAAGTCAAACGTCATCCGCGTCCGCGCCGAGGGCCAGCAATTCCTCCTCCTCTGCGCCGACCCGCGCGAGTGCGTCGAGTGGACCGCCGCCATGCAGGCCGCCTGCGATCTCGCCCTGCCGCTCGACGAGCGCACTATCCCGCGCTTCCGCTCCATTCCGTCCCGGCGTCGGCGCAGAGTGCTTCCTTCTGCGCGCCACCCGTCGTCGCGGTCCTCTAGACGTGCGTCGGAACCGTCGGCCGCGCCGGCGACGTTGGCGGTGCTCCCGCCTAGACACTCGTCGCTCTCTGCCGCCATTGCCGCATCTGTGTCTTCGTCGACTGCGACTCCTGCTGCTGCTACTACTACAGCGCCGGTTCCTACCACCGCCTCCGAGCAGACGGACCCCGCCTCATCAAATCAGTCGCACCTCGAAGGAGACGACGACGATGACGACGACGACGAGCTCTACTACCGCCGCTCGTCGACCGCCGCAAGAGGCACCGGTGCAAACACCCACCGGCGCACTCACTCCGTCAACGACGACTCTGGCGACGACGACCATGACCACGAGCATGACCACGACCACGACGACGACGTCGCATCGACCCCCATCTCCGGCGGCGTGCTCTCGTCCTCGTTCGGCATGAGCACCTCCCCGTCCTCCAACATGCTCCATCCCGAGCTCTCGATCTCGCCCTCGTCGCAATCGCCGTTCCTGACCCGCGCCCGCCGCGGCTCGGTGCCGTGGTCGTTCACTGCCTACGACGAGGTGATGTCTACCGCCGAGGAAGAGGACGAGAAGTGGGCGCCGCCAGCCCCCACGCCTTCTGCCAACTCGCGCTTGAGATATGCGATTCGGTGTTTATACACCCTGCCTGCGAACGCGTCCTGGGGAGATAAGTTGTTGATGTCGAAGGGCGATCAGTTTATCGTGCGTGAGCGAGTTATTGTGTGATGTGATGTGATGTTTTTTTGTGTGCCTTTGAGTGAGTGTGTGTTTTGGAAAACTGCTTAAATATGAACGACGAATGATTATGTGGAGTTTTGTAATTATCCTGTGCTGTTTCTTTTGCTATTTATTCTTATCTTGTGTCTTTGATTTATTTCTCTTTCATGCCTCTGATTTATTTCTCTCTTATGCCTCTGATGAACAAGTCTCATTCGTTATCCTCGGCGCGATGCTTCCCTCTTCTTTATCTTGTTCATCTTGTTCACGTTCACGTTCACCATCCAGACGACGTTTGCTTATATTTCTTTATATTTCTGGTGTGGTTCATAGATCTCTCTTGTATTATACGTCAATTCTATGTCTTCTCTTCTCTAATTCTTCTAAATACTCGTAGTATTCCTAGATCTTCTACACTACACGAACAGCCTGGCAAGTCGGAGACCGGAGCCGCGCGACCGCCGTCCGACGTCCGACGGTCCGAGGAAACCCTGTTTGGCTGATCCGAACCAACCTCCTCCTGGTCTCTGTTCTATCTTCCTCTTCTTCTTCCCATCTGTTCTCGTCAGTATTCATCTGCTACTTCATATACTACATCGAGAACAGAACAACAATGTTCCAACCCCACAGCCTCCTCGGCATCCCTGCCGCGGGATCAACCTCCTCCTCCTCTGAACCTCGTCGTTCCTCCGACTCGGCGGAAAACCTCCGCCGCTTCCGTTCCCACGAAATGCCTTCTTACTCTGGCACCGAGCATGTTATCGGCAGTGGCACCGCTGACGACTCGAGCGAGTCTGATGGGCTGCCGAGTCCGCCTGTGGTTGATCGAGCTGCTGCTGCTGCTGCTGCTGCTGCTGCTGCTGCGTCGTCGGCGTCGTCGTCGTCGGATTCGTCTGTGGATTCGTCGTTTAGGAAAAGTACGAGCGCGGTTGATGATAGTTTTAGCACCGCGAGCAGTTCTGCTGCGGATCCGTCGACTTCTGACTCCGTGCCTCTTCTCACGAAGCGCGGGAACGAGCACCACCACTCCCTCTCAAAGACGACAACCACCACCACCGTCTCTGAATCCATCGATCTTCCCCAACTCACAATCACAAAAAAGACACTCACCACGAGCACCTCCACGCAGGAGTTTTCAGCCAACGACAAAGCCAAGAAGCAGAAACGCCGGCCCCGGTTCGCAGACCTAAATTTCCAGCCCAGCACGACGATCCTCGAGAACGAGGCCAGCAAGACCTCGATCTTTGCCGGCTTCTACACGCTCTTCTGGCTCGGCACGTTCTTTGTGTTTTTGAAAACAATCTTGATCAACTACCATCGCAATGGGTACATCATGCAGACCCACATCGTGCACATCCTCTGGCGCGACCTGCCAAAGATCGCATTCACAGACTTCTTCCTCTTCCTCTTGACCTTTGCCCACGTCGGCATCCAGAAAACTATCGCCAACCACGTCATCTCCTGGAACGGCGCCGGCACCTGGATCGTGTCAATCTACGAGCTCGTGTTTCTCGGCCTCGCGCTCTGGTGGCCAATGTACTGCGACTATCCCTGGATCGGCCGCGTCTTTCTCTGTCTGCACTCGCTCGTCCTGCTCATGAAACAGCACTCCTACGCCTTTTTCTGCGGCCACCTCTCCACCGTTCGCGACAATCTCGCGCTCTTTGAATCCGCTTTACGCGGACTGCGCGAGGAACCCGAGGACGGCAAGTTATCCGAAAGCCAGCTCGAGCAAGAGCAGAAACTGCTCGACGAAATCACGTTCTGCCACGTCGAGCTCCGGTCCGAAGTCGGCGCGTGCACAAAGTACCCGCGCAACGTGTCGCTGTGCAATTTCTTTGACTACATGATGATGCCGACGCTGGTCTACGAGCTCGAGTACCCGCGCACGGAGAAGATTCGCTGGGGGTACGTGTTTGAGAAAGTCGCTGCTATATTTGGTGTTTTCTTCCTCATGATCCTTATCGCCGAACAATACTTTTACCCGATCGTCATGCACGCGCTCAGTCTGCGCTCTCTTTCATTTGTGGATAAAGCGCGGGAATACCCGTTCCTGCTACTCGAGCTGATGATGCCGTTCATGCTCATGTACCTGCTCACCTGGTACATGATCTGGGAAGCGATTCTCAACGCGATCGCCGAGCTCACGCGGTTTGCCGATCGTAGGTTTTACGGGCCGTGGTGGAATTGCGTGCAGTGGGACGAGTTTGCGCGCGAGTGGAACGTGCCGGTGCATTTGTTTTTGCTCAGACATGTTTATCATAGCAGTATCTCTGCTTTTAAGGTGTCCAAGCACGCCGCTACCTGTGAGTTCCTCCTTCTTTTCTTTTTCTTCTAATTGAGCTGACAGCTAACTTGATTAGTTGTGACATTCTTCATCTCCTCGGTAATCCACGAACTCGTGATGTTTGTCATCTTCAAAAAACTCAGAGGCTACCTTTTATTCCTGCAAATGTGCCAGCTACCGCTCGTCCAGCTTTCCAAATCAAAGTTCATGAAAGAAAATAAGGTCTTTGGGAGTATCATGTTTTGGTTTGGCATTTATACCGGGCCGTCGATGATGTGTGTTTTGTATCTTACTTTTTAGGCGGTGTCTTGCTTATCGGCGGTGTGGATCTTGCTTAGAGCGGTGTATCTTATTTAGACGGTTGAGTGCATGGTGTTTATTTCATATTGAGGTTCAGGTGTATGCAATGCTTTACTAGACTTGGTTTCTTTATTTCATTCAGTTTATTTCATTCAGTAAAGATTTGTACTCTACTACTTCCTCCACGTATCCAACCTCTCCACCCCCTTCGCCACAACCTCCCGCATAACCCCATTCGTCTCCACACAAACCTTCGCCGCAATCTCATAACACTCAAACAACCGCTCAGTCGAGAACATCCCCGAGTTCTCAGACATCAGCAGCCGCTCGACCGCGCCGCCTTTGAGCTCGTACGCGATCGTGTGGGTGGAGGTTATGCTTTCGGCGGAGGTCAGTTTTTCGAGTTGCCGTTTCGTGGGGTTGATTATTGCGGTGGGGGGGAGGTGGTGTATATTATTGTGCAGGCGGAGACGGTGGAGCGCATGGGGATGCCGGCGTCGAGGAGGGCGAGGTAGGCGGCGTTGATAGCAGCCGCGAGCGCGATCCGGTTCTGTAGAGAGTATCAGCATCAGCAGCACAGCTTCACGAGAAGAAGAAGAAGAAGAAGACGTACATGGGTTTGCAGGTCGCCGGATTCGACGATTTGAATGACGAGCTGAATCAGTGTTCGTGGGTTCAGATCAAGGATAATCACTGGCGTCAACGCCTTTCGTATCCGATCTTGCAGGTATTGTTCTCGTGGCGCTATTCTCCCGTCAGCCCAGCCTCTTCTGTAACAGAAACAAACAAATAAAAGAGAGTAGAGACTCACAAGAAAGACCGACATCAGGTCTCAAAACAACCTCCAACGCAGCAGTCGTAGGCTCCTCGTCCCGTTTACTAACCTCCATCGGGCCAGACACCGACGCGAGCAGGTGCGCGCTGCCGACTTTCCAGGACGCGGAGCCGTCTGCGCGGAAGAGGAAGGAGGTTGTTGTCGCGGGTGTTGAGGGGGGTATATCACTTCTGTCATTTTGTTATAAGCTGTTGTTGAGTATATCAGAGATGGGAAGAAGAGAAAGAAGAGAGAAACTGATATAATTTTCGTGCGGCGCGGGAAGTCAACATTTTCTCGTTTACTGCTGCTTATTGTCTTTGTTCTCTATAAGAATATCTTATAGACACAATAGAGAATATACACGACAACGCGTCAATTGCCGTTGTTGGTCTCGATACACTACTCAAGTGTACAGTAAATGGAGCAGCATCCAATTCTGATTCCGCTGCTGGTACGTCCATCTCATCTCCCCCAAGTCTCATCAACACACCACTAACAAACTACCCTCACAGAGCGGAGGCGCGGCAGGAACATGCACGGATCTGTTCTTCTTCCCGATAGATACGCTCAAGACGAGATTACAAGCCAAAGGCGGCTTCTTCAAAAACGGCGGCTGGACGGGCATGTATCGCGGCGTCGGTAGTGCGATCGTGGGGTCTGCTCCCGGAGGTCTGTCTCCTCTACTCTTCTTACCTCTCCTCTGTCTATGACAACTGACTCCTCTCCAGCAAGTCTGTTCTTCCTCACATACGAAGCAATGAAATCATCCCTCCTCCCGCTCTACAAAGCCCATCTCCCGCCTTCCTTCTCAGACAACCTCGTCGAAGGACTAACCCACATGACCGCCGCCTCCCTCGGCGAAATCGCAGCCTGCACAGTCCGCGTGCCCACCGAAGTCGTCAAGCAGCGCGCCCAGGCATCGCAATACTCCTCCTCCCTCGCGGCGCTCAAGTCCGTGCTCGCAAACGACTCTGGCGAAGGGGTTTTCCGCGGCCTGTACCGCGGATACTCTACCACCATCATGCGCGAGATCCCGTTCACGATGATCCAATTCCCGCTCTACGAACGCATGAAACACGTCCTCGCCGCGCGCTCTGGACGGGACCAAGCCAACGCGGCCGAGGGCGCGCTGTGCGGTTCCGTGGCAGGCGGGATCGCGGCCGCGACGACGACGCCGCTCGACGTGCTCAAGACGCGCATGATGCTCAGCGAGAGCAGGATCTCGGCCGCGAAACTGCTGGCCGAGATTTGGAAAGAGGAAGGGCTCGCGGGGTTTTATAAGGGCGTCGGGCCGAGGACGATGTGGATCAGTCTTGGAGGAGCGGTGTTTTTGGGGGTTTACGAGGCGGTGAAGTCGCTTGTCACCGTCGCTGTTTCTTAGAATATAGAGTAATTTTCGCATGATGCACTATCTTCTTATATTTGTATAGAGATTCATGTACCGCGCTTCGTAATCACGGTCTTGCCCGCGACGCTCTTCTTCCTCGCAAACTTCATAAACAGCGCATTCACCCTCGCCTTATCGCGCTCGATCCCCTCCACAAACGGCATAATCTCCTCAACCGCCCACGCGCCCTTCGCAGCAAACAACCTCTCGAATCTCGCCGCGGGCTCGAGCGGGAGCCGGTCGCAGGGCAGGTAGCGGATTGTTTTGGGCGTGGGCTGCACGTAGTGGCCCGTGAGCAGGGAGAGGGAGCAGGGGGGGTAGTCGAGCGGTTGAGGGAGGGAGGCGTGCCAGGTTGAGAGAAAGTCTCCGAGTTTGGTCTCTTTGTACTGGGGGGTGTTAGTGTCTGGTGCGAGAAGAAGAGTAGTAGGATGTGGACTTACTGCATGGTCTGATAACGTTTGTATTCCAAACCATCGCGCAATCCCCTCTCTATCAACGCAATACGCTGTTCAAAAGTTAGCAATAGACCTCACAAACTATCATGTATATTTCAACTTACGCTCCTCTCGTGTCCTCGAAAACCGCCTCAACAAAGCCTCAACAACAGCAACCGGCTCATCCTCCTCCTTAACCGCCTCAAACACCCGCGCGACCTCCAGTCTTTCCAAATCCAATCTGTCCGCGCTGACGGCCGCGACGAAGACGGGAAGGAATTGCTGCACAAAGTCGCGCGAGAGTCGGAATGCCCCGCCGTGAGGCAGTTCGACGCCAAGCGCGGCGGCCCATTCGTTGGCAAATTCGTAGTCTGAGACTGGAATTTGCGATTTTATCTCGTTGAGGTGCAGAGAGGTGGAGGAGGAGGAGGAGGAGGAGGTGGTGGAGAGGGCGTCGGCGCCGTTGTAGAGGGGTACGAAGGAGAGATCGACCTGTGGTGATGAAGACGTGCATTCCAAGATCGAGCCGGGGAGTTGACTCAAATATCCCACCGGGGCTTCAGCTTCAACTTCTTCCTCGCCGTCTTGCTCTGCGATATCGTCCATTTGGGTATCTTGGTCGTCGGTGTAGTTCTTTGAGCGGGAGGCGGAGACCATGAGGATCGTGTTGGATTGGGAGATTTGTCGTATGCGAAATGTTTTTGAGTAGGAGCAGAGAAAGATGGGGGATGTCGGGCCTGCGGACTTTATCGTGAGGTGTCTAGAGAAGAAAAGAGTTAGAGGAGGGTAGACAGAAGTAGTAGGAGTAGTAGTAGAAGAAACTTACGAGGTCTCATCGGGGGAGTCGAGGAGTTGCTGGATGTCGGGGGTGAGCTGCAGGAGATGGAAGTGAGATATTTTGCTTGTATCGGGGTAGAGTGTTATTTCCTGCGCCATTGTGCCTCTTGCTCTCAGCAAACCAGAATAGAATAAGAGAAGAAGAGAAGAAGAAGACGCGTCAACAGCAGAAGCAGAAGTTAACGCGTTGCCGAGTAAATAAAGAAACCAGTGGCTGTGCGGTAGCTGTGTGGCTGTGCGTGTGGCTTGCGTGATAACGATCGGAGCCGAGCTGCGACGATTGTTTTCTGCTCCTCCTCTTTCTTATCCGCCGCTGCTTCTTCACAAGTTTGTTGAATAAGTTGCTATTTCGCTGTTGAATCTACTGTTGGAGTTGTTAACTACTCGTATTCTTCTCTTATAACACATCTTCTATTCACAATGCTCAAGTGGGTTCAATCAGGGTATGTCATCATCCAATCATCGTCTCTCCACCTCCACATCCTGATATCATCATCTCTATTATTCTACTCTATCACCTCTTTTCGTCCTTCTATTTCATACAATCACTCTTATAACTTCTCATACTAACTAAACCACTCTCAGAATCTCCGCCGCCGTCGGCACCGCAGAGCCCGAGTACGGCCCTGACGCCTTCCATCCCATCACAGAGACCGTCGCCGGCTCCAATCCCTTTGGCGAGCTCACCCTCGAGGATCTCCAGTGGCGAAACCTCTCCTTCACCAACGTCGAGACCCAGGTCTTCTACCTGACCCTTGCCTCCGGCCACGTCTGCTTCGTGCAAATCATCCTCTCCAACCTCGCCGGCATCCACACCACCTCCCAATTCACCTGCCGCATCTACCACCCCGACAAGCCCGAGGAGTCGGTCTGGACCTCGACCCATCTCAACGACTTCAAGTTCAGCAAGAACAAGGCCTCCTTCGCCGCCGACAACATCAACATCGACATCAACGACGACTTGTCGGCCTACCACATCGTCTCCACCGTCAACGACCAGTCCATCGTCGACATCACCATCACCCGCGAGGCTCCTGGTTTCAAGATCGGCAAGGACGGAATCACAAAGTACGGCACCGACCTCGACAAGCCCTGGGGCACCATGCGCCACGTCTTTTGGCCCCGCGCAAAGGTCGCGGGTAAAATCACCGTCAAGGGCATCGAGCTCGCCGCCGACGGCCTCGCAATGTTCGTCATGGCCCTCCAGGGCATGAAGCCCCAGCACGCCGCCGCCAGATGGAACTTTGCAAACTTCCAGGGCCCGAATTCCTCCGCGGTCATGATGGAGTTCACCACCCCGCCCAGCTACGGTTCGGTCGTGGTCAACATCGGCGCCGTCGTCCGCGGCGACAAGCTTCTCGCCGCAACCATCAACAACAAAGCGATCCACACAAAGACCAAATCCGACGCCGAAAACGACTGGCCCGCGCCGCTCGAGATCGAGTTCGACTGGGCGGGCAAGACCGCCGACGACGCTGCCGACGTCGAAGCAAAGATCGTCGCGCCGCTCCCGAACCTGATCGAGCGCGTGGACGTGATGGCTGAGATCCCCAAGTTTGTGAAAAACATCGTCGCGGGCGTCGCGGGAACGAAGCCGTACATTTATCAGTACTCGAACCCGGCGTCCATCAAGATCAAGCTTGGTGATGAGGAGTGGGAGGAATCCGGCCATCTCTACAACGAGGCCACCTTCATCTCATAATCTCTTCTATTGATCTTTAACCTTGAAGAAGGACCGTGACGTTTTTTTATTAGTTGTGTTGTTGTTTTTGTCTTCCTTCTTGCTTTGTGCATGTAATTTTCTTTCGTATATAGTTCTCTTAGCTCTCTTAACCTCCTTGATAATTTTGTTATATCTTATTTCGTAATTTCGCGGGAAATGGACTTTTTATACTCTGAGCTTACATATACTTCACTATCGTAGGAATTCCTTCACAAAATCGTAAACTTGTTTGATTCACATTGACTATCTGTACCATTCTTACATTTCTATTCTATATACACTCACACATACTTTCTTTCTTTCTCGCATTCATTAATATATCGCACTGGGAAATAATAAGCAAGAAGAGATCAACCATAAAACAGCATAAATCAAAAGACAACTATTATATATGTATATTATCATCAGTGTGAGTCTCAAAAAAAGCGCAAGGCTAGTTTGCTCGAAAAAGTAACTAGAGGCTAGTTGCGGGGTATCTCTGCCTTCGACTCTTGTCCCATCTCGACATCCTCGATGTTTTCTGCCGGCGACGACGCAATCACCGCAGACTTCTCAATGAGTGCTGGCACTTGCCGCTTCGCCGCATCGTCAATCCCGCCCTCCATCGCGCAATCGCTGATCTGCGCGACCGGGCTCACGTCCGCATTCGACGACACCGACGCCACGCTCGAGTACTTTTCCCGCTCGGCCTCGAGCTCGCGGTTAGATTCCTTCAGCTTCACTTTCAACTTGTCGATCCGCGTATGCAGTTTCTTGATATAATCAATCGCGAGCTCGACCGTGTTTGCTTTCGAGCACTGCTGCGGTACCTGGTTCTTGCTCTCCTCGTCGTCGTCGTCCGAGACCGGCAGGTTGATGTTGTCAATCAGCAGCAAGTTCAGCTCCGAAAGCGCGTTGTTGATCCGGTTCCGTCGCCCTTGCTCGGCAATCTTGTGCGATGTCCGCTTGGACGTCAGGTTTATGCTCAGTTGCTCGGGATACGACAGCCCCAGCTGCGAATGCTTGCCCTCCACGATGTTTTGGTAGTTTGACTTGGACGCAAGCAGCATCGCCATATCGTCCGCCCCTTCCGGCAGCAACGGCTTCAAGTTCGGTGAAATCCGAACTTGCAGGTTCGGCGACGCAGACACGCTTCCGGACCGTGACCGCGCGGGCTTGATCGGTCGCATCGTCGCGCTCCCTGAGGACTTTGGCAAAATCACAGGACTACTGCTCACGCTTCCCGCGCGCGCAGAACTCCGCGACTGTGGCCGTATCGCGGGACTGCTGTGCGCGCTCGCGCTCAGACTTGGGCTCCGCTCGATCGACGCCGACCGCGGCGAGGTAGCAATCACAGACGACCGCCGTCTGGCGACTCCGTCGATGATTGCGTCCGCGGCATCGCGGCCTGGAGCTGTCTCTGTGATGCTGCCGACGCGGTCTTTGCTGAGGTTCATCAGACTTGCTGGCGTCACCGGAGCAAGTCGGTGCTGCTGCTGCTGTTGTTGTGTGGTTGCACCAACATCGACTCTCAGAGCGGCGCTGGTTCCGGATTTAGAGACAGGCACGGGGGGAGGAGCCATACTGCTCTCGGGCAAGGCCAGTAATGGCTCGGGAGAAATACTCTCGGACGAAGACGCGTCTCCGGGATTTGCTCCGTTGGCTGACGCCGCGGCAGCAAACGCAGCGGTTGCTCGTCGTTTGCTCGAGCGCTGTAGATTTGTTTCACTGGACTTTTGACGAATGGTGACGGGCTTCTGGGCAGGCGAGGACGAGCTGCCGCTGTAGCTTGCGGTGCGCAGGCGGTGCTTGCTGAGACTGCCGCTGAGGGACGAGTCGCCGGGCGAGGCAGAGCTGTAGGGATATATCTGAGCTTCTAGCGCGGGAGATGTGAGTGGGGAGAAGTAGTTTGACGAGTAGCCGAGCTCTTTCTGGATGGAGATGGGATGTTCGAGAGGAGTGACGGCCGGGGATAGCAGAGGGGTGAATATGTTCTAGCCGAGATTAGCATCGCAGCAGATAGAAACGTATAAGAAGGAGTGGTTACCTCATCTCTCATGGAGTAAGCGTCGATGGTGCCACTGGGCGAGTTGAATACACCCGACTTGAAGTCGATAGAAGACGGGGTGGGGGGTATGATTGAGCTGCCTTGAGAGCCTGCGTGCTGGTCCATCTGCTGTGGTTGCTGATAGTCCTGAGACATCTGCATGTGCATCGGGCTCTGAAACTGCTGCTGGAGCTGTTTCTGCATCTGGAGCTGCTGGAGCTGGCGTTGTTGCTGGTGGAGCTGCTGGTCCAGCTGCTGATGCTGCTGCTGGCTCTGGCTCTGGCCCTGGCCCTGGTCGTGGAACCGGCCGCTCTGGTCGAGCAGGCCGTCGGAGTTCTGGTGGTCAAAGTCAAGCAGTGCACCGGAGGTGTCCATGTCGAAGGCGGAGAGGTCGAGCTGGATGCCGTTGAAGTCTATGTAGGAGTTCATATCGTGCTGCTGCTGCTGGCTGTGGTCCGACATGGTGAAGATGATAGATGGGAGGAGAGCAGAGAAAGTAAGAGCAGCAACTACTGCGTCGGCAACCCGGGAGCTGCAAGAGTACACAAGTCAAGAAGAAGTTCTCTTCTTCCTTTCTCTCTTCAGTATTTTCTTTCAACGAACAAAAGTGGAGCTGAGGACGAAGCCGAGTAGGTTTTGGCGCACAAGCCCAAAACGGCACTTGGTCCCAATTCCCTGATAAATCCCAGATCACGTGTCTCGTTGCTGGGTCAACTTCTGGCTGTTTACGTTCTGCCCGTAAACGGAAGCCCTTGCCCCGCCTCACACCGACCAAAACAATAAACATTTATTTATTCAACTGGGGCTCCTGCTGGTCTGCACTCTGCGTGTTTACAGACCGATTGATTTGCTCCCTTTCTGTTGTTGTGTTTGTGTTTGCTGTGTTTGTTGTTGCTATTGTATTTGAAGACAGAGTAATAGTTCTGCTACAGAGGACTACCTTGCCTGCACTGCTGAACTGCTCGTCTTTCGAGCGTGTATCGTCGCTTCTCATACCCTTCCTCACTCCATAACCACACCATGGACAGAGTAAGTTCTCTTCTACTTTAATGCATTGCTACTGAACTGTCTTGCACAGCACTAACTCAACCCCTAGCGCATTCGACAGCCTCTCCGTGTCCGGCCAGACGAGAATGCTATCGCCCGGCAGACCAGCCGAATCCAGCTCAAACCCGTCACCACGCTTCCTATCGTCTCCAACAATGCCGACAAGCTGGGCCTCAAAGCCGGTGCAAAGCGCGTTGCTCTCGGCGACGTGAGCAATGCCGTCAAGCCAGCTTCAAACATCGCTGCTGGTGGAAAGCTCGTGCAGCAGCTGCCATCAAAACAAACCGTGCAGCCGGTATCGCGCAAGTCGTCTCGGACAGCACTTAGCTCGCAGACCAACGTCAACAGAGCGCACACCCATGAATCTCAGACGGCGGATATCGCCGCCCGTGACTCGCGCCATCATGTTACTACTGCTCAGGTCGCCGAGGTCTACGAGCGAATGCACAAGACAAAGCAAAGCAGCATTGAGCCAGAATATGAGGAAGACGACTCCATTGCAATTGTCGAAAAGGCAGTGAGCGCTGTGCAGTTTTCTTCTGACTCTGCTCTGGATATTCATGAGCAGGAGGAGGCTGAAGTTGACGACACTAAAGAGCTTTTGGTTGCAAACACATCGAGTATTCTGAACAATCTCGACTCTACAGATTTCACAGTACAATCAACCACCAACCCTGGTGCTCTATTCCCAGTCATCAGCGACAAGACCAGAGCAGAGTACGAGCAGGTTGCTATCAATTTCTTGCAGTCTGAAGAAGCAAAGGCTCTCGAACCAGACTATGAAGGCGATGAGGATTGGTACGATGTATCAATGGTTTCAGAGTACAGCGAGGAGATTTTTGTATACATGCGCGAGCTAGAGATCAAATCTCGTCCCAACCCAGCCTACATGGACAACCAGACCGAGATTCACTGGTCGATGCGAAGTATTCTAGTTGACTGGCTTGTTGAAGTCCACAACCGCCTCAACCTACTTCCAGAGACTCTGTTTCTCACCATTAATTACATTGACCGATTTTTATCGCTCAAAGTTGTTTCTCTTGCAAAGCTGCAGCTTGTGGGCGCGACCGCCCTTTTTGTTGCTGCGAAATATGAGGAAATCAACTGTCCATCGGTGCAAGAAATCACATTCATGGTTGACTACAGCTACACAGCCGAAGAGATCTTCAAGGCTGAGCGATTCATGATCTCGCTGCTGGAGTTCAATTTGGGATGGCCAGGACCAATGAGTTTCCTGAGACGAACCAGCAAAGCGGATGACTATGATCTCGACACGCGGACGTTGGCCAAATACATCTTGGAGGTCACCATCATGGACGAGCGATTTGTCGGGGCACCCCCGAGCTGGCTTGCTGCTGCTGCTCACTGTCTGTCCCGAAAGATACTAAACAGGGGAGAATGGGTGAGCTACAGTCTGAGACGAATATTATGTATAGACGCATGACTAACAACTTTTGTATAGACTGATGCACATGTGTACTATTCTGGATTCCTGCTTTCCCAGCTCAGACCGGCCATGAACGTGCTGGTAGAGTGCCTAAGGACGCCCAAAGACCATCATCGCGCAATCTACGAGAAGTACTCTGACCGGAAATTCAAAAAGGCATCTCTGTACGTGTCCGAGTGGATCGCCGGCGTCTACAACTAGTCTTGCGGTCGACTTCTTTTGTGACGATTTCCTTTGTTTGTGTTTTGTGATCTTATAATATCCAAAAAATTGCATTTTCGGCTCTATCGCCGATTTTCATCCCGTTCCAATGCTTTGCTTGAAGTTTCTCTAATGAATGTACTTTGTTAATGTTTGTCGGTTTGGTCAAGGGCTTTTTCTTTCTTCACATATCTTCTTATCAATCTATATATGCTAGATGTTGTTGCACTCACTCAATGTTTACGATTTCCCAATTAGTCACAGTTTAGAGATAATGATGTAAGCATTGGGGGTTAGGGGACCCCGTGGCCCGATACCGTCATCTTGACGATACCCCGAAGTCTGGCCCCAATCGCCAGTTTGAGCAGTTTGAGCAGATCTCGTGAAGTTGCGCGAGAAGTCTACAGCAGACTACTACTCAGACAGACAGACAGTTGCAACAGCATGCAGCTCGCAACAGCCAGGCGGCTCTCACTGCGCGCGCCGGCGTCACTATCAGCAGTCACCGCGACGCACGCGCATCGCCAGCGATCTACTCGCCCACACACATCCCTCTCGCTCGACGAGCAATGCAGCAGGCCCCTCAGGCTGTATTCCACGCGCGATCGCTCTGGTGAGGGTTTTTCCAACACGTACTCGCCCGGCGGCAATCCCAGCGGCCCGCTATTTAACCGCCCGCCATCACCAAACGCAAGCGGATCGATCTCGTCGCCGCCGTACGCGCCATACTCGGCGCTCGACGACGGGCTTGGAGAGCGCGGTTCTGCGGGCGGAGGAGGAGGCGCGAGCGGGCGTGGTGCGTACGGTGGAGGCAGGTTTAGCTCGATTAAAGGAGGCTCGGTGCTCAGTCCGCGCGCGATCAAGAAGCATTTGGACGATTATGTGATTGGGCAGGATCGAGCAAAGACGGTGATTTCGGTCGCGGTGTTTAATCATTATCTGAGGGCGCAGAGTATCGAGGACCGGAGGATGAGGATCAGGAAAGAGTTCGATAGTCGGCTGCGCAGGGACGCGGCGCCGTTTCAGCATCCTTTGTTCACGGAGGAACGCGATGCGATGATGCGTGAGTCTTCTGCGGGTGCGTATTCTAACTGATCTCTGCGGATATTGTTCATGTCCATACTAACTAATGGTAGATGACGAGTCTGAGCCAACGCTGGAGAAAACAAATGTGCTGCTGCTCGGCCCGACTGGTAGTGGCAAGACCCTGCTGATGCAGTCAGTGGCCAAGAGCCTCGACGTGCCGTTTGCTATGGTCGACTGCACGGCGCTGACGCAGGCAGGTTATATCGGCGATGACGCTGATATCTGTATTCAGCGATTAATGGCCAATTGCGACTACGACGTCGAGAAAGCTGGTATGTGTGATTGAGACTGTATCGTTACGGGTTGAGACTAATATATCGTGAGTAGAATTCGGGATAGTAGTCCTTGACGAATGCGATAAGCTAGCAAAGCCAGCGCGCCAGGGTGTGTTTGCGACAAAAGACATTGCCGGCGAAGGAGTGCAGCAGGCGCTGTTGCAGATGCTGGAAGGCTCAAACATCACAGTCAAGCGGTCCACGGGGAACATGTCGCAGGGGAAGGAGACGTTTGTGGTAAATACGACGAATATTCTATTTGTCTTGTCTGGTGCTTTTGTGGGGTTGGATGAGATCATTGGGGAACGAATTGGCAAGAAACAGGTACGTTCTGATCTTTACAGTTATAGAAGAGTGATGAGCTAACTCTGTGATAGTCGCTGGGCTTTCGTACTCCCGGAGCCGACTTGCAGCCACCGAAATCGACAGACGAAATTGCGAAAGATAAAGCGACGATCTTGAACCACGTCCAGACCGAAGACCTCACGAGATTTGGAATGATCCCGGAGTTGATTGGCCGAATCCCCCTTGTCTCGCCCCTCCTCCCCCTGTCAGAATCAGACATGATTCGAATAATCACCGAGCCCAAAAACGCGATCCTCAAACAGTACGAGCATTCGTTCCGCATGTTTGGCGTCGAGCTCAAGTTCACCACGCCGGCGATGCAAGCGCTCGCGCGCCTCGCGCTCAAGCAGGGCACGGGTGCGCGCGGTCTCAAATCGATAATGGCGCGTCTGCTGCTGAACGTAAACTACGAGCTTCCCGAGTCGTCGATCAAGTACGTGCTCGTGACGGAAGCCGTGGTCGAGAGCTTTGCGAGCTCGGGAAATAACGAGGGTAGCGTGAAGCCGCTTTATTTCTCGAGAGGCGAGCAGTACCGGTTCATCAACGAGCTCACGAGCGAGAATGAACGCAGCGCGAAGGTGAGCGAGATGACGGATGCGGAGGCGGGCGAGAGTGGTGAGGAGATGTTTATTGAGCATCAGGATGAATCTGGAATGCGTCGCGTAGGATTCGTTGAGTAGCCTCTTCTTCTCTATCTTTTTTTGTTATTCTTTCGTGCGTTCTGGTTTTGGATGATATGGGAGTTGGAGAAGGAGGAGCATCAACGAATGGCGTTGACCAATATTTAAGACAACGGTCTTCTGAACAGATTTGTTTCTCTTGTATTTGTTTGTTCTTGTAGTCTGTTTTGCTAGTCTATGCTTTGTTTGTTTGCTGCTGTCTGCTTTTATTTGATTAACGGTTGGTTATCGGTTTCTAATACACATGGTGACAAGGACACGGTTCTCTCTTTTTACTCTCGCTTCTCATTTATATTTATTTGTTTCACATCACGTTAATGAAATTACTTGCATTACTTTTACCTTGATATGCGGTCGTGATCTTCGTGATCAGGGGAGGAAAGAAGGAGGGTGGTGGCATGTGTAGAGTATATTCTCATTCTTCTGTTCAACGCGGACAGTACGGCAGTTTAATACCCCTTCTCTACCCCGAGATCAAAAGTGAAAAGAAAATGATAAGCTCACATTCATGAAGAAGTCATCAAATTGAATAAAAAAACCCATTCAGAAAAGATGAAGCGGCACTAAAGCGGCTCATAATTTATTGATTTTAATCTCCAAAAAAGCGGCTCTGCTCCAGAATCACCACAGAAAAATCCGAAAACCAAGATTTCCGTCTACTACACCCCGCCAGTTCTCTGATTAGTATATCTATATAATATGAAAAAATAGGAATTATATATATAGAAGTATATAAACGTATAACGTACACAAAATTAGGAGGAAAGCTCTATAGGCGAATTATACAAACAGAGAAAAAGAAGATCAAAAAGTGAAAAAAAAAGAAAATATAGGGGAAATATATAGAGGGTAAGATGCAGCTGAAAGGGATTCACATGGTAAGTCATAACAATGTACATGTAAACAGGGTGAGTTCATGCGATAAATCACGGGCCAAAAAAACACGATCGAGACGGACGGGAGATGATTCGAGGATGGAAGGGAGAGAGATGGAGGGGAGGTCATTATGATAAAAAAATTTGGAAAGGAAATAATCCGTGCAAGTTCTCAAGTCAACCAAACCGCCGGCTCCTGCGACGCGCGCTCATTCATCGCCCTCACGAACCGCCACAGCTCCGCATCCGCCAAATTCCACCCTTCAATCATCTTTCTCGTCCGCTTCATAGCCGCCGTCGTGCTCAGCACGCCGTTGCGCGCAGCGTTAATCACGTCCTTCGTCGGCTGCAGTGGCGGGGGTACACCGTTGCGCGACGGGCGGCCGATCGCCTCGGCGTCTTTGTGCAGCTGCTTGGCTTCCGAGGCGGGCAGGCACTGGTCGAGTTGGATCGAGAGGACGGAGAAGGGGCTTGCGGGGCTGTCGACGGAGGATTTTCCAGGGGTCGTAGAGGTAGAGGTTTCGGCGTCGTCGTCGTCTGCTTGACTAGAACCGGAGTTTCGGAGGACACCACCGAACGAGAACCCGAGCGCCCACTCAAAGTAGTTATCTAGCGCGCAGGCAGGCGACATATCCAGCTGCGCCTCCCAAATCGCATAGTACTGATCGTCAAGCACCTCGTAGTTCGCTGCCGCCAGCTTTTTCAGCTCAAGCATGCGGTCCGGCGCGCCTACTCCTTCTTCCACGATCTCATCCGTGACCGCTTTCGTGAACGCGTCGCGTGTCGTTTTCCGACGCACAAAGTCGGCAGACAGCGGGTTTGCGGTGCTGTAAGTCAGCGCGAGATGCGTGAGCGGGTGCGGCACCGTCACAAACTTGAACGCGCTCTTCGTCCGGCCGATGACCTCTGCGAACTTGATGAATCCGCTCGGCAGGTTGCTGTTGCACTTGTAGCATTTTTCCTTGCCGGGCGGGCAGAACTGCTCCAGCTCCTCGGGCGGACAGACAGTCAGCGCGTAGGCGGTCGAGAGCGCGGGGTAGTGTAGAATTCTGTCGGTAGAAGGGAATGGCTCGACGATCTCGATGCCGTCGGAGAATCGCGAGAGCCAGTTGTTGTGCATGTGCGCGTTGATCACGTCAGGCAGCAGCTCGGGCGGCATGTTTTTGTACGTCGACTCGACAAACTCCTCGGTGTAGTGCACAAACACGCCGATCTTTGGCTCCACAATCACAATCTCGTCCACGTAGCCCGCGATGTTGCCGCGGTGGCCGGTGGTGAATGCGTTTGCGACGAATTCGTCGACGGCTTTGTTGGCGCCCGTGACAAAGTCGCTGCCCAGGTCTTTGTAGACGGTCAACAATCCAAACTGGCATTCGCGGAGGTGCTTGAGCTCGTTTTGGTTTGGTTTGGTGGTGAAGGGGAAGATCTAAATATCGTGTGAGTGGAAAATCAAAATATTACAAACATCAAGACGCACTCTGTGGTTGGCAAGAATGCCGGTAGGAGCGGTGGACCAGGCGAGATACTTTAGAGTATCGATCTTTTTGTGAGCTCGTAGACTGGGAATAGCCTCGAGCTCATTGAATCTCGGGTTCTTCTTTGAATCCTCGGTGGTGAGCACGACAGGCATAAAACCGTACGCCCAGATGGCGCGTTTCCATCGCTCCAGGACGGCGCGCTCGATGGTGACGTTGACGCCCAGGGCCGCGAACTCTGCTTCGTCAAAGAAGGAGTAGATAGGGCAGCGGTCGAGCTGCTGGGGGATGACGGCAACATCCGAGTCGGCAGTCGAGACCGAGAAGGAGAACGGGGTTTCCCAGGACGAGGAGGGGATGTAGTTGTTCATGGGCGCGGGGTCAGAGGCAGGGGTAGACAAGTCGTTTGACTTTGACAAGAAGTGCGAAGAGGAGAAGCGACCCCTGCCCCTGCTACTGCTTCTAAACCCGGCATTTCTCGAGGAGGAGGAGTATACCGAGAGCGAGACGAGGGAGAGCAGCGCGACGACGAGGATGGTGAACAGCCGGCGCCCGCGAAAGTAAGCTCTGAGATGCACAAAGATGGACTTGCGGATGAACGAGGACGAAGGCGAGAACGCCATTTTGCGATGATGGTCTGGTTCCGGCGCTTCAGGCGGTTCTGCTGCTGCTGCTGCCGCTGCTGCCGCTGCTACTGCTGCTGGCTTGCGCAGGCGTGCCCAGGTTGATACAGAAGGCACGGTAGAGAGATAGAGGCCAGGGCGGCCGCAGACAGGGTTCGACTAGCAATGGGACAAGATAAGGACGGGGAAGGACGCGCACGGCACAGAAACAGACTGACGATGACGAGCAGCCGGTTCAGCGTTCAGCAGAGCAGGAATGAAAGCAGAGAAGGATGCCAGAGTGGAAGAAGATACGCGCTCCGACGGTCAGAGCCTGAGTCGAGTGGAAGCTGGATGGCCAAACCCTAAGCCTCGAACCTTTAGGTCTCTCGGACCAGAAGCCAGCAGCGATTAGGTTTCTCCGGTGACGCGGTCCGATAAACATAAAACGGGAGGAAGAATAAATAAGAGTTGAGGTTAGGACGGGAAGGGGAAGGGGAGGCTGTCGGAGGGAACAGGGAGCAGCGAGCAGGAAGCGGTGTGTCGGGCGTAGAGGTTTGGCTGCCTGCGCTGCCCGCTGATAATCGCGATAATCAGTCACCGCAACTGCGCATCGCTCTTCGTGATGATAGTCGGACCTGCTCCTAACCGTCTGCCGCGATAGTCCTCTTCCCGTCTCGCAGTGGCGTCGCGTTTGGCAGCCTGCAGTTTCTTCCTACTTCCTGTCCGTTCCGGCTTTCCTGCATCCTGGATTCCCGCCTGCCTGCATCCATCCTGCCTCTGTATTATCCTACTATTATCTCTCTTTAGTAATGCTGCTCTACCTGCCTTCGCGGCTGCCCCTGTGGGGGATTAGAAATTGCTACTCGTGATTGGACCAGTCCTGTTCGCCAGACTGTGGCAGACTGTGCCGGATATCTGCTTCTTTCCACACAAAACAGCTGTACCGACAACCTGCCCTCCTCAGACGCCTCTCGCCGCCGTAGATCTCTTCAACACTCTTTACTCCTACTCCCACAGCACCCAACCCTCGCAATAAGCAGGATCCAAACCGCAGAACAAAACAAGGGACGAGGCACGTGCGCACCAAAGATAGTCGCCGAAAGAAGTTTGGCGCGGCTTTCCTCGCGCGCCGCCTCGAGAAGCAAAGACGTCCTCTTCACTCTCGAAACCACCCTCATCGGCCTCCACTATCCCCACCCCAGCCAGCTCCACTCAATTACCTCTACAAACCCACACCAGACATGTCTCTCTTCGACGCAGACTCCTTCGCGAGTCCGTTCCGGATCGTGAATCTCGTTATTGGCGCGCTCATGGTACGGTTTGCCTGCAGTCCTGCTATCGAGCCCTACCTCGTCTGCATTCGCTTGCTTGGCTAGGCTAACCTTCTTGTCCTGTCTAGATCCTCGGCGGTTTTGCTTCTTTCTTTCCTTTGAGCTTGTATGTGCTTTCTGTGTGAAGTAGTCCTGTCTGCGCTGCCTGCGCCTATACGCCTGAACTAACCTCCATTGTCTTATCAATAGCCGAAATGTACTTACCTCCACACCAGCATTCACTATTCTGTCATATCCAGAACAGCACTAATGACATCTTGTTTATTTTATAGGTCATCTTGGGACTCTACACCCTTCTCTTTGGCTCTCTCGTCATCGCTGCCGGTACGTCTTATATCAATTACCTTCACTTATCTGACACTAATATACCACCTCCCCAGAGTTCTCGATTCCCACCCAAATCGCTCGCTATGCTTCCTTCTTGATGTCTTTCCTCGGCAGAGGTCTTTGTACGTTCTTCCTCTGTTGCCTCGAGAATGAGGTGCAGCACATGCTGACTTTCCAACTCTAGTCTACGTCTTCATGGGTGCTCTCGTCCTCTCCCCCGGACCTTTGAGAGTCGTCGGCGGCGCCGTCATCATCCTGTAAGCTCTCCTCCTTCCTTTTTAGTATTCAATGTACTTACCATCCCAGCGTCGGTGCCATCTACATCGTCCTCGAGTTCACGCCCTCAATCGAACCGCCCACCAACATGCGAAGCGACGAATACGGCTACGAAGCGCCTGTCGGCGAGACCGTCTAAATCCCTCGACGTTGTATAGAGAACTGCAGGGTTCGTTCCGATCTCCTATGATTAGGAACATCAGCGGAAAGGAGCACCGGCAAGTTGCAGCCTGTAAGATATTGAGGTTGATGCTCTGAGTGATAATTACTGATGGAAAGCCCACATCTGGTTGGGATCCAGTGGGATTACTTGCGTGTGATAATGCTGCCGGATTATGCACGCATGTGCTTTGCTTTATATTCTTTTCGATTTGTACAAATTTCATGTGATAGATAATAATATGGTATTTTTGGTATATATAAACCCACGACAAACACCCCATCAAGGCTGTCTATACAACACAATCTCGCTCTGCTTAAAGTACCGACGCGAGTCCTCGTCGATCAACACCAGCGACAAGAACGTCCGCGTCGAGAACTTCTTGTTGATATCCCTGTACGTCGGCGTCAAATCGAATCCTCCCAAAAACAGCCGAATCGGAATCGTCTCGCCCCTGACCGGCGCGCCGTCCATGATCTCGAACCGGACGAGCGTCTCGCTTTCGTTGTATTGGTTCGGCGGCGTACCCGTCGTCTCGCGGCGGACGATCGAGAGCTCCATGTGCTTGATCTTGAGTCTGACGAGGAGGAAGTATATGCGTCCGACAATCACGTCCTTGAGATGGTAGCGCGATTTGGAGTACTCAAACTCAATGTGCAGACAATCCTCGATTCCGACGTCCATCTTGATCGAGCTCACGGTGTCGGGCGGGATATTGAACGAGTACACCCAGAGATCCTTCTCTCTGATCACGTCCGCCATCCGGCGCCCGACCGTGACGCGGATGAAGTAGCGCAGACGCACGTTCACGCCGTTGTATGACTCAAACTGCTTCTCCACGTTGCGGAATTCAAACTGATACGTCTCCGGGCGCTGCAACTCGCCTGGAGCAGCAAGCTCCTGACCCAGCGTTAAAAAGTCATACGTGTTGCCCTTATCCGCAAACATCTCTTAACATCAACCAGTTAACCACCACTTCTGCGATTCTCAATCCCACCGGACGAATAACAAACAAATAAAACTCACCAATCGTCCCAATAAACTGCACTTTAATCCCAATATGCTCCAACCGCCGCCCATCCTTTGGCCGCACGACAATAGAGCCCTTAACCGTCTCCCCGTCAACAAACAGCGGCACTTTCTCCTTCCGCCGCTTGTCGATGCGCACATCAACGTGCTTGCGCTGATCTTCGCCGTCCAGCCGAATCTCAATGTCGAGCGGGGACTTGAAAAATAGCGCCATTGCCCTCTGCTTTTCTGTTTCTTCCTACTTGCTGTCTTCTTGGAGAGCAGGTGCAAGACGTGAGAGCATCGCCGCATTACGTTTCTGGCACCGCAGTTAAGCGCAAACCTTATTAGTCTCCTGTCACGTGATAATGACTTTGTATAAAGCTCCCGCCTGAATTTTTTTCTTCTTCACTGTCGAATGCAGAATATCTGATGCTTTACTACCTCTGTTCTGCTACCTCTGTTTTTAGCATATCTTTTGAATACAGTCTACTTTGACCTTTTTTTAACGCTAGAATGACCTACGATCTTCTTTTCCGCAACTACAGACAACAATCAACCCCCCCCTCCCCCTACAAAGACCACATCAACATCTCCATCCCACCTCTGCAAACACCTACCACCTCTGCAACACTTTCCAAACCACAAAAGCAAAAAGCGCGCAGACAGCTCCCTATGACGATAAAGATTATGACATCAAAGAACTATCGATGATGATTGCACATAATTTTATTAAATTTGAATTTCTTCACTTTCTGAGGGATTTGTCGTCGCTTTTTTGCTTCTGTGGCTTGGAATGGGCTGCAGAGGGTGTGGTTGTGGAGGATAGGGGAGGGGGTCGCTGTTGGTGTTTTCTGTGATGGGTTTGGAATTGAAGATTGTTGATCGTTCTGAGCTGTGCAGACGTAGTGGACTGATTGCAATTGTATTTCCAAGGCCAAAACATAGAGAAAACAACCGTAACAATGAAACGAGCAACACCAAACCAAGAAAATCATACAAAAAGAAAACAAAAAACACAAACCACGTCCTTCACGAAAGAGTAACCAACTCTCAGTGCTCATCATCCTCACTGCACAAAGTAAGACAGTCAAGCAAGTTCCTTGCCTTCACATGCATAACCCCTCCATCACTATCACTAATTCCCAAATGAATCATAACCGTATCGTCCAGCCAGCCGTGATAATAGTCATTCACCAGGTTATTCTTCTCCGTCGAATTCGGCATCCCGTAGACCCTAGCGTACGCGTCAATGATCGACGTATCCTCCTCAAACGCCATCTCCTCGACCTCTTCGTCCACGAGCGGAGTGTTGCGCTTGCCTAACATCCGCTTCGTGATGTAACTGAAGCCGCGCTTCAAACGCTCGAAGCCGTCTTCGGATTCGGTTGATTTGACGGGGATACTTGTCGCGTTGGAGGGAACAGGGAGACGGTCATGATACGCAGGGTCTTTCTCGAAACTGTCCTTGATCGAGTCAGTCGCATCGTGCAGTGCGGGGTTTTCGTCATACACCTCGCCGATTGACAGCGGAGAGCTGTCGGCCTTGTTTTCCAAATACTCCTTGATCGGGACCGTCTTGTCGTGCATCGCAGGATCTTTGTCATAGCTTTCCATGCCTACCGTTGAGCCGTTGCGTAGTTCAGGATGGTCGTCAAAGAGCTCGGTTATTGGTGGCAGCGCATCGTGCTCTGCGGGATCTTTGTTGAACTGGGGATCATATGATGGGATTTTGTCGGGCGTTGCTGGGTCTGCGGGAGTTCCTGTCCTAGCGGGACTACCAGAGGCATCGTCCATACCTGCATCGTAGTCATTCGCAGAGACTGTCTTTCCCGTCTCCAAATCCTCATGCCCGCCAAATCCATTCTCAGAACTAGGATCCGAGTCCGAATAAATCGGGACATCAAACGACGGCTCCAACAACTTCTCGTTCAGCCCGTTTTCATACTCCTCAGCTTCCTGATCCTCCAACACGTTCCAGACCTCTTTCCCGCCGTAGACGTGGTCGTTCCAGGCATCGCGGTTGCGTCGGTTATTGTGATCCCACGTCATCGAGACCGTGAAGATAAACGACTTCTCGTCCGCGCCCACGTAGATGATATTACTCGACCGCCCGACGACGTTGAACGGCGCCGTGATATTCGTAAGCACCACGTACCGCCGATAAAAAATCTCGAGAAAGCTGAGGTATTTGATTTGGAAAATCTCAATGTTGACGGTATTGTGGATCGTAGGAATGCACGGGAAATCGCAAAGCGTGACGCGCAGCGAATTTGAGCCCTGGTGAATCTCATTCACAAACGGCTTGTCCGGGTCATGAAAATCCTTCTTTAGCGACTTTATGCATTTCGGAGTCTCGTGCGCTCCCAGCAGGTTCTGGTTCTGGGCAGCGTCGGACCTGCCCTCGAAAAGCGACTCGATAGAGGAAATCGAGCGGTTCTCGATCGCGCGCTGCACGTACGGCTTGTCGTGCTCGTCAAAGAACACGAACCAGTTCTTCTCAATCATGTGATACTCGTCCCGCGGAAGCTCTGTCGGCTCTTTGAATCGCACTGGCACGTGTGAGATGTTCATCTTCCGCCCAATGTCGGGGATGATCATGCGCAAGTCGATGATGTACTGCGACCAGCAGTTGCCCTTGCCATGGTCGCCCACAATCATGAGCGGTTCGCCCTCGGGCGAGAAGAACAGACGCGCGTCCGTCGCGCCAACCTTCTCTGAAAGAACAGCGTACTTTCCCTGGCACGAACCCTTCGGCGACTCCCACTCCGGGAAATCGTACGTGACTAGGTCGGTCTGGCACTGCAGCACCTGCCGCTCTGCACCCTGGCTCTTTCCCCAGGCCATGTCGCAGTACACCATATGACTCCTCACCGGCTCCTTGCTATCAAACTCGCTCTTATCGGACGATCGCGCAAGCGCAAAGTACGGGTTCGGCGAGCCCTTGGGGTACGGAAGAATCGACGGGTTGAACCGGATCGGCGTGTTTGGACCGTACCATGGGAAATCGATGCGCGCGAGCGTGCCTTCATCGCCAGACTCGGAGACGAGGACGGTCGAGGATTCGGCAGTGTGCTTGGGATTGGAGCAGTACTGGAGATGGCGCAATGGTTGCGGGTCGGACATAAGCATGTGGTTCTGCTCATACTGGAAGATGACTGAGCTGCGGATGCCCTCGGGGGTGGTGAGGCCGAAGTGGTGTCCGGGAGGCGATGCTGCCACTTGCGGAGAGGATGTCGAGAGAGTGAAGGGGGATAGACGTGGGAACTCGAGGTCTGCAGAGAAAAAGACGTAGGATACGGAAAGGGCGATGAATCCAAACGCGGTGAGCAGAATCAATGCTCGCGGTAGCGATAATGTAGAATGGCTTTTGCGGGTGAAGCCTTGGAACATCGTGACCAAACTGCGCTAGTAGACCAGAGACTGGTCGAAGGGAATAAGAAAAATAGAGTCAGTAGGCAAGAGGAAGAAGAAGACCAGGAGAAAGGGATAGACGAAGACAATGTGGAGTGGGGAGGCCAGTTTTGCGTGCCCCGGGGTGAACCCCGAAACGGGCAGCATAGACCTTGGTTGTGATAGATCTGGAGCAGGAGGATCCACGGAGGAGGATATGGATGGGACGACGGCGGAGAGGAGTGAACAGGGCAATCTCAGACTGATCGTCAGTGGATCTGTAAACTTTGAGATTGATGATGAAGAACCGCCGAACAGCCCGCCATGATTAATCAATTTGGACTATAATAACACAATCCCTGTTTGAACAACAAAGGACTGATGATAAAGACAATAGCGACAATACCAGCGACCAGACGAATTAATTGCGACGCGCCCCGGATTTCGTTTAGTTCACGTCACAGCCGAGCTAATTTTCATTTATTTTAGCCGCCGCCGCAGCTGTGCTCAGGGATCCCGCGGCCGGCTTGGAGGAGGATGTGCCTGCGTCCTGCTGCGGATCCCCTGTCTGCACTGCACAGTCCGCGTGAATAAAGCGCACTGAGGAATTCTGCTCAAGCACCCCTGTTAAGCAGGGAGAACTGCCCGCAGCACGGCGGTGATACCATTCGCGGACCCACCGCGCTGGGAAACCCCTCCCTCCTCAACGCGTCCACTGATCGGCGCGGGCCAATCTGCAGGGATAACACCAGACCCGCTGCTTACCATTAGTACAAGCACCTCTTTAATGTGAGCAGGGGCAGCGCCGCATCAGCTAACAGCTTCGTCATGTTTAGTCGAGCAAAGTTTCTGTAGGAGAACCAGGACAATAGATTGATCTTGCGATAGCGAGCCGACGGTTTTTGTTTTAGATATATACATCTGTGCTCTGGGAGATGGATCTTCCTGGATTTGGCAACGATGCGGTATGTGCTCTACTGATTCTCTTCTCATCGTGCCCGTCATCAGATATCTCAGATTTGATTGTGCAAGAGTGATCGCTGACTTTCTGAATCTTTAGACAAGCAAAACTGTAAACACTTTAACCCTCGGGTCGCAATCAGAATGGAGATTTGAAGTTGCTTTGGACAAGACCGTCAACGTCAAGGTAGCCTCATCCATTGCTAATACCTGAGATCACTGTATATGATGCTAACGACAGTCTCTCCATGACAGATACTACAAGGACACGCCGAAATCTTCGGCACAGAACTTGCACTAGGCCACACCTATCAATTCACGGCGACAAAACTCAGTATATACACATGGCTAGGCTGCCAGATCGAATGGGAAGGCGAGGTACTAGGCGAGTACACCTCGGACGAGTCGGCGATGCCAAACTATGCAAATCTACACTTTGCCCTCGAAAAGCTTCGCGCGCAGGCCGCAGCAATTGATACACAGTATATAAAGAAGGAAATCGGTGCCGCTGCTACCTCAGGTCAACCAGATCGCGAGGCCGAGGGCCCAAAAGTTTTGATTATCGGACCCCGGTTTTCGGGAAAAACCTCGCTCGCGAAAATTCTCACCGCATATGCTTCGAAAATGGGACGCTCGCCAGTGGCGATCAGTCTTGATCCGAAGGAGAGCATGCTCAGTCTTCCTGGCACGATCTCGGCCGCGACGTTTGCGACGATGATGGATGTCGAAAAGACAGAGACGTGGAGCTCGAGCGCGACGACGGGGCCGATGCATATCCCGCCAAAGAATCCGATTGTGTATTATTATGGCTCTGATTCTCCGACTGATAATATTCGGTTTTACAAGAGCGTGATGAATAGATTATCTCTTGCGGTCTCTTCCCGGATAGCAGTCGATGCAAAAGGTATGGCTGCAGTCATGTCAATTTCCTTCCTTTTTATTATGCTAACAAACATCATCTATAGCGCGAATCTCCGGCACAATAATCGACGCAACAGGAATCCTAGACCCCAAAGTCGGCTACGACCTCATCGACACCATCGTCGCCGACTTCTCCGTCGACGTCGTGGTCACAGTGGGCAACGAGCGTCTGTACAACGACCTCCTAAAGAGATACAACGCCAGACAAAACATGACGGTGGTAAAAGTCCCGCGGTCGGGAGGTGTGGTCGAGACTGATGCTAGTTATCTGCGGTCGATTCAGCAGAGGTTGTTTAAGGAGTACTTTTATGGACAGCCAAAGTTTCCGCTTTCGGCATTCACTGTCACTGTTGATATCTCTGCTGTTACTGTATACAAACGAGCAGAACGTAAGCCAACTCTCCTGTCTATCTCTTTCTGTTTACATTTATGGCCGCACGCTGACATATGATACTGTAGAATCGCGTCTGGTCAGCTCATCAGCCTTACCGATCGGCACTGAACTATCTACAGCCCACGAATCGCTCATCACAAAGACGGCTGCGTCCGCGGCACTGCAGAATTCGATCTTGGCGCTTCTGTACGCAAGTCCTAGTGATTCCGAGGAGGATATCGCAGAATCCAGCGTCATGGGATTTGTGCATATGTAAGTATCTCAATCTCGTTATGTTGTTGTTGTGGTTGGGAATGGATGTGCTGACTGAAATTTAATTCCAGACTGGACGTGGACGAGACAAAACACAAGATGAAGGTACTGATGCCGATCAAGTCGCGATTGCCAGCGCAGGTATATCTCATGGGAAGCTATCACTACATGGAATGAGCAGACGTGGCTGGCTCCAGGATGTTTGTTGTTGTCCTCTTGCGTACAATTGATCGCTGGTATGTGACGATGTACGGCCGAGACGGCTAATATGTATAATATATAAACCAAAATAAAAATTCAAGACAAAGCAATAGTTTATTAATGATAAAATTATCGCAGATGGAATACCCACCTTGTTCCAGTTCAGGTGTCTAATTAATTATAGAATCAGCCGTGCGGATGTTGAACGTGAATAACACAGTCTAGGCCGATCGCCCGTACAGAAAGCATGCCTTTGATCAGAATGTTAGATCATCTTTTTCGAGATCCGAAGCGCAGGGCAGGAGCCTTGGCCTTCTCAGGTCTGGTTTTGAGACGAAAGCGGGCCGGTACCGAACGGCTGAGATCTGAGACAGACTGGAGGAGGGTATGTGAGAGTGCGAGAGAGAGAGAGTGAGTGTAGAGAGATCCAGGGACCGTATTCCTGGAGCGGCGACCAGTCTAGTTAGAACTAACAAAATCTCGAAAAGGATAGATTGACATTCTCAACACTTTAAAAAGAGCAAGAGTCAGCTTGCAATGACGTGCAGGCATGCAGCAGCGCGTAGAGGGAGAGATGCCAGAGTCGACATGGGAAAAGCAACGGGAGATACCAAATCTGGAGAAACTGTTTTAGTTGCGGTTGGGAATAGATAATAATTCTGTATGAGGATATTCTTTAATTATATCATATTTTGTATGAGTCTTTTTCACGGGTAGAAACGAAAGAGGCTTTGGGCGAGCGGGCGGGTAGATAGTTAGATAGTTGCTGGAGACTGGATGATCAGACGATCCAAGATGCTGGATCGGAGCTTGAAGAGAAAGAGCGCAGCAGCAGCTAGCCGCGAATGTTTGACAAGAGATCGAAATCGTGCAATGATATCTGCTTTTGGCTGGCTGCATGCATGCGAGTTTTACTTTTGTTGTTTATCTGACATCAGCTAGTGCTGCCGCTTGCTCTGAGACCATCGCCAGATGCAGACAGACAGACAGACAGGCCTAGTTATGGTCGAGTCAGTCGCAAGTCAGCATACCGGATCAATCCTGTCTTACCTAACCTGGCTAGGACAAGAGCGCGAACCTTAGCTAGTCCAGATTCCATTCTCGACCAGCAGACTGAATCTGATATCCATCCTCCAGCAGTCCAGATATTCGCAAAACAGAAAGATATCAGCGCGACATCTCACATTCTTCAGTGTCTGTCCTGCTCTTCGTGCTTGCTCTCGTCGATTGGTAAAATTCACTACCTGAGCAAGCAAGATTTGACTTCCCTCAGCGTGGGCGTTGAGAGAACAAAGTCGCCGCGCGCCCGTTTGGGCGATGGAGAAAGCTAATTCGCGAGGTTTGGTAAGCTACCAAGCATCAATTTACTGGGATTACGGCAGGCTAAGCATCTGGAGAAGAGAGACAGAAGAAGAAAAAAGGGACAAAAGTCCCGAGATTACAAAGACGGAAGATTAGGGATAAAGGTAGATGAGAGGCACCGACCGGTGGAATCCGTTCATCAAGCGGAAGAGAATAGTGGTACACCGTCTGGCGCGTGTGCGCATAACGGATAGGCCTCGTTACCGTTTCCGACCACAGCGACGGACGGACGTGCGGTCATGCAGCAGCCAGCCAGGCAACGGCGGCATCCCGACGATCAGTCATTCTAGTGGATCTTCCCAGCATGGAAGCAGCGCCTACACGTGGACACCGTTTCTTTCTTCTGTATTGCACTAAATGAAGCGGCACTGAGCTGTGCTTACAGATCACGAAGCTCCAGCTCCACCATCGTTAGGCTAGCTGAACACGAACCAAGAGATGAAAATTGATAGATTTGGTGGAAGCCGTCTGAGCGGGTACCGGAGACTCTGGTATTCGTGGGGATTTAAATGAAATCTCAGCAAAGTGCCGCTCTGTGTGCCCGCCGAGAGAAGGAAAAACGCACTTGCTACCGAAGCCGAAGCGGAGCCGAAGAAGCTAAATGGTACCCTGTGCAAGCTGGCAAGCCCGCAAACCAAGAGAAGGCGCTATCCAGACAATTATCCAGACGGTGGTCTCTCGTAAAAAAAAAGGCGCCCGTATCTTTGGAAGATGTCAGTTGATCTCCGCTGGATCGAAATAATCGCGATATCAACTTGACAGATTTTACAGAACAGGCAGCTTAACACTCTTACCTGCTAATTCAGATAACCAGAACAGCAGCACTTTTCGGACCTCCTCCAGGTCTTTCTCGGAACCACCATTTACCGCAGGGCCGTGCTCGTTGTCCTACTCACCTTCCGCTATCCGGAGACTGGCTGTTCGAATTCGGAAAGCGGGCCATCTCGGTCCCGCCGCACACGAAGACCTATCACCTCCACTACTTCCGCGCACCACATCACGACGGGCTCGTGCGGTATCCCAACTTCCAACTTTGGTTCTAGAAGACAAACATGATTTTCAAAGGTACTGCTTTTTATCATGAAGAAGGCAAGCCACGACTGTCAAAACGGAACTGTTAGTGCAATTTGCACGCTAAGTGCACTCGATGTTTTTTTTTCGCAATAGTTGCCAGTCGGACTGGCTGTTCGGCACTTTCACATTGTTCAGCTCCCGGCCAGCACACTGGAACTCCGCGGCAGCACTCTATCAGCTATCGCACCCCGACCACTGCTGCTACCCATCACTGCTCTCTAAACTCTACTCTACTGTTTCCCAGCATAATATTTAGCTAGAATCTCAACAAGCCCTCCTCTATTTCGCACAATTTTAAGTAGACAATAGAGCGCGGCCGTTTACATGTATATTCATATCTCCTACTGAATGAATGCACGTCCACTCTCAACAGTTTTCAATTAATCTCTCCGTCGCCGTTTTTTCAGGTGACGCAGAACCCAACCTGCGCTCCCAACCCGAGAGGTAAGGTTCCTGCGCGGGCAGCTGTCACCGCTGCTGATTGGCTGCACGTCTGGAAAAACCCTAGAGCTCGGTAAGGGCAGTCCTCCCAGCTCAGCAGAGAAATCTGACAACGCCAGAGATTGAGAGCTGCCTCGTTCTGTCGAGTCAGAGAGGCTGTACGAGATCATGCGAGCGAGCTGTCGAAAATTGCTCACTACGGCGCGATTTGCCGTGTTTGCGTATGCAAGCAGGATCAATATCCTGCGATGCTGATTGATTCTATGGATGGAGTCAAGGGTTTTCTAATTATGGCATAACGCGAACGTACAGGCGCTCGAAATCCGGACGAGACCTAATTCCCGGCGAACGATCGGAACGCGTCCGAAAACTTTGCAGCCAAGGAGATCTTCCCGGTCTTTGCAATGCGCAAGCCAGCAGAATGATCTGCTCTTCGGTAAGGAGCGAGCAGTGCCCACAATTGCGCACTGATACGAATGATCCTCCGCGCGAGCTTAAAGCCGGGCTGTACGTGTACGTAAAATGCGATATGGGATAAAGTCTAGTCTAGATAGACCGCGCTGCTCGAGATTCTGGAAATTTTGTTGAGTTCGCTTCATGAAATTCTGTAGTCGAAAGAATCAGGTAGGCGGCTATGGAACGACTCCTGCTAAGTGAAGTGGAAGCTACAGATCGCGACCACGGCGGCGTGTGATACCAAGAAGCTCAACGCCTTCTCAAGCTCATACTAGCTCTTCTCAAGTTCATACTAACTCCTCTCAAGTTCATACTGGACACAATAGAACTCAATGATATTCCATGCCCCGAAATGAACTACACTGAAATACATTCGGATCTCACATATGAGCAGGCTTCTAGCGCGCTAGAGGGCTGGCCAGCGCTTCTCCGAAGAAGCCATCATCAGTGTATCGGCAAGAACAGGGATTTTTAGCTCAGAGAAGATAAATACTGCGTGGTTCACGTGGTGGCCGGACTTCCGTTCAGCGGTGGCCGTACTCCAAATCCTTCCGATCAGAAAATTTCATAATAAAAAAACGCGTCGAAAAATGATTGGCAAACAACAAAATGCTGCACATGCAAGCAAGCACATGCAAGATCTCGATCTGGCACAACAAATCAACATTCCTGCTTGCAGAATGCATGTGATCTTGCAGAATGCATGTGATTCCCAATCCGGAAGTGCCTTCACTCAAATCAGTAAGACTAGCGGACAAGCACACCCGCACAAAACAAGCCGTCCGGCCTTTTGGTGCCCAGCAAGCTAACTACGGCTGGATCAAGTTCCGTCCTGATGGAACTCCGCCATGCGGGCGGTCGATGAGCCGCCCTCGCCCGCCCCACGCTAGGCAGTTTGCGTTTTGTGGTATTAGATTAAGATTTAAAGTAGACTTGAGCCGCACCAGCAGTTCTGGAAAGCGGGTAGCAAACTTTAAAATGTAGTTCCGCTCTGCCGGACCCCGAGTTTTTGACACCCGCCTGCGATCAGCAGCAGACGACGACGAATGGGGAAGGGATGCTGCCATTGTGTCTTGGCTTAAAAGTATATCTTTGTTTACTCTGGCTTGAATTGGATCTTTCAGAATAGCAAAGATAAGTTTATTTTCATTCTTGTTTATCGTTGATGAACATTTTCTATCTTCACAGCATCAACAAGCTCGATTACGTGATGCATATCACCACCATCGGCTCGCTACGATGATCTCCAAAGAAGACGCCTTATTTGTATATCGGAAGGAAATCGCATGGACCACTTGTCACATGTATTTTCAAAAACAAATCAGAGCCGGTACGCTGACAAGCCGAACGGAGAGCTCGCATTTCTCTTTTCGTAGTCTGAGCGTCTTCCACGATCTTGATAGTTCGACATAGTGTCGATACCTTTAAAGTTCCGGCGAAGTTGTACTCCCCTCCGCCCCTCCATTGGAAACCCTCAGCTCGACTCTCCGCAAGCGGATTGCGCGAACACCACAGTACAGGCTTCCCCCCAAGGTCGGTATCCACGGATTTCGTACCAGTGGGGAGTTTTTGTTGCTGCAGCCATGATACGAAGAGCTAGTTGGGTTACGAGAATTGGATTCCTCTGGTCCAGCGGTCGTCGCACTCTTGATAGTCCCAGCCAGAGTCAGACTCAACATAAATAGTCCACGCCGCCCAGGACGTGTCACTCCCTCTCTCTCTCTCCACAGGCCTCTCCACTCGTTTACACACAATGAAGTTTTCCGCCCTCACTCTTATCCCGGCCGTGCTGGCGCTTGCCACCACCGCTCTTGCCAGTGTTCGTGTTCGCATGTACACTGTCTCCACTTCGACTGCTCTCAACGATCTCGATCTCGGTTCGCAGCTCGAGACTGACGGCGAGGGTTACATATTCTTGGGCAACCACGGTGGTCAGTTCTACTACTACGATGTCCTGAACACCTCCTTCCACTCCGACGCTACCTTCGGCGATGTCTACTACTTTGCCATCGAGGACAACATCGTCAAGTACACCACCGACACCACCAAGGCCATTTCCAAGTGGACTTACAGTGCTACTCTCTTCTACAACTCTCTCACTCTCTACTGGTATGCTTGCACTGCTCAGGATGATCCGGCGGGATACAACGAAGGCCAGTACTTGCTCATGCACTACGGCTTCGGCGCGACTGTTCCCAAGACTTGCACGAGTATCACCGTCAATGTTCTGGCGATCTAAGAAATCTGCTTAATGAGCTTCAGTTTTGTTCTCTGTCGCACGCAGACGAATGGAATCTATAGATTAAGCGGGTTCGGGATAAGACGGATATAACCTTGAGGGTTTTTGGGATTTCTTTTTTCAGGCTTTGTTAGTAATTTGCGCAGACCATATTCCTCATTTAATACCAATGTATTTACTTCTATCGTGATTTTACTCCCTCGTAGATGTTCAACGAGCAATTGTTGTAATGAATGAGTTAAGAGCGTATGACTTGGACGAACGAGACAATGCTGCCGTACGGCCGATATGTGCGGACAGTCGGTTGATTTGCAAGGTGCCGCCATTCTGCTATAATCAATGCTAGAAACTATTAGGTCCTATGAGACACCCAGTCATGACTAACTTCTCTCGTTTACAATCAGGTTTGTCTGGAAAGAAGACATCTGGACCATCCGCTTTTTCCCAGCCTACCGCTAGCTCCCGAGGCGCGTCAGCTACTACGATGCTCGCAAAAACATGAACAGCCGTAAAGGGTAGTATAAAGACTAGCCTATCATGTGTGACAGCAAAAGTGGCGGCCGAATGCACAGTCTGCGGCTATCCGCGATAGATGGCGTGGCAGATGGGTTGAGCAAGCTAAGGCCATTCGCTGATGGACGCCCACGGCGCTTCGGCAAAAGCAAAGAGAGAAGACTAGAAAGACGAGTCCCGACCAGGCTAAGAAAAAAAGGCAAGGCGTTCTTGTGGTGGGTGGAAAGAAAGACAAGACGGCCAACGGCGGACTACTACAGATCAGCCTGGCTGGATGTTTCCGTATTTGATCGTACTCTTGCTGATCGGTCTGCCTGCTGCTGCCTACACAACCAAACTTGTGGACCACATATTTCAATTGCGATAATAAGTCGGGAATTTGCGTGCCTTCCAAATCGGGCTGTTCTGCGTGCTGCTCAGCGGGCAGTAATTATGTCGATTGTTTTGTTTACATTTCAGTTGCACCATTCGCAGCTTTCAATATTTGATTCCTCGTACTTTGACTGCAATTGAAAGCGGCGGGCATGCAGGACAAAGACGAGAATAGAAGGATGGAATTCCGAGACTGACGCTTCGCTTCGGCCGAGTCCAGGCGCTTGCAGGCAAAGGAATAGTGGTGCAACTCAGCGCACGAGTTCTGCCATTGAGTTTCTGTTTTGCACGGGAGAAAAGCGAGAGCAGAGAGAAGGTCTGTGTGCTCTTTCTCACTATCAGCATAAAAGTGATAGAGGCGCTCGAAAAGCAAGTCCAGTGCAGCGGAAGTTGATCAGCTCGCGAGGTAGACGATGTTTTCCTGAGCAGCGAGCGTACACTTTGTCGACACCGCGGTCTGAGTCGAGGGGACGTGCGGCGGGGTGGGGGGTACCGATGTGGAAGAGCCAGCAAACGGGATAGCACCGAGCTATGGAAGGCTTGGCTATGTTCTTTTGGATCTGCATAGTTGAAAGCCATCGGGACGGAAAAGAATTGCTGCAGCTCGCAATTTACAGCAGAGAAAATAACACCGGCAGATACTATATTGGTGAACTACCTGTGTTTAGGATATTTGTAGGGTCCAGTTCGGCTTGGCTCTATACTAAATCGCGGCGGACCCTGCGAAACAGAAACCGTCTGACACATCTCCTGAAATCTATGAAGTAATCTACAACGGCCGCTTTATCTTGCTTAACGGCGGGGAAGCGCATCAGCGGAGGACAGATCTGGAACGGCGTCCACGCCAGATGCTGCCGGGCGAGCACGGGTACACGAGGTGATTTTTGTTCGCGCCAGTATCCGATTCGGGTATAGTTTAGAGTTTATGGAGCGAGCCGCACGACCCTTCCACTGGTACCTGTCATTCCAACCATCCCATTCCTGCTCGTGCTCGAGAGGACCGTACCCAGCGGCCGGTCGATTCGAATTTACGGGACGGGATCCAGCCCTTGGTACTCGACGATGTACATAGCCTTGGTAGCTCTTAGTGTGCTAGCTCGTGTTGGTCTGTCTGCTCTGCTGCCGCCCACTTGCGGGACTCAACGTATCAACCCATCATAAAAGGCGGCGTATTCCCCAATGACTTACTGTCCCTCGTCCTTGTGCCTTCACCTTCACTTTCGTTTCATCCTCCGGCAGTTCACAATGAAGTTCTTCATCCCCACTCTCCTGACCCTCATCGTCACTGCGTTCGCGCTCACCACCGAGACCGAGCTCATCGTTGTCTCTGGTGACACCGGTCTCACCGGTCTCTACCTCGACTCCCACAAGGAGGCCACCGGCACCAGCTGGGTCTTCCTGTCCGAGCAGGGTGATGTCCAGAAATTCTGGAGATCTACCGATAACTCGACCTTCCACACTGCCTACTCTGACGCCGGTACTTACTACTTGCACATCAAGGACAACTACCTGGTCATGACCACCAAGGCCTACTCTGAGTTCACCGTCGTCCCCTACCTTGCCTACAACGGATTGACTTCCTACTTCTACGCTTGCTCGGGTCTCTCTGACCCCAACGACTACACAGATCTGCAGTATCTGGTTATGTACTACGATTCCGGCGAGATTGTCCCTGCTGGATGCAAGACCATCTACATCAACGTCATTGCTATCTAATCGAGTCCATCGAGCGATGTGCTAATTCCATCAATGGGGGGTAATAATGGGGGTGTGTTTAACTTTTATTGTGATACCTATTATTGTTAATAGTTGCCTGAACTTATAATATTGTGTTAATTGTATGATTATATGTGCGAGTGTAATCATGCCGTTGTCACAGCTAGAAGTGGATCCAGAGGATCAAACATTGAATGAGTGAATATCTGCCAACAATTATTACTTTTTTGCATTCCGTAGTCATAACCAACCATAGAGTGAAAATCGAAAGTCGATTGATTGATAATAATAGAAGCTGCTGGAGCGGATGGTCGTCGCCGCTGCTTACTTAGCACAGCGTAAACTGCTGCTGTACCGTAGAGCAGACCCGGCGCTTGCCGCGAAGTGGGGAAGGTGCACCGTGCCGCCGTCTGCTTTGCTTTCCCCCGCCGATCCCACTTATCATCGATACCGTCTCAAAAAATGCTCGTTTGGCCGTCAATCGCTCGACCGGAAGCGTCGCGTCGATTGCACGCAGGCTTAGTACCAAATAGTCAGCCGTAGTGTGCGGCAGTCAGCCCGACTGCTCAATCCGGAAAGCATCGACTCTTCCCAGGCAGTCGGTTCTCATAATAGTTATTTTTTTTGCCTGGGGTCTGGTTTTTTTCAGTGCCTGCCCGTTCTTCGCGCCTGCGTTTACAGACAGTCAAAGAGGAAAATGCTATGCAGACCACGACTGCTGATCTTTTCGAGATCTGAACCCCACAGCTGTGCTGCTTGCTCGATAAAAATGAGAGAGATGTAATGATGGTTCTAGTGGGACAGAAGTCTTAAATATATGCAAATAATCACACAAGCAGCCGAGATGCGCCAAATAACCAGTGGGGTAAAAAGAAAATAGAAGAATGAGTACGACCGGATCAAAAAGCACTCGTTCTGCGATTCGTAATCCGACCGAACAGACATTAGTGAGAAGACTGAGCTCGATGCACACCTGCCAATTCACAAGAAATATTCAGTCATTGTGTTATGCTGCTCCTGCTGCTGCCTGTACTCTTCATTCTCCGGCGCAGCATCGAATACATTGAAAAACCTCTCTCCGGTAGCGCTGACTTCAAGTACCGAGGCAAGGTTGCCACAGCGGTAGCAGTAATTTGGCGCGGACCAGACTGTTGATAGCCGGTCGTCGAACAGAACTTGGAATCCTTGTTCACACAGCTGGTGGGCGCGTAATATATGCACCATGTCGTTCACGTGTAAAAACTTTTTGACAATCTCGGCGCCGAATGTGTAGCCTGCTCCTCTAGTTGATATGCCGAAATCCTCTTTCTCAGGATCTGGATCTGACCAAACCAGATCTGCCATGGGGCCCTCATGTGGAATCTCTTTGAACCTGTCAACAACTTTTATCTGATCTATAGAATGCACGTTCGGCGACAGTCCTGTAGTTTATGACAGAGTTAGCCATCAAATCAGCCAAAGATCAGCAATATAGATCCAAACAACACACCTCCATGAATGCAAAAAATCCGATCATCAATAACAACAGAAAGTGTTAGATAGTCAAACATATCTGTAAAGCAATTCCAAACATTGACGTTGCCGTATTTCGCCTTGCACTCGCTATAGAAGCCGTAGTTTTGCGAGATACCCCGCGACTCGTGATTTCCCCGGACTAGGTATATTCGATTTGGATATCTCAATTTAAGGCAGGTGAGGAGGGTCATTGTCTCTATACTGAAATAACCCCGATCGACATAGTCTCCTAGAGTTTATTAAATCTGCGGTCAGACGAGCAGTTTGAATTATTTGAGATCAGGATGTGGCATACCCAGGAAGAGGTAGTTTGTATTTGGAGGGAATCCACCCACTCTAAAAAGTTCAATCAAGTCGAAGAATTGCCTGTAAAATGCTCACATATCAGCATCTGCTATTGAAAAATCGCACCGAACTCAAACTCACCCATGAATATCTCCTACTACCGACACAGGCGCCTTAATATGAATGACATTGCTCTCTTTGATAAGCAGTTCTTTTGCCTTTGTACACAGCGCCTCAACCACAGACTCTGCCAGTTTCTCTCTTCTATAGAGTCGTTCGATGCAGCTGTCGAGATCAATGGAGCCTCCGCCTATTAATTATACCGGTCAGATTACAAAAACCTCAGAGCAAACACGAAGAATAAACAGAATAAGGGGGAGAAACTAACTGATAAGGTCCGACATCCCAAACTGCACGCAATCTGCAAGCTTCGCAACAGATGTCTGACGCGGAAGAAATCAGATTGTTGTTCTGCCTGGTGGGTTTATATGCTCAAAATCCTGTGGGGGAGGCAGGCGACGAGAGCATTCGCGATGCACTCTTATGCAGAAAAGGGATGATGAACAAACAGTATCGTTAAGCAGATCAGCTCTGCATATACCAACAATTGACACCGGTGTAATGCGCTCGAACAGAGGAGATGCGAGCTGTCTGTAGGCTGACAAAGAGAGCCAGATATCTTCAAGTCCTTTGTAAACACTTTGTGACCGCGGCCCCCATCGCCCACTGTGGATTAAGGTTTTGGGTCAAGGTGCTGAGCACAGCTAAAACCGAGTTTTCAAAACAAAGTCCACGTCAACACAACAAACAACCCGACTCGACCGGAAATAGGTGCAATTGCGCCGTGTTTTCTGTATTGTTTTTGTTTTTCGTGTCGGATTAGGGAACGGGACTTGTCATGAGTTCGTATTATTCACAGAGGCCCAGCTCACCGCCGCGCGCGCCGTCGTCGGTGGTGCCTTCACACAGTCAAGCTCAGCCTGGCGCTTCGTGGCCACCCCCTTCTCCTCCTTCCCAGCACCACCCCGAGACCTCTGCATATCCTGCGAGCTACTACTCACATGGTGCTTATGACGCCTCGTACTCAAGAGATCGGGCAGGCTACCCACCCCAGCCGGCGCCAGCAGGCGATCGAGGTCTAGAAAGCGCTCCATACGAGAGTAGCAGGCACCGGTACGACGACCGCGGCCAAGCACCACCTGCACCCGCCTACGCTGATCCATACCCCGGAAGACCCTACTCTGTTCCAGCAATGCCGCCTGCTCCGCTGCCAACCAATCGCCCCGGATACCCACCCTACGACGGTGGCGCGGCACCCCCAGATCCCTACCCGCGCAGTCGAGACCCCTATCGTCAACACAGCTACCGATCCGGCGAGTCGCGCAGGAGCCCTCCTCCTTTTGCTGCCAACAATGCTGGTCAATCGAGAGGATATTACTCTTCGTCACAACAGCCTTCCTTTTCATCATCAAATCAGTATCGTCGCGATGATCAGCGACACGAGAGACAGTACAGTTCAGGCGGCGTCCCGAGTATGTCGGCGTCGTATCCTCCCCCTTCTCCTACGCGTGGCTCCGATCCCTAGTAAGTGCTCTGTAATATTATCACAACTTCCATCGACTAATGTGTGCAGCTACCGCTCTCGCAATCGTCAACGTTCCGTCTCGCCCGACCGAAGAGCAAAATATGGTCACGGGCCAGATCAAGGCCACCAGTCATCGTCTTTCAGATCGTCTCGGTCAAATCACCCAGAGTCGCGGGAACACGCACCCCGCGGATCTTCAAATCAGGGCGGTAACTATCGGCCTAAGCCCGTGCCAGCTGTCGTTGGCGGTCCGTCAGATCAACCTCAGGCACTTCAGCCTCTCACATACCATGTCCCCGAGCCGGCGAAGGAGATTCGTGCGGAAGACTTTGTCAACGATGCTCCATTACCTGTATTCCGTACGATTTATGACTTTTTTTTACTTCTACTCTTTTCGATAGGCATACTGAGTTCTGTTTATTCCTTCTAGCTATCCGCCCTCCACAACAACTACGTACACCCCTATCAGCCACGTATGCCGAGACAGAGGCGCAAAAATCCGGCACAGATCTTGTACGCGATTCAGAAAACAGAAAAATTCGAGACCCTGCTCGAGACATTGTGGACCGGAAAGCGTTGACGAGAAAGCATCCTCCAAAGATCGGAAGAAACCCTGCAGATCCACTAGACGACGTTCCACTTCCACCTAGTGTCGGACCAACGACAGGATCAACGCCTGGCAGAGGGAGATTATCAAAAAGAGAGGCAGAGGTGTCGTTAGAAAGAACGGTAAAGCGGATGCGCGAAGGTGAGGACGGAGATGAGGAACATCGAGGCGGAAGCGCCAAGAAGATCCATCTAGATCTATCATCGTCGCAAGTGTCGTCGTCATCTAGTAGTACCGGCAGTCGCTTATTTGCCCGGCCGAGCGAGACAATTGCATCTGAGGCAACACCCGCTGGAGATGGCAATCTACCCGAAAATCTACTGAGAATTGTCGAGGATACTCTGGCGCAGATCCGTGGTAGTGGCCGAAGTGGTAATGGCCGTGGTGACAGTCAACAAAAGGGCGCGGATGAGGGCGCTGCAGATACAACAGATGCTGCCAATTCTGAAAAATAAGCGTCATTCATATTCCATTACATCCAGCAACTTTTATACATTTTTTATCATCAGTTTTGCTCCATACACGATATCATGTCTCTCACAACTCAATACCGGAACATCTCGCACACAAAAAGAAGACCTTACTTGATTCCTTGATTTACCACAGTTCATCTTATCTATCGCTTCTGGAATGAAACCCGGGCTGTAATTTGCTTCGTTTATTTTTTTATCTGATTGCGTCGCTTTGAGCGATTTATTTATTTGCGCAGAGCAAGATTTTGCTTATATCTAGAATCACCTGCAGAACCGAGATGGAGTATGGGGCATATGACTATATTTAAGTACGAATATTTTGTAATTGATAGCTATACAATGATAAATAATGAACAGTCATGACTATTAAACTGCTTCTGAGAGTATACCGCAAAGTTGATAAGGTTTAAAGGTTTGGCTGAACAGACCACAGCGCTGACTTTGATTCTGTCGATGCGCGGCGTCACAAAGTTGCGCGCTGTCCTGAACACCCACATTCCACCCAGCAGCCCATCCATCCGCTTTTAATCACCACAACCGCTTCTTTGAGGGAGCAAGCTAGTCTGCAGAAGAACTGCTTACAGTAGGGCTGCTTTGTTTGCTGCCGTGCTTGGTCTGGATCTTTCTCCCTGGTGAACCGGCGGCGCTTCTCACGGAAAGCCGGTAGATGCGCCGTCTTTCCTAAGCTCATCAGTACACTTCCAGACCGTATCCTTCGACACTGTCTATTTTTGCTCTTGGTTTGAGAAATACTTGGACTGCTTTTTGGCATGGGTGTCGTCACAAGTCGGCCGGACGAGGCTGGTAGCGTGTATCTCACAGATCAGTCGCGCTGTGAGTGATCTCTTATGTTATCCCCATCCATCATTATGATTCCAGACTAACAGATCCGCTTGTCTCTTTTTCATTGTTTTCTGCAAAATAGTTAGTATATCTAGTATATCGGTTGTTAATTATGCCACCCAAAGGCCTATCCTGCGAATAGCCCCGACAGCCGATCGCCGCGGGTTAGTACCGGTGCGAGAGGAAGGATCGCCGATGATTGAGTTTGTTCAGGATATCGAGCCCAACAGTCTGATTCCGATTCTCCTGAAGCTCTTGAACGACGGCGGGCTCGAGATCAAGTTCAAGTTGGCGCTAAACAAGAGTGCTGCCGAAGGGTTTTCGATGAATGGTCTGACTTTTATGAATTCGTGTAATGGGAAGCAGATAGACACGATGTTGACGAAGGAGTTGCAAAGTGATCCAAACGTGCGTTGCTTTATAAGAGTTGCTATACTTTGAGATTCGTGCTGACTTTGAATTTATGCAGATTCAAAAACGACAGAATGTAATGTTTATAGGTGACTACAGTGCGAATCAAGGCGGCGTGATCGAATTTGAGTGGACATGGGTGTGGTCTCCGCCTTCAGATCTAAACGAGGTTTTCAACGGATGGCGAAATACCTGCGTGGTGAGTTAATACTCTATACTCTGTCATATTCGATAGGATACTGACGGTATTGATAGTTTGCCGAGTACAACCGGCACGAGCACAAACTCAGCAAAGTCGCGCAATTCTCGTTCTGGGTGCAGGACGCAACCAGATCGGTATGGTCGATCCCTCAGTCTCCGCGGCAGCTCAACATTGCACGGTTCGGCTCGCCGTCGAATTTCAGCGATGATTCAGGCCTGGATGGGTATCAAGGAAAAGGATCTGCCGCTGCTGCCGAAGTGCTGGAGAATCCGGAGGCTTATTCGGTTCCGCTGGCGCAGATTAGTACGTCTTCTAGCTCTGCTTCTGCATCGGGCGTGCTATCGGCGTCGTCGAGTAAGGCCGACGAAGGCACGTCATATACTGAAGATGGACCGCTGTTCCGAGCTACGGTGGCGTCGCTTGAGAGGAAGACGGTGTCGTTGAAGGCAGTGATCAAGAAGCTGCTGAAGCGTACGATCCAGATGCACGAGACGCAGGAGCAGTACTGCGCAGCGTATGCCGGATTTCTAGAGAGCCTACGAGAGGCATCGAAGGATCTAGTATCGCTGAGGCCTGCGGTTGAGACCTTTTTCGACACGTCTGGGAGGGATATACTGAAGTTTGAGAAGCGAAGTAGTGGAGCGCTTAATTCGCACGTGATTGAACCTCTGCGTCGGCTGTATGATGTCGATATCAAGGCCGCGGACGCAAAGAAGCGAGAGTTTGACGATGACTCGAAGGAATACTACGCCTGGCTGAGTCGGTATCTGTCGATGAAGCAGGAGGCAAAGGGCAAGAAGAAGCATGATGGCGATACAAAGTACCAAGACAAGCGGAAAGTGTTTGAGTTGAAGCGATTCGATTACTATACTTTTATCCAAGACATGCACGGCGGGCGGAAAGCAAACGAGACGGCGTACCAGCTGAGCGCGTACGCGAGTGCTGTGGTGAAGAGCTTTGAGGATACGTTTAAGAGTATGCAGCTGATAAGGCCGCAGATTGACGGGATGCTGAGCTCGATGAAGGAGAAGAAGGATACATGGACTATTCGTCGGACGGAGCGGGAGGAGAAGAGACGTGCGCTTGAGCGGTCGGCGATGCCGGATCCGACATTGAACGGGCCGGGGTCTTCCGGTTTGGTTTCATCAGGAGCGGATGAGTACTCGAGAAAGTCAGCGCAGCCAAGCTTGATGACATCGCCGGCGCCGCGGGATGCGGCCAAGTCGGCAGAGTTGGCGCATCTGGCGGGAGGAAGTTCGGGGGGTACGGACGACGACGATTCGCAGAGCGATCGGCGAAAGGAAGGGTTGCTGTGGGCGATGTCGCGGCCGGGAGGGCATTCAGATCCTCGGAATCTGAACAAGCCTGGCTGGCACAAGTTTTGGGTGGTGCTGGCGGGGGGTCAGTTGTGCGAGTACACAAACTGGAAGCAATCGGTGGAACTGCACAACGATCCTATTAATTTGCGAATGGCGTCAGTGCGGGAGGCTAGAGGTACTGATCGGCGGTTTTGCTTTGAGGTGATTACGTTGCAGTACCGGAGGATATATCAGGCTACGTCAGAGGAGGATATGTATTCGTGGATCACTGCGATCTCGAATGCGATTTCGAGCACGATCGAGGGGGGTGAGACAAAAGATCCTGCTGCTGCTGTGGCTGATCGGGCGGGAGGAGGAGGAGGAGACTCTTTGTTTCCCAAGCCTAGTCCTAGCACTCCGGTGAGACAAGGATCACCGGTGAATACCCGGTCTGGGGGGCTCGTGGGCGATAGTGAAGGGTATGATGGGACGGAGGGCGAGATTCAGCCGTCACCGATCACGACTACGGAGAAGCGCGAGTCGTTGCTTCGACGGGTGCGAGAAGCGGATGCGGAGAACGCGATTTGCGCGGACTGCGGCAACAGCTCGAAAGTGGAATGGGTGTCGATTAACTTGATGGTTGTGCTGTGTATCGAGTGCAGCGGGCTTCATAGGTCGCTGGGGACGCATATCTCAAAGATGCGGAGTCTGACGCTGGATACGACGTCGTTCACGGCAGATTTTGTGGAGGCGCTGGTGAGGATTGGGAATAGGAACGCGAATATGGTGTGGGAGGGGCAACCGAATGCGAAGATCGCGAAGAAGGAGATGCAGCGAGTGATTGCAGAGCAGCAACAGCAGCAGCAGCAATTACAACAGCAGCAACAGCAGCAGCAACAGTCGCAGCAACAGCAAGCACAGACACAACAGTCATCACCGCAAGCACAACAGATTCCTCAGCCGCACTTTCAGCACCTGCACATTCATCACCAACAACCACAGCAGCAGCAGCAGATGATGAGCCGATCACCACAGTCGCCAGCGACGACGGCAGGCGGCAGCGCGTCGGGAAGCAGCGGGGGCGCAGCGCGACAGGCGCGGCTGGCGTTTATCACGCAAAAGTACGTGGACAGAGCATTTGTGGCGCGCGTGCCGCAGCCGATGGCGGCGCTGTGGACAGCAGTGCGGAAGCAGAGCATAGTGGACGTGTTGCACGCGCTGGCGAGTGGAGCGAAGGTGGACGCGCCGGCGCAGGATGGGGATATATTTCTTTCTGCGCTGGTGCACGCGGGAGGCGAGGCGAGCGCGTTTGCGGTCGCGGAGCTGTTGTTCCAGAACGGGGCGAAGGTGCCGAGTGAGGTGCCGGCCGAGCTGAGGATGTCTGCAGCGGCAGCGGCGTATATTGCGCGGAAGCAGGGGCGGAGTGTAGGAGAGGCGACGCAAGCGATGTCGTCGATGTTGCTGGACGGGGGAAGGCAGCGGAAGGGAGCGGGGGGGAAGGTTGGAGCGCGGAGTAATAACTGAGGAGATAATTGATAATGGGACCGTGCGGATTGTACATAAATAATGCGATAATGGTAAGTATAAATACAAGAGGTTAGTAAAAAGGATGGGTATTTCCTAGTTTGGGCGTATTTTAAGAATAGCAAGCGGCCGAGCTGGGCAGCTGTCAGAGAGTCGGTGGCCGTGGCTGGTCAACGTTGCCTAATTCGGACAACAGCTCGAAGCGAGCGGAGAGTCACCGCTTTGATGAGTTGTGTTGTGGTTGTGTGTGTTTTAGTTTTTGTTTTGTTTATTCTGCTGGTTTGCTGGATATCTGCTGCAATTGCAATAGACCTACAAATCATTTTCTAACAAACAATACAAACAACAGAACCAGATGCCATTTCCAGACTGCTTCTGTCTCTGTCATCTGCGCTGAGCTCGGTCCCGCGCCACAGTGACAAAATAAATAAATCAATTTGCAGCCACATCGTCAGCCACACCTCCATCGCTCGCTTTGTCTGCCTTCGCGTCGGCCTCTTCTCTTTCTCTTCTTCCTCTTTCTCACCGACCCTCTCTCTGCTCTCTTTGTTGCCGTTCTCTAGTGGATTTGAGTACTTCTACAACACATTTTGTCGTCAGATCCGTCGTCAGGGCACTCTAGCTGCCATGCTCGCCCGCTCTTACCTCCCCGTCTGCTTCCTGCTGAGCTGTACGTATCCTCTTCCCCGATCCCCTCATCTCCTCCCTCTTTTCTTCCCCTCCTCCTTCCTCCTCCTCTAACACCCCTCCAGACCTCCTCATCTCAGCCCTTGCACTCTCCTTCCCAGAAACACCCTCTTCCTCCTTCCCGCGTCTCTCAGACCCCCTCCCGCAGCAAGATCCAGCTCGGACCGGCGCTCGTGGATCTAGACCTCCCGACCGGGCCCACTACGCTCCACAACCGCCCTACCCCGACGCCTCCTCAAGTTTCCGCCGCTCCGAAAAAAGTCGTCGCCGTCTCAGCAGTAAACAGTCCTCAACCTCCCTACTGTCGGCTAAAGACTTCAAAGACTCGCCAACCGCAGACGAGATCACAGACCTCGGCTCCTCCTCCACCTCGACCTCCACATCCGCATCCAACTCGAACCACAACACCCACAACACAGACGACCGAGACCCGAACCAGAGCTCGCCGATCTGCGACCTGCTTATCGAGCCGCCGCTTTTCTCGCCGCCCGACACGCGCACGCAGCCCGGCATCGTCGCGCTGGTGGTGGGCATCATCACGATCGTTACCGCGAGCTTGATGATGTGATTGGGTTCGATCTCGACGCTCTTCAACCGTTTTACCTCCGATGCGATCTGCGGTTGTGTTCTACTAGCCTTTGCCTTGGACTCTCGTTCTTTCTGTCGGTAACGATCGTGATGATGTGACTGGGTTCGATCTCGACGCTTTTCAACCGATTTACCTCCGATGCGATCTGCAGTTGTGTTCTACTAGCCTTTGCCTTCGACTCTCGTTCTTTCTGTATTGTACATCATCTTCGACACAACCGCGGAGCCTAAATCAGCGCTCTACAGTACATATCCCTCCTCCGCGTTGTACCTTCTCTCTTTCTTCGATTGTATTATTTTTTTATATATCTTTTGGCGCTTTGTTATTGGTGTCGGCGTACGGCTTTTTTTATTTGTATATTTATTCACCATGTTTGGTTTTGATTTGATAATTTGAGGATAGTTACTCTTGTCGCAAGAGATCTATTTTATATCAAGTGATTCTACAACTCTCTCATCTCCCGTCCTTCGTAATTACTACCTCCTTCGTAACCTACACCTACAATCCAAGGCATACGTTCAAACCTACACCTACAGTCCACGGCATACGTTCAAACATGGTAAAATTACAAGAAGATAATTCAAATACATAAAAGCGTTAATTACACGTCGAGCTATAGATTGATCAAGTTACAAGCCTCATACTCTTTCTCATCTCCATATTCCTTCTTCTCAAAGTAACAACCTAAACACAAAAAAACGAAAGAAAAAAACAAAAACAAAACCGGTTTGCGTACATGTAAATGTGATGTGCAATCAATAGGTGTTCAAAGTCACTTTACTGCCAATCAATCGCTGGAACCCGCTCTTATCCAAATACACCGTCTTCAACTTCGTCTTGGCCACCACCGTCGCCGCGCGCGGTGCATCGTTGAGCAACGCCAGCTCGCCGAAATAATCGCCCTTTGATAACTCGTTCACCTTCCCTTCGCCTTCCTTGAACACCTCCGCCACGCCGTCTTCAATTAGGTAGAATAGCTCGCCGACCTCTCCTTCCTTCACCACCGTCTCGCCGGCTTCAAACGTAACCGCCTTCAGCGCGTCCGCGATCTTGGCGCGTTCCCAGTTGTTGAGCGTGGTCAGCACCGGAACTTCACGTAAGAAGCCCTCGTACATCGATCGCTTGGACGCCGTGCGCTCCATCAGAATCCGGCGGAACGTCGTTCCGTCCAAAACCCAGAGCACGCAGGGCTCGGTCGTGATGACGGTCGCGGCACGGGGCGCGTTGTACATGAGCGCCAACTCGCCAAACGACGAGCCCGCGCCGGACGAGGACAGCTTCTCGCCGTTGACGTGGTAATCCACGCTGCCGGATTCTATGAGATAAAACTTCTCGCCTTCGTCGCCTTGCTTGATGATCGTCACGTTCGCAGGCGTCTGCTTCTCCTCCAGCACGTTCAACACCGTCTTGAGCGCCTCGTCGTCCAGGCCCCGGAATAGAAAGTTCTGCGTAATAATCCGGTTCAGTCGCTCGAGCTGCTCGGGAGTCTTGAGCACCGTCCGCGGGCGCCAGGTCGACGTCGAGTTGGACGGCGAGAGCGATTCGCCAGAGACAGAGGTCCGGCGATTGGAATTGAAATTGCTCGGCAATGGCACCGTCAAGATCGGCTTGCTCTCGTCTGTGCTTGATCCGGCATTGCTGCTGCCGGTCGTCGTCGTCGTCGTCGACAGCTCTTCTTGCTGCGGGATCGGAGGCAGTGTGGTCGATGTCCGCGAGGCGGAGGTTGTGGATGCTTGCGAGGAGGATGCTGGGGTGGGTGAAGCGGCCGCGGGGGCTGATATCGCGGCGTCGGGCGCATGGGTCATCAGCTCGTCAATCTTTTCGACCGCAGCGGGCTGGAACGAGAACGAAGAGGAAAACATGGTGCTCGCGGATGATGACTGCGGCATCGACTGGCGACGCCGGGTACGAAGTCTCTGTTCCTGGTGGTTATGCTACCTGTTCACAGCACTCGGGACAGGTGCAGCAGTAGTTAATGTTGCGTGATTTGTTCAGGTCGGGGGTGCGCCTGGAGGAAACAAATCAGCAGCAGATAGAGACTGGGAATTCCTGTAACAAAGCAGTGCACAACACAGTATCTGCTTCTGAGGATTGCCGGTGATTCCGCTGTTCGATGGCGGCAGAATGGACTGGGGGTGATGGCGGTGACGACGACGACTGCGACTGGGAGCTGAGCGGGAGACGTGGGTTGTGCTCAAGTGCAGAGTTGTTGGTGATTTATGCCATAAAAGTGTGGTGTCATGTGACTTGCGGGTTTCAGCGATCAGCAGCTCGGAAATATCTCTGCAGACGCTCAATGCTCGCGGAGGTGGAACTGATGTAGAAGAGAGAGAATAGACTGATAATAACTACTTATTGAATATATCTTTTGAGCAGATCTGCTCGCATTAATTGCACAGCAAGAAATGAGTGTATGACATAATCGCTTACTCGCAGCTGTATTCTGGAGCCCGCTGCACAGATCAATTTAACGCTGCGCAGCGGTGGCCCGGCCACCATCTTTGTCTGCCTCCACGACGACCACCGCTGCTTCTCGAGTCTTTTCTGCAGGTTTTGAGGCTATCAATTAGTCGTGAAAGAGTGTGCTTTGCTCAATTGAACTGCTGATCGCTGCTCACTAGATCAAACAGTCTGACGCAGCAGCAGGGCGTGAGGCAGTCGCAGGTAGAGTCTATATGAGCATCTGAGAGTCTATGAGCAACTGAACAGAACCATGCCTACCTACGCTCAAGATCTGCCGCAGACAAAGCGATTTGATGAGTTCAAGACAATTGGTGAGTCTTCTTGACAATCACCTCCTTGCTTATTGATTGCATATCTGTTATTGCATATACTAACAGCCAGCAGACTGGGTCCAAGACGCCGCGCGCGACCAACTCCGCACTCGCCTGCGCAAGTCGCGCACCTTCCGCGTCTACGGCCGCGCAACCTTCTCCACCCTCGTCTCGCGCCTCACAGAACTGCTCGAGTCGATACAGGGCTGGCTTGTGCTAACGCTGATCGGCCTCGTCGTCGGCTCCTGCGCCGCAATCCTCAATATCGCGACCGAGTGGCTCTCGGGCTTCAAGTCGGGATACTGCAGCACCGGCTTTTACCTCAACGAGGAGTTTTGCTGCTGGGGCGAGGAGGACGGGTGTCCGGAGTGGCACGAGTGGTCGAGTTGGACGATCGTCAACTACGTCGCATTTATTCTCTTCTCGGTCGCCTTCGGCACCGCGTCCGCATACCTCGTCAAAATCTACGCGCCTACCGCAGCCGGATCAGGCATCTCGGAAATCAAGTGCATAGTCTCAGGTTTCGTCCTCAAGGGTTTCCTCTCCGGCTGGACCTTTGCCATCAAAGCCCTCGGTCTCCCTCTCTCGATCGCGTCCGGTCTGAGTGTCGGCAAAGAAGGCCCGAGTGTACACTACGCGGTTGCCGCCGGCAACGTGATTGCCCGACTCTTCCAGCGGTACCGGCACAACGCGACAAAGATGCGCGAGATCCAGACCGCGTGCGCGGCGACAGGTGTCGCAGTCGCGTTTGCGAGTCCGATCGGAGGCGTGCTGTTTTCGCTCGAGGAGATTTCGTCAAAGTATACGTTGCGGACGATGTGGAAGAGCTATTATTGCGCTATGGTTGGGATCGCTACTCTAGCTGTAGGTTCACCTGTCTGTGGCTTTATTGTGCTTTTGCTGACATCTTTAGGCATGGAATCCGTTCAGGACTGGACAATTGGTAATGTTCCAAGTACACTACGACCGCGACTGGCATTTCTTTGAGATCGTGTTTTACCTCGTCATCGGCATCTTTGGCGGTCTCTACGGCCTCTTCATTACCAAATTCTTCTTCATCGCGCAGTCATATCGCAAGAAATACCTCGCGAACTTTGTGCTCCAAGAGACGGCGGCGCTGGCGATGCTCACGGCCATGCTGTGCTACTTCAACATCTTCCTCACGATCGACATGACCGAGTCCATGCAGATCCTGTTTCGCGAGTGCATCGGCAGCGACGGCGGCGAGGTCGAGGATTACCACGGCCTGTGCTCGGCCGACAACCGGAAACGCATGGCGCTCGAGCTCGCGTACGCGGTCGTCGTGCGGTCGTTGCTCGTCATTGTCTCGTACGGGCTCAAGGTTCCCGCGGGCATCTTTGTGCCGTCGATGGCGATCGGCGCGTACTTTGGCCGCATGGTCGGAATCGGCGTCGAGGCGCTGTATGCCGCGCACCCAACATCTGCGTTCTTCTCGGTCTGTAATGGCGAGGAGCAGTGCATCACGCCGGGTACGTATGCGTTCTTGGGCGCGGCGGCGGCGTTGTCGGGCATCATGAACATCACGGTGACGGTCGTGGTCATCATGTTTGAGTTAACCGGTGCGCTGACGTACATTCTCCCCACCATGATTGTCGTCGGCGTGACAAAGATCATAAACTCGCGCTTCGGCAAAGGCGGCATCGCCGACCAAGCGATCGTCTTCAACGGCATGCCGTTTATCGACAACAAAGAAGAGCCCGAGTTCGACGTCAACGTCGCGGCCGCGATGACGAGCGAGTTGACTGTCTTCCCCGCGTACGGCATCACGCTGGCCGAGATCGAGACCGCGCTCGCGGAGAGCTCGTATGGCGGGTTTCCGGTAGTCGAAGATCGGCAGTCTATGCTGTTGATGGGGTTCATCGGCCGCGCGGAACTGATGTATGCGATCGAACGCGCAAAGGGGAACAGTGCAATCCAGCCCTCAGTCACATGTTTCTTCACGACCCCGGACCAAGACCCTGTGCAGATTCCGCGGACGTCGCGGAATCGAAGCACGATTTTTGAAGCGCCGCCGATAGACGCGGACGCGGCAGAGCGCAACGCGACGCAGGAGTTCGAGATGGGCGAGATGCTCGACCGTCAGGAGATCTCGTCTCCGTCCAATCTCGCCGTCGACAGCTCGGGTCCGACATCACGACCGCTTTCTCCCGCCCCACCGCCCTACTCCGAAGAAGGCTACGACATTTTCGGCAGCAGTCTCGTGGCGACTCCTCAGGAGAGCAGCAGCAGCCCTCCGAGCGACGAACCAGGTTTACACGTCGACTTTGCGCAGTTTATAAATCTTTCGCCGATCACGGTGAACCCGGATTTACCGCTCGAGGCGGTCGCGGAGACGTTTGTTCGCGTCGGGCCGAGGGTGGTGTTGGTTGAGGAGCGCGGGGTGTTGGTGGGGTTGATTACGCAGAAGGATTTGCTACGGTATCATTTTAGGCATCCGCATCTTCATCATTAGCTGTATTTTATGTCTTTGTTTCGGGTTATATAGAGATAAGTTTGTTTATAGAAGTGATAATTTAGACCATATCATTTACACTATATACTTCACATACCAGCAATTATTCATCTAATCGCGACATACAAAACCAACTAAATCAAACCAATTTTATCTCTAGGTTCATTATGTATATAATTATTTAATCGTTTTTTACTTCCAAACATAACTTGTATTCGATAACATCTCTCTTTCTTCTCCTAATCAATGATGGGAAGCAAGCGCGCTCGCCTTATCCTTGTTCTCGATCGCGCCCGCAATAGTCTCCTTGCCCTCGACGATCGCCTTGATTTTCTCATGAATATCCTTGTACGAGTGGAAGACGTGGTAGGGAATACCCTCACGCTCGCAGTAGGTGATCAAATCCCGCCCGACCTTTGCAAACAGCAAATCCGTCTCCTTCGCGGCCGACAAATCCGACACGCCGTCGCCGGCGTAGAACAGCATCGGTCGAGACTCGTCCGGGAGTTCGGCGAAGGGCTTGATGCAGCGGGACTTGTCGTGGCCGAAGCCGGACTCGTCGCGGTAGACGATGTCCCATGAGCCGTCGGGGTGGACGTCGACGTCGTTGGCGACGATCTCGATGGAGTCGGCGGCGTGCTGGCCGACGAGCTTGGTGAGGAGCGCGTGGATGATGGGTTTCATGCCGGACGAGACGATGATCACGGGGAGGCCTGCCTCCACGGACCACTTGTAAAAGTCGGCGAAGCCGGGGTCGAGCTCGACGTCTGAGGGGGTAAGTAAGTGGCTGTACTGTGCGGTTAAGGTAGTGAGAGAGACAACGTACGCGCTTTCAGGTACTCGATGCACTCGGGGAAAGGCTTCTTAACCGACTTGAGCATCTCTGTGAACGAATCTCTGTAATTTTCATATCAGCATCAGTCGCAGACAGATGGATAGAGAAGGTAGATACCTGAACGTCATCTTGTCCTCCAGCACAAGTCTGTTCAACTCCTTCCGTCTCTCCTCGCCGAAACCGATGTTGTCGGTCATGTAATCATTGCTGTCCTGTATTGACACGGGTGTGTTAGCGTCAATTGTAAGAAGGGGAGGGGGTAGATGTGTGTGGGTTGGCGTCGAGGTGGTGGCGATGACGTCGTGTCCTTTCTTCGTCCTCAACTTCGAGATAGCTTCAATTCAGACGACCTCAAACCTCAACTTCGAGATAGCTTCAATTCAGACGACCTCAAAGTTGACTGGCAGCTCTTCTTCTTCTAAGCAGCAATAATACCATTTCAAACAAGGAATTGTCGTCGAAAGCAACGAGCATCGCCGTCCCCAACTTCCACCATCCCACAGCCATGTTTCATACATCCCCCATCCCACACCCACACCACACACAGCACAATCATCTAGGAACCACAAACCTGGATGGTAACAGTGCCGTCCCAGTCCGTGAACAGCATAGCCTTGACGTTCGGAGCAACCAGCATTTTGTCAATTAGTTCTGTGTACTATTTTATATATATGTCAATCTCAGGCTCTCGAGAAAGGTGTCTGATGGAAGTATATGACGACGAGGAGGAAACAATCTGTGCCGCACGGAGCCTCTTTTTTATTTTTTTTTATTTTTTTTTTTATTTTTCATTGAAGTGGAATAGGGTTCGCAGATCCCGCCGGAGTTGCTAGTTTGGGGATTGCGTTCAAGGAATAACAGCAGACTGGAAAAGTGTTGGAGACTTTTGTCATAGTATTATCAATGGCTGACTGTATTTGTATTCTGATTTGGAGCACTCTGCGCAGAATGATCTTCTATTCATAGACTGTCCTTCTTTTAACCGGCAGCTTCTAAAATCCGAAAACCAGACATCCGACAATGACGTAGATGATCTCGATAGTTGATACTGATATTCATTGAAGCAACCTCAAATGCAAGCGCTTTTAAGTTCCTTGAAAAACGATACGATAAAACAGAAAAACCACAAAACTAAAACAGAACACCGCATTTTATTCGCGTAATCAATGCTTAAACTGCTCCTCCGTAACGCCCTTGCCCATCGCAGCCGTACTGCTCACGCCGCCCTGCACCATCTTCAACAGCGAATCAATGTACTCCGCGCCAGACCACTTCTGATGCTTGACGACCTCGACTCCGAGATCGATCTCGGGCTGCTGCACGTACTGGCCGTACGCGCGCATGCCGATCTCGGCGTACTTGCGCGAGAAGTCGTCGACCGCGAGCGCGGTCGTGTGCAGGCCCGCGAGCGTGATGAACTGCCAGACGTACCCGAGCTTGCCCAATCGCTTGATATACGTCTCTTGGTCCTCGACCGCCATCGCGGTCGTCCAGTTGAACGAGGGCGAGAGGTTGTACGCGAGCCACTGGTGCGGGTGCACGGCCTTGACGCCGAGCGCAAAGTCCTCAGCCTGCTTGTAGTCCGGGTACTTGCTCTCCATCCACAGCAAGTCCGCGTAGGGAGCATACGCGACCGCGCGCGCGACCGCGTAGGCGGTGCCGCCCTGGATGCGGTAGTATCCCTCGCGCGTGCGCGGCGCGTCCCAGTTCCAGAAAACGTCGAGTCCCGTGAGCTGCTTTGCGATGATGCGAGCCTCTTCGTTCGACTTGCCCTTGATTGCGGACTCGAACTTTGAAACCAGCGCGTCCTTGGAAGCGAACGAGCCGCTCTTGATGGCGTCAATCACGGCGTCCTTGTAGGTCTTGATTCCCGCAACCGCGATCCACTCGTCCTCGATCTTTTGCAGATCGGCGCCTTGCTTGCCCGCTTGCTCGGCCTTGATCATGATCGTGACGAGGTCGGGCAGCGTGGGGTTCGTCGAGCCGAGGATGAACGGGTGGTCGCGGTAGTCGATCGTCGAGGTGATGAGCGTCGCCGCCTCGGAGTCTGTCCGCGCGATCGCGAGCAAGTCGACGCCCATGATGTCGGCCTGCGCGCGGATCGCGACAAGACGGTTGATGTGCTCAGAGGTCGGGACGAGCACTTTGCCCGCCATGTGTCCGCACTTTTTAGTTCCAGGCGCCTGGTCCTCGATATGAATACCAGCAGCGCCGCGCTCGATGAACATCTTTGTGAGCTTGAGAATGGCAGTGATGCCGCCGTGGCCGGTATCAGCGTCGGCGATGAGCGGGCGCAGAAAGTCAATGTAGTTGAGCTTTGCGCGCTCGGAGGGTGAGACGGAGAGACGGCTCTCGCGCTGCTTGCGGTCGTGGAAGAGCTGCGCGAACCAGAGGTGCTCAACTTTGTTTGGGACGGTGTCCATCGGGTAGTCAGCGAGGTCGGGCGAGGGCTCGTTCGAGGTCGAGGCCGTGGAGGAGCATTGCCAGCCAGAGACGTAGATCTGGAGAGGAAGAGGAGGTTAGTGGGCAGATTCAGGGGGGACGCCACCGCCGCACTCGGGCGCACGCCAGACGATGAGAGGAGTCAGGCAGAGGAAGAGAGATGACTTACGGAGTCTAGGTATTTCGCCATCTGAGCGACGTGGATGGGGTCGAGAGCACCAAAGGTGAATGATACGGATTTGTTCTGGGGAGGTGTTAGTACGTTGCAGAGACGGAGGAGACACAAGCAGACACAAGCACGCGACAACATAGAGATCAACGAGGGAAGAGGATACGCACCTTGTCGTGCTCCTGCAAGAGAGCAAAGAGCTTTTTACTCATATCGCTGGAAGGGTAGGAGATCTTGAGAGAGCCACGCTTCTGGACGATGGATTCAGCGGTGTAGACGCGCTTGGTGTGTTTCCATCGGGGATCGGCCCACCACTTTTTGACGGCGGCGACGTCAGCCTCGTACTGGCGCTGCTCGGCGTCGAGGTCGATTGTAGAGTATGCCATGGCGAGGATAGTGAAGATAGTGTAAGAGAACAGAAGATAGAAGAGAAAGAGAGAGAAGATGAAAGGAAGGGGTGTGGGGAAACAAAGAAGGGCCGAGGAAGGGTATATGTATTTGTAGTCTATCGTTGTACGCCGGGCGAAGGGACGGCGAGCCGCGGTCAGACTCTTCTCTGCCCTCAACTCTCCTTGTTTTCTGCCTTTTCGCCCTCTGCTCTCTGCGCCCTGTGAGTAATTCTCTTCTCACGTGTGCCGACGCCGTCCCCGCATGAATGGCGGCCCGTCGGCGCCGGCTCGGACCCCAGCGCGCAGTTATACCGCGGGCGCGGTAGAGTTCAGATATAGTATTGCACAGGTGCTACCGCCCGCCCACTCTCCGCCCGGTGATTAAACTCTACTCCGCCTTCGCCCCCGCGTTTGCTGATCTGCGCGCGAGCCGAGGACTGGCGTGCGGCTCGCAGCCCGAACCCTGCTCCGCTCCGCCATCACATGTTGGCCGACGTTCTTCCGGCCTTTGTCTGGCGCTGCCCGCACGTGCGGCAGGCGTCGGGAGTCTGTCTGTCTGTTTCGTCGCGTCGCGTCGCTGGCTGCTCGTCCATCCCGATATCGACAGCTTCACCGATTGTGCCTCTCTGCCTCCTCCCGACCCGATAACTTCCCTCGGCCCCCCGACGACTCTTCTCTGTCCGCTTGCCGAACCTCTCTATTACTCTACTCTACTCTACTCTACTCTACTTACTCTAGACCTGCTTCGACGCATTTATCCTCACGTGATCTGACAAATACAGCCAAACAGTCCTCCTGCTCTCCTCTCGCTCTCACAGCACCCGCCCAACAGCATGGCGAGCAGCGCGTCCTCGACTCGCTCGGCCGATTACTATCCTGCGCCTGAGTTTCCAGACCAGTCTGGCCCGTTGCCGGGAAAAGACATCGTGCTGTGCTTTGACGGCACCGCGTCTAGATTCGGACATAGCAGGCCTTCGAATGTTTTGAAACTGTATCAGATGCTGAGCCGCGATTCTGAGCAGATCAATTACTACCAACGTCTGTACTTTTGATCTCTCCTCACTCAGCCTAATACTAACTTGCAGCAGCCGGCATCGGAACCTACATCGGCTCCGAAAGCGACGACTCCATCTCGTCTAAATACCGCTCCTTCCTTCTCGCCCTCGACTCTGTGATCGCCTACTCCTTCGACGACCACATCATCGCCGGCTACCGCTTCCTCCTGCGCTACTTCTCCGCCGGCGACCGCATCTGGCTCTTTGGCTTCAGCCGCGGCGCCTTCACCGCGCGCGTGCTCGCCTCCCTCGTCAGCTGCGTCGGCATCCTCGACCGCGGCGGCGAGGAACTCGTCCCCTGCGCGTGGGAGATTTACAAAAACTGGGAGGCGCACGGCACGCCTGAGGATCCGCGCTGTCGGGCGACGGCGCTGGTCAACGACTTTAAGCGCAGTTTCGCGAGCCAAATGCCGGATGTGTATTTCTTAGGTTTATGGGACTCAATCGACTCTGTTGGGCTGTTGAGGAACCGCAACTTTCTAAAGTCAGCTAGAGCAGCTACCCTGCATCTCCGCCACGCGCTCAGCATCGACGAGCGCAGATCCACGTTCCGACACAGCTCGATCGCGACTTTGAACCACAAATCATCCCGCCACTCCGAGGATAATTCTGGATACTGGTTCCCGACCGAGGACGAGAACGAGAACGACGTCGTCGAGCGCTGGTTCCCCGGAAACCACGGCGACGTCGGCGGCGGATGCTGGCCGCGCGAGGATGAGCGCGGGTTGCCGCAGCTTGCGGACGTTAGTTTGCTGTGGATGGTTTACGAGGCGCGCGCGCTAGGTCTCTCGTTTGCCGACGACGCGATCGCCGCGCTTTCGAGCAGGAGTAGTAGTACCAGCACGCGGGACATCATCGCCGCAAAAGCACACGACATGCTCTCGTTCACGCGAGATAAAGGCAAAGGCCGCGCGACTGCGCTAAAGTGGTGGGCGATCGAGCTCTTACCCTGGCCGTACGTCGTCGTGCAGCGCGACGGGCGGCAGCAGCGCAAGTGGGCGCCGAATCTGGGGAGGAGGAGGAAGATTCCTGGGAACGCGACGATGCATTGGGCGGTGAAGGTTAAGACGGAGGGGGATGCGGGGTATAGGCCGCGCAACGTGCCGGCGTCTGTGAGGTTTGAGGGGGTGAGTGGTGCTGTGTGAGCTTTGAAGGAGGGAGTGATGATGGGTGAGGGCAAGATCTGTTTTCTGTCTGTTCTGGTTCTGTCTGCTTTTTAGACCTCTTCAGCGTTCAAGTGCTGTAGAGGAACTTGGTGTCGTTATGTTTTTGCTTCTACGATACCAGGCTTTGATTAATAAATACAGTCAACTATTACAAAAAAGACATCTACACAATAGGTTGCATCTAGACGCGTTTGTCTTGAAGTAACGCGTAGATTGATTGCCGCATTGGTGTAGTGTCAACAAATGCAGTAATCCAACCCCGATATTCTTCCACAGCAACAAAGCTCGCAAAAATAATTCCATTACATCCCATCGATTATATCTCTATATTCTCAAAGGAAAAGTTGTTGAGTTGAATGGGAAAACCGAGAAAGAGTGATGCTCCGCTTCAGATGCGGCGTGCGCAAGCAAGGGAGCTCAAACACGCGTTCTCCTCGATCGAGAAAACCTCCCACTTCCAGTTCCATCACACGCGCCCTCCTCCGCACCCAGCATCCCACACTCGCTTGTCGCGTCCTAACACATCTTTCTTGTATAAAAGATATGGAAACACCAGAGTCAAGACACGCGGGCGAACCGATTGAGATCGACGACGACGACCGCGCCGAGGAGACACTGCATACGCCCGCGCCAGCGACGAGTAGCACAGGTCCGTTTAACGGTACGCGCGGGTCTATATCCGGCGGCCGTAAGAAGAAGTCCTCACTCACCAGCACGCCGTCATCCGCCACCGGCTCGAAATCCTCGTCGAGGAAGAAAGACGACGCGGGAAAGCCGAGATCGACGCCGACGACGACAAATGAGGAAGATGACGGGCCGACGGGACAGACGACGTTACCGCTTGCGAGGGTGAAGAAGATTATAAAGCTTGACGAGGACGTGAGGGCGTGTTCGAACTCTGCTTCGTTTGCGGTGACGGTTGCTACGGTATGTCTGTGTTTCTATGTTGCGCAGGACGCGTGCTCGGGGTGGAGATGGCTGACGGTTGACGGTGTAGGAGATGTTCATCCAATATCTCTGCGAGAAGAGTTTACAAATGTCAAAGAGCGATAAGCGCAAGACTTTACACTACAAAGACTTAGGTACGCGTTTGTCTTCTGTGTTAAGTGGAAAGGGCAGGCGACTGATTTCTATGAATGTTTAGCGTCCGCGGTACATAAACTTGATGAACTCGAGTTCCTGTCAGGTACGGTCACCATTCCCTTCTCTTCTCGAAAAGAAGATAGCTAATGACTTGCACAGATGTGATCCCGCGAACAGTACCCCTGCAGAAAGTCCTCAAAGACCGCCGTGCGCGCGCCGAAGTCGACGGCCAAGGCTACCCCTCCCACTCCGCATCCTCAACCAGCGGCACCGCCAAACCCGCGGGCAAAAGCCAGCAAACCCTTTTAAAAATCCCCGTGCTCGAAACCCCAACAGGAGCAGAGCCGATGAGCGTTGTGCTGCCCCGCCAGCAGCAGCAGCGGGCGCCGGGCGGGCCGAGTATGGTTATGCTTGATTATTCGCAGGAGACGGAGGAGGAGGAGGATGAGAACGGGACGGAGGTCGAGGAGGAGAGGTCTACGGCTACGGGCGAGAGGAGCGACGCGGGGATGCATGCGCCTGTGGAGGAGATGGAGTTGGATAACTAGTAGTCAATAGAATAGCTGTAGTAAGAAGAGAGTATAAGAACAAACCCCTCGTTAATGTAAACTAGGTGGTTTGAGTAAATTAAGGGGACTCAGCGGGCGGCCAATCAGCGCCGCGAGAAACGGGTTTGCGACCAGCGGCGGTCGAAGCGGCGAGGATGGGCGGTCGGAGGAGCAGAACAGAAACCTTTTGTCCGTCGAATTCAACACCCGACTCTTTCTTTCTTCTCTTATTCATCTTCTTATTGTCTGTCTGTTGCTTGAATTGCTCAGAAGCAAAGCTTTTACACAGACATATAAGCCCATTCTCAGCATCTCCTCTCCTCATCAGCAGATTTCCAGTTTTTCCGTGCTCGGGTTCTGCTCACTTCTCTCTCAACTTCCTGTCCACGACTTATCTCGACCGCGACAGAATATTCCAATCCAATCAAAACCCACACAATCTCTTATAAGTTAGAAAATGGCTTCCCGTGCTATTATCCGGTCTACTCAGAGCCAGCTGGCGGCGAGCGTCAAGTGCTCGGCCGTTGCTAAGCCTCTCGGATCCGCGGCTGTCTTTGGTATGTTTTTTGTTGCTTTGGGTGGTAGTGATCAAGTCCTCGGGGGAAGTCGTTTTTCGGAAAGTGGTTATGATGTTTGGAGAAGTGATTAGTTTGTAGTTGGAATAATACTGGAGGACTGTTGACAATAACTACAGCACACACTAACTCTTCACAGACCAGAAGCGGTACGCGTCCAACTTCTACACCACCGACAACACATACAAGGTCCCCGACTTTAGCCATTACCTCAAGAAAGGCAAGGGCGACGACACCTCGCGCGTGTACTCATACTTCATGATTGGCTCCCTGGGCCTTCTCTCCGCCGCCGGCGCAAAGGCCACCGTCCAGGACTTTTTGTCAAACATGTCCGCCTCCGCCGACGTCCTCGCGCTCGCAAAGGTCGAGGTCGATCTCTCGTCGATCCCCGAGGGCAAGAACGTCATCATCAAGTGGCGCGGCAAGCCCGTCTTCATCCGCCACCGCACCTCGCACGAGATCGCAGAGGCGAACGCCGTCAACGTCGCGTCCCTCCGCGATCCCCAGAACGACGCGGACCGTGTGAAGAAGCCCGAGTGGCTTATCATGCTCGGCGTTTGCACTCACTTGGGTTGTGTGCCTATCGGTGAGTCGGGCGAGTTTGGCGGTTGGTTCTGCCCTTGCCACGGTTCCCACTACGATATCTGTAAGTCCACCCTCAACTCTAGCATCTAGTTCTCTAGATATCTATATCTCTCACTCTTCAACTACTAACTCTCCCCCAGCCGGCCGTATCAGAAAGGGTCCCGCCCCTCTCAACCTCGAGATCCCCGAATACGAATTCTCGGCCGAGGACAAGCTCACCATCGGTTAAACCCTCTTCATCTTCTCATCTCTTCTATTTCAATTCCCTTTCTTCCTTTCAATTTCTAGTTTTCTCCCTTTTCATTTTCATATATAAATTGGACAAAAAAATACGATATAAACGTGCTTTGTGTGTTAGTTAGTTTAGTTGTCATTAATCATAATTTCTCATTTACGATGCATGTATATTTGTGAATATATGTACATTTCTTATATCTTCTGGCCGTGCGTAGATTTGCTATCTTCGTGTGTCGGATACCGCTTGGATAGCTGTAGATGGGGGGTGTCTTTTGGTAAGTCTGAAGATTCGTATATCTGTACACGGTAGAGATTGTGATTGTATATTACTATTACTATTACTATTACTATTACTATTACTATTACTATTACTATTACTATTACTATTACTATTACTATTACTATTACTATTACTATTACTATTACTATTACTATTACTATTACTATTACATTACAAAATTCAACAAACTATCCAAACTACAGCCACACAAGACGTTACTGCCTACATATCTCACGCTAGAAACAACAATGAACAATCGCATCAACATTCGACAAACAAGGCAGTCTCAAAAACCAGCAGACGAAAGCTCATGCAGCAATCTGAGCAGAAGCAGTCTGAGCACTCGCACTCGCACTCGCACTCGCCCTGCAATTAACATAAACCCACTGCCCATCCAACATTTTCTCCTTCGCCACCTCACTCTTCGTCGACACCTTGTCGACCTCAAAGTGCGTAAACTGGTGGACGCTAGTATCAGCATAGCCAACCCACTGCAGCGAGAAAAACCGCAGGACGGAAAGCAGCGAGAGGCCGAATTGGTTCTTGTCTGCGAGCTTTTTGACGATGAAGTCGGTGTCGCCCGGGACGAGGTAGATTAGGTCTTGTTGCGTTGTGCTTGTAGTAGAGGAGGAGGAGGAGGTGATTGGGTAGGCGATCGACTCGAGCACGATGTCGGAGATTGAAGAACACACGACGGTCGTCAGCGCAAGCGTGATCTTGCTGTTCGCGTCCGTGAACCCCGAGTCGTCATCAAACACGAGGTCCGTATCCGCCTTCTCGAGCGCGGCCGCGAGCAAGTTGCGCTGCCGCCTGAGGTAGGTATAGTACGTGTCAAACACGTACCAGTTCGTGCTGCTCACGTTCTTGCTCAGCGTGGGGATATACCCGGTCGACTTGAAGTTGTCGCCAAACACGAGCGTGTGCGTGTACGCGAACCCGATCTGCACGATGAAGGTCGAGTAGAGCGAGAGCGCGGAGAAGAAGTAGCCCGCGCGCGTCTTGGCCTCGGCGGAGTACGCCGAGCTCTTGACGTAGCCGAGAATCGTGCTGCTCGCGCCCCAGGCTATGCTCAGCGGGGTGATGAAGTTGGGGATCGTGGTCGCGAGGAATTCGTCGATGTCGCCGTTCGAGAAGAGGGTCTTGTGGATCGTCCGCGTGGGGGCGGCGAGGGGCACGCTCGAGGGGGCGGCGCTATCTTGGGTCGTGGGGATCTTTTTCACGGCTGTCAGGCTGTTGAATGCGATTCGGCAGACCAGACCAGCCAAAGCAATGTCGGGGGCGGAAGCCGCTGGATCAGCGACAGGGGTAGTAGTCGTTACGAGAGTATCAGCTGCAGCGCTTCCGCGGGTGGAATCAGATTGCCCTTCGTCGGCGCTCAAATCTCCTGGCTGGGTGCCCAGTCCTTTCTCGACCTCTGATCAAATGTCAGTCAGCAATCATTCAGTAGATTCAGGTATATAGGGACTTACTGCTAATATCAGCGATCGTGTTGCTGCCGACGGTATCCCCACTGCTGGGGGAGGAAGGCGCACCAGTACTCCCGGTTTTCGATGCAGACGAGTGAATAGTAGAGGTGGGGGAAGGCGCATTCATGCTTGCAGCTTTTGGTGCAGTCTTCCCATCCGCAAAGTTGGCAGTCTTCTGATCCGCAAATTTGGCAAGCCAGCCCGAGATTGAATCATCATGCACGAGCATATGATAAGTCGTGTAGTATTTCTCAGCAGTAGTAGCGTCACCATCGGCAGGGGTATTACCCAACCCCAGCATCGCCCAGCGATCTCTAATCTGACTAAACCTCACCTTTTGCGAATTCAAAAAGATCCTTTGAATCAAGTCAATCTCCTCACGAACTTTCTTCTTCTCGTCGTCGGTGAGCTTGTAAAGACCCTTGAAGTCCGCGGCGGTCAGGTTCCATTTCAGCAGGTCGTTTGCGGCGGGCGAGGTCGAGTTTAGCGGATCGGGGTTGAAGGAGAAGTCGGGGGTGGGGGTGGTGGTGGAGGCCGTCGTGGAAGTAGAGGCCGTCGTGTTGGCGGTGAGAGTATCGTCGCTTCCCTCGTCGGTACTGGTTGGGCTCTTATAATTGATAATCGCCCTAATCTTATCAAAGTACTTGTCAACAGCCTCCCTCAACGCCTTGCTTGTCTCGCTGTCTTTATCAGCAGCCTTCTTGTAATAGAAATTGTCCAGCTCGTCTGTGCTCTTGATATCCGCCCACAGCTGCTTTGCGACTTTCTTCTTCACAGCCGGATGCAAAAACACATAGAGCAGCTGCACGGCCGAGATAGTCCCGTAGACGAGGATATAGCCCACCAGGAAGATCGGCCAAAACAACGCGATCCAGCCGATATGCGCGACCTTGACGTTCGTGCTGCTTGTATCATTCTCCGGGTCCAGATCAGGCTCTTTCCAAGTCCCAGTCGTGACGTCCTCCATCGTCTGCGTGATCTCCGCGCCATCGACGAGGTTGCGCCCGAGATTGGCCGCGTACCAGAGGTTCGCAAACACTTGCTTGAGCGTCACCAGCAGCGGGTTGTTTTTCACTTTGAGCGAGAGGTTTTGCTGCTCGATCGCGTCTTTGTCAAGCGGTAGGCTTTGCGCGAGGATGCGGGCGTACTGTTCGCGGGACTTTGCGTTCTTGAGGCGGGATACGTTGAGGCTGACGACGGGGGTGTGGGTTTGCCAGAGAGAGAAGAGTTGGGTTTTTAGGTGTGCGGCGGTGGAGGTGGTTGTGGTTGTGGTGGAGACGGTGGAGTCTGAGGGGAGGGTGAAGAAGGCGGATTTGTAGTGGGCGAGGGGGACGCGTAGGGCATCGTCGTCTAGCTTTTTGATCTCGAAGGACTTCGCGTAGGCGAGACTGGTGGGGGATTGCACGTCGCTCATGGTGATGATGAGGTGGAGAAGGAGGGGGAGGAGGGGGAGGGGCAGGGATGTATTATATACGAGGTGGAACGATATCGTGAGCCCTCATCAGCCGCTTTCAAGATAGACGATAGCGACATTGTTGAAGAAGAACGGGACTCCCGAGGAGCACTCGGTCAGCCGCCCTCAGATGATGCTGATCCTGGACGTGAGTCTGGATGTGAGTAGAACAGGGATAGAAAGAGAGCAGAGAAGGAGGAGGGAATGTGATGTATCATCCCCGGCTAATCCCCGAGCTGATCGCTGGCAGTGGCCCCGGCGCTAGGCGCGATCTAGCCGAATCTCTGAACCCTCTTTGTCTCTTGCTCTTGTTCTGTGTGTTTTGTATATATAGTCGTCGATATAGAATAACTCATCACTAACTCACTTCTACACTAATCTACTCTTTATATAAGTAAGTACAGCAGCGTCGTGGCGACGGTGGTGCTAGCCGTCTGACATACCAGACTTGCTACCGCGCGGCTGCTGACTTCCTCAAGATGATGGTAAATGGTGATGATGATAAATCTCTGTTTTGAGTCCGTTGCAACAACCAGATCATGACAGACTAGATGATGATAGTATGTCATTGTGATATCATGTCATTGAATGCCTTCAGTAATGCAAAAAGCAACTAAAACGACTCTTCCCAGGCTCCACGACGAAACCCCTGCGCCCCCGCCTCCCGCCCCGTCTCCTCCGCGGCACTAAACGGCATATAATCCGCCCCCGCCTCCATCCCCTCCATCCCCATCTTCTCGTTCGCAGCAGCGGGATCTGCTATCGACTCGACCATCTTGTTGCCCTGCACGACGACCTCTTTGTCGCGCAATCGCCGCATCAGCGCGAGGAATGTGCTTTCTTTGAATTTCTGGGACTGGTTGTCGCGCAGGGATTGGAGTAGGTCGCCGGCTACTGCGGATAACCCGTCGTCGTCGTCGTCGACTTCTGGCTTTGCGGTTTGGACGGGCTCGTCTTGGACTGTTTGTGAAGAAGTGGTGGTGGCGGTTTCTTGTTCGATCTGGTCGAATGCGTCGTCGAATACTTTTTGTTGCTGTTGTTGTAGATGCGCGGGTTCGTAGGCTTGTTCGGTGTTGTTGTATGCAAAGTTGTTGTACATGCCGGTGGTAGGCATGGCCGAGAATGTAGGCATGTAGGGAGTCGGAGTCGTCATCGGCTGCTGCTGCGACGACATTATCGGCTGCTGCTGGGAAAGTGCTGGCGCCGGCTGCTCGAGGAACTGCATAAAGTCCTGATGCCATGACTCCATGCTCTGCTGTGGGTGCTGCTGCTGCTGATGATGAAACTGCGCTTGTTCTTGCTCGAAGATTGCTTGTAGATGTCGCTGCTGCTGCTGCTGCTGCTGCTGGGCTATCGACAAATGCGAAAACTCCCTAGCTACGAGGTCGGGGTTGCCCCCCTGTTGCGCGACAAAGGACGAAAACTGCGCGTCGAGGGCGTGTGCTTGTCCGTCATGCTGCTGATCTCTGGATCTGAAGCCGGCGGCGGAAGAGGAGGAGGAGGAGGAGCCGAACCGGTCTTGCTGGAGGGATCTATCGGCGCCGGCGTGCTTCTGCAGCGCGGTGAGGGGCGTTGACGGGCCGCATGATGCGTCCATCGTGTGGGAGAGGAGTGGTTCAGTGCGGTGAGACTGAGAGAGACTGGGTGAGAGGTGGTGAAGGAGGGTGGAAGGATATTTGCTCGAAATGGGAGCAGATGGGTTGAGTAATCAGGGTGCGGGGCGTAGATGGAAGACGAGGCAGAGAGAGAGCCGAGGTAGACTGTATAGCCACTGTGGCGGTGTGGCAGTGCCACCTGTACTGAGATGAAGACGATATTGTAGGTGGTGTTGTAGGATTAGTAGATGAGTTGTAGATGTTTAACTTGTATTATAAGAAGATAGATGTAGTAAAAGTTATTAATAGTGGGTTGGTTTAGGTGGTGGTGTGGTGGTGTTGATACTAGTGAACTGTGAACAGCATCCAACGATAAGCAGATACAAGTAGACAAGCAGGCAAGAAGGCAGTCCGAGTGAATAGTTTACTGGATTACTTGTCTACTTTTCCTCTATAGTTAGCTGTTCAGAGTAGGTAGAGTAGAGTAGGTAGAGTAGAGAGAGAAAGCAGAGAAGAGCATTACTAACACCACACGATTAACAAGAGTAAGAACAGAGTCAGCTTCCGTCGGAGCTCGGAAGGCGCGAGGGATCCCCGCAATTACCCGATTCCATCATTCGGCAGACCCCAACTCGCGTAGGTCGGCGACGAGTGAAAATTCGTTTTCTTCTGTGCTCTTTCTGTTTCTGTTTCTGTGCTTTTATGTGTGTTGTTTGAGATGACTTGGGTATGGAGTGGATGTATGTGGGTGAGGTTGTTGTTAACAACATGAGATCTGATATGATAAGAAGCAGCAGTTCAGCAACAGTCAACAGCAGTCAACAGCAGTCAACAGCAGTCAACAGCAGTTCCTAGAAGAGAGTACACCGAGGAAAGACACTGCACTCAGTGAATCGTCTGTTCGATATCTATCATCTATACCTCTGCATGCTACTGTCAGGCTATACACAACAGCAATCTTCACACTGCACACAGTCAGACGCAGAAGATAGAGTACACAGCCATGTCTCAGCACAGCACAGCACAGCACACAGCGCTGAGAGTACTGCTTGCTATGGAGCAGACTACAGCAGAATCGAAGTGACAAGGCTGGTTGAGTGGCCAAGAGAAGGTGAGATATTGACTGAGAGATAAGAAGAAGCCGGTGTCTGTCGGCACTCAGACGGTGGAGAAGGTGGAGGGCAGAGCTGTTGAGGGGAACTGAGTGAGGGGAGCAGAGTGAGGGCAGAGTGGGTGGGCGCCCTTGTCTTTCACTGTCTTTGTCTTCTTTGTGTGTCTTCTGTCTTCTGTCTGTATCTGAATGCTGAGGAAGAGAACACTGTTGAATAAGTACTGACAAGTATTGTCTGCTGAGTACATCTTCTTCTCTTCTTCTCTTCTTCTCTTCTTCTCTTCTTCTCTTCTTCTCTTCTTCTCTTCTTCTCTTCTTCTACAATCACTATTACTCCACTCTTCACTCCTTCACAGTAGTGACCGAGTGGGGGTGGGGAAACTCGGCGTGTCGTCGGCCTCGTCTGCGCTTCAAAAGTTTTGCCTGCGATTCTGCATTGGGTTAGGGCCAATTCGACTCTCTTGCTCGTCGACACAGGCCCCTGAGTCTTACATCCTCGTCATCGCTCGACTCGGCCCTCGCGCTTTAATGCGCCCACGCTCGCTCGTCACCTCACTTTCTCTTTGTCTCTCCTCCTCCTCCTCTTCCTCCTTCACTCTCTCATCACTCTCACCATGAGCGCTCTTGAGGAATACGCAAACGCGGCCGATACATCCACTCTCTCCACCATGCAGCGCATGCGTGAGCAGACCTCCGTCTTGGGATCCATGAACAAGATCCTCGGTTAGTGCTTCGTGCTTTTTTTTTCCTTCTCTCTTCTTCCTCCTCCTCCTCTCCCCTCCTCCTCCTCCTCCTCCTCTCTCCATCAATCATCCTTCTCTTCATCTCCATCATCTCTCTAACATGTCTTCTCCACAGTCGCCAACCGCGGTGAAATTCGTACGTCATTGTCCCTCCTCGATCCACCTCCCCTCACCTCTCTAACCTCCTCCAGCTATCCGAATCTTTCGCACCGCCCACGAGCTCTCCATGCAGACCGTCGCCATCTTCTCCTACGAAGATCGTCTCTCCATGCACAGACAGAGTACGTCCTCTTATATCTCTTCTTCCCTCCCTCTTCATATCCTCTCTAACATCCCGCAGAGGCCGACGAAGCCTACGTTATCGGCAAGCGCGGCCAGTACACCCCCGTCCAGGCCTACCTGCAGATCGACGAAATCATCAAGATCGCAAAGCAGCACAACGTCAACATGATCCACCCCGGCTACGGCTTCCTCTCCGAAAACGCAGAGTTCGCCCGCAAGGTCGAAGAGGCCGGCATCGCCTGGGTCGGCCCTCCCCACACCGTCATCGACGCCCTCGGTGATAAGGTTTCCGCCCGCACGATCGCTATCCAAAACAACGTCCCCGTCGTCCCCGGCACGCCCGGTCCGATCGAGAATGTCGAGGAGGCCGTCGCCTTTGTCAAAGAGTACGGCTACCCCGTCATCGTCAAGGCTGCCTTTGGCGGCGGCGGTCGCGGCATGCGTGTCGTCCGCGAAGGTGACAACATCGAGGACGCCTTCCTGCGAGCTTCGTCCGAGGCAAAGTCCGCCTTTGGCAACGGCACCGTCTTCATCGAGCGCTTCCTCGACAAGCCCAAGCATATCGAAGTCCAATTGCTCGGTGACTCCGAGGGCAACGTCGTCCACTTCTTTGAGCGCGACTGCTCCGTCCAGCGTCGTCACCAGAAAGTCGTCGAGATCGCGCCCGCAAAGGACTTGCCAAAGTCTGTCCGTGACGCTATCCTTAAAGATGCCGTCCGTCTTGCTGCCTCGGTCAAGTACCGTAACGCCGGTACTGCCGAGTTCTTGGTCGATGCCCAGAACCGTCACTACTTTATCGAAATCAACCCGAGAATGTGAGTGTCTCTTATTCTAATAAATTATAGTGACTTTTTCTAACAGTATATACAGCCAAGTCGAGCATACCATCACTGAGGAAATCACTGGAATCGACATTGTTGCCGCGCAGATCCAGATCGCGGCTGGTGCTACTTTGGCCCAGCTTGGTCTGACTCAGGACCGCATCACCTACCGTGGCTTTGCCATCCAGTGCCGAATCACGACCGAGGACCCGACCAAGAACTTCCAGCCGGATACCGGCAAGATCGAGGTCTACCGGTCCTCCGGCGGAAACGGCGTCCGTCTCGATGGTGGAAACGGATTCGCGGGCGCGATCATCTCGCCTCATTACGATTCGATGCTGGTCAAGTGCACCTGCTCTGGCTCGACGTACGAGATTGCTCGTCGTAAGATGATCCGTGCGTTGATCGAGTTCCGTATCCGCGGTGTCAAGACCAACATCCCGTTCTTGCTCGCTCTGCTCACGCACGAGACTTTTATCAAGGGCACTTGCTGGACCACTTTTATCGATGACACGCCTGAGCTGTTTGACATGATGATTTCACAGAACCGTGCGCAGAAGCTTCTCGCGTACCTCGGAGATCTTGCTGTCAACGGCAGTTCGATCAAGGGCCAGATCGGCGAGCCCAAGCTCAAGTCGCCTGTTGTGCTCCCGATCCTGAAGGACGGCACCGATGCACCGTTGGATGTGTCGTTCCCGTGCACGGAGGGATGGCGCAACATCTATGTCGAGAAGGGCGCGGACGCGTTTGCAAAGGCGGTGCGCGCGTACAAGGGCACGTTGATCATGGACACGACGTGGCGCGACGCGCACCAGTCGCTTCTGGCGACGCGAGTGCGGACTGTCGACTTTGCGAACGTGGCGCTGCCGACCTCGTACGCGTACTCGAACGCGTTCGCGCTCGAGTGCTGGGGTGGAGCTACGTTTGATGTCGCGATGCGGTTCCTGTACGAGGATCCGTGGGACCGTCTGCGCAAGCTGCGCAAGCTTGTGCCGAACATTCCGTTTCAGATGCTGCTGCGTGGCGCGAACGGAGTCGCGTACTCGTCGCTTCCGGATAACGCGATTGATCATTTCTGCGAGCAGGCCAAGAAGGCGGGAGTTGATATCTTTAGAGTGTTTGACGCGCTCAACGATCTCGACCAGCTCAAGGTGGGTGTTGACGCTGTGCGTAAAGCGGGGGGTATTATTGAGGCTACGGTGTGCTACTCGGGCGACATGTTGAACCCGGCCAAGAAGTACAACTTGGCGTACTACCTCGAGGTTGTGGACAAGATTGTGGAGATGGGCACGCATATTCTTGGAATCAAGGATATGGCGGGCACGATGAAGCCCAAGGCGGCGACGCTTTTGATTGGCGCGGTGCGCGAGAAGTACCCCGACTTGCCGATCCATGTGCACACGCACGACTCTGCGGGCACCGGAGTTGCGTCGATGGCGGCTGCTGCGGAGGCGGGCGCGGACGTTGTGGATGTTGCGACGAACTCGATGTCGGGCATGACTTCGCAGCCGTCGATCAGCGCGCTGCTTGCGACGCTCGAGGGCACGATCGACACCGGCTTGAACGTCGACCATGTCCGGGAGATTGACGGGTACTGGGCGCAGATGCGTCTGCTGTACTCTGTCTTTGAGGCCGATCTCAAGGGCCCCGATCCGGAGGTGTACAGCCACGAGATTCCGGGCGGACAGCTTACGAACTTGTTGTTCCAGGCGCAGCAGCTGGGTCTGGGTACGCAGTGGCAGGAGACCAAGCACGCGTACGTGGAGGCCAACAAGTTGCTGGGCGATATCGTGAAGGTGACGCCTACGTCGAAGGTTGTGGGAGATCTTGCGCAGTTTATGGTGTCAAACAAGTTGTCGGCGAAGGATGTGGAGGAGCGCGCCGCGAGCTTGGACTTTCCGGACTCTGTGCTTGATTTCTTGCAGGGCATGATCGGGCAGCCGTACGGCGGATTCCCGGAGCCGCTGCGCACGAACGCGCTGCGTGGCCGTCGCGAGAAGCTGACGGAGCGGCCGGGCAAGACGTTGCCGCCGGTTGACTTTGCGGCGGTGCGCAAGATGCTGGAGGGCAAGTACGGCAAGATGCGCGAGAGCGATGTTGCGTCGTACGTGATGTACCCGAAGGTGTTTGAGGACTACCAGGACTTTGTGCAGAAGTTTGGCGATCTGTCGGTGCTGCCGACCAAGTACTTTTTGGGCAAGCCGGAGATCAACGAGGAGTTTAGCGTTGAGATTGAGCAGGGCAAGATTCTGATTATGAAGTTGCTTGCGATCGGCCCGCTTTCAGCGCACACCGGCCAGCGCGAGGTGTTTTTCGAGCTCAACGGCGAGATCAGACAGGTGACTGTCGACGACAAGAACTCGTCGGTGGAAGCGGTCTCGCGGCGTAAGGCGGACCCGGTCAACCCGTCGCACGTGGGCGCGCCGATGGCGGGCGTTGTGATTGAGGTGCGGGTGAAGGACGGGTCGCTTGTGAAGAAGGGAGATCCGATTGCGGTGCTGAGCGCGATGAAGATGGAGATGGTGATTTCCGCGCAGGCGTCGGGTAAGGTGAGCGAGATTTGCGTGCGGGAGGGGGATTCTGTTGATGGATCTGATTTGATTTGCACGATTGCGAAGGCTGAGTAGTGCTGTGTTTAGTTGTTTTAGTTAGTTAGTAATTTAGTTACATATCATATTTACATGTTCAGTCAGTAATCTAGCATAACAGACAGGTAGAAGAAGTGAAGCCGTCAGTAGCCGAGGTGGATGGGAAGAAGAAGAGCGGATAGAAGGAGGAGTCGGGAACCAGGCATCCGCGCGAGACCAGGTGAGCGCAGAGATAGTCAGTCCGGTGCGGTTCTTGGTTTTATGGTCCATCGCCCGTCGGCAGAAGTGCCTGTATCCGATTGGGATGAGGATGTCGACTCGCTCGACACAGGGCCGGGAACAGAACACATCGAGACGGGGTAGGAGCAAAGGCCGAGGAGGGGAGGAGGAGGAGGAGGACGCCGGGGGATCTACGCGGTCGTCGGTCTACTTGACGCTCTCTCGACTACCTGATCGCAGTTGATCTCGTGAACTACAGCAGATATCTCTCTGTGTATTTGTTGTGTTGATGATGGTGTATTGCAGTAGAAGTAGTCAGACTGAAGAGACCCGGGTATATGGTGCAGGAAGGTGCCGAGCATAGCCCGAATCCGGGGTAACAGCCAGGCCAGCTGCCATTCATAGCCACCGCTTCGAGCTTGTGTATTGTTTATGGATTAAGATGCTTTGATAAACTATTAACAATACTTTTGTTGCTATATCATATATACATCCAACGCCGAAAATGCCCTACTCTACAATCTAAACATCATGCAACATCCAGATATATCTATATCTAGATATCAGAAATAACACACCGCATGCAGCGCAGGAAACCTCGGAAACTCCTCCTGCCACTCCGCCAGCACGTCCATAATCACCTCATCCACGTCCTCGCCCGCCCTACTCGCCGCGCTCAGCTTATCCGCCAACCCCAGAATCGCCTGCCCGCCCAGCGCCGCCTCCTCGACGTTATCCTTGATATCGACGTTGACCACATGCGCGGCCTTGTTCAGGTTCTCGCCCCGGTTCAGCAGGTCGTCGCACACCGCGTCGAAGCACCGCTCTTCGCACGTAATCACCACGTCAAACACGTTCTTCTGCTCCTGCCACCGCTCCGGCGCCGTCTTCACGTGCCGGTTCCGGTCAATCATCGCCAGCACTCCGTTCGCTGTATATAGTCTCTGGTCTTTCGACATCAGGTCTTGGTAGATATCCTCGTAGGGCGTGCCGAACGTGAATATATTCGGCCGGTCGATGCTTGGGCCTGGCAGACGCACCGCCGATCCGGTACCGTAGGACGACACGTTGTAGCCTGCCGACTGCAGCACTTTGTGGGCTTCCATCGAGCGGTTCTGGTTGGAAGCGCAGACGGTGCAGAACTTTAGCTCCGACATGCTGTGCTGCTGCTGCTGTAATGTTGTTGCTGATTTTTACAACGCGATGTCTGATTCTGCGATGTGTTCGCGTGGAGTGGATTAGGGTCAAACCCTGCGTGGGTCCGAGGGTCGCCTCCCAACTCCACGAGGCTCAGAACGTCGCATTGTCAACAAGCTGAGCAATCAACATCGCCTCTCGTCCTGCTCGCTGCTGCTTCAGCATAAACTCCCTGCTTCTCAGTTTTGGAGTAATCCTTTGTTTATCAGACTTATCTATCAGCTGCCCAGCGCAGAGCTGTGGTAGCAAGGCGACCGCGCGAACCACCACCACGTCGAAACACCTGCCGCCCTTCGCCCCACCAGAAGACGACGTCCCGCCTCCTCCGTACACGCCGCTCCCGTCCCTTCCTGACCTCGCTCGGTTTGGCAACATGTCCACTTTTGGCGGCGATGCCGCCGCTGCTGCGGCCGTAGCCTCGGCGTCGCACTCCGTCATCACCCAGGTCTCTGCCCACTCTGGCGGGGCGCTCTTCTCGCACGACCAGCTCCAGGCTGGCAGTGCTGGCGACTCGGCCATTACGCTAAATTTGCGGGGGCATAAGTTTAATATGATGCGCGAGGAGTTGATGGCGTTGCCGGAGAGCGTGCTGCTTTGCTTGTTTCCCAATGGCGTGTTTATCGATGGACAGGGGAACATGGTCACTTCTATAACTGGCACGGATGTCATTACCGTCGATGTCTGTCCTTCTTTCTTTTCAATGTTCGGCTGCCAGTATACTAACACACTCTAGTTCTCCCCTCTATGTCTGCAGTACGTGCTCGATACCTTCCGCGGCATCGCCACAAGCATACCATCATCCCCCACCACCTCCCCACCAGGCTCCCCTCGCTCCCCCGAAGTCAACACCACCTCCCCCGCCGCCATCCTCGCCGCCCGCCCGGCCGTCATAATCCTCCAAGAAGACCTAGATTTCTATGTCGTTCCCCCGCCCACAATCGCCCACAAACCATACGTCGAGGCAAAAGACGAAGCTGACGTCCCCGCCTCGTCCTCCTATCCCGCCTCGGTGGCTACCGCTGCTGCATCGTCCGTCGCGGCAGCGGGAAGTAACGTCAGCAAACGGCTCTCGCGAATGCTGCACCGCCATCCTGAAAGCGAGCGAGCACGCGACCGCTCGTCCTCCGTCTACAGTCGTATCGAAAACAGGCCCGTCGTGCTCCCGGACCCGTACGATCCCGCGCTGAAAGACCAGTACGTGCACGAGCCGCCAAACTACGCAGACATGGTCTCTCTAAAACTCGGCGTCAGCAAACGCCTGCTCGCCGAACGCGGCATCTTCTCCGCCCTCAAACGCGCGCGCGCAGTATCCTCCGACGACCTCCCTGACCAGGACCACTTACCCCACGGCGAAACACCGGACCACCTCAAAGCCGCGGGATCGGCCGAGAAGCATCTGCTCGAGATGCTCTGCGCGTCGGGCTTCGATATCGCAGACGAATGGGGCCACCGCGAGCGCGAGCCGAGTAAGACGGTAATCAGCTCGCTCGCGCTCGTGCGTCTGCAAGCCACCGAGCCCGCCTCCGCTGCTGCTGCAGGAGACGCTGCGGATCCGAGTTCGGTGACGATAAACCCGATGGCGCAGAAACTGCTTTTGTTTTGGCGCAAGCCGGCGCGCAAGTGTTGGTGGGATCGGATTTGCTTGAAGGGGATCGAGGGGTTTGATCCTGAGGTTGAAGTCAAGGTGCACGTTCGCCGGATGTGGACTTTAGAGCTGTCTGTTATCGGCGTGCATTGATTTCTTTTGCTTTAGACGAGTTTATTGCTGTATTATACCTCCTCGAGATGTGATTTAGATCACCACGCATCGCTATCTTCTCCTTTTCCCACAGTCCACGTTGTTTTCTTGTTACAAATCATTCATGTATCTATCTATCAATCTCTTTTCGTTCCGCCGTGCGTTTTTGGTCTATGGGTTCTTTGTCTTTTTCTTCCTTCTTCCTTCTTCCTTCTTCCTTCTTCCTTCTTCCTTCTTCCTTCTTAGATCATCTACCTTCTCCTCCAGTTGCATTATCCCTCCCTCTTTCTTTCTTCCTTTCGATTTGCTGATCGCGTTGAAGTCGGTGAATGCTGGATTCTTGATTTTTATTCATATATTTATCTATCTGCTTATTCATTTAGTTACTTAGTTATTTAGTTATTTAGTTATTTAGTTATTTAGTTATTTGATGAGGGTTGTTTATGTAAATGAAACAAGTAACTAGTTGAATAGGTATGGCATTTGTTTGTGTTGTTGAATGGTTTTGCTTCATGCGCGTGTTTTGTCGTGAATATATAGATCCACCTCCTCCTCCACCTCCCCCTCCTCCTTCTCCACCTATCAACAAACCCCACAGCAATAATAACATACCGCAACCCAGTAGACAAAAAAATAAGAAGAGAATATAAAAAGGAGAAGAAGAAGCAGCAAAGAGAAAAAAAAATGCAAAAATGAAAACGGGCCGAGCTGGGAATTGAACCCAGGACCACTCGCACCCAAAGCGAGTATCATACTACTAGACCACACGGCCATACGTTTCCATAGAAAAAAAAGTTGCGTTTTGACGTTATAAACCACTCACTCTTAACTTTCTCTTTGCGTTTGTGAGGGGAGAGGAAGGAGGGGGGAGGAGAGAAGGGAGGGGAGGTTGTGTGGGTAGTTGAGGAGGGTTTTCAGAGGGGTATGGGGTGAGGTGGATGGGTGTGAATGGTTCGTTGAGAAGAGAGATGGGTGGTTATAATTTGATTCTGGAGTCGCATGCGGCCAGCTAAATCAGATTTCAAAGTAGAATAAATTAGGCTATATTTTATTTTTGAATCAGCTTCTTAAAATATTAAAAATACAATCCTCCACCTCCCCCATCTTCTTATCCTACACTTTCGAGTTGATCAAACTCGTGGATATTATACAAAGAAATTTTGTACCTAACGTGAAAAGCTCCCAAAACTCCCAACGCTCACAGATTTTTTTATTATTTTGAGAGAATTTCGTTGATCCCACGTTCACGTCGCATTTTTTACTACACGCAGGTTGCAACTAGGAGATTTGAAGATGTCGATGAAGAAGTTTAAATCTAAAGGGTATATACTCTCAATCTTTGCTTGATTTATTCGTGACGAGGAGAGGAGACGAAGAAGAGAAAAAAGTCGATCTCATCTAACAATCACCACGCATCCATCTAGTCCCAAAGGCCGCAAACGAACGCGCCAGCATTCACCCCCTCCGATTGACAAAAAGACATTACGAGCAAAGTTGAAAGCGGGCGATAAGGCAGATGATGCGAGTGATAAGAGCACAGCGGGATCGGGATCGGGAGCAGCGGGAAGGATATCGAAGCCGAAGCCGAAAGCAAAGAAGAAACGGAAGAGGGAGGAGGTTGGTGGGAATACGCCTAGGGATTTTTTGATGTTGATGAGTAGGATGGGGAAGAGTACCACTGCTACCACTGCTACCACCAACAACAGCAGCGAGAAGAAACCGCAATTAACAGACGCGGAGAAAAAAGAGCTCAAAAAACAACGTCTCGAGAAGAAAAAACGCGAAGAATCCGAGCGTCGCGAGAAAGACCGCGCAAAGGAAGCACATGAGCGGAGGAAGCAGTTTAAGATGCTCCCCGGCGAGACGTTTTCCGAGTTTTCGCGACGCGTGGACGACGCTTTGCCTGTGATTAAAGCAAAGTCAGGCGTGCCGTCTGCTGCTGCTGTGCGGCGGTTGAAGAAGCAGGAGATTGCCGAGAAAAACGGGCAGAAGCCGGTTCGTCGGAAGACCAAGAAGGGGGATCCGGAAGAAGTGTTGACTGACGACGGCGAGGATTACAGCGACGAAGAGAAAGAAGAGCAACGATACCAGGACCTGAAAAATAAACGCTCGTCGTCGCCTGATCCGTGGCTGAAGCTGCGGAAATCGAATTTGCCCAAGTTCGGGGAAGTCGCGGAGGCGCCGCCGGTGTTGAAAGTGCCGTCGAAGAAATTGCTGAGCGTGCCGAAGAAAGCGGGGTCGTTGGCGGAGAGGTTGGTGTTGGAGGCTGAGAGGGAGATGGTTATTGGGAAGTATCGCGCGATGGTGGAGAGGAAGCAGTGGAAGAGTAAGAAGAGTGAGGTGCAGGAGGAGGAGGAGGAGTGAGTTGTGTAGAGAGCATTTTATTGTACGCTATTATATCATTACTGCAATCAACCACTAAACAAACAAACAATAATCCATAAACACACACGCGAGCCTACTATACACCGCACTGCAACACACCCCACCCCACACTACATCATCTTCTTGCACAACCGCTACATCTTCAACACAGGCGCAAGCTCGCCCACAATCTTCACAAACGCAGGCCCCAGCGGCTTCGCATTCAACGCGACCCGCCGCGCGTACTTCCTATCGATCGTGCCCGTCAAGATCCCGCGCACCACGCGCCCGCCAATCTCGCACAACTTGATCTCGGTCTCGATTTTTTCCGACACTTTGCTCGTCACGTCCGCTTGGTCTGCTTCGGCTTCGGAGTCGTTCTCATCGTCGGAGTTGTTCTCGTCTGCTTCAGGCTCGGAGTCGGCTTCGCTGAGGTCGGAGACGTCTTCCTGCTCTTGCTCATCGGTTACTTTAGCAGACTCTGCATCCGCCATGATCTTATCAAGCGACTGCAGCACGCTACTTTTCTGCACCTTCACCTTCGCCACCTTCGCAAGCGCCTTCTCGCGCGCCAAAAACATCTTCATCGTCGCCTTCTGCGCAACACTCGACATCCTCGTCTCCAGACCGACACTGAACCCCTCCCTCTTCAGCATCACGCCCACGGCCGAGAGAATATCGACCAGACACAGCACCGTGGATTGACCGAGCTCCTGAGGCGCGTCAGAGAGGATGATGCGCTCGTAGACTGATACGATGTCGTCGTAGGCCGTCTCAAAGTCGCGGAGAGAGACGGCGGAATGCATAAGCATGGCGTGCTGCGTCTTCCACAGGACAAAATACCGAAGCGTAGACACAGCAGCCATAACCACCTCTGTCTCCTGCGTCGACTCAACCTTATCACCCCGCTGAGCCAGCGCAATGAGAAGATCAAGCATCGTCTTATCCGCCTCGCGGGGCTTATATTGCAATGCCTCAGTCACATTGACCGCCGCCGCAAGATGCATAAGTCTCCCCAGCACCTTTGCAATCGCAGGCCATTCTTCATTTCCAATCGAGTCCGTCGCAAGATCGCCGTAGATCTTTGTCGCGCTGCGGAACCCGTCGCAGAGCTCGTCCACCAGGTCTCGGGTTCGTGACTCGACCGTGTCGGACAGGTACTCGTTCTTCTGGCCGTTGATGATCGTGCCGATAAACTCTCGCACAAGCGAAGAGCTGTCAAACGTCATAAATAGCTTGCAAAACTCGCTCAAGGTATCCTCATACACCTGCTTCTGTCGCATGACCTGGTAACTCTGCAAGTCGATGCAATTATGAAGACGCATGATATCCCCCGCTGAATCCGGATCCGCCGAAAACTTTTTCAAAATCCGTGAAATCATCGGCACAAGCTCGTCCGAGATCTTCTTCACAGAGTTCTCCTTCTCCTCCACATTCATTCTCCTCCCGCGCTTCTTCTCCGCCGTACCCGCCGTCGCGGTCCGCGCGGACGCAAGCGCGGCTTGCACGGCGCCGATAGCCATCTCGAGCACGACGTACTCCTGCGCAGAGCTGAGCGCTAGCTCGCGCTTGATTTTGGTGCCGATCGAGTCGTCGTCGTCGGTCTCACGGACAGAGGTGTCGAATAGCGCGTACTTGATAACTTCCGTCCATTCCTATAGAAGCTAGAGTTAGAATTTGCTTAAAAGTGCAGAATGAACAAAGTGCGACTCACCGGCAACGAATTCAAAGACTCCCAGAGCGATCGAGAGGCTACTGACAATCTCGACTCTGATTTCCCGTTAATCAACGTCTCCCATTTCGACACGGAGAGCGGATCGCCGACGTTCTCGGACTCGCTGTAAGACTGCAGAGTCTCGGCAATGACCTTCAGACTAAACCAAGACTTTTGAATCTCTCTCGCTCCGCTCGGTTTCCCGTCTTCCTCGTCGTCTTCCTCATCATCCTCCTCGAAGTCACTCTCGAGCTCGCCGGCGAGGTACGCGCGGATCTTTTTGATGTCGCCGATGCTGGCCAGGCGCTCAGAGACAACTTCTTTGACATTCGCCAAGAAGAACGGCACGACTGCCCTGCGTACACGGGGATTGATATCAAAAAGAAGACCGCAGACCTCGTCAATATCTTCCTGCTCTAGGAATCCGACCGCCCGGATGACGTCCAAGAGCTCGATCGCCGCGATCCGGACGGAATGCTCGACGTCGTGCGTCGCAATCTCGACCAGACGAGGACGGAATCTCTCGGTGAACTGGCGGAGGCCGCCGATGTAGTAGTTATCCTTGTACAGCTTTGTGAGATTACGAATGACTTCGTGCCGCGTGCCGCCGTTGGCGTCCGAAAGCATCCAGCCCATGTAGCGCAGATACTGGCCCTCGAAAAACACGTCCGGGAAGGTTTCCATCCACTTGCCGAGCTCGCGCATGCACTCGGTTCTGATCTTGGGATCGATATCGCGGTATCGGTGCACAAAGATCGTCGCGAACATGTCGCGGATCAAGCCGTCGATGACCTCGTTCTTTTGCGCATAGTCATCTACAGTCGCCTGCAGTTTATCGAGCTTGGCTTTCGCGGGCTTTGGCTTTGCCTTTTCGCGTTCGAGAAGCTTGGCTGAGTTTCCAGTCGTCTTTGCGATACTCGCCGCAATCGAGCACAGGCGTGAAAGCATGCTTAGACCGATCGTGGTAGACGTATGTCTGAATGAGCGAAGAGTCGAGCTAGACATTGCCGCGATCCAGATCTGCAGACTTTCCATGAGCGAGTCGTCGTCGTACAGCACCTCACGATCGGCACTCTTCTCAACAAGCTCGCCAAAGAACTTGACGAGACTCGATCTGAATTTCTTGAACTCGGGTTTCTTCGACGAGAGCGGATAATCGGCAACCGGTTTCTATCGCGCTAGGTTAGCATCAGTGACTTGTTGGTATACAGTAAATACACACCTTTCCAAAGACTTCTTGAATCTGCGCGAGCGTCTGAGTCGCAGAGTCTTGGTCTTCGACGTCGTAAGCCGTGATCGACGCGTCGCAACCGCAGCACTGCATTCGTCAGTACGTCCTACATTCATAACGATCGACATCTAATGAATACATACACGCAGGATGAAATTGACAATCTCCTTCAGAGCCTCGACTTTGTTAGTCTCGTAACTCTGCACCCAATCGTACGCTGTCTCGCCCACAGCTGTATTCGGATCCTTAATCGCCTCTGCATGAAAAACAAATCAGCATCAACACTCAACCGCACGCCTAACTTCTAATCTGCAAACCTACCAAACAACGCGTTCTCATGGCCTGAGCTAGGAGAGCTGGGCTGGCTGGCTGTGCTAACCCGTGCTTTCTTACGCGAGTTCTTGGGCGCCGCTGGCTTTGAAGACGCGTTCTTCGGCGGACGACCTCGTCCCCGGCGCTGAGGTTGAAAATCTTCCTCCTCTTCTTCTTCTTCCTCCTCCTCCTCTTCCTCTTCTTCGTCTATTTCTTCTTCTTCAGGATCCTCATCTTCCTCCCCGGACCCGTCCTCTTCAATTTCTTCGGCTTCCTCCACAGCAGCAGCCCGTTTCCGCTCTATCACAACACAATTAGTCTCTATCCCAATACACACTCTCCAAACACCAGAAATACATACTCGCCGCCGACTTCTTCGACGAAACAGACGACTCCGCCGCGCTAGACTTACGACGACGCGTTCTCCTCGTCGCGACCTCTTCTCCCTCGCTAGCAGACCCACTCTCCTCATCCTCATTCACATCGCGCATCTCCTCGTCTGAAGAGTCGTCACTCGCCACGACCGTCTCTGCGGATTTCAAACCCGCTCCGCGCGTGCGTGTCGACCTTCGCGTTCCCTCAGTTCTTGACGGCATCTGCTCGATATTTCGTAATTTCGATCAACAACTCAGATAAGATATATCAAGTAAAAAACTCAAACAAAAGACTATGCAAGTAAGCTTAGTCGCTCGTCCTGTCTTCTTGCTGTAGATCCTCGTGCGTGCTACGATGGGAAACAACAGATCAGAAAGACAACCCCCCAGGCGCGTTTCCTACGCGTTCAGAGGACAACAAGTGCACTAAACCCATCAACCTTTATGCAAGATAAACTTTTTCTCGCATAAACCCATAAAACCTCGCGCTAGTTATGCACTAAATTCTGGGGCTATCAGTGGCAAAACACTTTTTTCTGTCAACAAAGCGAGTCCGAAATAGTGTAATGGCTAGCACGGTCCGCTCTCACCGGGCAAATCGGGGTTCAATTCCCCGTTTCGGAGTTTATACCTCCATTTCGAAACAAATGGCTTACTTTGTTTTTTTTTTTGCAATTACATTTATAATTTTTGGTTGGGTTCTTTGTTATTTATCGTTCGTTGGCTGAGAGTATGTATGTATGATGAACTGAAATCATCTGTGTTCGTGTTGTAGTGCTTGTCTACATCAAACTTGCACATGGCAAGAGCACGCACAAAGTAGGTCAAATAAGAACACATACGCAAATTGTTGACGCAAACATACAATACACCGGCATAATATAATCTAATTCCAAACAAACGACGACGACGATATCAGACACGGTTTCAATCAAATCTCATGCGAATCTCACATCAAACACTACTGAACAAAGAGACAGGTGAAGCTTTAGTACTAGCGAAGATGCTTTTTCTTTGATGCTTTGTCTATCTTGGTCCCAGCTTGTCGAGCACGCGAGGACCTTGCTCTTCCCACTCTTGTTTGGTGATCCACCTGGATTAGACAGTTAGTGACTATGACAGTGATCTGGAAGATGAAGAAGAGTACTTACATATGCTCCTTGTCCGCCATAATGTTGGCAAGCACAGCACCTCCCAAGAAGACCATATGACGGCGTCGTGGAGGATCTTCGATTCTGACTTTGAATTTCTGAATTGGCAATGACAGTTAGCACATCGGTAAGCAAAAAGTCAGCAATCAATCAGGCACTTACGCTCAACCGTGTCGGATCGCCATTCAGCACCCGCGTCAACCACAGCTGCTTTAACTCCTTCTCCAAGCGACTGGGCAAGCCAGGGTACATGCTAGATCCACCGGACAGGACGATGGCCTTGTACAGACTTGATCGCACATCGACGTCGGCAGCTTGGATGGTGTTGAAGAGGAACTCTGCGATTCCAGGCTGTTCGACATCAACGAGATGTGGCTGGAATAAGCACTCGGGAGCCTCGAAGCGCTCGGATCCGATCTTGATGGTGCGTCCATCGGGAAGCTAGACAGATAATCAGTATATGTAAACAGTCAAATCATGGACACTCTCACTTACAGTGTAAGACTCAACGAGAACGGTAGTCTCGTCCGAGAGCTTGGTATCGAGCTCGAGATCGTAGCTGACGTAGCAAAGCTTCTCTTTGATCTGTCTGACGGTCTCGAAATCAGCCGTTCGGTTGAATGCATACCCGCGTCTCAAAAGAAGGTTGATCAGCTGGCGAGTGACGTCGCGGCCGGCGACATCGAGACGGCGCGTGAGGTGGTTGAGAACAGTCGATTCATAGACCGGGACAATGTGAGTGACACCATCGCCAGAGTCGACGACGACGCCCGAGGAAAGACCTGTGAGAGTGCATTAGATCTGAATTCTTCTACTTCTCTCGCTCGCCAAATCGATCATACCTTGGGCGTAGAGAGCGAGCACGGCCTGGATCGCAACGTAGACACCACCAAAGTTGTATTTCTCGAGCATGGTGTCGACCATTTTTTCTCTGTTGCTCAGTGGATTCATAGGAGGCTCGGTCAAGAGGATCTTGCGACCGGTCGGATCGATCTGCATTCTCTCGTAGAATGCGTAGTCCCAGAGATGGGTCATGTCCTCCCAGTTCTTGATGATTCCGTTCTCCATCTAAACAGCGCAGCAGTGAGACCTTGTTAGTCTTCTGTCTACACGTCATCTATGATAAAAGTGGTGTACGTACAGGATACGAGATCTGAAGCATCGTGCGCACGGCGCTCGCTTCATCACCAGCCATGATATCCTTAATCTCCACATTTCCAGTCCGCTCCTCCGCTCGCAGAATCGGACGACCGACGATGGAAGGAAAGGTATGATCCGGGAAATTCGTGCCTCCCCGACCGATCTTGACGAAACCAGTACCCTGATCGAGAACTACACAGATCCAAGTGTTAGCGACAACTAGTTCCAAGCCTCGAGGACTCCGCCATAACCGTCTCATCAGAACCCCGCGCCTCGGAATCACAGCAACATCAATCCTTCAATGTCAGATACGTACCAATTGGCTGCTCCGCCATGATGTAGTGCTAGAAAAAGAGATGCGAAATCGGGTTTGTTCTTGTGCGAGAATGGATGTGGTCTATCGGGGCCGGCTTATACGGAGAGCTTCGTGGTTATTGCCTGGCGGGTGCAGCCTCCCATTATGCACGTTTGTTTGTGCAGTTATTCCACAAGCGCTTTGGGAGTATGCAGGTTTCTACGTATGTCTACCGACTTGATTCATTCCGTTTATTTATTGAAGAATAAAACATATTTCAAGGTCTGATTCTATCGGCTGTATTATTGTGACTTCTACAGATATAGGCAAATACTTCATAACGTTGGCAAACCGCACCCCTCAACCAGCTCCACTACCCTTCCACGCAATAGACAGATATCCAAAGTTCTGTTCTAGGAAAAACAACAAGCACCAACGATACAAAAAGTCTGACAGGTGAAATAAGGATACCCATCGTAGGTACACTCTTAAACAAGCCAAGCCCTTTCTATTATTATATAATACAACTAAACAAAAATAAACAACCGGTAACCATCCTAAGCTTCTCCAGCAGCACTTTCGACATTATTTTCCCTCGCCAGCCAGCGATCGTTCTGTCTCAAAAGCCGCTGTCGGTCCGCCTCCGCTCTCGCAATCTCCTCATCGGTGATCGTCAACGGCTCTTCGTCGTACGCGCCGATCTCTCGCCAACTAGCCCCCGCGAGAAGGATGAATGCAAAGCCGATTATACCCCCGCCGAGAACGGAGCCTGGCGTGAGAGGGGTGCCAAAGATAAGCCAGTCGGTTATGGCGACGAGGAAGATGGTCAGGAGTGCGGCGACGCTCGATAGAACGGGCGAGGTCAGCGACATCAGGATCAGGAAGCTGCCAGAGAACAGCATGTTGGCGATGATTGAAATTATCAAGTAAAACAACACGTCACCGGTCGGCAACTCGAAGCTTTCGAGATCAAAGTAGGATAGTATCGGTAGCAGGATCCAAACTGTGAAGAAGGAGACAATACCGACGGTAGCTCCCACGATGTTGGCGAACAGGGCCGAGCGTCGAGCAGACACAGACTTGGGAGGGCAAAGGTACCGTTTATAAACAACCTCGTAGAGACCGTACAGGACTGCACCAATTCCGATGATGATGTTCCCAAGCAGTCTGTTTGACTCGGCATCAGCAGCGTCAACGGAGGCACCGTGGAGCAGGGAAAGCGGCCGCATTAGTGAATCGCCATAGGCGACGACCATGACACCGATAATTGCAAGAATCACGCTGAACGACTTTAGCTTTGTGACCTTTTCGCGCAGCAAGACGACCGAGAATGCGTATGCGAAAAATGCGGAGCAGTTGTAGATCGCGGTCACGTCGCTCGGCGTGGTGATGTTGATGGCGATGTACCATGAGCTGGCGGCGATGGTCATGATTGCGGTCAAGACCGCGACGGATTTTAGTAGGTACATAGGAGGGGAGCCTTTGGCGTGGTTGTGGATAGCGATAACGTCGAGCGTAGAGGAGATGATTCGTCTGTGCTTGACGTAGATCTCTCGTAGAGTATGGCGGGGAGAAAGAAGCCATAGGAATAGGATCTGGAGGGGGAAGAGAAATGTCCACGAGCTGTGCGTCAGATATAAGATAAGAATCGGCTTTTGAAAGTGGAGATCTTGGGCGATATACGTCGCGGCCTCGGTTTGCACGACGAAGGTGACCAAGACGAATATGAGTGCGATGAATGAGCTGAGCAAGTTAGCGAATGAGCACAGCTGTGTAAGAGTAAAGGCAGAACCTACTAGACATATCGTCTGCGATGTGATATCGACCCATGCAGAAAATCAGACTGCTGCGACCGTCGGTCATCTTCGTATTCATCGTCGTCCGCCAGGTAATCGTCGTCCATCCGCGCATGGAGATATCTGTACTCTGATCGGTTGATACTGCTCCGAGGAAACTGGGAATTCGACAAGATCTGCGGCAGCCGTCGACCACCAAATGCGTCTTGCTGACTTTCCCGTCTGTACTTGCTGCGTTGACTTCTCATGCTTCCGTTGCTTGCCCGGGAGCCAGACCCGTTGCTGGCGGGCGAAGTCGAGGCCAGCGACGGTCCGGCGGCGACCTGTCTTGAGATGGCAGAATAGTCCGCGTCGTCATCGTCGGAAGAAAATGTAGCAGAATCGTATGCGGTATTGAGCGAGCCCGCGACAGACTGCGTGGGCGACAAGAGGTCTAGAGAATCAGACCTCTTGAGAGGCGGGGGATTTGTGGGAAAGATCGACATTCTGCGATGACCTCGCTGTGGTTCAAGTCGATCTAGAAGACTATACTCAGTTCCGGCAAATGCAAACAGAGCTCTTGAATGCGTTGACCGAATGCAAAGACTGGGCCGGTATATCGGTGGCCAGAGTAGATATATTGGTAAGCTATCTGGTCTGAGTGCTTTTAGAACGTGATTTGCCTCGGCGGTCCCCCAGTTCAAGACCGACTCCCAATTCCGTAACTGACTCCGGACGCCACAGCAACTCTATGTTGGCAGATGTTATGCGCCCTGGAGATCATAGTTATCTGCTGATGCTGTGTATTGTATTATAAAATAGATTCTAAGGTCCGCATGAGCTATGAATTTAAAGGTCTTCTACTATGAGAGTTTGTTGACCTTCAAGTAGAGCAAGAGTGTCTTGTTACAGCGGTAGTTGGCAGAGGTCTACTCGACCTCGACTTGTCAGAAAGATCATCTTTCGGGCAGAACGAGAGACATGCAGCTAAGAGCAAATAATCCAAGAATATAAATAAAATTCGATAGCTTTTTAAGACAAACAGATATTAAAATAATGTACAACAAAAAGAAAACCGATGCGCGATCATTCAACTAAACGCAGTGTACCATGTAGCGGAGGTAATGGACATGACCAACCTAAGTTTAGTCACATGCTGATCTATAATACATGATACCTAACCAGCTAGATTGATTTAGATGAGCAGACGCTCGATCTTGTCCTTGATGGCGTAGATCTGGGTCTTGAGCTGGGAGGCATCGTTGGAGGTGACGGAGGCAGCGATGACCTGACGGCTGACACCGCAGGCACGGCCGAGAGCGAGCTTGGAGGGGACGAAGACGTAAGGGACGTTCTTGTCCTCGCAGAGGAGGGGGAGGTGGAGGAGGATCTCGATGGGCTCGGTGTCGGCGGCCATGATGATGAACTCGCTGATGCCGCGGTTGAGAGTCTTGGTGGCTGTGGGGGTGTTAGAGCTGTCAAGTTGACTGTGCACAAAAAGAAGACAATAGTGGAATGAGACATACCCTCGTTGGCACCCTTCTTGAGCTGGTGGTAGTGAGTAGCCTGCTGAGCAAGATCAAGGATCTGCTGGGTGAGAGCAGCGTCGGCGAGGGGGAAGGCTGTGAGTTGTTAGAGAGAGCACTAGAAAGGGCACTAAAAGAGCACCAGAGAGATGAAAGTAGTAATAAGAAGAGAGGAATACCTTTGGGGTTGGGAGCAGACATTGTAAAGGATAGAGATTGATAGATGGAAGATGGAAAAAGTCGATCTGAGTAGCGGATGAAATATGCGAATTTAAAAAGGGTTCCTTGCAGTGCTCGCCCTCTCTATATCGCTCAGTAGGAAATCAATAAAAAGTACGAAGGAGTACTTTAGGGAGAAGTGGTGGTTTGCGTGGAGCGGTATGGAGAAGAGAGAAGAGAGAAGAGAAGACGGGATGCCAAATTTTTTCAGAGAATACGAATTGGGAGAGTTGAAAAGAAGTTTTGAAGAAGTTTTACTGCTGTTTGGGGAAATGCGAAATTTTGGGTTTGTAAATTTGTAGATGGGTTAGGTTAGGGTTTTAGAGGAGCGATTAGCAGTCGGGCGGTTGCTTAGAGAGCAGGGCAGGGTTAGAAGATAGAAGATAGAAGGGGAGGAGAGGAGAGGGAAGAGGAAGGAGGGGATAGTGGTAGTGAATGGTTGGTGGTGATAGCCGTAGGAGTAGGAGGAGTAGTAGGAGTAGTAGAAGTAGTAGAAGTAGTAGTAGATGATAAGGAGGATACAATGCAATACACTACAATACTATTACTACTATTACTATACTACTACTTCTACTACTATTACACTGCTACTACTACTACTATTACACTGCTACTACACACACACACACACACACACACACACACACTATCAGCCCGCCAATGGGCGCAGTGCAGGCCGCGATATGCGCTCACAGAGATAGAGGCGTCGCCGATAAGCAGCCTGAGGTTAGGGCCCTCGCGCTGATAGCTCCGGCGTAGCTCTGGGCACGGGGGCCGCCTGTCGCCCAGTTAGTAGCGCACCTCTCAGCACGGCCCAATCATATCTGCCCGCGGCAGCGCTCCTGGCCACCGCACTAGCCCCGATTAGGCTGTACTAACCCGCTTCGGGCTAGCGGCACAATGTATTGGCCGTCCACCACCAGCCGATATTTAGTGTAGGCACCGCCCGCAACTCGTTTTCTTCCGCCTCTTTACCTCTCGTCGTACTTCGTCAGTCCTTCATCCGCTCTTCTACTCTCAATCCAATCCTATTCTTCAATAGAAATCTATCGCAATGGCCACTGAACTTTGGTATGTCTCTTGTTTCTTTTCAGTTGAACAAAATTGAACTTTTTCTCGCAATGTGACCACTTGCTAACATTTTCTGTTTTCACAGCCCCGTCTACGCTGTATGTCTCCTAGATTGCTTTGCTACTGCCTAGCATTGCCATCCAATCCATCGAGCTCTGCTCTGCTTTGCATTGCTCTTGCTTTGCTTTGCTTGCTCGCTCGCTCTAGTTTCATCAATCTCTCTAACTTGTTTTCATCACAGCCCTTCTTCGGTGCTATGGGAGCCACCGCTTCCATCGTCTTCACCTGTAAGTCATTCTTCTTCTTCTTCTTCTTCATCATATGTACTCCTCTCTAGTAGTAGATAGAGATATTCTATCTATTTCTAGAGATAAATCGACTTCTTACCTTGTTGCTAACCCCTCCTAGCCTTCGGTGCCTCCTACGGTACTGCCAAGTCCGGTGTCGGCATTTGCGCTACCGCTGTCCTCAGACCCGACTTGATCATCAAGAACATTGTTCCCGTCATTATGGCTGGTATCATTGCCATCTACGGTCTCGTCGTCTCCGTCTTGGTCTCCGACGGTCTTGCCCAGAACCAGGCCCTCTACTCCGGCTTCATCCAGCTCGGTGCCGGTCTCTCTGTCGGTCTTGCCGGTCTCGCTGCCGGCTTCGCCATCGGCATTGTCGGTGACGCTGGTGTCCGCGGTACCGCCCAGCAGCCCCGTCTCTTCGTCGGAATGATTCTCATTCTCATTTTCGCTGAGGTCTTGGGTCTCTACGGTCTCATTGTTGCCCTTCTCCTCAACTCCCGTGCCACCGGCGCTGACGTTCAGTGCTAAGCGCATCGCTTTTATATAGCTCTTATATAAAACAATCTTCTCATCTACAAACCTTTTTCGAACATCAAAATTCATTATATATAGAATTTTTTTCCATTTCTTTTTCGGATGTCTTTTCTTTTCTTTTGTCGTTTTTTTCTTTACTATTTTTATGTGTACTTCGGGGAATAAGGAGTGGTTATAGTGTGCTTTTGTATTAATCAAATAAAGTTGGCATTTTAGGGGTTTCTATTCATGATTTATATTTCTCATGTCTATTTAGTTGGCGTGTCGAATCTGTCTGTGAATGAAATTAGGATGTTTGGATGAAGAGCGGCAGGGTCATAGACGTTGAATGGTATTCTTTCACGAAATTCAATGATTTTATCATTAAGCTATCTGTAGTTCTGTAGTTCTTATACATAGATGTGTTCTATATCTGTCTTCCATTATTATCGTTATAGATATGTACTGTGGGGTAAGATATCTACAGCTCAAGTAGTAAGGAAGAAGACTGTTCTAGAGAAACATAGAAGCAGCGGATATGATAGCGATAACGGCAACGGATGAGGTGATCATTATCTCCAGTTCAACAGCCAGCACGGTTCCAGCTGACAGCTCCAGTCAGCTACTAGCCAGCAGCTAGTGACTTGAACAACATAACCTTCCGGGCAGCAGGACCTGGACCTGGCCTGGGACCTGGAACCGGGCGAGATGACACGCGCGATAAGCACGAGAGCCGGTGATGCTTTTGAATGGCTGGTTTCGTCCGATTCACAAGTGCGCGCGGACGCAAACCTGTGAGCTGGGCTGAGCTGAGCTGAGTGTTTAAACGGCCGACGACGAAACCACCTGAACGCACTTCAGTTTGAGAAGACGACAGGGCCGCGCCAATCGCCGTGGTCGCGATAGATGTCGCTGTTATCTTTCTGCTCCTCGGGGTGGTTAGCGTGTGGCCGCCGGACATACTCGTGCTCTGCAGCTCACGCTTACTTTACTCTTTCTCTGTGCCCGGCGGTCAGTCACTGTCTTGATAGATTGATCAATGGCTACTTATCGCCTGTGACTATCGTCAGTTCAGAATGATAACCGCTCGGCTCGTCAAGCTCCAAGTAGCTGCTTGATCGATAAACACCTCACCGAACCCCACTTTTGTAACTCCAACTGCTTCTGTCTAAACTCTTCACGTCACATTCGGCAGGCCCCACTTTAGTCCCCAAAGACATTGAATTCGGCACTAGAGAGGAGTTGGATGCCCGACGGACGTATCCGTGGATCAACGAACTCGAACAGGTGAACGGCCGAAGTTTCTGATTTTTGGATCTCGAGAGACAATAGGACGCCACATCTAGCCAACCTCTTCTATCCTCGCCTGCCTATGATCTATATCTGAGCAATTGATCTGCAATCCTGACACTTGAAGTAGAAGACGGTCTCTTGTAGGCTAGCCAAGTCTTCACATCATCGAGGTATTCTTGACGTCAGACGCTCATTATGCCGACAGGATACTTATGATTCGTGGATTGCTGGTGGTATCCTGCTCTGTATTTTAATGTAGACTAGAGTATTGTGATGATGGTGATTGTCTGCTGTATAATAAAATCCAAGCTGCTAGATATCAACAGCTTTCATAGATTGTAAACAATGAATTGCAGTTGGTCTTACAGATTTTACGCAGCGCAGTACAACACCCACTGTCGTCATCCCTGCCTCCGCCAAAGTGTGCCATAGCTCTCCTAAAGTAGTAATACCATCACCAATTCTCAGCCCGTCTACCCCAAACAGAAACAAGGAAAGCCACTAGTCGCCCAACTCAGCGCGCTTAGACCAAACCGGGAAAAGAAGACGAAGCAGAAGAAGCAGAAGAAGAAGAAGAAGAAGCGTGGACAGAATCAGACTAAATCCTGGCGAACCGACACGTTAACTCGATCAACCTTCGGCCACTTCGCAGGCCGACGCACCAGCTGCTCAGACTGAAATCAGGCGTCACTGCGGCGTTATTCTTCACCTCGGTTACGATCCTCTACTCGAGCCCGGTTATCTTTAGCGGATCTGTGGCTAATTCGCTGCCGTTTGCTTCGATTGTCAATCGTCCTTTTCATACTCTGCCGGGAATGGTGTACAAGAGTAAGCCTTCTCGCTCTGCCGTGCCTTTTACCAGCCATGATGGACCATCTTTCTGCAAATTACTTCAAGAGTTACTAGCTCAATTGATAACCTCCTGCTAACTAATCGTACCAGCCCCTCCCCAAGCGCCTCCAACATGGACGCTGACCCCTGAGCAGATCACCTCGGAGATGGAGACCGTTCTCGCCGAGGCGAAGAAGCTCGAAGACGAGGTCTCTGCTCTTCCCGAACCCAGCTTCAATTCTGTAATTAAAGCGCTTGCTGATGCGTCCAACGTGCGCTACGGGCTCGTCAATCAGCTTACTTTCTACCAGCACATCAGTGCCGACAAGGAGGTTCGCAATAGTAGCAGCAAGGCCGAGGAGGCTTTCAGAGTGAGTCCTTTATAGTTATGATCCCACCTGATTAGTGCTGACTATGTGTGAACTAGGACTTTGACATTGAATCGTCGATGCGCGAAGATTTGTTCAAGGCCGTCAACGCGGTCTACAAGCAAACCCCCGACGTCGATCCCGAGTCCAAACGCCTGCTCGAAAAGCTGAACCTCGACTTTGTCCGCAACGGTCTCGCGCTCCCGGTCGAGACGCGCGACGAGCTCAAGGCGCTGCAGAAAAAACTTTCAAACCTCGAGGTGCAGTACAACAAAAACCTCGGCGAGGAAACCGGCTTCATCCTCTTCACCGCCGAGGAGCTCGAGGGCGTTCCCGCCGACGTGGTCGCGCAGTTTGCCGAGGTCGAGGGGAAATACAAGATGACGTTCAAGTACCCGGATTTGTTCCCGGTCATGAAGTATGCCAAGAATCCGGATACGCGGCGACGCGCTTTTGTCGGGGATCAGAATAAGGTGATGGAGAACACCGAGCTCTTGATCCAGGCGATCAAGCTGCGCGCTGATATCGCTCACTTGCTGGGGTATAAGACGCACTCTGCTTATGTGCTCGAGGATCGGATGGCAAAGTCGCCCGAGATTGTTATGACGGTATGTACAGGGTTTGAACGAGATAGAGTGAATCACTGCTGATGAGTAACTTGTAGTTCCTGAACGACCTGCGTGAGAAGCTCAGCATCGCGGGAAAGACCGAGATCGCCAAACTTCTCGAGCTCAAGCAGGCCGACGAAAAAGCGCTCGGCCTGCCCGAGGATTCGTCGTTCAACGTGTGGGACTACCGCTACTTTGACCGCCTGCTTCTGGAGAAGGAGTACGAGGTCGACGACCAAAAAATCAGCGAGTACTTCCCGATGCAGTCCACGATCGAGAAGATGCTCAAGATCTTTGAGGTCTTGTTTGCGCTCGAGTTCCACGAGGTCACCGGCGCCGACCGCTCGGTCTGGCACGAGGACTGCAAGCAGTTCGCGGTGTGGAAGAATGACACCGGCACCCAGGAGTTTGTCGGCTGGTTGTACTTTGACTTGCATCCGCGCGAGGGCAAGTACGGCCACGCCGCGAACTTCAATCTGAGCCCGGGATACACCGACAAGGACGGCAAGCGCGTGTACCCTGTGACTGCGCTGGTGTGCAACTTCTCAAAGCCGAGTGCGAGCAAGCCCTCGCTTCTGAAGCACGACGAGGTCGTCACTTTTTTCCACGAGCTCGGGCACGGAATCCATGACCTTGTCTCCGTCACCAAGTACGCGCGGTTCCACGGCACGAACGTCGCGCGCGATTTCGTCGAGGCGCCGTCGCAGATGCTCGAGTACTGGTGCTGGCAGCCCAAAGAACTCAAGGGTCTCTCGAGCCACTACGAGGAGCCCAGCAAGACGATCGACGACGATCTGATCGACAAGATCGTGAAGAGCAAGCACGTCAACGGCGGCCTCTTCAACCTGCGCCAGCTGCATTTCGCGCTCTTCGATATGACCCTGCACACCTCCGACGGCAACATTGACGTAACCGAGACATGGAACAGCATGCGTCAGGAGATCGCGCTGATGCAGCAAGCCAACGAAACAACCTACGGCTTCGGCTCGTTCGGCCATCTCATGGGCGGCTACGACTCGGGATACTACGGGTACCTGTGGTCGCAGGTCTTTGCCGCCGACATTTTCTACACCGAGTTCCTTGCCGATCCGATGAACACCACGAACGGACTCAGGTACCGCGACACGATCTTGAAGCCGGGTGGCTCGCGCGAGGAGTTGGATAATTTGAAGCAGTTGCTTGGACGGGAGCCTAATAATGTTGCGTTTTTGAGCGAGTTGGGGGTTGGAAAGTAAGCACTAATTTTCTGTCTGTCGCTTTTAAAAAAATAATAAAATAGTATATTGTTATTGGTAAACTATCTTTGTATTTGTAACTTCTACTACTGCACTTGCAATTTGCGAGGAATGATAAATGCCGAAAGAGTCGCCATTTTGATATTTCATCTGATTTCAAGATGTGCGGCTCTGTGTGCCTACTCGCTTTCCACGCAACACCTTCCATTTAACTCAAACAACCACCACGCGAGCCGTACCTCAAACCACCTCAATTATCAAACTGCTACTTTAATTTTCTGTTCTCGAAATAAGAAAAATCTTCTTTTTCAGAACAGTAGACAATTGAGCACGATACTGCCACCGAGAACGTTGTTTACGCGACTGTTGCTGGACATTTATCCAGCTCGACGGACTGTGCTTGCGGATAGTAGTAACGCGCTAGGATTCGCGAGGAGATTGTATAGCTATCGGTCGCCGTTCGGGATGATTAATAAAGGTAGGTGAATTACTACTAGACACGAGATGATTGACTGGACTGTACTGACAGACGACGCAGTACCCCCCCAGCCAGCTCCGGTCTGGGACCACACGCCCGAGCAGATCAGTGCGGGGATCGCAAAGATCGTCGCGGACTCAAAGAAGTTGAGCGACGAGGTTGCAGCGGTTGCGCAGCCGACGTTTGAGAATGTGATTAAGGCGATCGTCGACGGGGATCATGCGCAGTACGGGACCATTCGGCAGCTGCTGTTTTATCACAATGTTAGCACTGATGCCGCGGTGAGGGAGAGTAGCGCGAAGGCGGAGGAGGTTTTTAGGGTGAGTGGGTGGTTTATATGGTTGGGGTTTAGTCTGGTTTGATTGCTGACGCGATGGGGGATAGGAGTACAACATTGAGCTGTCTATGCGTGAGGATCTGTTCAAGGTCGTGGACGCGGTATACAAGCAAGCTCCCGCGCTCGACGCAGAATCCACCCGGCTACTGGAGAAAATGCATCTCGACTTTGTCCGCAACGGACTCGCGCTTCCAAAGGAGAAGCGCGACGAGCTCAAGGCGCTGCAGAAAGCTCTCTCGAGCCTCGAGCTCGCGTACAAGACCAACCTGAGCGAAAACACAGAGTCCATTTTATTCACAAAGGAGGAGCTCGAGGGCCTTCCGGCGGATAACCTGTCGCAGCTCGAGCAGGTCGAGGGGAAATACAAGATGACGTTCAAGTACCCGGACGTCGTCCCTGTGATCAAGTACGCGAAAAACGCAGAGACGAGGAAGCGCGCGTTTGTCGGCGACCAGAATAAGGCGAGGCAGAACTGCGAGTTGTTGGAGAAGGCGGTGAAGTTGCGGGCAAAGATCGCAAAGGTGCTCGGGTATGAGACGCATGCTGCGTATGTGTTGGAAGAGCGCATGGCGAAGACGCCTGAGAATGTTTCGAACGTGAGTGGTTCTTCATTTAAAGATTTGTTTCAATACTGACTTGTGTTTACAGTTCCTGAACGATCTACGCGGAAAACTGACTGACGCCGGCAAGGCAGAGATTGCGAAACTGAAGCAACTAAAAGCCGCAGAGCTGTCGAGCGCGGGTCTGACGCCAGATGACGCGTTCAACATCTGGGACTACCGATACTTTGACCGCGTGCTGCTCGAGACCGAGTACGAGGTCGACGGCGAGAAGATCAGCGAGTATTTCCCCGTGCAACCCACGATTGAGAAAATGCTCGGGATCTTTGAAGAGCTGTTTGGGTTACGGTTCGTCGAGGCGACCGGCGCCGAGCGATCGGTGTGGCATGAGGATTGTAAGCAGTTTGCGGTGTGGCAGGTCGTAGACCCCGCGGACGAGGACAATGTGGAGTTTGTGGGGTGGCTGTATTTCGATCTGCATCCGCGGACGGGCAAGTACGGCCACGCGGCGAACTTCAACCTGAACCCGGGCTTCACGAACGCGCGCGGCGAGCGGGTGTACCCCGTGACTGCGCTGGTGTGCAATTTCTCCAAGCCGACGGCGACGAAGCCGTCGCTGCTGAAGCACGGCGAGGTCGTGACGCTTTTCCACGAGCTCGGGCACGGCATCCACAACCTCGTGTCGGCAACACAGTACGCGCGGTTCCACGGCACGCGGGTCGCACGCGACTTTGTCGAGGCGCCGTCGCAGATGCTCGAGTTTTGGTGCTGGGAGCCGGCGCAGCTGAAGCGGTTGTCGGGCCACTATCTCGATCCGGGGCGGGCGATCGACGACGGGCTTGTGAAGCGGATTGTGGCGAGCAAGCATGTGAATGGGAGTCTGTTTGCGCTGCGGCAGTTGCATTTCGGGCTGTTTGATCTCACGCTGCATTTGCTTGCGGACGGCGGGGAGGTTGATGTCGCGAAGCTGTGGAACGAGATGAGACAGGAGATCTCGCTTCTGCAGCAAGGCGCGGAGGTGACGCACGGGTACGCGTCGTTCGGGCACCTGATGGGCGGCTACGACTCGGGGTACTACGGGTACCTGTGGTCAGAGGTATTTGCGGCGGATATTTTCTACAGCAAGTTCAAGGGCGACGCGATGAACAAGGCGGCAGGGAAGGAGTACCGCGACGCGATCTTGAAGCCGGGCGGGTCGCGCGACGAGATGGAGAGCTTGAAGGCGTTGCTGGGGCGGGAGCCTACGAACGCGGCGTTCTTGGCCGAGCTGGGGATCACGGCGTGACCGGCGCGTTAAAGAAGGAAGAATGACCGGGCTGTGCTGTGCAGGGCATAAGTTAAAGACGTTACGCGCGTGCTGTTGGGAATGGAAACGTGTTGCGAAAAGACAACCCGATAAGGTAGTCTATCTGCGTGGTGCGGCTCGAAAAATCTTCGAAGGAGAAGAGAAGAAGACAGGAAGGAGAATAAAGTGTTGCTGATTCTATTTCTGTATTAATAAGTGCAGGTTTTTATTAACTGGGCATATTCTTGGCCGGTGATCGGGAAAGAGCAGGATGCTGTCGTGTAGAAATGTAGAAGGTGGAAGTAACCACGCGTCCTCCTACATTACGTCCTCACCTCCCGCAGATCTTTATCTTCACCCCTCGCTCCACTCTAAACCCCCCTGACACCACAGCAGTATCCCACCAACAAGTAAGCAAGAGCAACCGGCAAGCTTCGGAGCGTGGCAGTGTGGGTGTTAATAATAGCAACCACACTCGTTACTGAAAAAAGACTCATATTCACAAGCCAGGCCTGATTTAAGCTTTTGGGAATTCTACTTCTGGACCCTGCGCCTTCGTGCTGGCTGACCTGCTGCTCGAGCAGCGAGAATAAGGACTGCGAAAAGTACGAGTAAGCAGAGCAAAGAGAGAGAGAGAGAGCGGGTATTGACGCGTCGTTCAAGGCTTATCAAGAGAACTTGAAGCAAAGCCGGGTTTCTGGTCACAGTCTGGTTTTTCTCGATATTTCATCACACCGCCGAACCAGATCGTCTATTTACCTTCTTCCTCATCTTTCCGTTCTTTCGTTTGTCTTGGAACCTACCTGTCCGACTGAGTTTACTCACACGCTCTTTTTTTTTCTATTCCTTCTTTGTTTTTCTTCTCCCGAGATTAGAGACAGAAGGAGATCCACATGGCACTGCCCGGTGATGCTGCTGCCGCTGCTGCTGCTGCGCGTCCTGGCTCGACCAGATACTCGACAGATAAATATCCCGCAACAGCACCATCTCCCTATATCATCGCCACCGGTCCTCCTCTTCCATCCCTCTCCCTTCCACCGCCTCTTCCTCCACGCATGATCCCGAGTACTACACAACACAAAACCTCGCCTTTCCCAGCAGCAACCATGCAGCCGGATCCGTCAGCAAAGACGCTCGCCGCTTCCGACCAGCAGCAGCTGCGCAGACCGCAGTACGTGCGCTCGTCGTCCTCGTTATCAACGATCTCGACACTCAGCTCGGATTCCTCGGACTCGCTGCCCCTGCCGCCGATGCCGTCCTCGACCTCCACCACCGCGCCCGCGTCAGTGTTCTCGCCACTGCAGCAGCAGCCGCTGCTGCCGCTGCCGCAGAAGCGTAAAGTCGATATCACAATCACAGAGAGCGAGGATGGACAGAGACAGAGCGGGAAGGGAAGACCGTTTGAGTGGTCGCCGCTGCCGTGGGCGGCGTATGCGGATGTCCCTGGCGATTGGTGGCTAAGCAAGGTCGACGAGCGGCTTGAAGAGCTCGCGATCTGTTCTGACGAGGATGAAGTCGACGACCGGCGAGGACGAACGGGTGGCAGCCGGCGGATGACTGAGAAAGAGGGCATGATCTGTGCGGTCTACGACGACGAAGAGGTCGAGACCAGTAAGGTCGACGAGGAGGAGGATGAAGACGACGATGGGTACTACATCTGCGAAGAACCGGAGGAGATTCACGAATACGACAGTCGCGGCCGTCCGATCTTGAAAGTGTTGACGAACCTGAACAGACGCGATGATTTCTACGTGGGCCGCGCGGGGCGGTATGACTAGAGATGACGATTGATGACAATAATGTCCTGAGAGACTAAGACTGTCAGTCGTGTTTAGAAGGAGAGTGCATTTGGTAATTATTTTGGTTTGGATATCATTTCGTACGGCAGTTGGGAGTCTGGTTCTTGTTTCTTGATAATGTTGTTGCATTTCAGTTTGTGTTTCTACGATGACGGTTATTCATCAGAAAAGAAGAGGAGAAAAGAGGGTCTCTATGTATTAATATCTAATGATATACACAGTATTACTACATTTCTACATAGAGTGAGTCGGTATAGTCAATGAAGGAAGAGTTGTACGCGCAGGGTAGATGTACGTAGAGTAACCGAGCGAGTGGTAAACGAGGTGATGAGATTCATCCCGGTTCTGTTCGCCTTGGTCACCGAATCTGATTTATCAATTCATTCATCATCTCATTTCATTTCATTTCATGCCTGTTTGAATTTGATTTTCTAATTCTGGATCAGTGCTGCTGAACAGCTGCTCACATTCACACCTGGAGATTAGAAAAACAGCTGGACTAGAATATCACGGACGGTGATCCCGTAATCAGCCGTGCGGTGGGGAAAGAAAGATAGAGAAAAAAGACAAACGAAGCGCTGGTTTCTCTTCACTTCTTTGCTTCATTAAATCTGAGCTGAGGTCATCAACTCAACCATCAGACGCGTTTATGAGACTTTAGAGACTCGGCACCAGCACCTGTCCAAATCAGGCATCCACGCGAGTTTTTTAAGTCCGGATAGTGCACCCCTCTCTCGACGGAGATCATTAATCACATTTTGAGATGCCGGGATTATGAAGAGCTATGTTTTCTTGATGAACTATGTCTTTTTGTTATCGTCACGGGCGGAGACGAGAGTTGGTTTTGGGATCTTATCGCGACGACGATCACGCACGCGATTAATTACGCTTCTTGGCTAGAGTCTGGTATTTCTGCATAGCCACCTCGTCCTTGCTCTTTCGTATCTGCAGCCTGCTGTATTGTCTGTTGTATCAGCAGCAGCAGCAATAGTAGAAGCAGTAGTAGAAGCAATAGTAGAAGAAGCAGAGCAATGCGGGGCGCCACAGCGATGATGATGCTCCGAGCAAGGTCCGGTCGGCAGGGGCCACCTCCAGCTACGCCGCAGCGCCTCTCCGACTCGACCCCGCGGTATGGAGAAGAGGGAGTTGAGCAGAGCAGGTAGAGTAGAGTAGAGTAGACTATAGTAGAGAGAAGAAGAACAGAAGAGCATCTTCTATATCATACATCACCACCATCTCCAGCCAGTAGAACCCTCCGGATTGCTTCTGATCCGGGCAGCTCCGGCGAAGCTTTTCGGCTGTCGGACCTTCTTCTTCCTCAGATTTGTGTTGTTGTCTTGTTGCTGTGTATTTAAACCCTCTGCTCCTCCTCTTCTCTTCCTCCTCTCTTCTTCCTCGCAGACTCCCTGCTCTTCTCCTCTCAACAATGTCATACTCTCCCATGGTTCGTCTCCACCCCTCCTCTACTCCACACCGATCTACACTAACACGACCCCGCAAAGCACGCAGTAGACCCCCTCTCCCCCTACGACGGCGACGACTTCCTCGCCCTCTCCCTCGACGACCCGGACGAGCCCTTCCCCGAAGGCTGCCACCCCGGCGTCTGCGGCCTGTGGAAAAACCCCTACTTCAAACACTCCCCCGACGACGCCTACGCGTTCGACGAAGGCGTGCATCAGAAGGTCCAGAATAACTACCAGGAATACGTAAAGCAGGTCGAGCGCACGGCGCAAAAGTCCCTGTCCGCCTCGTCTTCTGCTTCGTCCTCCTCGTCCTCGTCTGCGTCCTCCTCAGCAGCTAACGACGCGGACTCCTCGGCCTCGTCCGCTATGCACTCTGTCGACACCAGTCGTCGAAACAGCGCGGCCTCAACCGCAAGCAGCACCGTCGCTGCCCATCTGCACAGCGACAAGCACGACAACTAGTCTGCCTATCTAAATTCCCAGTCCCTGCTCGTACGATACAGAGCAGTGTTCGTTTCTGTACATATCATTATTACTCTTCTCTTGTTTCTTTCTATTCTATTCGGTTCGGGGTTGGTTCGGTGTCTCTCGGTATATCGTTGTTTAGTCTGAGCTCTGCTCTTTGACGTGGTTTCCTTAATACATTTATCTCTTTTAGTAGCAACACCTATAAACAGCATGCTCCGTCACATCTGATCCGTGGCTGCGTCGGATGCGTGCACCAAAGCCGCCGCAGCCAAACACGGCTCAGTCCATTGGGTTAGGTCTGCTCCGAAGACTCATCAGAGAAGAAAGACTCACGAAGCAGCGGTATAAGAGAAGGAGATTAGCTGGTTATTGCTTTGGAAGGAGAGGTGGTTATAGACATAGTCAAGATGAAGGACTCTGCAATCTCCCCGTCGTGCTATGCAGTCATCTTCCACTCCTGCCGCGCATCGCATCCCGACCCACGACCGACAAATGACATCGCCGCCAATTCAAATTCAAATCCCAACGACGACGACGACGACGCATCCAGCAAAGCCTACGCCGCGACCTCGGACGCAATGCTCGAGCTCGCGCGCAAGCAGCCGGGCTTTTTGTCCGTCTATTCTGCGCGCGACCCGGTCTCGCTCGAGGGAATCACGGTCAGCTACTGGAAGACGCTGGACGACGTTCGCGCGTTCAGACGCGAGGACGAGCATCGTCGGGCGCAGGCGAGGGGGAAGAAGGAGTGGTATTCGTGGTACAAGGTTGTTATTTCCAAAGTTGAGCGCACCTATGGGTTTGAGAGTGTAAATAGTTTATAGAGCTAATAAACAACAAGCTACGGGTTCTCGGCCGTCACGATCGAGCTCGGCGTCTTGCCCTCGAGCAAATCAAGGATATTCTGCACCGTTGTCGCCGCGATATTACTGAGCGCCTCGCGCGTGAGAAACGCCTGGTGGCCGGTGATGCAGACGTTGTGGAACGTGAGCAGGCGCGAGAAGGCGTCGTCCTGGAGCACGTCGTCTGAGGTGTCTTCAAAGTAGAGCCCGCTCTCGTTCTCGTACACGTCCATGCCGACTTGGCCGATTTTGCCGGTCTTGAGGTGTTTGATGAGGGCTTGTGTGTCGATTAGACCGCCGCGGGAGGTGTTGATGATCATTACCTGTAGACGTCAGAATTGGCACGAACCGAATCAGTAGAATCAGAAAACTTACACCGTTCTTCATCTTTTCTAAACTCTCGTTGTTGATCATATGAAAAGTCGAAGGCATAAGCGGACAATGCAGCGACACGATATCACAGCTCGCGAGCAACTCATCCAGCCCAACGTACGTCATCCCAGCCTCGGCCGCGAGCTCGACGTTTGGAAACGGATCATAGCACACGACCTCGGCGCCGAACCCGTTACAGATCTTGCCCGTCAACCTGCCGATCTTGCCCGTGCCCACGATGCCGATGCGCTTGCGGTACATGTCGAATCCGGTAAGCCCTTCGAGCGAGAAGTTGCCCGTGCGCACGCGCGTGTAGGCTTTGTGCAGGTTGCGGTTGAGCATCAGCATCAAGCCCACCGCGAACTCGGCCACCGCGTAGGGCGAGTAGGCAGGCACGCGCGCGACGCGCACGCCGTGCTTCGCGGCCGCGGTGAGGTCGACGTTATTGAACCCTGCGCAGCGGAGAAGCACAAACCGCAGACCTTTGCCCGCGAGCAGTTCGATTCCAGAGGCGGACAGTTCGTCGTTGACAAAGATGCAGATGGCGGGGTAGCCTTCGGCGAGCGGGACAGTTTCGTCGTCGAGACGGGTTTGGAGGAAGGTTGTGGGGATCTTTGCACGGTCGAGCTCGGGTTGGAGGTGGGCTATGTCGTATTTCTGGGAGAGTTAGTGGGAGGTGTAGAGAGGGAGGGAGGGTGGAGGGCGTACTTTTGTGGAGAATACCGCGAGGCGGAATCTAGATCATACCGGTCAGCCAGTGACTACAACAAAAGAAAGCGGTACACATACTTAGGATCGATTGTGTCCATTGTATCTGTATGAATAACTGAAGATCGCGTAGGAGAATTGGCAAAAAGAAGCAATCGCGGTGGTTATCGGCGGTTCACTATTTATCTGCGATAGGGCTCGAGACTAGAACCGAGGTGGTGGGGTTCGCACATGGTTTTCTCTGCAGCCGGCCGTGCGCCGTGCAGAAGTACGGCTTTCGTGGATACAAAGCAAGACAATGAAGCAGAGCAATGTCGATTAGACTAGATTTGAAACTGAGAAATGTTTTTGATTCATTGAAGTGTTTTGATTCGGGGTGTTGGGGGTATTAAAAAGCCTATCAGGCTATTTGAACGATCTTTTCTTCTACTACACACATATCTTACAATTTCGCACCACCAAACCTACATCTCCCCACACTCCACAACCGTGACATCAAACGGCGTAGGCTTATCATTATCATCCGTCGGCACATGTTCGATCTTGCGCACCACGTCCCGCCCTTCAACCACGCGGCCAAACACGACGTGCTTGCCGTCCAGATGCGGCAGCGCTGCGCACGCGATGAAGAATTGGCAGCCGTTCGTGTTGGGACCTGAGTTTGCCATTGAGACTGAGAAGGGTTCGTCTGGGTGCTGGTTAGTATATGTGCGGAGGAGGAGAAAGAGGAGGTGGAGGGGGGCAGACATACGTTTTAGTTCAAAGCTCTCGTCGGCGAATGTGGTTGTGCCGTAGATCGAAGTCGAGCCCGTACCATTATGTCTCAAGAAATCACCGCCTTGAATCATAAAATCCTTGATCTATACCACGTAAAGAACCGTCAGCACAGGCTCAGCACAGACTCAACTCAAGTTCAGCTCAAAATCCAACAACATACCACGCGGTGAAACCTGGTCTTTTTATATCCCTGCGGTATACCATTCACTTTATATTCACCGGTGCAAAATTGACGAAAGTTTTCTGCTGTCTTTGGCACTTTGTCTTTAAACAGCTCGATCTTGATGCGTCCTAGTTTCTGGCCTAGAAAGAGATCAGTTTTCGTTTTGATCGGAGCGGGTGTGAGAGTGGGGTAGATACCGTTTAATGCAACCTGGTTATAGCAGTATGATCAGCATTCGATCATCAAACAAAGAAGAAGAGGTAAGAAGACCGACATACATCGAAAAAAACAATTGGATTATGAAAGTCATAAGGCACGCTACTCGCAAACGGATTCGCAGGAGCAGACGCCGGCGCTGCAGAGGTAGGGGCAGATGAGATCGTGGCCATCTGTATTTCACCTCTATGTGTATATCTAGTTAAGTTCTGGATCAAGTCTAGGATCAAAGAGAGGTAGGAAAAGAGAACAAAGAAGAGAATCGAGGATATCGAATTGTGTGAAACCCAAATTGTGGGATTTCGAGGTTTCGGCCTTGCTGATGACGAGGTGCTGCGAGATGCTGCCACCGCGACTGCTGTTCTCTGTTCCTCTACTGTTTGTCTATTGTGTCTTTTAATAAGAGAGAGATGTAATCGTATTCTATCACACTTGTTTCTTACAAGCTGCAAATAATCAGAAATCTCGGACAATCGACTCTATTCTGGTGCCCTAAACACACAAATATCTCACACTAACACCCGTACTCCACACCCCATCTCAGCCCTCGGAGATCAAACACCTCATCGCGCGATAGAGTAATCTTCTCTTCTGATCTCGTCCACGGCCTCGTCAGCTTTTTCTCTTCACCAACACCTTCTTCCTCTCCTCCGCTTTCCTCTCCTCTTCTCTTTCCTGCTTCTTTATCTGATTCTCGCGATATCACTACTACTCTCATCTTCAGCAACCCTTTCATCTCACTTACTAATCACCGCTCGATCGTCTGCATGACTTCTTTCTGATCCACGGCTCCACTCTGCTCACCACCCCGATCTCTTCTTCCCGAGAAGAACCACATCTAACACCTTCACCAACCCCCCTCCTCGCAGCAACCCTGCCTGATCGTCGTCATGTCAGCAAGCTCTGCGCTGTCCCGGTCGTCTCCCACCACCACCTCTTTCCTCTCGACTTCGGCACCACTAGCCTCCGCAGCAGCGTCCCTCCTCTCGACCGACTATGCCACCATCCCCACCCCCTCCGCCTCGCCGTCCGGCTCCAGTGACGAATCGAGCGGCATCTCCCCCACCCGCTCGCCGGGCCTCTTCTACTTCTGCATTGTCTTTGGCGTGATTATGGTCATCGTCTGGTACGCCTCACTCTAAATTGCCTCTTTTCTTTGTCATGTAAACCCTATCCGAGAAGAGCTCATCGGCTGACTCCGCGCACATCCCAGGTCCTTCGTCATCGCAAAGTACTGCGTCCTCCGCAACCACCGCTTCCACTTTGCCCACGCGACCGACGAAACCGGCGCAATCATCCCCTTCACCTCCTTCGACGACCAGGCCCTCGACCTCGGCATCCTGCGCACCCCCGCCGCCCGCCGCCGCAGCCAGGGCCAGCACCGCCACCGCCGCGGCCGCAAGCTGCTCTCGCAGATCGAAGTCGACCAGCGCTTCCCGCAAAAGAAGTACAAGGTCTGGCGGACGGAGCGCGAGTGTGCAGGCTTGCCGGCCGAGGGCGGCGTGCTTGCCTCGGCGGTCGCGAGTCGCGCGCCGAGCGTGCGCACGACGGCGAATCACGACGAGGATGAGGTGCCTGGAGCGGGCGCGGTGGTCGGCGGAGGGGAAAAATATGAAATGGAGGTGCTGAGGACGGTTGCGTCGACGTCTGAGACGGTGGTGTCGCAGAGCGAAGAGCCATCGTATGCAAGCGCGAAGCAGCAGCAGCCGGTGGTGTCGGTCGTTGCGGAGGAAGACTCTGTCGAGCGCGAGAACCCGCTCACGAGTACATTATCAGCCGAGACGTACGCGGCCAAAGACGACCTGGACGATCTCGAAGACGCCGTCGACCGGGCAGGAGAAGAAAATGACGACGACGACGACGACGACGACGACGACGTAGAAGCCCATCCGAACCTGAACGGCAGCGAACTTGTCGACGGCGCGGGCGACATCTGCGTGATCTGTCTCGAATCGCTCGAGGACGACGACGACGTGCGCGGGCTCACGTGCGGACATGCGTTCCACTCGTCCTGCATCGATCCCTGGCTGACGACGCGGCGGGCGTGCTGCCCGCTGTGCAAGACGGATTACTACATTCCGAGCCAGGACACGCAGCTTGCGGTTCCGGCGGCGACGACGCAGCGGATCGTCGGGCATCCGGGCGGGATCGTGGTGCCGCGGAGCGCGGTGGGCGGGCGGTCGTTTATCTACGACGGGTCGTTCGGGGTGCAGCAGCCGTATCTTGGGCGGACGCTGTGGCAGGAGTTGCTGGATAGTCGGTTTGTGCGGACGCATTTGACGCGGACGCGGAGCGGCGAGCGACGGGACGAGGAGGCGGCGACGGAAGGCGCGGGGGTGGAGGAGAGCGAGGCGGCGCGGGCGCGGGCGCGGGCGCAGAGACGCGAGGTGCGACGGCAGAGACGGGTGGAGATGATGGAGCGACGGCGGCGGGAGGACGAGGCTAGTGCGCAGATTATGGGACTTGGACTGCATAGTTCAGTTATTTGAGATATACGATAGAGAGAGTGTGGGTTATTGTTTGGGTGACGCTATTGGAGTCAGGTGGTTGGTTTGTTTGCGATTTGCGATGTGCGTTTTGATAGCGGTGCGTTTTGATAGCGGTATCGCTTAATGATTCAGCGATACTGCATGTTTGTCTGTGTTTTTGCTTAGTTTTGCTTGGTTATGAATAATCACGACGGTTCTTAAAATAGTAGAAGCATCATGAGGTTATAGCGGCATAAAGTCACAAATAGGTCACGGGGAGATTAAGAATAGGAGAGAGAGTAGATAGAATAGGGCTGACGTGACGTAGTAAAGTAAGGAAGATAGAAGGAAGGAAGAGAAGAAGGGTGGCGGTGGAATGAGGCGAGTGGAAGATGGAGAGATGAGATGAAGGTAGGTTAGTTATATTAAGGGAACCCGAGATGATGATTAAGAGAAGGTGAAGGGTTTCCAGACCAGGCCAGACCTGAGATGAGGCGAGCGGGTAATATAGAGAATGAGGATGATAGAGAAGGAGAGAAGGGATGAAGAAGGAATGTGTGATTTTGTTACCCAACCGTCAGCGTAGGAGTTACGAGCTATGAACATCGCTACGAGCTCGAGCCGAGCTAAGGAAAGACAAGACCGGGAATGCCATCCAGGGATGAGATGAAGTGGAAGAATGACCGGAAGGTAAACAAAGCAAATAAGCAGAAGAATGGAGGAAAGGCAAAGAGGCTGGGAAAAGAAAAAACAAACAGGAAGCGAGATGAAGCGTGCATGCCTTTGGTTTGGGCCTGGAAGGGAGAGATGTAAACATTGGATTGAGGCCTCTCTTTCTCTCTGTTTTCTGTGTTTTGTGGTTGGTTTTTTAATCTGTGTTTTGTTCAGACAACGTCAGCATCAGCACATAAACATCAATATCACAATCTAAACAATACAATATACAAACAACATCAACACCACCACCAAGAAGATCCACAGAGATTCGTTTAAAGTTTAAAGGTGACAATCTTCCTGCCCGACGATCTCGTTCTGTCTCTCTGCCTACTCTTTTAAACTTCCTCTGGTTTCCAAGCAGCCAGCCTGGCTATCGTCATTTCTACTCTATTTTCTATTTATAAAGTCTCTATTCTTCTGATTTATTATCTTATATTCCATGAGCTTGTCTCTCTGCTGCGCTGCGCCGAGCGTATCCTGCCGTACTCACAAGAGTATATGCAGGCCAGGGGCGCGGCGGCGCACTGTTGCAAAACATAAGCGTGCGGCTCATATTCTGGGCATCAACGCGCCCGGTATTAAGTATTAGAAAAAAGCCGTGCATCGCGTACCAGGACTGCTGCGCTAAGCCATCCAGGAGGGTGCAAGGGAGCCAGGAGCAGAAGCAAGGGAGAGCAACCACATGCAGGCAGGATCGGCTCTTGGTCTAAGGGTCAACAAGGGGCGAGCGAAGGAGGCCGGACGAGCGCAGAGTCGGAGTACGGAGCGCGCAGCAGCGTAGTGGTCTCACAACGGTCTTGCGCTGTACTACAGTGGTGCTACAGCAGTGCTACACTACTATTGTGCTAAAGAGCGAGGGCGGAGCCGGGAGGTTGGCGGAGCAGGAAATTAAAGAAGCGCAGTTCATGGCGAGACATAGCTAAGGCAGGAGGACTACGCCGACTGGGGCTCTGCCACAACGATCAGATCTGTCGCTGGACGCGGCTGGTGGTGGTGGTTGCGGTGGTGGTGGTGGTGGTGGTGGTGGTGTCGCGGGGGGAGAATTAGACATTCCTCAGCGCGAACCTTGAAGGGTTGGGAGCCATGATGTCATTGAATACGCGGTGGATGTTGGCAACAACACCGCACTCGCGACGAGATATATAAGATGATTATAAGAAGAAGAATAGAATATAAAATACAAGAATATATATTCAAACAACAAAACCACAGCAACAGCAGCTGTTGAGCAGGCAAGAGCAGAACCAAATAAAGTTCAAGCGCATTCCGCGTCGGCCACATTCCTCGCTCTGCTCACACACAAACATCATCAACAACAAACCCCGAGCCAACCAGACTCCTCTGCTCCACGTTCACCACTCCATGGCAATTCCTCTTCTTTGCGTGCTCCTTTATATCCCTCGTCCCTTCCTTCTTTGTCTTCCTCCTCCTCCTCTACTCCCTTCTCTCCCCCGTCTATCTATCTCTCTCTCTACCTATCTCCATCTGCCTCGCCGCCCTCCGCTCTTCCTCCGCTCTACCTCCTCCTCTCCTAAACCATCCCACAAGTAGCTCCTTCCTGAGCATTACAATCGTTTCTGTTTTTTTGTCAGTCCTTTCAGTCCACACTCGTTGCACTCCACTCCACTCTACTACACTTCACTCCACCACACTCCACATCACTCAATCACCAACATGTCCGCTTCCTTCTCCGCCCCCATGTCTCCCGCAGACTCCCACTTCTCCGCCAAACAGCTCCGCGCCTCGCGTCTACGCGACATCGAACGTCGCGCCGTCGCTAAAGTCGAGGACGAATACAAGGACGAGATCGCCGCCCAGATGCAAAAGCTCGAGGTACACCCCCTTCCTCTCTGATCCCTGATCTCTTTGATCTCTCTAACTTGTTGTAGATGGCAACCCTCCCCGACGTCGCCATGATCGATCTCCAGCCAGAGCTCGAATGGCACATGCGACCCTACCTCCTCGACTTCCTGGTCGAGTCGCACCTGTCGCTGTACCTGCAGCCGCAGACCCTCTTCCTCGCCGTCAACCTGTTTGACCGCTACTGCTCGCGACGCGTCGTGTTCAAGAAACACTACCAGCTCGTCGGCTGCGCGGCGCTCTGGATCGCGTCCAAGTACGAGGACAAAAAAGACCGCGTGCCGACCGTGCGCGAGCTCAAGATCATGTGCTGCGACGCGTACGAGGAAGACATGTTTGTTCAGATGGAAGGCCACGTCCTCTCCACCCTCGACTGGTCGATCGGCCACCCGACCGCCGACTCCTTCCTCAAGCAGTACCTGCGCCACAACTGCAGCCCGACCCTCGAGCACCTCGCGCTCTACCTGTGCGAGATGACAATGTTCCACAAGTCCTTCCTCGGCTTCCCGCCCTCCGTCATCGCCTCGGCCGCGCACGCCGTCGCCCAGCACGTCCTCATGAGCGCGAACGCGTCCACCGTCGTCTACTCGTCGCCTCTGTCGTTTGTCTCGTCGCCGCAGGAGTCCCAGTGCGTCACCTTGCTTTCGCAGTTTATGATGCACGTCCCCAGTCTCTCCCTCCAAAAGAAGTACTCCTCAGCCAGCTTCTCCCAAGTCGCGCTCATCCTCCTCGACTTTGTCGCGCGCCAGCAACAGCAGCAGCAGCAGCAACAACAACAGCAGCAGCAGACCACCTCCGTCACCGAGATGCCGCCGACGCCACCTCCCACCTCCGAGTCGCTCGTGCCCAAGTTCGAGCGCGCCGACGCAAAGATGGACGACAGCCCGTCTTCCTTCGCGGGCTGCAACAACCGTCCGTATATGACGCCGCCGTGCACGCCGGACGAGGTTGTCTGCAAGGACATGCAGTTCATGACGTCTACCACCTGCGCTGTTTAACGAATTCTCAAAATGTTTTCCGGCGTTGGTTGTTTTCCTTCTTTCTCTTCCATCATTTCTCATCATCATCCATCACATCATGCTTTTTCTCGAGCGCAGGCTCGAAGTGTATATTTATTCTCTTTTTCATCTTTAATCTATCTATCGATATCTGTGCTATCAAATTTGTTCCTGGCGTTCCGTCTTTGATTTCTTTTTTTATGCCATTCCCAGTCACTATATTATTATTACTATTATTATCTCTCTTATCTACATCTATCTTCTCACAAATCATCTCCTCTTCAGTGAGAGAGCTCGCTTTGCTTACATTGCGCGCAAAGGTCCATATTTTCTTATCATCTTTTCATTTATTGTGTTTATTGTGTGTTGAATCTCACGGTCGAGATCTTCAGACCGAGAAAGAAAGACAAGCAGACAGCACTTTTCATCATCATCATCATCAACACTGTTTCCACACCACCACCACCACCACGCTCGTTTCCTTGTTACAAAGTCGAGAACATCTCTCGCAACACGTCACTCGTTATCTATCACTCACGCTCGTTTTGTCTCTGTTTATCTTTATGTTATAGTTTTTGGTGGTGTCTTGTGTAAAGTCGTCGTCGTCGTTGAGGGTGACGACTGTGAAGGTGAAGTTGAGGTGAAGAATTGTCTGTGTACATGTGAAGTTTATAGTATCTGTCTTTTCAAAGGTAATCTAATATATATATATATACATTTTTTTATTCATTCATTCATTGTGTCATGCTGGAGTCTCTCGTGGTGATCTGTGTCTTTGTCCCTGACGAGACCAGTTCAGTAGATCAACCTCCCTCCCTCTCCCTTACAAATTTCAAATCCGCATCACTCCTAATTCAGACTATTTCTTTTCTCGGAAGGTGCTCGCTCTACTAAGAACCGTGATCTGAAATGTAACCCCTGTCGCGCTTGGTATTATCTACATCGCCTCTCACCGTCTCAGAAGTAATCATCGGAAGTGATACTTTGTTCTCGGAAAGTTCTCTACTGAAAATCAGGATATGATATAATCTGATACGAACACGCCTGCCGCGCTCGGTATTATCTACATCGCCTCTCACCATCTCAGAAGTAGCATCAGAAGAAGCAAGAAGATACTTCCGTTCTCGGAACGTTCTCTGAGAACCACGATATGATATGATTTGATATGATCCTCCCGCCGCGCTTGGCGTTATCTACATCGCGTCTTACTATCTTGGAAGTTGCATCGGAAGAAGGAAGATGATTGAGAAGAATTCAACAATTTCTTTTTATTCGCAAGGAAAAATAGGTAGAAGAAGAGCCGTATAAACCAACGTACAGAAAAAATTGAAAATCATACAAACTGAATCAGAACAAATATTTAGACAACACTATAGTAAACCTGACGTGAGGAAAGACAAAGAAAAGAAGAAAGAAAAAGCGAACAAGAAATATTGATACGGAAATCAACGCACTCCTACACCCAACTAACAGGCGCCTTCCCAGTCACCAATTCCTCACCACTACTACTCCACCCGCTCTCCCCTCCCCCTCCTCCTGCACTGAACGTCGACAAACTCGCACTACTCCTCGCGCGCGAGGGCGTCGATGCCCCCAACGGCGAGCGCGAGCCCGCGGAGCCGGTGTGTAGGAGCGCGGAGGAGGAGGAGGATGGGGAGGCTGAGGTGGGGAGGAAGAGGTGGGGAGGTCTGTGTTTGCGGGGTGGGTCGGGGTCGGGGTCTGAGTCGTCGGCGGAGGATAAGCCCAGGATTTTCACAAGGGGGATGCGTAGCTTACTGCTGCTGCTATAGGAAGAAGGGAGATGAGGCGCGAGAACTTGTAAGCTGAGGATGATGGTGCGGAAATAGTAGATCCCGACGAGGGCGGCGGGGTAGAGAATAAAGACGAACGCGGCGAGATTGATTTGTACCGGATTCGACGCGAGGAGGATGTCGTCGCCGAGCGCGAAGAGGACGAGTGTGGTCTGTAAAGTAGAAGCAAGCGCGCCCACGACGAGCGAGAGCGCGCATGTTGCGCTGAGGCGGCGGAGGGGGGATCGTGTGCTGCTGCTGCTGCTGCTGCTGCTGCTGCTGCTGTTGCTACTGCTGCGGGAAGAAAAAGGAGATCGTCGAATGAGGGTCAGCAACGCTGCTGACGCGGAGACGAGCGCGGTGAGATACGCAGCACACGCGACAAACGCAAGGATCTTTGGCGGCCCGAGATTCGACGACGCCGAGAGCGGGGTCTGCGAGGAGAACGGGTAGATACTTGACGGCAGAAAGATATTCGTCTGGACGTCCGAGATGCGGGCGCTTTGGCTGCCGCGGGCGCCGCCGAGATCGGAGAAGATGGTGGAGGCGAGGTCAAAGAAGAAGAACGGGATGAAGGGGCGGTACGGGCATGTGTTTGACGCGGACGGGCTGGCGGCGCAGTAGGTCCATAGGCCGACGTAGTATTCGTCCGGGAGACCGACGGTGGAGGGTGGTGCGGGGGAGAGGGTTGGCAGGGCGCTTCCGAGGGAGCCGACTGAGATCTGGGAGGTGTTAGCAGGTAAGTAAAGAAGAAGAAGTGAGGGGGGGGGGTACCTTGTAGAGCCAGAGACCGCCGAAGGAGGAGTAGGGCGTGCTGAAGACGATGAGCAGGCAGATCAGGAATGTGAGTGCGGTGGTCTGGGTGAGTTAGCCAATTGTCTGTAGACAAAAAAACAGAGTGTGGCTTACCAGCACTGGATACAATCCAACGACACGTTTCGCCATCGAGAAGGAGGTAGAGAGAAGAAGCAGGAGGATTAGGAGAAGAGATAATGTGGGGTGACGAGCCGAGATCGAATATAAGCCCGATAGCAGCTAGCGACGCAGACAGACTGCGACAACGGACAGAAGCAAGAGCGGTTGACAGTGCACTAAATGATATAACGAGCAAGTGCACAAATAAACATATGCATTATATTCTCAGACCACGGACGGAGATCTCTGCGCGCGGGGATCCTTGTTCACTAAGTTGATTCAATCCGCGCACTGTTCACGGCGCGTGGGGTAATTGACCGACCGACTAGCTTTTAAAGACAGCTTTGAGCCTGCACGGAAGTCTTTGTCTGTATTCAAACAGCAACAACAACAGATTGTTCTCTGCTCTCTCTTCTCTGCTCTTCTTGTCAACAGAGTCCCAGCCAGCGCGGCGGGGCAGTCAACGACCGAATCCAATCTAGGCCGGGGCAGAAGCAGCCCACCGAGATTGACTTTATGCGTCATCGATTATGTAATATAAAAGCACGTGTTACACTCTACTCTTTGACTGTTTACCCGGCCCAACTCAGCTCACCGCAACGAAAACGAAAAATATCTTTTCGTCGGTGTCGCTGCTCACCGGAGACTTCTGCAGACAGAACAGAAACTGCCATCAATTGGTGTTTGGAGAGAACCAGAGTCTCCTGTTTCTCCTTCTCTTTCTTTTTTATCCGTCCTCGAACTAAATGATGACGGCGGCATCTGCGTTTCTCCGCCGGGTCGCATTCTCCTCTGCTCGCGCGCATACGACCACAGTCTGCCGCGGGTTCGCGGGCACGTCGGCAGCGCAGGCAAAGAACCTGCCCAAGAACAGCAAGAAGCATGTGCCGGTGCCACCGGGTGTGAAGTCGCTTGTCGACCTCGGGCTCGATGTTGCGCGCGCGCAGGTCGCCTCGCGGGGAAGTCTTGCGACGCAGACGCAGGCATATCTGGCGTCCGAGTCGGCGGCGGGGGGCGTCGGTGGTACTGCGGGGACGCCCGAGCGAGCGCTGACGGCGGGCCAGATGATTGACGCGATTCAGAGCGGCAAGATTGCGCGCAAGGACGTGAAGAGCGTGAAGATTAAGAAGAAGAAGCCGATTTCGCCCGGTATGCGATGGTACCGGCGGCCGATCCACGAGCATCTGTGGAAAGGGCGTCCGATCCGCAAGCTGACGATTGCGAAGCGCAAGACCGGTGGACGGAACCACACCGGCCGGATTACGCAGCGACATGTCGGCGGTGGACATAAGCGGCGGTTGCGGATCGTGGATTTCGACCGCACGAAGCCGGGCGCGAACACGGTTGTGCGGATCGAGTACGACCCCGGGCGGACGGCGCACATTGCGCTGCTGCACAACGAGGTGACGAAGGAGCTGTCGTACATTCTCGCGCCCGAGGGCCTGCGGTCGGGAGATCGCGTGGAGAGCTTTAGGGCGGGCCTGCCGAAGGAGCTGACGACGGCCGCGGACGGGCAGCAGCTCGACTCTGCGCTGATTGCGGCGCGGACGAATCAGCTTGGCAATTGCATGCCGCTGTCGATGGTCCCGATCGGGACGGTGGTGCACGCGGTCGGGCTGTACAAGGGCAAGCCTGGCGTGCTGTGTCGGGCGGCGGGCGCGTCTGCGCGGTTGCTGTCGAAGGACGAGGACCGGCAGCTGGCGTCGATCAAGCTCAAGTCGACGGAAGAGCGGTGGGTGCCGCTGGACGCGTGCGCGACGATAGGCTCAGTGAGCAACGCGGAGAACTTGTTTACGTCGCTTGGCAAGGCTGGCCGGTCGCGGTGGCTAGGCCGACGACCGCGGGTGCGCGGAGTGGCTATGAACGCGAACGAGCATCCGCACGGAGGAGGACGTGGAAAGAGTAAGGGAAACAAGCCGTCGCAGAGCATGTGGGGTACGTTGGCGAAGGGCTACAAGACGCGGCGGGGCAAGAAGCACCAGAACAAGTACAAGATCCGGTCGCGCCAGCGGGGATGGGAGAAGCAGGTGCGGGCGGTCAAGAAGTAGGATGTATATAGTAGTAGTGAATGTATATGTACAGAGAAGAGTATTAGTGTGTATTGACTAATCCACGACTAAAGCGGTAAAAGAGACCTAAAAGAGGAATAAAAAAAGAGAGTTGCGCCACAAGCACGCAATCTGCACTAGTCCCGAAGAGGCAAAAAGGCGCCATAGCTCAGGCGAAGCTCGTCGACGAGCTTTCAGGTGAAGAGCAGAGAAGATTTTGGAGGATAAAAAGGCCCTCGCTCGCTCCTCTTTTTCTTCTTCTTCATCACCGCATCTATCTTCGACTATCCCGAAATGTCTGCTGAAGCTCCTCGTCTCCGTCTTGGCTCTGCCGGTGAGTACTTACTGTAGTCTATAGACTGAAGAATAGACTGTAGTCACAGTCTTCTTCACATCATATCATTCTCAGTTCTAATCTCTTCTAGCCCCCAACTTCAAGGCCGTCACCACCAAAGGTGAGCTCGACTTCCACGAGTACATTGGCGACTCGTGGGTGATCCTGTTCTCGCACCCCGATGACTTCACCCCCGTCTGCACGACCGAGCTCGGCGCGTTCGCCAAGCTCGAGCCCGAGTTCAACAAGCGCAACGTGAAGCTCATCGGTCTGTCTGCGAACTCGCTCGAGTCGCACGCGGAGTGGATCAAGGACATCGACGAGGTCGCGGGCTCGCACCTGTCGTTCCCGATCATTGCCGACGCGGACCGTCAGATCTCGTACCTGTACGACATGCTCGACTACCAGGACGTGACCAACCGCGACGGCAAGGGTCTGCCGCTGACCATCCGCTCGGTGTTCATCATCGACCCCAAGAAGACGATCCGTCTTATCTTGACGTACCCTGCCTCGACCGGCCGCAACACGACCGAGGTGCTCCGTGTGATTGACTCGCTGCAGGCGACTGACAAGTACAAGGTCGCGACTCCCATCAACTGGGTTCCCGGCGACGAGGTCGTTGTCGCTGCCTCGATCTCGAACGAGCAGGCTGACAAGCTCTTCCCTGGATACAAGGCCGTCAAGCCTTACCTCCGTCTTACTTCGCTCCCCAAGGAGGAGTAAGGTAGTGCTACGAGTAGTATAAAAGCAATCAATTTCTCTTCTATCTTCTAATGTTGGAGTTTTCTGGTGAGATGTTTATGTATATATAGTGATTATTCAATCAATTGTCTTCTTCTTTTACTTATCTGTGGCTGTCATGAGTATCTGTCATTGCTGATTGCTCAGTATCTGTCATCAGTGACTGCTCAGTAATCGTAAACAATGATAAAAAAAAAATAAAAAAAAAGCCGCGTGCAGTGGGGCGGGTGAGTAATATATTACATAATATGATGTAGCCGTTGTTGTTAGAGTAGTTACAGTTCATCGCGAAGGGGAGTAGGAGATGGAGAGAGAGAGGGAGAGAGAGGATCGTCTGCGGATGTGAATGCAGAGGGAGATATAGACTCATCAGTGGAGTTCCTTGAGATAGCCCAAGAAACAGCCTTCCCTCCATGAACAGCAGTCCACAAGATCAACTTCACCGGCCCCTTCAGCACTCTCCTCCACAGCACCCACGTCACAACCACCAGCAAGAAAGCCAGGGAAGCAAGCATATATATCCTGTCCCATTTATCCGCCTGCTCGAGCACAGCAATAACCTTTCTCGACGCGCCGAGGACGACGTCGAAGGCAGAGTACTGGCGCTCTAGTTTGCGGAGGGTGGCGTTTGAGGAGTCGAGGACGTCGAGGGAGAGCGAGGAGCGGGCGATTTCGGCCTCGAGAAGGGTGTGTGTCCGGCGGAGGGATTGGGTTGCATCTTCGGCTGCGCGCAGGGAGCGGGGTTGCGAGGGGGTGGGAGTGGAGGAGGAGGAGGAGGAGCGGGGGGAGGAGAAGAGGAGGTCGCGTTCTTGTCGTTGGCGGGCGAGGGTGGATTTGCGGGATGCGAGCTGTGCTTTGCGGTAGGCGGAGCGGTCACTATAAGTAGTTAGAGAGAGTAAAGATAGAGAAAGAGTAGGGGAGACAAACAGTTTAAGATCCTCTTTTAATTCATAGAGTCTGGTAGAGAGATCTTTAGAAGCAGCCGGGTCGAGGAGGAGGGTGTCGGCGCGCTCGGCTAAGGCGTCTGCGGCACGGAGGGCGGAGTGGATGCGGGCGGCGAGTTGGCTGCGGGCGGACTCGTTGTCGGTCGAGAGCTTGAGGAGGGATGCTGTGAGGGAGGTGATTTGAGAGTGGAGGGAGGCGAGGTCTGCGAGGAGAGAGTCTGGGTCCATGGTGGATAGTAGATAGTAGTAGATAGTAGTGGTAGAGTAGTAGAGTAGTAGAGTAGTAGAGTAGTAGCAGAGTAGTACTGGTGTAGTAGATGGTAGGGGTAGCAGCAGCAGCAACAGCAAAGCACCGTCAATGCAACGATGCAACGACGCAACGAGGCAACGACGCAAGAGAATGAACGGCACAAAGTAAAAGAGAGGATTTGGTTTAGTTTGTGGGTCTTTTCGAGTAAACTCGGACTAAGAGCTGAATAGACTCAAACCAGCTGCTCAGCTGCTCCTCAGACTCACTCACACTCAGCACAGGTCCTCGTTGCTGGTAACTAAAAGCGTTGGCTGAACTGTTGCCACCGTGATAGACCGCTCTTGAGGAGGGTGTCTTTTATATCCTATGTGTTGTATCTATTCTGCTCTACTCTTCTCTCTCTATTCCCTCTTCTATTCTCTCTTCTACTCTACTCTTCTCTCTACTATCTGTCATCTTGTCCTCTGCAGGAAGCAAGGGGCCAAGCAGCCATATGAAACCTCCAAACTCAAATCCTGAACCTGTGAACTGAACCGAACCGAGCCCGATCATCAATCCGAACTTCTCCCAAGATCCTCCTCTGAACCTTCTCTTTCCTCCTTGTTGCTGTGTTGCTGTGCTGTTCTGTGCTGTTTGTTGTGTTGTTGTAATAGATATTGTTATAATAGTAGTGTAGTATTAACCACTAGAAGTATCATCTTCTCTCCTTGTAAGAGTAGAGAGGGAGGCACAGTGCTCGTGCAGCAGGTAACTAAACGCAGCTAACCTCTCCAACCCGCTCGTCTCCTCTTCCCGACCCCCGACCACTTTGCCATGTTTTCTTGTCTTTGACCTTCCTCTTATATTCTCTGCCTCTGCTTCCTCCTCTTCCTCCTCCTCTTCCTCCTCTTCATCTTCCTCCTCCTCCTCCTCTCTACCTCCCTCCCCTCCTCTCTTCACCTCCTCCTCCCCTCCCCCATGCTCCCCTTCCCAACCCCCCCTCCAGAACCTCTCGCCATGACGGCCGACCTCTCCCTCCTCCTCTCTCCCGCTCCCTCCCTCTCCTCCTCCTCCCACTCAACAGTCCCCTCCTCCCGCTCGCCCTCCCCCTCCCCCGACGACTCCTTCGCCTCCATGGCCGCAAACATCGCCTGCCTCCTCTGGTTCTCCCCCACCCACCTCCTCACCTCCTCCCTCGCCCTCGCCCGCTCCTCCTCCCCCTCCCACTCCCCCTCCCGCCGCTGCTCCCTCTCCCCCGTCTGCATCCCCTCCCCCGAGTTCAAGTCCTTCGCCGCAGCCATCCTCGCCCGCACCCAGGTCTCAAACACCGTCGTCGCCTTCGCCCTCCTCTACATCTTCCGCCTCAAGCTCTGCTCCCCCGCCATCGTCGGCACCCCCGGCTCAGAGTACCGCGTCTTCACCATCGCCCTCGTGCTCGCAAACAAGTTCCTCGACGACAACACCTACACAAACAAGACCTGGGCGCAGGTCTCGAAACTGCCCGTCAACGAGATCGCCGTGATGGAGGTCGAGTTCCTCAGACACGTGCGCTACTCCCTCGCCGTATCAAAGCAAAAGTACGACGACTGGGGATCGACACTCGCGTGCTTCATCAACCTCCGCAAGTCCGCCCGGTTCGCATGTCTCTCCGTGCCGTCCTCGCCCGTCTCCGTCGTGCCTTCCCTCCAGCAGCAGTTCTTCCCCTTGCCCCCCCACCGGCACCAGCGCCTGCCTCCTCCCATCCTCCCTTCCTCTGCAGCAACAGCAGCAGCTGACCTGCCCATCTCCCACAAGCGCAAGTCGCCGCTCGACAACGACCTCTTCTCCCTCTCCCCCATCTCCCCGTCCTCCAAGCGCTTCGCCCCGGACGCCCTCCGCCAACCCCCCTCCCAGCGCCGCCGTCTCTCGGCAACCTCCTACTACATCTCTCCCACCACCCCCGTCTGCTCCTCAGACATCAACCTCAACCTGAACTTCAACCCCACCCCTCCTCTATTCGACAACTCCATGGCTACAATCTTCCCCCCTCTCCTACCAAAGCCCCAGCAATTCCTCCCTCCCCAACCTCCCCTCTCCCTCCCAGCAATGACCCCAATCCCCACCCCTCTCCGTCACCACTCCATCTCTTCATACCGACAACCCCCTCCCCCCCCTCCTCCCCCTCCTCACCGCCCTCTCCTCGCAGAGAACACATATGCGCAACAACCGATGACGCGGGTCCCTCCTCCCCCTCCTCACCGCCCTCTCCTCGCAGAGAACACATATGCGCAACAACCGATGACGCGGGTAAACCCATTCGTCTACCCCGTCGTCGACAAGTTCTACGTCCCTATCCCCCGCCTCGTCGCGGCGCGAAACCAGTTCTTGGTTCCCCCTCCCCCGCCGCCGCCGTCTCTGCCATCTCATTCGCAGCAGACATACGTCTATCCGCCTCTGTGATGGCATCTATGTTCTTCTTTTTATAAATATTTTCGTGGTTTTATGTTTTGTTCGCAGCATACGTTTGTACATACGCATATCATAGCAAACCGGGGTGTTCTTCCTTCCTTCCTTCTTCCTTCTTCCTTCTTCCTTCCTCCTCTCCTCTACTTCTTCTCTTCTACAAGTTTAGAAAAAACATATTTGGGTTTTATGATTATCAATGATTCAGCATTTTTATTTCTCATTTTAGTAAAGTTCATAGCTGCGTGTCTTTCTGTTTTGCTTTTGCTTTTGTTATAGTTTGTTAAAGTAGCATGATCGGGGTGTCGTCATTGGTTTCGTTGCAGGGTGGTAGCAATAGATATTCTCATTTATTTGAGTAACGCATATATTTCATATTTCTTTTATTTATAAAAGTAGAGTAGAAGTGTAGAGTCAACTACACTCCACGCTCTGCAGAACTCGAATCAACTTCTCGTACTCGCGATACTCAATCCCTCATCTTCTTTGACAGACGTGTTTCCTGCACCAGCAGGGTAGTAGCAATAGACCTCTCATTTATATGTAAAGCATGTATTTTTATTTATATAAGCAAAGTAGAGACTAGATCAACTACACCTCGCGCTCTGCAAAGCTCTGAATCATACCCTCCGCCGACTCCTCATACTCGCGATACTCAACCCCCCCATCCTCCTTCACAAACGTATTCCCCTGCACCAGCAACCGTCTCGGCAACTTCTTCTTCATCACAATCGGCCTCAACTTCGCCAGCTCAGGCGTGACCTCCGACGTCTGCGCAAACAGCGCCTTCCCGCGCTCCGCGTCAGCAGAGGACTTGTACACATGCAACTTTTGCAAATACGCGCCCACAGCCTTCCGTCCGTGCGTCGCGATCTTGCTCCGATCCATCACGATCTCGAGATCAGACATATCCTCTTCCGCCGTGCGCAGCTCGACGAACCCGTCGCCGGCTTCGAGGAATTGCTTTAAGATCGAGAACCGCGCTTGCATGTGCGGCTGGCCCCACTTCTTTGTCTGCGGGTCCCAGAACTCGAGCGCGGACAGACCCGCGCGCGCCATGAGTAAGTATGCGATGTAGACTACGTCGTCGGCGAGGCCGACTTCGGTCGAGGTCGCAGTGTGCCCGAAAATCTCGAGAAGCGCGGGCTCGGGACACAGGTACATCGCCACGCACTCGGCCCGACACTCCTCGTACGCGCCCGCGGTCGTGCCAAACACCGATCCCCACGTCTGCCCGGGCTTGTAGTACGTCGTCACGGGCTTTCCGTCGATCGGCGACACCGGCGGCTTGCTCACGTCAAAGTTGAACTTGCCGGCCTCGGTCTCGGACAGCAGCTTGCCCGAGCCATGGCCGAGGAGCTCGTGCAGACCGACCTGGAGCTCGAACGCGGGCCCGCGCAGTTTCTCGTACAGCTCCGCGTCGCAGTCGCGGATGAACGGGGTCTTCTCGCCGCTTGATTTCGCGTTCAGCACGTTCCCCAGCGACACGTTCTTGAACCCGATCGTCTGCCGGATGTCGTCGTAGTTTGGGATGTTGATTCCCGCAGGGATGCCCGAGCCCGCAAACGTCATCACCTCGAGGGAGGTAAAGTCCGGCGGCGTGAACACGTCCTTTTCAAAGTCCTTTGCCCACGGAAGCAACCCGATGTACTCCTTCGCGCCATCGACCAGCGCGCCAAACGTCTTTGTCCGCTCCTTGTTCACCATCGCGACCAAACCCTCCCACTCGCCGCGGATCCCCGCCGGATCGCGATAGGTCTCGATGAAACCGATGTTGGTCTCGACCGCGGGCCCGATATCCCCGATCCACTCGCGCTGCGACCGCTTGTGCTCCTGCATACTTCCTTGCTCAAAGGACTTTACGTACGCGTCCAGCATCGCCGCCTGCTTCTCGTTCGCAGCGTACTCCTTTGCCTTTGCCAACTCCCCTGCGATCTTGCCCATCTCGACCGCGTGGTCGCCGTACTCGACCACGACTTTTGCCGTCTTGCTGATAGAAGGAACAGGGTACTCCGTCGTCTCGCCGCCGTCTCGGATCGAGGGGGTTCGCGTCGCAGACGCAATCAGCAGCTTGTACTCGTCCTCGCCGACCTTGCTCACGCGCGTGTTCTCAGGCAACAGCACACCGCCGATCGCGTCGTGAATCGCTTCGACCTCGGCCTTGCTCACGTCGCCGGCCGCGCGAGGGTAGTACCCCGTCACATGTCCAGACTCGGGATATCCCAGCAACGTCGCGGCCGCAGGCTCAGTGCTATAGATCGGCACGCGCAGCGCCTCGAACTGCTCCGCTACCCCAGCGCGCTCTGCCGCGCGCGCAAAGCTGTCGGCGGGGAGACGCGGGACGAATTTGATGTCGCCGAAGGACTTGTATTCTCCCAGGTTAGAGAGGAATTGGGAAAAGTACTCGAGCAGCTGCGTTGCTTCGTCGGCGGAGAGGGTTGCGTCGCTAGTGAGGGCGGCGCGGATGCCGCCGGCGGGGGAGAGCGCGGAGTGGAAGGCGAGGATGAGGTCGAAGATTGCTTCGGAGTAGGGCGAGACTTGGCGGAGGACGACGCGGGTGCCGAAGTGCGCGGCCCTGGGGAGTTAGAGTCAGTCAGTCATCTAGTCAGTAGAGAGATCAGGAGGAGACGTACTTTGAGAAGTGGTGGGCGTAGAGTTTCTCGGTCTGCGAGAGAGCCTCGAAGTGGGGCTTTGCAGAGAGGAAGATGATAGGCGGTTTCGCGTCGGCGAGAAGGTGATCCGGCGCAGTCATTGTCGAAGCTGAGGAGTATGAAGAGGATAAAGTGGAGGAGGAGGTAGCAGGTTGAGGAGAAGTGGTGAGGGTTGCGTACCAGAGTGGAAGTCGTCGGCAGAGAGAGCGACGAGCGAGCATATACCTGGTTTGATGCTGCTCTTGTTGAAGGAAAAGCAATTGAGCAGACGGAGATGAGGTTGAGAAGAATTGTCTTTGTCTTTCTGGCTCTTCGGACTTGGGCTCTTCGCGATGCCGGGTTGAGGAGAGGTCCGAGTGGATTATGTGAGATATTAGTAATACTTACTACTACAAGTTTACTACTACTACATATTCTATACTACTTCACTGTAGAATAGGACTACCAGATAGATAACAACATGCGACAGCCGGAGACGTGCGCCGCGAGCTGTTTCTCTCTTTTGTTTTCTGTCTTGCTTTTGCTTTTGTGATTCCAGCTCTATGAGGTAAATTAGAGAGCAGCCGACGGTTGGGTGAGTTGAACCAGCCCAGGCCACAGGCTGGCGCAGCTCGAGACAATTTCGGTGGAGGCTGCTGCAGGAAGGAAAATCAGCCGTTTTGCTGCTTTATCTCGCTGCCGGGGGCGCAAATGTCCGACGGCCCGTAGCTGATATTAGTGTAAATGTAGTTGGTGTAATGTAGAAGTAGATGTTGAAGAGTAGTTGCTGAAGGAGTTGCACTCAGTGGTCGAAGTGCGCTCTTCCTCACCGCTATCACCACTTCTCTACACAACTCTTACACCACTCTTAATACACCACACCCCCACCCCCACCACAATGACCCTCGAGAAACTCGAACGCGGCATCCAAACAGCCGTACAAGCCCGCGACCGCGACGAGCACGAAATCTCCACCTTCCTCCTCTCGCACTCCCCCGCCTTCAACTCCCTCGTCCGGCTCTCATTCGAGCGCGTCTGGCTCGCGCGGCAATCCTCCGCGCTCGAGCGCGAGCGGGACGAGGTCGAGCAAGATCGCATGCGCCGCGAGGGAGAGCGGACGCGCATCGAGCTTAGGAACGACGAGCTCGCGCTCGCGAGACGGAATCTGGAGCAGCGCAGGCGGGAGTTGGAGGAGATGAGGGCGCAGCTGGAGGTTACGAAACGGGTGGCGGAGGAGACTGTTTTCGAGGTCGCGTTGCAGCGGCGGAGGATATGTGAGGATCTCGAGAAGATCTATCCGATTGAAGCTGTGCGTTGTCTTACTCTTCTTCTCTTATCTTGCTCTCTGATATTAACATCTGTAGATCGTCGGCAAGAGCCTGGCATTCTCAATCCGCGGCATCGAGCTCCCAAACACAGACTACAAAGGCTTTGACGAAAACCTGCTCGGCACCGCGCTAGGCTACACCGCCCACCTCGTCTACCTGCTCTCGTTCTACCTCAACATCAAGCTGCGGTACCCGGTCTTCCCCGCCGGCGACAAGTCCTACGTCGAAGACCCCGTCAGCGTCTTCCAAGGCTCGCGCACGTTCCCGCTCTGGCCGCGGGGGTCGGTCTACTACCGCTTCGAGTACGGCGTGTTTTTGCTAAACAAGGATATCGAGCAGCTCATGAACTCGCTCTCGTTGCTCGTCATCGATCTCAGACATACCCTGCCGAATCTAAAGTGCCTGCTGCTCTCGATGGAAGCAAACGGATGACAACGACTTCGGGGGTTCAGAGATTAGCCCCCGGGGTTAGATCATTTGTTTTGGTGTATATATTGTGGTCATTGGGTTGGTGTTATGCATTGATTTGTCTGGATATGTAGTATTGTATTTCTATCTTATGATTACTTATTCGCCGGTGGCTATGTAGCTCCGGTATCTCTCATGGTTCATCAACTCCTCCAATTCAGTCGGATCTTTGAACCCGATCCTGCAGATCCATCCTATACCCAAGTTAGCACCGATACTCTCAACTCTCAAATCATCAACTCATAGAAATAAAAAATACACACCCTCTCCATAACAATCCTTATTAACCAACCCCGGATTCTTCTCCAACGCCTCGTTAACCTCAAGCACGACGCCCGACACCGGCGTATAGATATCCGACGCCGACTTGACGGACTCGACCGCGCCAATGACGTCGCCCGCCACGACCTGGGCCCCGACGGCAGGCAGCTCGACGTAGACGACGTCGCCGAGCGCCATCGCCGCGTACTTCGAGATGCCGATGACCGAGATCGTCGCGTCTTCGAGAGCGACCCATTCGTGCTCGGGGGTGAAGAGGAATGGGGGGACTGGTGGTGTGAGTCAAAGTTAGATCGAATCAGACGAAGATGATTAATGGATGCAAACTTACACTTCATAGTCTCCTTCTCACCCTTCTTTTTCTTATCGGGACTCTCAGAACTGCTGTAAGCCCTTGCCGCAACACCAGAATTGGCCGCTGGACTCGAGCCGAGTCTGGTGATCGCTAGTGATCGCGGAAAAGAGCGACCGACGAGCGATCTCGAGGCGGAGAAAGCGAGTGTCGACCGTGATGCGGCGGACGAGGACGAGCGCAGTGAGCGCGCGAGTGATCTGGTGAGGGACATCGAGATGTTGTAGTTGGAAGATGTTGTTGAGATGTGAAGAGAAGAGGAAGAGAAGAAGAAGCAGAAGCAGAAGAAGTTTGCTGAGCTTTAAAGTTCCCTGCTCTTCACTCCACATTTCCTCCTCTTCTCCTCTTCATCTTCTCTACATTCATTATAAATCCCGTGAACTTCCTACAAAGTCCTCTACACAACTCCACAGAGGTAGCGAAATCCTGTTCTCAAAGGACTTCAATTCCGGACCGCGAGAGGGGCGTGTACCTCGGCCACTTATTTCTCATTAAGTTTGACCACCAACCCGCACCAAAACGCGTCGGCTAAACAAAAACTCCATCGCGAACAACCGAGCTCCTCTTCTCCGCTTTCGCTCATAAAACCTGCCTTTGCCTCTTCTCTTCACCAGATCCTACTCTTTATACAACTACACACAATGTCTTCTACTACTCCTGCTCCTGCTGCCACTCCTGCCACTCCTCCCCCCTCCACCCTCCACACCCGCATCCTCAATGCCGCGCGCTCGTCCGACCCCTCCCTCGCAAAGGCCTCCCGCATCCTCTCCTCCGCCTCCACCCTCGACCTCAACCTCATGACCGCCCAGTACTCCCTCACCTTCCTCGCAGAGTCTATCAAGTTCATCCACAACAAAGCCGCCCTCGCCCGTCTCTTCGCCCGCCTCTCCGCCCTCTCGACCTACTTCGACTCCGTCACCATCGTCTCAAAACCCGGCGACATCCTCCTCCCGCCCTCCCAGACCGCCCTCCGCCTGCGTCGCCTGACCGCGCTCATCTCCGACGTCCGCATCTTCAACCGCCTCTGGGGCACAATCACAATGCTCAAATGGGGCTCCGCAGTCCTCCAGGCGCCCCCCAAGGACGCGATCCTCAAACTGATCGCCTACACCCAGGTCGTCAGCAACAACATCTACCAGCCCCTCGAAAACATCGCCTACCTCGCCTCCCACGACATCCTCCCGGTCGACAAACTGACCGTCAAAAAGCTCTGGATCTTCTCCTCCCGCCTCTGGGCCCTGCACATCATCCTCGAGTTCGTCCGCCTCGCGCGCGAATACGCCCTCTCCTCCAAGTCGTCCGCGTCGGCTACCACTTCAGAGAAGCTCGATCCTGAACTAGCTGCCGAGCGCGTCAAGGCGAAGAAGCTGTGGACCCGCCAGCTCATCGTCACTGCCGCGTACTTCCCGCTCACGATCCACTGGTCGCTCGAGTCGGGGATCATCAATGACTGGATGGTGGGCTTGTTTGGCAGTATCGCCGGCGGCGTGCGATTCTTTCCGTTATGGCGGGAGGGGTAGTTGATGTGTTTTATTTGTTATGTGTTTTGAATACTCGGTAATGCTGGTCATGCCTTTATATACTACCAGTTCTTCTTGCTTAAATACAATTATAATATGTAGACAGACGCGTGCATACTCGTAAGCATTGATATACTACCAGTTGTTCTTACTTGGTTCTACTATAATATATGTAGAATGGGGATCATTATTATACTCGTAAGCTACTCCTCCCGCGCCGCGAGCTCACTCTCCACCGGCACGCTCTCCAAATCAAACTTTGAAATCATAACCCGATTATTCGCCGCCTCCTTATGCACCCTCGCAAAATACCTCAGCGCGTCCTCCGCCTGCGCAATCTGCCTCGTGCGATCAGACTTCTGCGTCGCCTGCTCGTCCAGCATCGCCTGGAACGCCCGCCTCAAGTCCTCGCTGGGGAACTTGAGCACTTTCCGACACTCGCTCGCGATCCGCTCCGCGTTCGCGTGCACGTAGTCGACCGCCACCAGCTCGCGGTGCAGTTTCTTTGCGATCTTTCGGGGTACCACGTTCGGCACCTCCCGGACAAAATACACGACCCCGGCAAATAGCGCCACCGTGAGCGCGGGCATGATCCAGTTCTTCAGGTTCCGGAAGCCGATCGCGGACGTCGTGCTCGCGAGACTGCTGTAGAACGTCGTCGGCACGCCGAACGCGCCCGTGCCCGCCACCGTCGCAAGCGTGAGCGACATGCCCATGCTCGACAGCTTCTCGCTCTGATCGAGCTCAAAGAAATCCGCGAGCTCGATGTCGGCCGACACAGACCCGCGCGCGAGCAAGTCCTTTTTGCGCGAAAACATCATGCTGCTGTTGAACACTTTCTCGGTGTAATACGGCGTGCCTTGGAAATGCTGCAGACCCATCCCTTTCAGCACGTTAAACCCGGAGGTCGTCTTCTTGCGCGCGAATTCCTCGCACTCGAGCACGCTCTGCTGCAGCGTCACCAGCATCGCGTCCCTCATATCAGACGCGTACGAGTACACAAACAGCAGGCCCGGGTACTCGACATGCTTCACATCGCTGATGTTCTTAATCACGTCCTCGAGCTTGAACCGCGTGTGCTCGTACACGCTGCTCACAGTCTTCTCGATCCCCGCGTCCGCCTCCTCCGAGACCGCGACACTGCTCGCAAGCGTGCTCTCATACACCGGCGCAATCTGCTCGAGCTCGCTCTTCAACCGCGCCACTTCGCTCCGCGACACATCCTCGTTGTACGAGCCCAGCGCTTCGACGTCGCCTAGAAGATTCAGGAGGTAGGTCTTTGCGGGAGCGAGCTTTGAGATCGCGCGCTTCTCGAGCACAAAGTTGCGCAGACATCGTTCTAGCCGGTCGAAATCAGCTAGGTCGTCATCGTCGTTGTTATTACGGTCGTTGTTGTTGTCGTCGTCGCCGTCATCGTCAGGACTGCCGCCGCTGCTGCCAATAGGCACCTTATTCGAGCTCACAAAGTGCACGAGATCCTCGGCATCATCATAAGTCTGCGGCGACAGCTTCGAGACCTGCTCCAGAATCAATCTTGAACACCGGCCCTTATCCTTGATATTATCAAACCTATTCACGACGATGAAAATAAACGCCTTCTCATGCGCCGCGTTCCAGATAAACTCCTTGGCAGACAACGTAAAGTGGTTCTCCGCCGACACCACAAACACGACAACGTCAATCTCCTCCTGCCGCGCAAACACCGCCGTCGTCTGCATCGAGTCCATGTTCAACCCCGGCGCGTCGATCAGCGCGATATCAACCACGCCGTTCCGCAGCAGACTTTCCTCCGCCGGCCGCTTGTCTTCAATGTACACTTTCAGCAGCACGTACGTCTCAGGACTGACCGCCAGCCGCTCGAGCGCGTCGAGTGGGAAGACATCGTACGTCCGCTCGTCCTTGATGCTGTACGTCGAGCCGTGCGGGATCGCGTGGACTTCCTCGACGCCGTTGTTGATCTGCGCGTCCAGCACCTCGCAAAACACGTTCGTGCACGGCTGCTGATCCTCAGGCAACAAGTTCCTCCTCAGCAACGCGTTACAAAACGTCGATTTCCCCGCGTTCAAATCGCCCGTGATCAGCACCTTGGACGCCGTATCCTCGATCCGCTCCCGCAGCGACAGCAGATGCTTGAGCGCCTGCGCGATCTTGCCGTCCAGCAACGACGCCACAGCGGTCTTCTCGAGGCTCTGCACGAGCTGCGCGGGACTCACGGTGCCGAGCTTGAGATCGAGCTTGAGCACGTTGAACTCGTGCAAGAGCTCGCTGCTCATCAGCCGTGGCGGCACGTCCGATCCCGAAGCCGGCGACGGCGGCGTCTGCGGCGTCTCGTCAATCGCCTTGCCCTTTCCGTTCGCGCGCGCCGACGCCGATGGAACCTCTGTCGCGGCGCGCCGCAGGTTCGGCCGATCTGGCAGGTCGATCCCTTCGTCTTCGTCGGCCTCGGCTGGCGGCGTGGACGGCAGCTCGGGAGGCGCGGACCGGCCGAATCTGGGGTAGTGCGCGGGCCAGACGTGGTTTTTGGCCTGGAGCTCTTTGAGCATTGCCATTACTGTTGTGATTGCGCGGCCGAGGGCCGTGCGGTTTTCGTTGTAGTGAAGTTGTTGGTTTTGGAATTGGAGAAGTCGTTGCGTCGCGTCTGAGATTGTTAGCCCATTTACTGCATCTCCCATCGTCTCCTTTTCAAAAGCGTATACACAAGATGAATAGTACTCACCATCACCCGCGCCGTTCATGAAAATATTCGGCATGCTAGGCACGATACCAGGCGACATCAAATTACTCGGCTCGCCCTCCTGAATATGCTCTTTCCCCTCCTGCTCTTGCCCCTGCCCGACCTGCACGAGCTCACCCGGCACGCCCGGCGCACCAGGCACAAGTCCCGAGTCCGCGGCGGCGATGTATATCTCGCGGTTCTTGTTGCTGCGCCGGTTGGACGGGCCCGGGAGGTCGTCGATGTCAAAGTATGAGGATGACATGTCGGATGATGGGGGTCGATGACGATGGCGAAACACAGACTCTGGCGAAACACAGACTCTGGCGATTCGGTTGTGGTATACCCTCACACACACACCGGGATATTTGTGCTTTGCTTCAGAAAACGCAGGTTCGAGTTGTGTGCGTGCTGGCTCTCTTGTTTTTGTGTAGTGAATGGAGAATCGGGAGGCAAAGGAAGGATATTCGAAAGGCATCGGCCGACGCTCAGTTTAACGAGAATCCACCACAGGGAAAAACCCTCGCTACTGGGAGTTTACATCCGCTGTTGTGGAGCACCAAACACTGCGTGAATGCACACAGTATTCTGGAGCACTCGCCCCTGACTACGCCGGCTGGTCCTACCGAAGCGACGTGGTCAGCGCTTACATAACAATAAAGTTACGACGGACAGCTGCCTGCGACCGTGCTCGAGGCGTCCGCGAAGTGAAATTACGGTTGGAATTAAAACTGGTTGAGTCAGAAGAGCAGAGTGGAGACAGACGAGGGATTGAGCATTTTGAGTAGTATTAGATGCTGGCTGCTGGCTGCTGGGTGATGGGTGCTGCTGGGATCTGGGCGGGAGACGAGCGCGTCGAGATCAGGATCCTCCTTCACCACCAGCTAAACAGCTCAGCTCGTTCAGTACTCCAGACAATAACTCTCACCGTCTCTGCTCTGCACCGTCAAACAGACCGCAACTCCTTAGCTCCACTCCACTCCACTCTACAGCATGGCAAAAGTAGCAGCGGAAGCGGGGCAGACAGCAGCTGGTTCCCCACTTAAACCTGATAAGGTTGTTGTCCATCTTCCGTCTTCATTCAAGCTTCCTCCCAAGCTACACCACCCCGCATCCCCGCATTTCATGTATTTGAAGACGCGGCAACCGCTCTCTCTCGCAATTTGTCCTGCAGATCCACGTCTGGCTGCTCTATAAACATGTCCACCAAACTCTGCCAGCAAAAAATCAAGCTCAACACCGGCCAGCTCATGCCCGCCGTCGGCTACGGCACCTGGCAGGGCAAACCAGACGTCAATGGCTCGACCGAGCTCCAGGACGCGATCGTCGTCGCGCTCGAAGAGGGGTACAGACATATCGACACCGCGGCCGCGTACGGCGTCGAGCCTGATGTCGCGGCCGCGATCAAGAAGTCCGGCGTGCCGCGCGAGGAACTCTTCATCGTCACAAAGCTCTGGAATACCGACCACGACGACGTCGAGGCCGCGTTTCTGAAGTCGCTCGAGAAGCTAGACACTGAATACATCGATCTCTACCTGATGCACTTCCCGCAAGCCAACGGCGCCGGCGGCGTAGCGCTCGAACATCCAACTCCCGCAGAGACATGGCTGAACATGGAGGCCGTGATCAAAAAGTACCCGACCAAGCTGCGCGCCATCGGCGTCTCCAACTTCTCCAAAAAGACAATCGACCAGCTTCTCGAGGTCGCCACAATCAAACCCGCAGTCAACCAGGTCGAAGTCAACCCGATGTGGCCGCAGCCCGAACTGCGCGCGTACTTTGAAGGTCTGGGGATCCACATCACCGCGTACTCCCCGCTCGGCCAGTGGGACTCGCCTCTGCTGACAGACCCCGAGATCGCGGCCATTGCGGCAAAGTACAACGTCGGCGTCGGCACACTGCTGCTCTCATGGTGCCTCGCCAACGGCGTCTCCGTGATCCCAAAGTCCGCGCGCAGAGAGCGCATGCATGCAAACATCAATCTTCTCAAGAACCTCGAGCCGGAAGATAAAAAGTTCCTGGACGAGTTTCATTTCAAAGAGGGAATGCACCGGCGTCTCTGTCTCGCCGGCGACGGAACGCGGCCGACGGGGAAAGAGCTCATTTTTGGATGGACTTATGAGCAGATGGGATGGGAGACTTTCTTTGTCGATACTGACGAGCGACGTCCTATGTAATCGTAATCTATATAATAATCTACATAATCGTAATCTATATAATCCGCAATCTATAACCTATAATCTTTTGTTTGTTCTTTGCTCTATAGTTCTGGTGATCTCTGATCTCGCAAGTCGACCACCCACCCCATCATCCGTCTGCGTCCACCCCAGCCCGCACCACCCCATCAATTCACATCAATCAACCATCAAACACACCATTAACCTCCTCACAATAACATCCCCCCATCCTCCCCATCTCTACCCCCACCCTCCCCCTCCAATCCCCAAATCTCCCCCCACCAAAACCCTAATCCACAACCCCTTTATAAAGCACACGGCGCCTAAATATGTGTCCTTCGGGACATATGGTCAACTGAAACTATACAGAGAAGATCAGCATGGCCCCTGCATAAGGATGACACGCTTTGATAAAGAGAGTACAATGTTTTTTTTTGCGTGGTTCGAGACTTGGATTCTGCACAATTGATTTTCGATTTTTATTTTTTTTGTTCTTTGTTTTTTTTTTAGAGATGTGAGAGATGAGGTAATTTTGTCTTGCTTTTTTATTTGATTTATTTGAAGGGGGAGGGGGGTTTCTTCTCTGCATTTGATAGAGTGCCGAATCAACCTCCTCCTCCTCCACTCCCATCCAAAACTACCCATACACTCAACTTACTCACTATCCATATATACACATACACAACCAAAAACAAAAATCAGAATCACTGAACTCCAAAAAACTTAACACCAGCCTCCTCGCCATCCGCGGACCTCATGATCTGCGCCTGTCCTCTTCGAACCAGTACGTCCAGCGCTTTTCGGAGGATCGTGGAGTCAATGCCGTGGAATTCTGCATGAGATGAGGTTAGGATATGTAGAATTGTAACGGGATATGGGGAGTGGGTACCTTGTGTGTATGAAGAGTCGCCTTCGGAGATTTCGTAGAGTGTCAAGATCGCGTTCTTCTGTCCAGTAGCGTCGATCTACAAGATACCAGATTAGCACCACCACCAGCAACAACAACCCCCCAGCTCTTAAGAGACAGCATACCCAATCAGAAATAAGATTAGCCCATTCTTCAGGCCGCCGCCAGAATATTATGGCACTGGTGTTTTTGCCTTCCTTTGCGCTGCCGCTGCCGGAAACCCACTCCGCGTCGCCTTTCTTGACCATGTCATTCAGGATTTCTCTGCAGGTATCTAATTTCAGCGATCCTATCCACGCAAAAAAAAAGTCAGTCATATACCACATACTAAAAGCAGATAGCAGAGGGAAAAAACACACGATTAATCTCCTTATTACTAAACAAATCCCACTCAACAGCCGTATTAAGATCAACCCGCCATATCTTGTGAAACCGGCAATACGCCAGAATCAGCGAGTTCCAAAGCGAGAGCTGGGAGGACCATGTCTGTCCGTTTGGCTGCCGCGTGAAGAATGGCGGGAAGGAGTATATGCTCGGGAACGGGAATGTCGGGGGGGTTGGGGATGTGGAGGCGGTGGTGGTGGGAGCAGGGACGGGCGTGGATACGCGCGAGGGATGTGAGGTTGATGCCATTTCTTTGTGCTGCTACTACTCCTGTTGCTGTTGTCGTTGCTCTCTGTTTAAGAGCTATTTGTCAAACAATCGCACGCGCAGCAGTTCTGCTTATCAGCTCTATCTCAACCTCGAATCCGTCGGGAGCAAAGCCAAAGCCTCGCCGCGGCCCATCGCCCTAGAGCGGAGTTCACGTGACCTCACGAGTGAGTGAGTGAGCAAGGATGGTTGTTGTAGGGTTTTTGGTTGGAGAGTGACTATGTTTGACGTTTAATTTAGATCCGGGAAAGCTGGAGTTGATTAAGTATGAAGTAGAGCGTTGCTGATAGTGATAGGTATTTTACGAGGAGGAGGGAGTTGAGTAGAGGAGGAGCAGGACGGCGAAGACAGATAGCAGATAGCAGATAACAGGACAGGACCGGACAGCTCCGCGGCATGAAACAGTCGACGGACGGACTAAGAGCAGAAGAGCAGCAAACGGCTTAGTGGACGGGAGCAGCGAGGTCATGGGACAGAGGCAGAGAGTCATGTGGATCAGCGATGGTGAACGGTGAGCGGTGCAGGGGTGTTGCGGTGTATCTGATGCGGTTAGCCTGTCTACTTCTCGGTGAGCTGATGAGTTGCTGAGCAGTGTCTAAGCTGCTGCTGCTGCTGCTGCTGCTGCTGCTGCTGCTGAACAATCTGATCTCAGAGAAGGAAGAAGACAGAACTACGTCAGCTGCCTCGCGAGAATACTGACAACGCGCGGTGAGAACCAGACGCGACATCACCGTCCACTTCAACTCTTCACCTCTCCCACCATCACCCTCCCAACCACCTTCTCCTCCTCTCCAGTCTCTCTCCAGTCTCTCTCCAGCCACTCTCCCTCCCCGCTCTCCACAACCCGAGTAGATTAACACGATAAAACTCAGGGTCCATCGCCGCAATAACCATATCCCAACCCCGACCCAGCGCCGGTACGTAAGTAGAACCTTAATCCCGAATTCAAAATAAAATAAAAACAACCGCATCTGAGCCTCAGACGCGTCCGGTCGAGTGCTGCTGATAATCAAGCAGAGCAGCAGGACGATATCAAGACAGACTGACAGACAACCAGGCATGAGCAGCGACAGTATGATCCGTCGCAAAGCAACTACAATCAGCCTCACGATGGCCGACGTCCTCGCTCTCGACGACGAGCCTAGACAGCAACAACCCTCCACCACCACCACAACCACAACAACATCGGACCTCTCGGATACTCCATCCCTGCACTTCTCCCCGCAATTCCAAACACCGGTGCAGTACCAGCACCATCAGCAACAACTTCTACACCAACAACAGCAACAACAAGCTGCATCCTCGCCCTCGCCGAAACGGGGGGCGGCTTCTGATCTATCTGAAAGCTCGTCGTCGCCGTTCAGCACCACCGCGTTCCCGGCGTCGTCTGCAGCCGGCGTGTCGCAGGCGCGCCATGGTAGCGTGCAGCGCAGCTCGAGACCGGTCGCGAATCATAATTAGTTGCGGATTTTTGCTTTGAATGGTGGGTTTTGTTTGATGTTGGGAGATGGTCGTGACAAGTGCTGATTTTTGATAGACATCCATCACCTACTCTCCAACCTTGCTCCTTGCTCTACTACGCTCACCACAGACGACAGATCCGGCATCACCAGCAAAAACCTACGAGCCATCATCCTGCTTTACCCCATCTGCATTGTACATATACATATTCCTAGCTTCACAATCACATCTTACTCAATTATCTACCACTACTACCTCAACACAAACTCATTCCCAAACTTCGTCTCCATCCGCAACACCCCCGTCAACACCCACTCCGTACTAAACACATACCCCCTCCTCCCCTCCTTCTCCGCCACCGCCAGGAAATTCCCGAAAAACTCCTTATCCTCCGCACACGAAATCAGCACCATCGGCAACTCCCCCGCCTCGCTCACAGCGAACTTCTTCGCCCGCGCAGACTTAATCACACTACACATCCCCCGTTCGCCAACACTATCCGCCGAATCGTCTCCGCCCCGCCTTTCACCCCCGGCGTCACGTTTATCGCCATCCCGCAAAACACCCCCGCGCCGTCCAACTTTTTCGCCCGCGCCAGCGTCTCGGCTAGCACGCACTTGTTGCGCTTCTCGCCTTCCTTGTCTTTTAACAGGTACTTGTTCGCGTCGAGCGGCTTTTGCCGCGCGAGCGTGTCTTTGATGAAGTCGGTCGAGATGATGGTCGGGCCGTGGGCGATCGCGCAGAGGAATTTCTCGGTGCGGAGCAGTTTGGGGGAGGCGACGTGGGTCGCGATTTTTGGGTCTTCTACTACCTCGATGTTTAACGAGAGGAGGGTCTTTTGACGTCAGTGCGTACTTCGATGGCGTAGAAGCAATAGTTGAAAACATACCTGTGCATCGTGGGAGGAGATATCACCATATCCAGTCAACAAGACCTTTATCCGCGGCTCCTTCGATACCGATCTCTCCTTCGTCACCCCCTTTGCTTTCTTCTTTGCCCTATATCACAAGTCAGCACCACTCCTCCACCCTCAACAAAACAAAAACGTACAAAGTACTCTCCCCTCCCTCTTCGCTCTTCCTCTTCTTTCCCCCGGACGCAACCGCCGGCTCGGCAACACTATCCCCGCTCTCGAGCTCAGGAATCTCAACTAACCCGCCGTGTTTCTTCTTCTTCTGCTTCTCATAGTCATTCAGCTGCTCCATATCGCCCTTCAGTTTCACCGCAGCTTTATCTTTTGCGGCACGCCGTCCGCTCGGAAAGGGTGAGGAGGTCGGTGTTTCCGTCGCCGGCGTCGCGCGAGGCTCGTTCTCAGACACCGCTTTGGATTTCCGGGCAGGTGTCGGCGTAGCTTTCGTCGATGACGCAGATTCAGACGGATCAGCACTCGGCGTCTCTGACCTCTCGGCCGTTTTCGAGATTGCAGGCTTTGGCGTGCCGACGTTATTATCAATCTGCAACAACGTCCGCTTCGACGTCGGCGACGACTCCGCCTGCGCCTTTTCATTATTAATCACAACATCCTTCGCTTCTTCCTCCTTCTCCTTCTCCACCGACTCCTCAACAACCCCTTCCTCGCCCTCCTCCGGCTCGTAAAACCGCATAAGCTCGTGCACGTCAAGACGTGTCTGCCCAATTACATCCATGAGATTCATCTTTGCGGGGAAGGTCGTATACCGCGGATTCGAAACGCGCTGGCATTCCCATCTGACGTAGGAATCTTCTAACCAGAGGTGGTTGAGGATATGTACCGTGCCCCATTCCAACGCCGCTTCGTATTTCGTACTGTTTGCCGTTCTACTCACCACAATTAATCAGTATTTGCGTACTTCCAGCTATAAAGAGAGTTGATAACTCACCGGGCAATAATCAAATGCGTAGTATCCTGCCTCAGCGTCCTCGTATACTCCGCCCCCATTCCCAAAATCAACCGCTCGACGTAAAGCCTGGACTCGCCCGTGAACCCCGAGACGCTGATTTTGAACCCTTTCATCTCCGGGATCGGGTCTCGCGGGACCGGGTAATGCAGTAAATGGCGTAGCGGCATCTTCCAGGTGTCGTGCGCAATCATCCAGTAGAGCCAGAGGAGAGAGCCGACGAAGATATGTGATCGACTGGCCTGAGGGAGATGTTAGAATCCAGATGCTAGTAATGATCTTTTGAGCTCACCTTTATATAATCCTCACCCGCCCGCCAGCGCCCAAGATACACATTTGCGTCCTCAAGAATATCAACCACCTCTCCAGACGCCGTGCGAATCATCGTGCCGACAATCATCTTGAAATGCTCCGACAGATTCAAATCCTGCGCCAGATAAAACTTCTTTCCGCGAAACACCGAGCTCTCGCGCGCTTCAGGCAGTCTGAGCGCGCGCGCGTCTTCTTCCTCAATGTGGCCGGGGTGGATGTAAAACAGGTCTGATCTGCTTTTCTTTGCCGCTGAGAGCGGGCCGTCGCCGCGGTTCCAGATCGGAGGGTCGGGGAAGAGGAACATGTCTTCTTTGATATGCCGGTGAAGCTTCAGACAGTAGTCCACCCAATGCGGCAGCACGATCTTCACCGACGGTCGCTTTGCCAGCTGCGAGGCAATCTCTTTGAAGCCAGGGTTGTCGATCGACGGCGTGACGATGTGAGTCGTGAACCTGGAGATCGAAGTACTCCACTGCCCACCCAACGCCTGCACGCCTCCGTAGATCGCCTCGACCTCAGACGCGGGCAAACCCACGGCGACGATACTAACATCAGAAAAGAAAAACCTCGGATTCGGCGAAAACATGCGCAGCGGCAGCGACCGCCGCTGGTTAGAAGACTTGTGCACCCATGCTGACTTGACGACGTTGATCATGCGCTCGTCGGCCTCGAGGTATTCCGGGAAATCAATGTTGTTTGCAATTATATGCGTCAGATCAAGAAAGTCGAGTAGCGTCCGGCGATTACCTTCCGGCTCGACGGTGAGTTTGGCTTCGGTTGCGCCGCCGGTGAGAAGTTCTTGCCGGGTCTTAACAGTGCGTGTTAGCAGGAGCCTTCAACAAGAAGTGGATAAGAGGGTAAACTCACGCGCTCGTAATCAGCGTCGCTGATTCCGCTTTCACGGGATATGAAGAATACAACCCTGTTGAACGGCTTCGCAGATTCATCGCTATCTTTGCTCGTGTTTGCCTGCAGATGCGCATGAATGGAGTCGGTCGTAGCCATCGTTCGATATCTGCCTCTTTTCCAAAGTATATTCAGTACAGAAGCACCTATCGGATCGTCCAGAACACCTCGAACATACAACTAACCAGCGCAGAATAGACGACGAGGGTGTTTACACGCGCGCCAAAGACGCCGAAAAGTTGTTGTTGTAGTTACCCGGGTTTCTACGTGACGATTTCGCGATGGAGTGCACGTGACTGTAGTTAGATAATGAATGAGTAATTAACGTCGTGAATAATTTCAATTTATAGACACTCAGCGCACGGGCATCAGCAGTGCGAAGGTGGTAATACTAGCACCGGGTGATCTCCGAAGGTTGGGCTTGTAGGATACGCGTAGTTGTCGGCGAAGGTGGTCAGATGTCGGCGAATGACGCAAGCAGGAGAGAAGGTACTGGGTGGACAAGCATTGGGGGATGAGGCAGCGGGCGATAAGGTGGACGGGAAGATACGAGAGAAGATGATTGTGTGCTTCTATTGATAGTAATTGACAGAGCATTGATAGAGTATTCAGAGCTCGGAACTATCTATTATGAACGCTATCAACAGCATAAACTGCTATACAACTGATCAAGAACAGAGAAGAAGAACAACAGCACTCTCATCAGTACAGTGGTCGGCCGCAAAAGGACGAGCTGAGGATTATTCAATACGAGCGGTAATCATCAGTATTATTCGTCCGTGTACTCTTCTCCAAATTGTGGCTCGGTCGATACAGTGAAGCGAGTAATTCGCCGGCTGAAGATGTTTGATCTGCATTATTGCTGTTTAGTGAATCTTTGCGAGGTGAGTCTAAGCGGCCAGGCCATCAGCCTCACAATAGCGACGACTGATTCTAACAAGGGCTCGTGGTCTGAGTCCCTTTTGTCTCTTGTGGATTATCTCTTGACTCTGGAGAGGTTTATCTGCGTATATTCAGGGCAAACAGCACCTGAGACACGGTGCCGGAAACAAAGCAAAGCGAGGTTCGAAATCTGCACAGTTTCAGTAATTTCTTAGCAGCAATCTCTGTTAATTCAGAAGTCTTGTCGTCCTTCTGGAATACACTTCTTCTCTAATTAAGCGTACTCGTACGCACCCTTTAGCTTTGCAAATCCTTCTTTTCTCTCTAATCTCGGTTCTGCCCGCGCTCCTGTTAACTAACCTTGACTGAACTCTACTCAGCCAACGATCAGCTGCTCACTAATCTCTCACTAACTAATAGCGCACGTTAATTAACCGTACGTCACCCTCAGCCGTGCCGTACTCCTCCAGCCATAATCTATCTTCTGTACTCGCCCTACTTGCGGCCCTCCCAGCCGCTCATATACTTATTACACATATATACTCAACATCTATTAAAAGCAACTCAACTGCCATAACAAACTAACAAACTAAAACGAAAATGTCATCAGCTGCGGATTCAGCACAATCGGCGTCAGAATATGACTCGCAATCGCCCATCCCAGCGGCAGCGACGGGTAGAACCCCGTGATCCGCCAGTTCCACGGCACCCCATACGCCAGCGCAAGCATCCCCGCAACCAGCCCAAACAGCACAATGTACATGTACTTGAACCCGCGCACGATCTTGGGAAACTCCCGGAAGAAATTAGACGACTCGAGCTCCTTCGCCGTCGCGCCCCACTGCATGTTGAACCCGAATATGTGGCTCAGGAACGCGAGGTTGAGGTGCCAGGGTAGTCCGCCCAGGAAGATCATCATCATAAACCCATACATCACATTCTCCACCAGCGCCTTGAAGAACGTTGTCTCTTTCGTCCTGTACCGCACGAGCGCATTCACTATCGGCGACGCTCCCGAAAACACCACAACCAGCGACAGGAAGTTGTTGAACGAGCTCAGGTAGATCTGGTCGAGCTCAAACTCGAGCCATCCGATCAGAAAATAGTTGAGCGTCGACAAGAACAGCGACGCCGCAATCGCATAGTATGTCCCGATGTACGCGATGATTGTAAACTTTTGGAAAAACTTGATGTTGGACGTCAAGAAGTTCCAAAACAGCGGAGTAAACACTCGCCCCGTCAGCCAGTACTTGGCCGGCCGGAACATCAGCTCGTTGCATCCATACGCGTACTTTTGCCACCGCGTCAGCTCGTCGTAGACCGTCAACGACACTCCTTCCTCAAACTGGTCGTTCGTGTACGATACCAGTCTGATAGTATAGCCCTTGGTCTGCAACTTGAGCGACACCTCAAAGTCCTCAGACACATGCTGCTCGGACCAGTACTTGACGCGGTTATTATCAGTCTTGTCTTCATACGCCAGCTCCTGCAGCGCAGACCATCTCAGAAACGCATTATGTCCCACAAACGCAGCAGCGTCGCCTCCAGCCGTCGCGTACTGAATCGCAAAGTAAATCAGACGCGTGAACCACGCAATCAGCTCCTCCCAGTAGTTGTGCACCACCATCATAACCCCCGACTTTTGCTGCAAGATCGCAATCTCGGGCGAGTAGTAAAACTCAGACGCGGCGTCCAGAAAACAGTCCTCCGGCACTCGCGTGTCCGAGTCAATCAGCAGGATCAGGTCGCCGATGCGGATATCCCCCGCCGCCAGGCACTCGCCGTTCTCCTCGGCAATCACCTCCCGCAGCGCGTTCTCATACGCCGCTTCCTCCTCCAGATCAGTCCACTTCTCATGGCGCTCAATCTTCTCTAGCTTCTCCTCGACGCGGTTGCTGATGTTTAGAGAGTAGTTCATGTTACTCGCCTTCTTGAACCGGCCTCGGCGCTCAAACCCGTTGCGCCCATGGGGCGGCCGTGCGACCCATCCAATCAAGTGCTCCGCGTAATACGCCCGTCGCTCGGCCGCTTCGTCTTCCGGAATAAGCTGCATGCCGTCGTCGTTGACAAAAATACTCGCCGACCCGCCCTGCAGCTCGTACGTAGTCACGGCCGTCATGATCGACTGGATCGTGGGATTGATAACCCCCGCCAACGACTCTTTGTACACAGGGCACTGGATCGTAATATGAGGAAGCCTGATCTTGGACGCGGACAGGCGCGGCGGGCGGATGGCGGAGAAGGTCAGTGAGTTTGACCGCATTTGCGAAACCGGGCCGAAGAACTGGACGACGACGCCTGCGATCGCGACGCAGAAGAACGCGCAGAGAAGAGAGAAGGGGAGGATGTAGAGAACTGCCAGCAGGCGCAGGTAGTTTCCGTCTGCTTTGATTTCTTTGGCGATCGTGCGCATCATTAGACCGATGAAGGTGAATAGAATCAAAATAGCCTATTGATTGTCAGCGTCTCTCCCTAAACACTTATAAACATAAAATACGCACAAGTCCAACAGTTAAAGCCTGCAAAAGCATCGACGGCCGCTTCTTGACCTGAGCCAACTCAGGATCCTCCTCCGTCTTCTCCTGAACACTCTCCGCCCCCTCCTCAACCTCGCGGCTCTCAAACGGATTCGCCTCAAACGCCGCAGCAGTCGGCACACTGAACCGCTCCTCAAGACTACCAGGCTGCCACACGAGCTCCATCATCCGCGACTCGAGCATCGACGCGAGCGACAGCAGCCTCGTGACGTCGTCGGACCAGACTAAAAGACACTGCTCCTCGCGCACGAACGCGGCGTACTGGTGCTTGCGCGCGCGCGGGAGATCGACGATCGAATCCAGGATCTGGATGCGCGTGTTGTCGGAGAGCGGGACGGCCACGGCGTCGTCGGGCATGTAGGATAGAATGACGTTCACGATCGTGTACGACAGACGCACGCAGACTTTGACGTTGAGACCCGCGACGCGGTCAGCGAAGAACGCGCCTTCGACGTCTGACGAGGTCGGTGGGAAGACGCGGTACTCTGCCGTATCGTCAATGGTCGAGGCCTGCGCGGCAAGCGAAGCATGCTGCTCCGACACCGACGAGGCAGACGCGCTGATCTGCGACGACGCAGAAGACATAGGCCGGCTCGCGACCGGCGCGCGGTGCACCTCGTGGTCGACTCTGAGCGCGATCGAAGGCACGCCGTCCGGCAACGTCTCGAGCCAGTGGCGGCGCGTGCAGGAGTTGTACAGATGACGGCACATGATGTCATGTTTGTCGAGATTGAGGCCGGTGGTCGACGGAGCAGGCGTCGTGACCGAGGCGGGGCGGCGGTGCTGGGAGAGATAGTAGAGCTCGCGGACCTCGTCTTGATCTGCGGTCTGCAGGGCGGTCAGGAAGCGTCTGTCGGCAGCGGCGGTGACGCCGCCGTCGTCGGAGAGACTGAAGGGTTGACTGGATTGGCGGCTCATGGAGGAGCTGCCGCCGGCGTCGACGATGGAGGCCAGTTGGCGGGTGACGACGTCGGTGCGGATGACTGCGGGCATCTCGCGGTGGGTGATGTTGTGAGGCATGGTGAGTGAAGAAGTAGCAGCAGCAGAAGTAGCAGCAGCAACAGCAACAGAACACAGAACAGAACAGAAACACAGACTACGGACACGACGCTCTTATACACAAACAGAGCAAAGACAGACAATTACGCCCGAGAAGGCAGATACCGAAAGAAGAGCAAATAGGAGGACGAAAGGCAGCGAGAGCCGCTCGTGGCGGTGCAGGTACCCTCGGAAGCGTACGACTTTTTGTTTAATCGAGGAACTGCAGCCGAATACAAGGAAAAAACCCCGTCGTCGCGGTACTCGCTTTTTCTCCTCAAAACCACATCTCGGCGAGGAAAAGCGAACGAGAGACCTGCAGCCGATATGTGCTTGTCGGCGGATGCTCTATTTAGCAGACTGGCGATCCGCCGTCGTGGGCGCCCTGCTCCTCATCCTCCTCCCAGACACCATGGACCGCCCCGCCGAAGACCACTCCGTTCCTGTATTCGAGCCCGCTGCTCATGATGACCCGTTCAGAACACCTTCCACCGCCAGCAACAGCGGCTCGCTCTCCTCCTCGTCCTCTGAAGCCGGCTCCGTGCCCGTCTCTCTACCCGCACACTCCCAAGCCAAGGGCAAGCAACCAACTTTCCCACCAGGTAGTGAGCTCCCCTCCTCCTCCTCCTCCTCCTCCTCCTTCCACTCGCGCCCGCAGCTCCCGCGATCTACCTCTTTGCTCCAGGGCCTAGCTCCCGGATCGAGGTATATCGTGCGCAGGTCGTCCGCCCGCCCGTCCCCGGCCGCTTCCAGCGCGGCAAGTTTTATCAAAAGCAGAGCCCATTCGCTGGCCGAGCCTGAACCTATCTCTGAGACTGCCTCCGAACATGCTCCCGAACCCGGTGTCTCCCAGCAAGTCTTTGTCAGACCTGCTGCTGCTGCGGACAGCGACACTATTGAAGAAGAACAACCCCGCGCCCGCCCCCATCGCCATTTTGTCTCGCGACGACTCCCGCTCGGCTACGAGGCCGAAAAGCCCTGGCTGACGAACCGCACGCACGCCGAGAAGATGCCCCAGTACCTAATCTGGGCTGCTTCAGCTCTCGGCCTCGTGATTGTCGCCGTGCTGAGCTGGTTCGGCACGACCGAGGTCGAGAACTTCAACTACTGCACCGTGCTTTCTGAAGATTTCAGTAACGGGCTCGACTCGTCTGTGTGGTTTCACGAGCTGCAGGTGGGTGGGTTTGGCAATAATCAGTTTGAATGGACGACGAATTCGTCCGACAACGCGTTCGTCAAAGATAACCAGCTCCACATCGTGCCGACGCTCACGGCAGACTACATCGGCGAGAAAAACATGCTCAACGGCTACACCGTCAACCTGACCACCGACGGCACCTGCACGAGCCACACCCTCTCCGACTGCGCCGTCCGCTCAAACGCGTCCACAGACGACATGATCCCACCGATCCGCTCCGCGCGCCTGACGACAAAATTCTCGGCAAACGTCAAGTACGGCAAGGTCGAGATCCGCGCGCGGCTGCCGGCCGGAGACTGGCTCTGGCCCGCGCTCTGGATGCTCCCGACCGACAACGTCTACGGCGACTGGCCGTCCTCGGGCGAGATCGACATCGTCGAGTCCCGCGGGAACGACCATACCTACGCGGATGGCGGGAACAACGTGATGACCTCGACGCTGCACTGGGGGCCGACCTCGGACACCGACATGTACTACAAAACCACCGGCCGGACGAAGCTCAAGCGTACGACGTTCGCCGACAGCTTCCACACCTTTGGCCTCGAGTGGAACGAAAAGTACATCAGCACCTACCTCGACGGCCGCTTGCGCCAGGTCATGTACCACAAGTTTAAGACCCCGTTCTGGGAACTCGGAAACTTCGACACCACCTACGACAACGGCACCTCGCTTGCGGACCCGTGGCCTGTAACCAGCGCGAACGCGCCTTTCGACCAGGATTTCTACTTAATCCTCAACGTGGCCGTCGGCGGCACAAACGGCTTCTTTCAGGATGGAGTCGGGAATAAGCCCTGGATTAACGACGACCGGCAGACCGCGATGAGAGCGTTTTGGGACGCAAAGGACTCGTGGTGGCCGTCCTGGGGGGACGAGGAGTCGAGAGCACTGGTGGTTGACCATGTAAAGATTTACAAGATGTGCGATGCCTAGTTTGTTTAATGTTTGAGAACGTAATATTATTCTCCTTTCTCATTAGTAGTTGCTCAAAAACATATCTATAATACAAGGACGCTAATTCACAGCGCGCTCCTCCATCCATCCAACCCAATCATCCACCTTCCCAGTCTCGACGCTTCCCCCAACAACCATCACGTCCGACTCCAGATCCTCAAACCTGAACGGCTTCCCATCCCGCAACCCAAGCCAGCCATCACCACCGACCGTCGCGCTATCGCCGTCCTCCTCCTCCTCCTTCTCCCCATCCAACCCCACCTTTCCAATCGCCTTCGTCCGCGTCTCGCGAATCTTCTGAACCTCCGCCTCGAGCAGCGTGCGCAGCCGTTTCGCCGGCACAGCCGTAAAGAGCTCGCTCTTGTTCGCCGCAACAAGCACGTCCGACCCCCCGCGCACTTTCTCTGTAACCCTCAGAACATCATAGAGGTACTCCGCCGCCTCGCGCAGTTTCTCGGGCTTCGACACCGCCGAGGCGTCGACGACAAACAACACGCCGTGGATCGTCCGCGCCGCTTGCGAGACCTGCAGCACGTCGAACATGCTCTGGCGTAGTTTCTGGTGGCCGGGGGTGTCGATCAGCACGAATGGCTTTGCGGTATCGGGCAGGCTTGGTAGTCTGTAACTCGTCGAGATGTTTTGCTCGATAGACGGCAGGGTTGTTGATTTTTCGCCATATCGAAGCTGTTGTCGTTAGCTGTAAGCTACAAACACTTTCCAACAGCAGTCAGGGATCTTACCAAAGTAAATAAAGCAGTCTTGCCCGCCCCTGAAGGACCGGCGATGATGAATGTCGGCCCGGCAGCAGCGACCCCATGCGTTTTACTAAAGATGAACGAGTACACCGCGAACGCGATCAGACACGCGATCGCCAGGCCGCCCAGGTAGACCGGCAGCGGGTACCCTCCGCCTCCTCCTGCCATCTCAGTGCCTTCTAGTGGTATCAATGGTGAGTCTTCCGCCGACATTGTGTAGTTGTGGTTGTGGTTGTAGATAGCAGAGGGTGGATTGCGAGTGGAGTTGAGGTCTGTCGAGGTTGAGTGGCTGGTGTGGCTGGGTGTGGCTCGACTTCGTCCTCGAGGTCTTTTACTCTCTATTTCTTTATCGATAGCAATTGTTATGGATTAATTGTTATTGCTAAACTACTGGTAACAGATATACAGGGACTAAATCTCGACTAAATCTCCGTCCCGTTCTCCATCAAATACTCCAACAAATCAACCTTCGTCACAATATGAATCGGCTTCGCATGCTTCCCCGCCCCGGCTTCGGTGACCACCCCCGCCGAGCTGAATTCAAAGAAATCAGTCAAAGTCGATAACGGCGTGTCGATCGTGATGACGTCGAAATGATCATGCTTCGGTCGCAGATGCCGATGCCCGCCCGCGCGAGCAAGCGAATGCACATGCGCACCCGCGTGCGTCTCCTCGAGATGCGCAAAGTCCAGCATCGCGTCCTGCACCGGCGCCGACAAACTCACGCGCTTGCTCGCGACGCGCGAGAGGATGTGGCCGAGCGTGACGAGGCCGATGAGCAGGCCCTCGCTGTCGACGACCGGGAGCTGGTCGTATCCGTGCGATTTCATGATCTGCACCGCTTCCTGCAGCGTTTTCTTGCCTTCGATCGCGTCCACCGGTTTCAGATGCAAGTCCGCGATCGTGGCCTGCTTGAATTTTTCGCCGCCGTCGACGATCGTCGAGTCGAGCTGGAAGCCGTTCTGGATCATCCAGTCGTCGGAAACGAACTTTGTCAGGTACGACCGGATGCTGTCGGGGAAGACCACCACGACCGTGTCGTTCTCGCCTAGGTTCTTTGCGTACTGCAGCGCGCCTGCGAGCGCGGATCCACTGCTGCCTCCGCACAGGATTCCCTCTTCCGAGATCAGTTTCCGCGCGAGGTGGAAGGACTCGGCGTCGTCGGTCTTGATCCAGTGATCGACTGCGTTGCGACTGAGCACGTCCGGGACAAAGTCGTAGCCGATACCTTCGACCTTGTACGATTTAATCTCCGAGTTGAGATTCTCGGGAACAGCAAGGATCGATCCGACAGGGTCGACGGCGACGATTTGCACGCTCGGGTCCTGCTTCTTGATTGCTCTCGAGATACCGGTGATGGTACCACCCGTGCCCGCGCCCGCGACAACCGCCGTGATCTGCCCGTTCGTCTGCTCCCAGATCTCTGCGCCGGTGCCGTACTCGTGCGCGAGCGGGTTATCGATGTTGCCGTACTGATCGAGGATGACTGCGTTCGGGATCTCCTTCTGCAGCTTGCGCGCGACGCCGATGTGGGACTCGGGCGAGTCCCAGGCGGCCTCGGTGGGCGTGCGGATGATTTCTGCGCCGAGCGCTTTGAGCACGAGGACTTTTTCCTGGGACATTTTCTCTGGGAGGGTGATTATTGTGCGGTAGCCTTTGACGGCGGCGACGAGGGCGAGACCGATGCCACTGGGTAAGTTAGAGATAAGTGATGGTGGGAGTGAGAGAAAGGGAGACATACGTGTTGCCAGAGGTGGGCTCGATGAGGGTGTAGCCGGGTTTGATGCGACCGTCTTTCTCTGCCTCTTCGATCATGCGCTTGGCGATGCGGTCTTTGACTGATCCGCCGGCGTTAAAGTACTCGAGTTTAGCGACTGAGATGAGTGTGAGTATGTAAGAGAGCGGAGGGTAGAGGAAGGGAAGACGTACGGATGGTGGCTTTTATGCCATATTCCTGAGGGATCTTGTTTAGTTTGACGAGAGGAGTGTTGCCGATGTGGTTGAGGACGGAGTCCTGGATCGGAGGCGGCAGGAGTTTGGAGGGGGTCGAGTCAGCGGAGGGCATGGCGAGAAGAATAAGAGATATGAGAAGAAGAAGAGAAGAAGATGATGATGAGAAGAAGAAGAAGAGAAGAAGATGATGATGAGAAGAAGAAGAAGAGAAGAAGAAGAAGGTGACAAGAAGCAGAGTTCTGTTTAAAAGATGATTCTGCGATTGATTTATTGTCGCTTTCTGGCGGCCCGCGAATAACCGACGATTCTCTGTTTCTTAGCAAGACAGTGAAGAATACAGTACAATACAATATCCTTCTTATATCTATTCTACTTCTATATCTTCTATCTTATATAACATATAACATATATATATACAACTCCCACCGCTTCCGGCTATAAATAATGACGTCGTCGCCGGAAACGCGCCAGTCCGTCACTCGATCGTGCAATATTCACGTGTTCACGCGTTTTAGGAAACCCTTCGCCCTGAGTTTGCAATCATAACAAACCAGCGACGACGCATCAAGCAATCTCATCCTCCTTTTGTAGTTTTGTTTCTGCAGGTTCTACTTTCACTCTGCAGTTCTTTCGCTATTGCTGTATTTTACTGATTTATATACATCATGCCGCGACCACGTCGGCGGAAAATCGTCAGGCGTGCTGCCACGACGCACGTCTCTCTAGACCACCAACCCGCGCTTGACTCGAGCTCAAGTCTTCCCACCCCCACAGAGCCGCTAAAGTCCTCTCCTCCAAAGCGTGCCCAGGACTTGAGTTTTACTTGCAGACAGACTCGACGCAGCTCTGCGCTGTCGCTGAACGAGGTCGCGATGAGCGAGTCTGAGACGCAGGAACGTCGAGCAGATGAGAGCGAGAGTGTGAATAAGAACGAGAAGCGGGGTGGCAAAACTCGTGTCTCTGATGCGAGCGTGTTTGATCCTACCCTGACATCGACGCCTAAAAGCGAGGCGATGTTACAGCCTCTGTCGAAACAGGTACGGCCGAGTGCGCATAAAGCAGGGCTTCCGCGAAAATATTCTACGACTGTCAACGACGGAGTCGAAGCGGATATAGACGACGACAACAGGTCGACGCCCTCATCTGAATCGTCAGATCCGTTTGGATTCAGCAAAATACGCGGTGTGCGCGTCGCAGGACAACTATCGTCATCCCCTTCTCTCCCTTCAACGCCTACTTCGCCTGCAGCCTTTGAAGAAACCGCGCAGGCCGACGATAAACCTGATTCTATCAACGAAGACCTTTTGTCATCTCCTCTGTCAGACCTGAGAGGTCCCACACCATCTCCTTCCCATCTATACATGACCGACAATGATAATGCAGATGATCTACCGGCATCACCACTTCGCGCCACGAACGCAAACTCTCCGCTGAAGCAGCGCCGCGTCGAGAAGCAGCGCCGCGTCGAGCGCCAGCGACGGTCGCGGAAAGAGTCGGGCGAAGTCACGACCGCGCAGCTTACTTCTCTTTTGCCGCGACGGGCTACGTCCGGCCGGGAGCGAACGCGCACGCGGACGCAAAGCGGTGCGGGAGATGACGACGAGGATGACAGCGATGCGAGCAGTGAGGATGATGAAGACGGACGCGAATATAAGCAGCCGCAGAAAAGAAGACGGAAACGGCTCGCGTCCGGAAAGGAGAACAAGAGGGAACCTAGTTCCAAGGGACGGACGAAGCAGTCGGAGAATCTCAAGAAGCACGTGGACGAGGACGGCAGTGACTTTGATCTCTCAGAGGAGGAGGACTCGCCGGACTCGGACGTGCTGCGGAAGATGGAGAATGAGCGACTACGGAAGAAGTTCAGTGAGGTTGACGAGTGGAATTTGGAGGTCGAGAGTGTGCCTGTGGGCTCAGATTCGTCGTTTACATAGTGTGCTTGTAGATGTTTTGCTGTAATGATGTCTTGATGTCTTGATTGCTTGGTGTGCTTAATACATGTCTGATGTACACTACATATAACTACACAACTACTAACTGCTAATTGCCAACTATTAAACTATTAAACTACTAACTACTACTGCTATCTGCTATCTGTTTATAACCACACAAGCGGGGGTGTCAGATAAACGAGCTGTTCTAGATTTGCTCTGAGCTGCTTCGGTGACGTCATGACTCACGTGATCCAAACTGGAGGTGGCTTCAGATGGCCACACACCTGTCGTCGCCCACGACAATTGAAAGCCATCGTCTCGCACCCATCGACCGTCTTCCCGCCCGGCTTCTCTTCCAGTTCGACCCAATCCGCGTAATTGCTCCTGAAGATAACTGCAGTGTGAAGAAGGAGTTGCGAATAGATCATAGACATCTTCTTATCTCTGCTCAATCCGTCACCAGCCCTGCACCGAGCCTGCCCCTTTGCTTGCCTCGCTCTCTCCACCTCTCTTCCGATCCGCATCCACTCTGCTGTTTGCTCCTGCTTCTGCTGCGTCTGATTACTAGTCTGTATGTTTTTTGTTCTTTTTTGTCATCTGTTTCTTCGTGGCCGCCCGTGCTCCCGTCCGCAAACAGGTTTCAACCAAGTGGTGCGGGGTTGCTCTGCGGGCTCGTCATCGTCCAGCACCCACCCATTACCATCGCGCATCCTCTCTAACACCTTCTCTCTCTAGATCTTGCTTGCTTCTACCATCCCGGACTATTAATACACCCTGCACCTTCACCAGCGTTTCTTGAACTACTCTTGAACGTATCTCACCCTATCTCACCCTTTCTATCAAAACAGCTTTTTACACAGTACTCGACAATGGGTCAGTTACTGTCAGAGCCAATCGTCGACAAGGTGTGTTTCTCCTCTTCCCACTTGCGACTAACCTGCTTGAACCTTTAACAACCTGCCTAATTCTGTCAAACATCCTAACTAACAACCCCACAGGCCTCCGAAAAGGGCTGTGACGAGCACTGGCTGATCTACGGCACCTCCAGCATGCAAGGCTGGCGAATCTCGATGGAGGACGCACACACAGCCGTGCTCGATCTGAAAAGAGAAGACGGAAAACTGTCGCCCGACAAAAAAATCAGCTTCTTTGCGGTCTATGACGGCCACGGCGGTTCAAAAGCCGCTATATTTGCCGGACAGCATCTCCATAATATCGTCGCGCGCCAAGCGGCTTTCGAGAAAGGGGACTATGAGCAGGCTCTCAAGGATGGATTTCTGAGCACCGATAGAGCCATCCTGCAAGGTGTGTCTTTCGTATTTTCTGGTGAAGTGCTGCAACTGACTTTATTCATAGACGTGAGCTTCGGAAACGATCCGTCTGGTTGCACGGCAACGACCGCACTCGTCACAGATTCCAAAATTTTTGTCGTATGTCCATCTCCTCTATCCGTCCTACGCTCTATCTAACAAGCTTCAGGCCAACGCTGGAGACTCGAGAACCGTGCTCGGAGTCAAGGGCCACGCCAAACCACTCTCTTACGACCACAAACCGCAGAATGAAGGAGAGAAGGCTCGAATAGTGGCCGCTGGTGGATTCGTTGACGGCGGTCGAGTTAACGGTGAGTGATAATATTATTTTTAGATCTACGATGGACACTAACAGTCTTTAGGAAACCTTGCGCTTTCGAGAGCCATTGGTGACTTTGACTTTAAAAAGAGCCCCGAGCTTCCTCCTGAGGAGCAGGTCGTCACTGGTAAGATTATAGCTGAAGATGCTTTGAGTGATGGTAAGCTAATACCTATTCATTAGCCTTCCCCGATGTGATAGAGCATGATATCAGTCCCGACGACGAGTTCATCGTTCTCGCGTGCGACGGAATCTGGGACTGTTTGACCTCACAACAAGTGGTTGAGTTTGTCCGGCGAGGGATCGCCGAAAAACAGGATCTGCAGCTAATCTGCGAGAACCTGATGGACAACTGTCTTGCCTCGAGCAGCGACGGCGCCGGAATCGGATGCGACAACATGACGGTGACGATCGTGGGCCTGTTGAACGGCATGACGTCTGAGGAATGGTACGATCTGGTAGCGACACGAGTAGCCAACGGCGAAGGCGCGGTCGGCGACCCTGAACTTGGTAAGTCACGACTCTGAAGAAAGAATGAGTTTCCACCTGTCGTTTTTTTGTTAATGTTTGAGTTTCCGGTGTGTAGCTGTGTTGAAGGGACCTCCGAGTGTGGAGAGAACGTCGCGCGGAATCACTTTAGATCCTTTGGGGCTTCTTGACCGTATCGAAAGCGGTGGGAATGAGCTCGTTGTTCTCGACAATGGTATTTGCTTTTAGTGTTTTTTTGTAGACGTCGAGTGTTTTGTGGGGAGGAGGGAGAGGTTACTGATTTACTAACGTTCATTGCAGGACAATATCTGATCCGCAAGATCTCAGACGAAGGCGAAGACGAAGAAGGCGAAGAAGTAGAAGTCGACGGCGAAGGCAGGATAGTCGTCGTTCCAGACGAGGAGGAGGAGGAGGAGGAGGAAGAAGAAGACGAAAGCGAAGCGCAGACATCGGCGAAAGAGGACGAGAAAGTCGCAGCGCCAGAGTCCGCGCCGGCGGCGGAGGAGGCGAGCGCGTAGCAGCTCGTCTGACGCTCACCTAAAACACATATATATAGCAAAGTTGTAAGAATAGTCGACCAAACTACATCTTCTCTTTTATATGTTTAGTAGTCATTTTGTGTTTCTCTTCTCTTCTTGTTCTTGTGCTTTTGTGTTTTGCGTGCGTGTATACTGCTCTAATTTGAATTGGTTTATATATGCTGTATTGCTGAGCTGTGCTATTCAGTTTACGCAAGTGCTTTCGGCTGCTTCTTTCGCCCTGTACCATTTGTTTATGTTTATGCTTGAGATGGTTTATATACATTCCGTTTGTTTGATGTATCGCTCTATCTAGTCTCACCCAAATAATCTATCTATCGATACAAATCTCAGTAGCAGTCTCACAACGCAGACAACACCGTATCAAGCAACTGTTTACTAAACGCCTTCGACCCCGGCCCCTTCACCGCAAGCTGCAGCCGATTCCCCTTCTCGAGCGCCAACCACTCGCCCACGTCTCTCGGCGCGGGATCGTTCGCGTCGCGTTTAGGCATGTTTCGCCGATCTACCGCACACATTCCCCACGTGAACTGGCCGACAGTTTCGACGCGGATGTCGACGTCGTGCGAGATCTCAAACAGCGCCGCGCGCTCGGCGTCGGTGCAGGCGGCGAAGAAGACGGTTAGGGGGTCGTGCATCTCGATGTAGGAGCCCACCACGCCGTCTTCGATGTCGACCTCGGTGGGCGTGTAGTGCTGTTTCTCAAAGTCGACGATGTCGTCCATATTCCCAAACGCGCCCCCGAGCCAGACGCTCATCCACATTGCGAGCGGCGCGTCGCCGGGATGCTGCAGCTGATGAGATTTATTGTCTGTCTCGCGGTTGAGCCAGAACTCGCAGTGGTCGACGAACCAGCGCTTGCGCAGCCGGTGCTTGGAGGTCAGGTCGAGCGGGAACAGGTACAGTTTCGTAGGCACGTACGCCGGGTTCGCAAACGCGGAGCCCAGCGCGCTCGCCGACGGCGGGAGCGTGCTCGCGGGCGTGCGCGAGGTGGTTGCAAACACGATCGCGGCGGAGTCGACGTCCGCGTACACGTTGTACTCTGCGAACGGAGACATGTTGCCCGGATGATCGATGTTGCCGCCCATGCAGGCAATCTCTTTCACGCGCGAGAAAGTGATTGGATCCTCGATCGCCGCGCGCGCAATGTTTGCCAGCGGCGCGAGCGCGACTAAGGTGACTGTATTCGGCGGCTCCTCGCGCAGCACGCGCAGGATCTCGCGCCAAGAGGGCGTGCTGGATGGTTTATACCCCTTTGCGCTCGCAATCAGTTCCTCGCGCGTGATCTGTTTATCCGCCGACAAGCTCTCTGCGTCGAGGAACGGCAGCAAAAACGTCTCCGGGGGTGAGAACTGCGGCGCTTTCTCGTGCACGCCGCCGAGACCGTCGACGCCGTGGAAGAATTCGGCGCCGGTGGTCCGGCGCGAGGAGACGGGCTGGTCGGAGCCGAGGGCGATGGTCGGCCAGTGGTCTGGCGAGAGAGACTGCGTGCGGGTGTGGTAGCCGAGCAGGGGGAGGTTGTACTGGGTGCGGTAGGCGCGCTCGGACTCGAGGACTTGGAAGATGGAGAGCACGTTTCTGATCGAGGTCGAGACGGGGACGTTGCCGAAGCAGAGGGAGATCAGGGCGATGTCGCAGTTGGGGGAGTTGAGGGCGTAGAGGAGGGCGAGGGTGTCGTCGACCTGTATTTCTGTGAGTTAGAGCTACAGTTACGGATACAAGCAAGAGGATACATACACCCGGGTCGCAGTCGATGATGAGTTTCCGCGCAGAAGAGGACATTGTAGTGATAAAGAGAGGAAGAGAGAAGGCAGAAAGGTGGTGAAGCAGGTCCGAGGAGCGATTGCACAGACCACAGCTCGTGCGGCTGCGGCGGTAGCCATGCGCTCGGACTTGTTCTTGACTGTTGAAGTTGCTGATATAAAGAGAGGATTATGAGTTATTGTATTCTACACTCTCCTCGAATCCAAACATCTTTACACTGTTCGCCCACGCAACCTCACACAGCTCTTCAACAGAGATACCCTTCAGCTCCGCGACCACGGCCGCGACCTGCGAAATCGCGCACGGCTCGCACCGCCCACTGACCATCTTGCCCTTTACAAACTTCTCCTTCTTGACCTTATCAAACCCGCTCTTGAGCGCCTGCTCGTGTTTCCCGGCCTGAATCAGAAGCTTGCTCGATGCGTGCGAAGGGCGGATCTCGCACCACGGCGCGTCGGTCTCGAGCATGATGCGCTCGAGCGGGACTTCTCGCGCGACCGCGAGGTTCTCTTCCGTCTTGAGCGAGCAACCGTTGATGCCGATGCTGAACCCGTGCGCGACAAAGGACGTCATTTCCTCGTGCGTGCCGGTGAACGAGTGCACGACGCCGCGGCGGGGGAGCGTGCTGAGGCGTGGGTAGAGGATGGCGTTGAAGTCATCGGCGCAGTCGCGCATGTGCAGGAAGAGCGGCAGGTCGAGTTTCTCGGCGATGTCGAGCTGGCGGGTAAAGTGCTTGCGCTGGACGTCTGCTGGCGCGTAATGTAGTCGAGCGTAGTCCATTCTGAAATCTAGTTAGAGTGTGCTTGTGATAAGTAGGATGTATAGGAGAGCACCTACCCGATCTCCCCAAACGCCTTCACGGTCCCGTCTTCTTTCCCCTTTCGCGCAAGGGCTTCTAATTCAGCAAAGTACTTGTCCGGATCGCCAGATGTTTCAATGTCCATCGTATGGCACGGATGCACCCCGACCGTCGCATACAGTAACTTCTCTACATCTCGTCAGCTCTCCTCTTCTAGTCAGATTATAAAAGGAAAAAGAGGACAGCGCACTATGTTGCTCAGCTAACTGCACAGCTAACCTAGACTCTTCGATATTCGACCCGGTCACCAGCATCTTCTTCACACCGCGATTCCTCGCACGCTCGAGGATCGCGTCGAAATCATCTGTCGCTCAGTCTGTCAGCTCTTGACTGCAGGAAGAGAACAACACACTACCTACCTTCATGTTTCTGCTTGTCGTAGTATACGCCTCTAAACATCGGATCCGTCAAATTCGCTCCTGGTTAAAAGATAAAGTCAGTCATGGAGGATAAGAGGAGATAGTGAGGAGGCCTACCGATGTCGATGTATTGATGCTGGACTGCATCTGCGTTCTCGGTGGCCATTGTCGTTATTAGTCGTCTTTGAGAGCACCGAATTGGTAAATTAGATATTGATCTGCGTAACAAGACCGCCAGATTATGTTTCATATATAATTGAACGTAGATCAGCAGAACTACGTGTCATCAATGTGAGTAATTGTTGCTCAGTTGCTGAACATGAATTATTTATCGAAGATGAGCAGAGCTATTGACCTTTAAATCTTAATTGTAGCAACTAAGCTATTACATAATATTTCAAACCAGATTTTACCACCCTACGCCATTTCAAGATCATCTGCCGTCTCTTCTTTTTCGATATTTAAGTTCTTTGAGATGCTGACCCTCCCGAGCACGACCGCCGGATAAAACAGCCAGGAGACGGTCATTGCGATAGCGACCATGAGCGTGTCGAGGACCAGGAAATATCCCTCGCTCGCCATCAGGTATCCGGACCACCCCTGCGACAGCTCTGCGACGCGGTAGATGGAGCGGACGTAGACGAGCATGACGGCGAAGAGGATCGCGAGGAGGAAGAGATGCGTTGTGCGTGAATCGCGGATATGTGCAAACTGTGCGGGCGCGTCGTCGGAGGAGGAGGATGAGATACTTGCTCTGTCTGTGCTGGATGTCGCGGCATTGCGGCGACGGTACCAGTTGACGGTGCGGATGAAGTAGTCGGCGCAGAGGAGGAGGAAGATGGTGGTCGCTGCGACTTGGAAGGCGAGGCCGGCGACCATGATGTGTGTTCCTGTTGTGTTGTCGTCGCCGTCTTCGGTTGCGACTGCTGCCATTCCTCCGCCGACGGCTAGATGAACTGTGAGTATGCTATTGAAGTAAAAGTAGTAGCAAAAACAAAGAAGAAAATACCCTGCAAAACAAGACTGATGACGTCCATGGTGATAAAAATCTGCGAGTACGTCCACGGCATAAGCCTAGACCGCTGAACTCCCCAGATGACGATAACCTCCGCAAGCAAGAAATAGATCCCGGCCATGAAGAACGCAGGCCCGATGGTAAGCAGCACGATCTGCACGATGAAGTTATTCATCTGCTCCATCACGTTCTGGCTCGACAGATAGCGCGCGATGTACCCGCCGGTCTCGAGGCCGGCGGTGATGAAGAACGCGGTGCCGAACCAGTATTGGCGGTAGAACACGCCGAGGACGGCGTGGGCGGCCCATGCGACCGCGAAGACGATCAGCGCAGCGAGGTTCTTGCTGGCGGAGGGGACGTAGCCGTACACGCCGTAGTCGCTGTTTTCCCAGTCGAGTTCGGTGTATCTGAGCATAGAGAGTAGATAGAGAGTGAACTATGATGAGTCTCTAGATGCTCTGCTCAAATCTAGTCAGAATCATGGAGATGCGTATCGTTGTCATCATACGCGTTGGTGACTGCAGAACCGCAGCCGGCAATAACCGGACCGAGCGCACTCCACCTGCTTCTGCTCTGTTGCTTTCCTAGTTGAAGCAGGCAGTATTAAGCAGTCAATTGCAGTCAAAAGAGAAAGACAAGAAGCAGCTGTATAATCAGCGACTGTTCATCTTCTTCGACTGTTTGCCAACTTCGGCTCTTCCGCCAGAGCTGTCAGCACGTTCTGCTTCCTGACTCTGCTCTGTCCACCATCCCCACAACTGTCTCTATGGCCACCAACACAGAATACAATACAGAATCATCTTACTCTGCTCATCATCCTCTCCTCATTATCTTCCTATACTTTGCAATCAAGAACAGCAGCTGGCTTGAAGAAAACCCTACAAAAACTACCCACCTCCACCATCACAATCCACTTCCTACCTCAACAGCTCCAGCAGCCAATATCCCCACCTCCAACTCCTCTTTATCTCCTAATCTCCTTCTCTCTCTTCCTCCTCCTCATTCACCCTCCACCGCTCAATAACAAAAACACACCCAGCCAATCGCAGCTCCCGCATTACACCCCCAAATCCTGCCCCCTGACTCTCTTTTAAGGTTTAAACTCCAGGTCACGTGCACTCCCGCACTGCGCTAAGAAAATTTTTGATATTCGCGAGGTTTTGTTCCGCTGCTGTGCGTTTTCCCGCAATTAACACACATAAAAAGCAGAAACAACAATGCTGCTGCGCGCAAGGAGTATATCAGCAAGAAAGACATCTGTGCTCAGACAGCGGGCCGCTACGCTTGTCGCGGCGCGCCGCGGGTTCGCGTCGCACTCGAACGAGTCGTTTGACCTCGGCGTGCCGCCAGAGTTCAAGTCGCGAACACCGCCCTACGCCGCTCTTCTCGGCCGTCTCGAGCAGGCGCGCAAGATCCTCGACCGGCCGTTTACGCTCGCCGAGAAAATTCTCTACTCGCACGTCGTCGACCCTGAAGAAGCCTTTGCGGGCAAGAACGGTAATATCCGGGGTGAGGTCTATCTCAAGCTCAACCCCGACCGCGTCGCGATGCAGGACGCGAGCGCGCAGATGGCGCTTTTGCAGTTCATGACCTGCGGCATGAGCAACACCGCCGTGCCCGCCTCGATCCACTGCGACCATCTGATCGTCGGCCACGACGGCGCCGCGGCGGATCTCAAGGCCTCGATCGCGACAAACAAAGAGGTCTTTGACTTTCTCCAGAGCTGCGCGCTCAAGTACGGCATCCAGTTCTGGGGCCCTGGATCCGGAATCATTCACCAGATCGTGCTCGAGAATTTCTCCGTCCCGGGACTCATGATGCTCGGAACCGACTCGCATACCCCCAACGCCGGCGGGCTGGGAGCTATCGCTATCGGTGTCGGTGGCGCGGACGCCGTCGACGCGCTCACGGGCACGCCGTGGGAACTCAAGGCTCCCAAGATCATGGGCGTCAAGCTCACCGGCAAACTCAGCGGCTGGTCGGCTCCTAAGGATGTCATCACCCATCTCGCTGGCCTTTTGACCGTCCGAGTAAGTTCTCCACTGACACTTTTAGGAAGAAGCATGTTAACACAGCGCAGGGCGGCACTGGATTCATCATCGAGTACTTTGGCGAAGGCGTGGAAGCGCTCTCCTGCACCGGCATGGCCACGATCTGCAACATGGGCGCCGAAGTCGGCGCCACAACCTCGACCTTCCCCTACACGGACTCGATGAAGCGGTACCTGATTGCGACGCGCCGCGAGCCGATCGCGAACGCTGCCACCGCCGTCAACAAGATGCACGGGTTCCTCCAAGCCGACGAAGGCGCGCACTACGACGAGATCGTCGAGATCGACCTCTCGACCCTCGAGCCGCACATCAACGGCCCGTTCACCCCCGACTTGAGCACCCCGCTCAGCTCGTTCGGCGAGACCGTCAAGGAAAACAACTGGCCGGAGAAAGTCTCGGCCGGCTTGATCGGCAGCTGCACGAACTCGTCCTACCAGGACATGTCGCGCGTGGCCTCGATCGTCAAGCAGGCAAAGGAGAAGGGCGTGCAGCCCAAGGTCCCGTTCTTCATCACCCCCGGCAGCGAGCAAATTCGCGCGACGATCGAGAACGACGGATTCACAGACGTCTTTGTCGACGCCGGCGCAAAAGTGCTCGCCAACGCCTGCGGCCCGTGCATCGGCCAGTGGGCGCGCGACGACGTCTCCAAGGGCGAGCCGAACGCGATCCTGACGAGTTTTAACCGCAACTTCCGCGCGCGAAACGACGGGAACCCGGATACGATGAACTTCTTGACCAGTCCTGAGATTGTTACCGCGATGATCTACTCTGGCGACATGGCGTTCAACCCCATCACCGACAAGCTGCGCGACGCCAACGGCAACGAGTTTTTGTTTGAGCCCCCCACCGGTGATGAGCTGCCCAAGAGCGGATTCAAGCAGGGAGATCTCAGCTACCTGCCCGAGATCGACCCTGCGCCGATTATATCTACGCAGGTCGCTGTCTCGCCTACCTCTGACCGTCTCGCGCTGCTCGAGCCGTTCGAGGCTTTCGACGGCAAGGAGATGAAGCTGAACGTGCTGATGAAGGTCAAGGGCAAGTGCACGACTGACCACATCTCCGCTGCGGGCGCGTGGCTGAAATACAAGGGCCATCTGGAAAACATCTCAAACAACACGCTGATCGGCGCGATGAACGAAGAAACCGGCGAAGTCAACAAAGCGTACGACTTTGACGGCACCGGGTACGGCATCCCCGAGCTGATGATCAAGTGGAAGGACGAGGGCCGGCCGTGGGTCGTCCTGGCCGAGCACAACTACGGCGAAGGCAGCGCGCGCGAGCACGCCGCGCTCAGCCCGCGCTTTCTCAACGGCCGCATGATTCTCTGCAAGTCCTTTGCGCGCATCCACGAGACAAATCTCAAGAAGCAGGGCGTGCTCCCGCTCACGTTCGCGGACGAGGCGGATTATGACAAGATCAAGAGCTGCGACGCGCTCGAGACGCTCGATCTTTTGGAGATGCTCGAGAACGAGGGCAAGGGATCGGGGTTGATCACGCTCAAGGCTACGCATCGCGATGGGTCAGAGTATGTTTTCAAGGCTAAGCATACGATGAGCAAGGATCAGATTGATTTCTTCAAGGCCGGAAGCGCAATCAACTATATCGGAAACCTGCGCAGAGAGAGGGAGGCTAGTTTGTAAAGCCTTATCTAGACTGTATTTTAGATTAATGATAATGTTTGTTTATTTCTCCGTATATTAAGCACAATAGTCATCCTACTTCAACCGCGCAAGATACGAGGCCCATCCCGCGTCCCTGTACCGCTTCGCCTCCGCGATCGGATCTCTTCCCTTGCCAATAATCCCTCTCCCAACAATCACGATATCAGACCCCCCACTAACAGCCTCGTCCACGGTCCTGTACTGCTGTCCCAAGCCATCGCTCTTGGCGTCCAACCCTACGCCGGGTGTCATAATGACGAAATCCTCGTCCGGCTCGCCGAGCCTGTTTTGCGCGATAAACCCAAACGTAAACTCGGTGTTGCCGCGCGCCAGCGCGACCGTCTTGTCGGTGTACTCGCCCGTCGCGAGCGAGCCCTTGGACGACATCTCCGCGAGCAGCAGCAGCCCGCGCTCGTCGTCAGTCACCTCTTTCGCGCCCGCGTACAAGCCGTCGATAATCCCCGGCCCCGGCAGCGCGTGCGCGTTCGTGATGTGCGACCACCGCACAATCTTATAAATCCCCGACGTGTACTGCGACTTGACAGTCGACCCGATATCCGCAAACTTGCGGTCCTCAAAGATCAGAAAGTTATGCTTCTTCGACAGCGCGACCAGCGGCTCGACCACGGACTCGTAGCTGAAGTCGTCGACGATGTCGACGTGCGTCTTGAACACGCACACGTACGGACCGAGCGTGTCCACGAGCTGCAGAAGCTCGGCTTTGCTGTACACGTCGAGCGACACGCACAGGTTCGTCTGCTTCTCGACCATGATCTTGAACAGTCTGCGCGCAAGCGGCGACGGGTGCGTCGCCATCCGCGACTCGTATGATTTCGGCGTGATGTTTGACATTGTCTGTAGCTCGTCCTCTTCTTTCGTTCACTTAAATGAGTTGGAGGAGGAGAGAGGAAGAAGAGCAGGTCGACCGACGACCAGAAAAAAATCATTAATCGATAAACCTTAAAATTATGCCAAAAACAGTTTGACGGATAAAACCTCCCAACCTTAATTGCAGCGAAGAGCAACAACTACTTCTCTCAAAGAGGACGAGGAGGAAGGAAGAGGGAGCATTATGGCTGGTTCGTGCTTGTATCTGTTCAGACGAGGGATACCGGCGGATGTGAAATGGACGGCGGCAAAGAGACTTCTGACGACGGCTGCGGGGAGAAAATACAATCTCAGCGTGTTCATCTCAAACTCCAAGTCTCCGCACTTCAACCTCTCCTTCGAAGACTACCTCTTCCAGAAATACCCGCCCTCCTCCTCCCCTAGCAGCATCCCCGCAAAATACCTTCTCCTCTACACAAACACGCCCTGCGTGATCATCGGCCGCAACCAAAACCCGCACCGCGAGACTGCGGTGGCAGCCCTGCGCACGCACGGCATCCCGCTCGTGCGTCGCAAGTCTGGCGGCGGCGCTGTGTTTCACGATCTTGGGAACGTGAATTACTGCGTGATGATGCCGAACGGGGATTTTGATCGGGATGAGCACGCGCTTGCGATTTGCGATGCTGTGGCGCGGATTGGAGGGAAGGGGGAGGAGGGAGGAGGAGTTAGGTTGGAGGTTAATGAGAGACATGATATCGTTGATTGCGACGGTAAGAAAGTCAGTGGTTCGGCATACAAATTGCAGCGCGGGAAAGCATACCACCACGGCACGATGCTGCTAAACAGCAAGCTGCACATATTATCCGAAGTCCTGCACTCCTCGTCCGAGTACACCTCGCTGCAGCAGGTCGAGGGCGCGGGCGTGCAGAGCGTCAAGTCGCCGGTTGCGAACGTCGGCGTTGAGAGTGAGGCGTTTGTCGAGGCTGTTGTGAAGTTGTTTAGAGAGCGGTATACAGATGGTGGTGATGGGAGCTTTAGTGTTCGGTTTTTGGACGAGAAGAGTTTGTTGCCTGATGAGCAGGACGAAGTCCTCAAGCGTGTGGACGAGTTACAGGTATCTCACCCCCCACCCTTCACCAAACCACCAACACACTAACACCTCATATAACCCCAGAGCTGGAAATGGACTTTTGGCTCAACCCCCAAATTCACGCACAAATTCCTTCTCGAAAAGGACGGGCCGCCGGCACTCACGTTCGCGGTGAAAGAAGGCACGATCCTTGCCGTCGACAGCACGCTTCCGGAATCTGAGGTGGTCGCGGACGAGATGGTCGGGAAGATGTACAGAGCTGAGGAGATTGAGGAGTTTGTTCCGTCTGGGTATTGGCGGGATCGCATACGGAATTCGATTTAGATTCGATTTGTTTGAGTTGAGTTGATTTGATTTGATTAGAAACAGGTGCATTTAACGGTGGGAATTGTACATAGACACCTCATAACATACACACATACATACATACATACACATCATACAAGTAAACTAAAATTTTATAAAACCCGCTCAGGATCAACCATAAGCTCAAACTGCTTGGTCACGATACACGTCCAATTCCAGTACGCGACGCGGTCGCGCTCCCTGCTCTCAGGCGTCGACTGCTCGACCTGTTTCCAGAACTGCACCGTATCGCTCAGCAGCATCGGCACTGCGCCCGCTCCGCCGCCGTTGAGTCCCAGATCGTCGACGTCGTCGTGCCGGTGGTGGTGGGATGGGAGTGCTTGGCGTGGGTCGGCTTGGGAGGACGGGTGGAGCAGTTTTCGCACTTGGGTCTCGATTTTCATGACGTCGGCGGGGTCGGCGTGCAGGTTGCTGAAGTTGAGTTTCTCGGGCTTGAGGTGTTTGTTGATGCAGGATCCTGACATGCCTTCGAACGAGGACGAGATCGCGACGTGCGCAATCACGTCGGCGGCTGTAGTTCACATCGCGTTAGCATGCTCACTTTCAACGTTGCAGAGAGTGAGGAAGACATACATGACTCTGGCGTATTCTTAATCCCCACCTTTCCCGCTATACTCGACACAAACGACGACGTCCTCCGCCGCTGCGCATGTTCTGGCGCTATACTTCCCGGCGTACAAAGCAGCACGTCCACAGACCCTGAAGACCTCCCAGTGTTGTGTTTAAAGAACTTGACCCAGCCGTCGAAACAGAGCGCCTGGATCGCTTTCGTGGTCGGATATGGAATGCATTCGCCTGCAATCACCGGCCCTTTCCGACGAGCGATCGGGATCATATTTGTCAGATCTGCAATCGCATCTCCAGTTAGCTCATCTCTCTCACCCTTCTCTCTCCACCACCAACACTTTTTTTACTCACCCGCATTCTTAAACGCACTGCTCCCCACAAAAACAACACGATACCGCACCACGGCCGCCAACTGCGCGACCAGCAACCACTGCGCGAGATGATTCACCGTAAGCCCCATCTCCGTCCGATCAAACTCCGTATACGAAGGCGGTCCGAAACACGTAATCTCCGCGCCCAGCACGACAGTCGAAATACCCTCGTACGCAGTCGTCACCGTGCTCGCAAACTCCCGCACGGATTTGAACGACGACAGGTCGCATTCATAACTGTCAATCACAGAATCACTCATCGCCGCCAGAGTCTCGAAATGCTCGAGCACTTCGAGCGTATTCTCGCTCTCGCGATCCCGCAGCGCGAGAATCAGATGCAACCGCGGCGTCTCTGCGATCGGAGGGAGGAGCTGCCCTGTGGTACTATGCGTCGACGACACCGAGCCTCTGCGTTCACCGCTGCGCTCGCGGGAGATCGACCGCGCATAGTCGCCTGATGACCGCCGGCGGTCAGAGGACGCGGGAGACGAGTCGCGCATGTACGCAGCAAGCGATCCTCCAGCTGACGGACTCCCGACACTCAGCCTATGCTGCTGCTGGTGCTGGTGCTGTGGTGGTGCATGATCCCGGAGCGAGGAATACACGCTGTGGTTATGAGCAGCAGAAAGGAGGAGCTGCTCGAGCGCGATGGAGCTGATGCCGGAAGTCGCGCCGGTCCAGAGAATGATTCTCCTTCCTGCACTGTCCATCTCTTCTCTGACTAGTCGGTGAACTACTGTTGAAAGAACTGCTTCAACTACAGTTGAGAAGTTCAACTGGAGAAGCGCAAGGACCGCGACAACCGAGAACGACGTCATCGCTCCAGCCGCACCTGCCGACTTTCCCTCTTTCCTTCTTTAGTAATTTCTACAATAACTGTATCCTGATGCAATTTATAAACACAACAACTAGTTACAACACTCACTCTATATTCACGCGCGCTCAATGTCAATCGTACTCTCCCACTGAATCCCCGTCCGATCATGAAACCGCACCGCGTTCACCGTCGCGCTTCCATCCACGCTCGTCGTGAATCCTTTTCCTTTCCCCTCCGCGCCCGCTCCACCTCCTCCTCCTCCTGCTCCACCTCCCTCGCCGCCTCCGCTGATCTGCTGCGCGTCGTAATTACTGCTCTGCGCGGCCGCGCCCATGTTTGCTTTCAACACCTCTCCCACGATCGCATTCACATTCGCCCTGATCTGCGCCTCGTTCGCGGTCCCTCCGCGCACGCGTAGTCGGATGTTGATTATACACAAGCCGTAATGCACCTGCCACATCCTGATCTCCTCGATCGACGACACGTCCGCCTCCGCCTGGATCTTCTTCGCAATCATCTGGTGGCTTTGCGGGTTGAACCCCATCAGCAGCATCCGGCCTAGCGTAAGCGCAGTCATCCACCCGACAAAACACATCACGCCCGCGATCCCGACCGACAGCACCGCGTCGATCTTGCCGAAATACGCCTGCGACGCCCACGACGGCAGGGTCAGCATCACGAGAAACGAGAGGATCGTGGTCAGGTAGAGAGGGTTGTTGAGCCCGTACGGAAGTTTCCGGATATACGTAAACTGCACCGCCGTCCCTACCCGCTCGTGGTTCTTAAACACTATCGACGACACCACCGTCGCCACCAGCGACAGAATAATCGCCAGCGCGCTGCCCCGCGCAAAGAACTGCTCGGCCTCGTGGTCGTGCGGCACAGACTCTGTGATCACGTTCTTGACAAAGTTCTCGCACAGATGCGAGCCAATGTCGATCCCCATAAACAGCAACCCGACCGTACTCGCAAAGCCCGCCAGGATCTCGGTCCGTTGCAGCCCAAACGGGTGCCGCACGCTGCTCGTTTTCCACACGTCAAAGTTCGAGAGCACGTCGACGAGGACCGAGACGGTCGCGGAAAAGGCGTCGTAGCAGATGACGTGCGAGAGCGCCATCAGCACTGTCGATTCGTAGCTGATCAGCCAGAGTTGCAGGCCTATTATGAAATGTACTCCGCACCAGATCAGCTGTATTTTCTGGTCGTGAGACATGCTGTGGATCGTCTCTTTGTACTAAACACAGAGTCAGCACTAAATTCTTATACACAAACTCAAAAAAAGACATACAGTAGGAACCGGGAAATGCGAGGGAAGAACAGGAGGTGGCCGCGGCGGCGGCTCCAAAAAGAAATTCATCGACACCGACGAGTGTTTGTATTTATGCCCCCGTCGTTGATTCTATAACGCGTTAGCTCCCACCGTCAAACTAAATAGAGAGTCAAGACATACAGGTTTATTAACAGGCGACCGAGACGCAACAGTCGACTGGAAATTAAACGGTTTCCGCCCACCGACCTTGACAGGCGACGACGACCTCGGCGGCGTGCCGACAATCAGCGGGATCCCGTCTGCACCCGAGGAGGACGTGGTTGCTTTCATCTCCTCGCCGGGCCCGCCAAACACGCTCTCCGGAGGCGTGATATTACCCCCCATGTACGCACCGCCGCTGCTCTGTCTGCTGTGCGCGGGATTACTCGAGTCCTCATCATTCTCAGCAGCAGCAGCAGCGGGATCTAAGAACGGATCAGCGCTGGATCTGAAGAGCGGCATCTCGCCGCTATTATTGCTGTGCTGGCGCGGGCGTAGACTATAGCGAATAGGCGACGGCGCGCGGGCCTCGCTCATCTGCGTGCTGTTTTCGTCGATCGCGGTGGTCTCGAGCGAGTCCCTGGAGGAGGAGTATATGCTTGGTTTGTAGGGCGCGGCGGCGGAGAGCGCGATCGCGGGCGGCGGGGGGAAGACGAATGAGGGTGGGCGGCGGGCGTGGGAGGCGCGGCCGCGGCGGGTGGAGGGGTGGATTGGGGATCCGCCTGGGGATGGTTGCGGTTGCGGTTGCTGTTGTTGGTGGGAGTGAGGAGGGGAGGGGGAGTTGCTGAGGGCGGTGTCGTTGTATGTGCTATCGGCAGAAGAGAAGATGTTGCTCTGATGGGAGGGCCTTGGCACGAGCGCCGGATTGGGGAGGAGGAAGTCTGGCGAGATGTCGTAGAGCGAGACGCGGTTTGCGCGGGAGTGGCGACGGTCTGTGTCCATGTTGAGAGATGTTGAGGAGAGGAGGAGGGAGAGAGGGGGGGAGAGGAGAGATGGTGAAGATGAGATGGGGATGATCAAGCCAGGAGCAAGGCACAGCACAGGCGGCCAGCACTGCGCTCAGATCTAGACGACGAGCAGAGTAGAGCAATTAAACACTACTCAGTCAGATCAACAACCAGACAACAACCAGACAACAACCAGACAACAACCAGACAACTACTAATCAACAAACAACAAGAACAAGTGGTGAAGCGGTGAAGGCGAAGGTGAAGTCTGATCGAAGGGGCTTCAAATTGAGTTGCGCGTTGAAACCACTCAAAACCTATTTTAGGGCTCTTGACTCGCTTGCCTATTTCGGTATATTTTCTACTCTATCGTTGTTTTCTATTGTCTGTTGTTGTTTTCTGTTGTCTGCTGTTTATTGTCTTTGTTTGTGGTTTATGACTGGATATAGTACTATCTATACTTATAAACATCTCTTTACTTAACATGTTGAGTCAAGATTGGATGTACGCAACCTTGGAGGTGACCAGATAACAGCTCATCCTCCAACCACAACACCTCCAAAGACCTCTTCGAGAGACCTCCTTAGAAACAGAAATCTATAGAAAAAAAAGGGTAATGGTGAGATACTTCATTAACTAAGATCCTTGACAAAAACTCTAGAAACAACATGAATATAAATAGATATAACAAAAAGTGCTAAATACAAGCGGCCTCGTCCACGTGAAGAGGAAGCAGTTGAAGAGACAAAGCGGAGAAAGAATAGGAGAAGAAGAGGCAGAGGATAGGAGGAAAAAGAAAGAAAAGTGCCATTTATGCTGTGTGGTCTGGCATTCTCTTTTGTTCGTCCTCCGTCTCTACCTCTTTCGTTCCAATCTCATTTTAGTATCTCCTTCACTTTGTCGGTTCAACACACTTCCTACCTCAATTTTCCGTCATTTTTTATTTCCAGAGTTTATTTCAGAGTAGCAAAGATCTTGGGCGCGGCGCAGTCGTTGACGCAGTGGGACAGGTGTAGGCTAGACGCAGGTTAGTACTAACTCATAATCTCAGTCGTAAACACAAGCTGTATCATACAATTCTTCAACGCAGTCTATAAGATGATGATGATTAGTATATGTCGCTAGATAGTTCAGAAAGGTAGGTATACACACCCTCTTTGTGTTCACGCTCGGCATATCCTTCCTCCTCCATAGCAGCAGTAACGCGCTCGACGCACTCGTCAAAGTGGTGCTTAGCAGAGTGGCACTCCTTCTCAGCGCACTCTACATAAAATTAAATCCAATTAGCAGCTGTATAATATAAATTGTTGAACTGGATTGTGGATGGCTTAGACGTACCCTCCTGGATGGCAGGCATGGTATCCTCGGGATCTTCCTCCTCCTCCTCTTCCTCCTCGACCTCCTCCTGTGAAATAGTTAGTTTTCTGTATAGCTTGACTCTCCGAGGCGCGTTTCTAGCTGTTCAGTAGTGATCTCCGTCATTCTCCATCATTGTCCGTCATTGTTCCCGAAGTTTCCGTCGGACGTAGTCGTGTCCTTCTCTATGCAAGATGTAGAGCCCCGACGACGGCCGCCGGGGAGATTGGTAATTCGCGAGTGCTGATGAAGATAGAATGTATGTAGTTGCTGGTGTTTGTTGAGAACGTGCTCTCTCTGATACTCTGATACTCTGATGTTCTGATACTCTGATGCTCTGATGCTCTGAGTGCCTGAGACTGCTATGCTCTGCGATGCTATCCCGTGGTCTCAATGCAGACTACCCATCTATTCCCATCCCTCTCCCCCACTCTCCCCCTTCTCTCTGTTCTCACCCTCACCAACACCCACCGCACCCCGGAGATCGCAACCGAACAGCATCTTTCCCCCAACTCCACAACAGAAGAAACCCACCTCAGGCTCCTCAGCCTTAACGACCGGCACAATGGCCTCAAAGAACTCTCTCAGAACGCTCGACATGATATAGCTGTTGAATGTAGACGTGGATGTGAATGCAACTGCAGCAGCAAAGATCCTGAAGAAAGAAAACCGCCGTCGAGGAGTCTGATTCGGGTGCACTCGCCGTTGGCCGCTTTGTGCTGCGGCGCCGTCGCCAAAATGGATTCCGTGCGATTGGCTGGGCTCAGGCGCTGGTGATTGGCTGGCTGTGTGCGCGGTGTTTGTGCAGTTATGCTGCTGCTTTAGGATATATGCTCTCTATTTCTACATTCAGTATCTACTCGTTAAGCACTGCCAACTGCTCGCCCGGCACTCTCTCCCCCAAATTCATCCCACACTCGCCCGCATAATCCCCCGGCGTCACGCTCTTCACAAACTCCTTAAACGCGCCCATCGTGCACATCGTCGCCTCGCCCTCCAAATGCCCGCCCTCCCCCGCGCACGCCGGCAGCGCAACCGGTCGTCCATTATATTTCACCCTCACAAACTGCTCCGCCTGCGTCCGTCCCCCTAACCACCCTTTCTTCGCGCCGTCCTCGCTCTTCGACTCAAACAGCTCAAAGATGATATGCGTCGTGAAATTGATCCACTTGCGCTCCAACACCCCCATCGTCGCCAACATCGCGCCCACGCTCGAATCATGCGCGGCATACAGCGCCATCTTCGGCACTTTTCTAATCATCACGCTCTCGCGCTCCAGCATCTTCGCAATCTCCGCATCGTTCGGCCCGCGCACAACGTCGCCCACCGTCATCCGCTTCAACACCTCGTAAAAAAACTTGCCCATCCCTAACCGCTTCATCTCCCCGTTTTGCTCGTACCCTACAAACTCTGAATCGATCGACGCGCGCGCGAGCGTGTTGACTGCCTCGCGGTCTGAAAAAGCGGCGGGGGTCTTGATATTGTGCGCTAGCGCGGACGCATACGTATCCACAATCGCCCACGCCGAATCCTTCCCCTTCGCCCTCCCGACCGTGATCCCGCGCTGGTCGCCCTCCCCGGTCAGAATCTGATCGAGTTTCTTCGCGGGGCCTTCGAGCAGCGGATCCCATTTTCCAGCCGCGGCGTCAAGGAACTGCGTGCGCAGCTCGCGCAGACGCGGGCATAGGTGCGTGGTCGGGTAGAGATCTTCTTCGAACGGGAAGCGTTCGTGGATCTTTGGGGGTTGCGCGGCGACTTTGAAGGGGTAGAGGCCCGCGAAGACTTGTTGTAGTGTCTCGCGGGAGCGCACGATGCTCGTTGTTCTTGTACTGTTAGCCGTGTGCGTGTCGGGGAAAATAACTTGAGGTGAGCTTACCGGAGATAGACCTCGCTTTGATCTGTGAAGGTTTTAGGCAGGAGTCCTAAAAAGCGGTATTAGCACCAGATCATATCGTAATCATAATAGGATCAAGAACACACCCAACCTATCGATATACAACGCCCTCAACTGCTCCCCCAACCGAAACCCACTCAACCTCCCTTTATCCGTCAACTGTCCCTCCAAGCACACGCCCGCCATCCCCTTATTCGTAAACAACTCCGCAACACCTCTCCCACTCCTCGCCTCCTCCGTCAACGACTCGATCTCCCGCTCAAACGGGAACGCCGCGACGGGCTGCGGCGTGGCGGCAGGGTTGACGATGCTGATGAGGGAGAAGCGCGAGGAGTCGCAGAGAGGCCAGAAGGTGGGGAAGTTCCATTTGTGCCAGTGCTGGGATGATCTGTGGACCGGGGTTCGTTCGCCTGGGTTGTTAGTGTGCTGTGAAGATGTGGTGAAGAGGGGACATACCGTGTCTGAATAGGATCTGGACTTGTTTGAGACGCAGGGTAGAGGGGTATTCTGCCTCGATCTGGTCTGGATATACAACCGGAGGACCCATCTATACTGTCTGTGTTTTAAATGAGTAGGAGATGGAAGTGAGAGAGGGATGAGAGAGAGATGAGAGAGAGGAGGACTCAGGGGTCAATAAGCTTTCTTGGTCAGGATATTTCATCCCATCCTATCAGACTTATAACATCTACTTCTTCTACTTCTACTACTTCTGCTTCTACTACTTCTACTACTTCTACTACTTCTCTTCTTGTTTTACCACTCTACTCTATCTCAGAGTAGCTCCATGTCAAAACACCTCACCAAACACCTCTCTCTCTCCCTCCCCCGTCTCCGTCTCACCACCCTACCCACCCTCCACAGAATGTCCTCGACCACCAGCACGCCCTACGCCGATAAGATAAAGTCCAAAATCGAGCAGACCATGAACCCGGTCTACTTCCAGCTCTACAACGACTCGCACAAGCACGCGCACCACAAGCCGATGGCGGGAAACACCAATCCCGAGACGCACTTTAGACTTGAGATTGTGTCGGATTTTTTCGAGGGAAAGGTATGTTATGCTATGCTTAGTGGTTGTTGGTGTGGTCGATGAAGAGATGCTGATGAGTGTAGAGACTGCCGATGAGGCATAGAGCTGTGTATCAGTTGTTTGAGAAGGAGATGGCGGAGGAGGGTGGGATTCATGCGATGCAGCTCAAGACGCTCACGCCTAAAGAGTGGGAGGAGAGGAAGGCCAAGGAGGCCTTATGAATATGATGGATCTATTATATGTACAAACGCCGTGTATGACCCAAACTCCAAACGAAATTGCTCAAATGCAAATGCTCAAAAGGAAAAGAAAATCACCGCTTATTTACAAGCCTGGCCATCAAATCCCTAATAGTCTTCTCGTTATACGACTCCCACACCTCATACAAACTGATCATCTCCTGCGTACAATCAACCACATCCTCCAAATCAATCCCACACCCCGCAAACCAATCCACAATCTTCTTCAACCTCACCCTCGTCCTCTCGTTCTGCGTCGCCGCCGCGGACGGCATGCGCAGCACGACAGACATGTACATCGCCGTCATCGCAATCACGTTTGGCGGGTACAGCAGCGGCAGATCGGTCACGTACGAGTCGTTCACGACCGACCACGCGGTCTGCATTTCGTCGGGGGACAGGCCCGCGTTATTCCCGGACGCGCCGAGCGCTTTCGAGAGCTGCGCGAGCGAGCGGTAGGGGTGGTGGATGATGAGGTACGAGTCGAGTTCTTCGATCAGGTAGAACTCGCACTCGGCGAGCTTTGTCGGGTCGTGCGTTATAAAGTCAGGCCAGAGGGATTTCGCTTCGGAGACAACCGAGCGGATGTGCTGCGGACACTCTTCCATCTTGCACGCGAGGTATACGCACGTCGCGAGGATCAGGTACGGGTTTGTCTCCTGCACAGCCGAGCGGGTGTAGAAGCGGGCGAGGTAGACTTCAGCGGTAGCGAGGGCCTGCTGGCGGACAGAGAGGTGGCGGCCGAGGGCCTGGATGAGGGAGTGGAAGAAGATGCGCAGATGGCGCGGGTCGCCGAGGTCTTGTTGGCGGAAGCCGGTGTCTGCTTCTGTGGACGCGCGGATCTTGTCGAGTTGGGGACGGGTGAAGCGCCAGTGGTTGAATTGGGAGGAGGTCCAGTAGTTTGCCGCCATCTGTGCTGTGCTGTAGAGTGCAGTGCAGTTGCGTATCAGAGTGCTGTCAGTATCAGATATCAGGAAGCGAGAAGCGTCGGCGGAGCGGAGGAGGTAAAGTCAGAGCGTGGGAATGGACCCGGGATAGCGATGAGTAATTGTAGAGCGCGGGGGGGGTAAAGTGGGTGTGAAGTCACGAAGGCCGAGGCGGGGACTGGCGGCTAATTGAGTCGGTTGAGCGGGGATACAAATAGAGTAGAGTAGAGAGTAGATATAGTAAGAAAAGAAGAAGAAGAAGAAGTAGATGCAATAAAGACAAAGACCAAGAGTATACATAAAAGCAGAATAAAAGAGCAGCAGCAACAAGACTCAGAGCAGCCAAAGTCAGGAAATAGCCGAAGTCGCCTTTGCTGAGCTCTGTCAGAAGTCAACGCCAACCGCTCTGCTTCCTCACTTCTTGACTCTGTTCACTGGTCTCTCTTTTATAGAGGTGTGCAGCTGCTGTTGTTCTATTCTATCATCTACTGAGTATTCAGTAGTCATCTGCTACCTACTCAGCAACATCTACACTACACTCACTACTTCAACTACCTCTCCATTGTCTCCTTCGGTGCTTCGACCGACCTCTTCACCACCTCTTCTTCCTCTCTTCACCAGACACACAGATCCTACTCCTCTCAACAAGATCTCTCCTCCTCCTCCTCCTCCTCCTCATCATCACCACCTCACCTCCTCCTCCTCCTCATCATCATCATCACCTCACTTCCTCTGGACTATTGACTAACAGTCCGCCCGACACCCCGCCCCAGAATAGCACAGCAGATGGACCCCAGCCTGGCTCCCAACTTCACGCCCGTCCTTCGCTCGACCTCCTCCTCCTCCTCCTCTCCCTCCCCACCTCCCGCTCCCGACTCCGTCCTCGCCGCCGCCGCCCTCTCGCCCTCCTCCTCGACCTCCTCCTCCTCAAAACCCGCCGCCATGACAGACGCAGCCCCCCTCCCCCCGAAGCTGCCCCGCCGCCCATACAAAACGGCAAGCGCAAGTCGCCCGCCGAATACGACCTCGCCTTCCCGCCCTACTCGCTCTCCGCAAACCGCACCCCCCACCAGTCCGCCGATCTCGAAGAAGTGCCCCACGGCGTCTCCCGCCAGGCCCGCGACCTCGCCTCCTACGAGTTCCCCACCCACCGCCTCGCTGAAGTCCTCCAGGACTCCGCCATGCAGCCCCTCGTCGTCGTCGCCTGCGGCTCCTTCTCCCCCATCACATACCTCCACCTGCGCATGTTTGAAATGGCCATCGACACCATCCGCGAGACAAACCAGTACGAAGTCGTCGGCGGCTACTACTCCCCCGTCTCCGACCACTACCGCAAGGCCGGACTGGCTCCCGCCAAGCACCGCGTGCGCATGTGCGAACTCGCCTGCGAGCGCACTTCCTCCTGGCTCATGGTCGACGCCTGGGAGTCTCTCCAGCCCACATACCAGCGCACCGCCGTCGTCCTCGACCACTTCAACTACGAAATCAACGTCCTCCGCCGCGGCGTCAAGACAAAATCCGGCGAGCGCAGGCCCGTCAAGATCCTCCTCCTCGCCGGCGGCGACCTCATCGAGTCCATGGGCGACCCCAACGTCTGGGCGGACGAGGACCTCCACCACATCCTCGGCCGCTATGGCTGTCTGATCATCGAGCGCACGGGCTCCGACGTGCGCTCGTTCCTGCTCTCCCACGACATCATGTACCAGCACCGGCACAACGTCATCGTCATCAAGCAGTTGATCTACAACGACATCTCGTCCACAAAAGTGCGGCTCTTCATCCGTCGCGGCATGTCGGTCCAGTATCTTCTGCCAAATTCCGTCATCCGCTATATCGAAGAGCATGGTCTGTACGTAGGCATGAGCGAGCCGGTCTCCAATGTCCTCAAGTTTTGATTAGACTGTTTTTGTTTTTGTTTTTGTTTTTTGTTTCTTGTTTATCCTTTTTGATTGATTTGTGTTTGGAGTGAAGGTAATTCTGTTCAAAGCTAATGACCATCCTTCTTTGTCTATTGTTTAATACTGTCGTCGTCGTCGTTGTTGTTGTTGATCCTGGTGCAAGCTGTAGAGAGAGAAAGAGAGTGAAAATTCGAGACGAGATACGAATCGGTGGGGGTTGTTTTTCTTTATTATTACTATATTTTACGAACGAGGGAAGGGAGATGTTGAAAAAAGTTGATCATTTGTTTATTTTTAATTCTTATTACATTTTTTATCCTAAGCTACAAAACAGTTATATCAGGATTATCCTTGGACTCCTGCAAGGCTTTCCTTCGCTCTTCGCGAAATCTAGCCAGAGTTGCCGCAATCTTATTCTCCTCCTCATCGATCTTCATCTCCACCTCCTCATCAATCTTAATCTCCTGCTCCTCATCGATCTCTATCTCCTCCTCCCCGAGGATGGTATTTGAAATCGGCAGGTAATCCCGCGCCGTAGTCGGGAGATACATATCCATAGACTCGCCCAATAACTGCATCGTCAGATCGAAATCCGCGTACTTGTTTTCCGCCAGATTTGCTTCGTCGCCGTTAAGTCGTCGTCTCGAGACCCTGTCTTCTGTCAGCCATCTTTCTCATAAAGAAAGAAAAAGCAAGTAGAAAAGGAGAAAAAGACACACCTCCGATGCTCGAAATACCTCGCCCAGCCAACATGCAAAACCGAAAACAGTACGTTCCGCTCAAGTCCCGTATACCTCCCCGCCGCGTCCAAGAACTGCAGCGTATTCCGAAACCGCGAGTCCGAGTACGGCAGCCTTGACGACTGCGCCGAGGTGTTATTGTTGGGCGGGCGAAACATGTTGCGCAGGAGTGAGCGCGCGACGTGTTTGAGCGGACCGCGGCGGCGGCGGGAGATTACTTTTAACATGGAGCGCTGGAGGGCGCGGTAGAGGTGAGTTGTGGGTGGTGGTGACATGTGTATTTTTCGATATGAGATGGTGATGCAGAGATCAAGAGACGATAGTTGTAAAGAGAAGCAATTGATATTGAGAATCACTGACGAGAAAATAAAGACGTGCATGGGTTTAGGGCGTGGAGGTTCACCGTCGGTGGACAACGATGAAGATAACTATTTATTAAATTTATTTGTTTAACTAGTTAACTATGCAACTTGAGTATTGACAATTGGCAGTGATTATTGTATTGAATATAATTGAATAATTATAATATTTACTTGTTAAGTAGTGGTCTAGAAAGACTCAGGCTTGGATATGGATATCAAGTAACCTGCAACAAACCACCGCTTCCAACGACAACAACACCACCACCACATCAAATATCACATTCAACAAAAAACAATGCCTTATCCCCCATATCTTATCCCCAATCACGGTCCCACTCTCCTCCATGCACCTCCACCACCCATCGCTGCTCCATCGCTCCAAGCAGACGGCAAATCACCGGAAATAATGTCTTGACTACGGCGCACTTTAGCGTGCGGTTCATAGAGTTCCCGGGTTCCTTGTTATCGATCGGAAGCGTATCAACAATCAGGAACTCGATAGCCAGATTGTTATAAGCCCTCCGCCCCCATCTTCTCCTCTCCTCACATCTTCTCAACTACACAATTGACCTCTACTCCACCCTCTCAATTGCACAATCAACTCAACTCTCCAAATGACGATAACAACCACCACCTTCAAACTCAACTCCGGCCACGAAATGCCCGCCGTCGGTCTCGGCACCTGGCAAGGCAAGTTCGGCTCCGACGACTCGGCCCTCTTGAAATCGACAATCAAGTTCGCGCTCACCACCGGCTACCGCTTCATCGACACCGCGGCCGTCTACGAGGTCGAGGCAGAAGTCGGCCAGGCGATAAACGAGTCCGAGGTCCCCCGCGAGGACATCTTCGTCGTCACCAAGCTCTGGAATACAATGCACGATAAAGTCGAGGAAGCGTTTCTCCGCTCGCTCGACACCCTCGGGCTTGACTACCTCGATCTATACCTCATGCACTGGCCGATGGCCATGGACGCCCAGCGCAACCCGCTCGACCATCCTACCCCGGCCGAGACCTGGCTTGCGATGGAATCCCTGCTCAAAAAATACCCCACCAAGCTCCGCTCCATCGGCGTCTCCAACTTCTCCCCAAAGACAATCAAAGACCTCCTCGCCGTCGCGACCATCGTCCCCGCCGTAAACCAAGTCGAACTCCACCCGATGCTCCCGCAATTCGACCTCGTCGACGCCTTCGACAAACTCGGCATCCGCACAATGGCGTACTCCCCCCTCGGCCAATTCGACTCCCCGCTCCTCACAGACCCGGACTTACTCGCTCTCGCCGCGAAATACAACGTCCCGATCGGAACCCTGATCCTCTCCTGGTCCGTCCTCCGCGGCGTCGCCGTCATCCCCAAATCAACAAACAAAGAACGGCTGGTGAATAACATCTCTTTGCTCCCCGAGATCGCGCCAGAGGATAAGAAAGCGATCGATGAGCTCCATAAGAAGAAAAACATGCACAGACGTCTTTGTCAGGTTGGTAACGGGACTCGGCCGACTGGTAATGATATCGTCTTTGGTTGGACTTATGAGCAGCTTGGTTGGGAGACTTTTTCTGTTGAGTAATCTCCATTCATGACAAGTACTGCTATCATTTAATGTATCTGTATCTCATCTGCTGCTATGCTACTACAATAGACAGCACTAAAACCCTACATAAAATACCTCTCCCTCTCCTCTTTACCCAATCCCATACAATAACCATCCACAGCTAAAAAAAAACCCCACCAAAAAATCAAGCATAAAAAAATACAGTATAAAAAAATTCAGCAAAACAAAAAACAAAAAAATATTGAGAGCGGTGAGGTTCGAACTCACGCCTCTTGCGAGACCAGCATTCACAATCGTCGAAACAACCTGAAGCGGGCGCCTTGGACCACTCGGCCACACTCCCATTTGTTGAGAAAAGGTGTGGTTGGGTGCTATATAATCTATATTATTTTGTATGGCTCTGAAATGGGTTTTATGGATTTTGATGGGGGAAATGGGCTGGTTTATTCAATAATTTATTTTTTTTGGAGTGAATATTTACGGTTGCTTATATATATCGCAACAGAGACCACAGCTTAGAGAACATTGCTGGAGAACTACCTTCATCTGCAAGGCTAGATGGCGTGGACGACCCTGAGGTCCTCTACACAATTCTTACAACTTTCACAATCGTATAATCGTATGGTAATTATTACTCAATTAAATAGTACTGATAGATACAAATGCTCCTGCTTTTCAGACTTTCAGACTTTCAGACTTCAGACTTTTTCAGACTTTTGAAAATGCACAATTATCTCATCTCGCACAACATACACAAAACTCCCCCCCTCTCCATCCCTCTCTCAAACACATTAACACACATCCAAAACTAAAACTGTCGCAATGCAGTGATAATCTCACTCAACCTCTCCTCCGTGATCCCAAAACACTCCGGCATCTCCTCACACCCATCCCACGCCTCTCTCTGCATAAAACTCTCCGTCACGCCGCCGCCGCCGTGGTCTGTACTCTGCGAGTACTCGAGATCAAACTGGAAATCCGGATCTTCCGCCAAAATCTGCCGCACGAGCTGCTTCGCGGCTAAGAAAATCCGCGGCATCCCGTGCCCTGTGAATCCCGCGATACAATACTCCTGGCTCTGCTCCACGAACGAGGGCACTTTACCCACGATCGGGAACGAGTCGGTCGAGAAACCCATGATTCCCGTCCACTGGTTCACGACGCGGAAGGTTTCGCTGTACGTCGCGTTGGTCTCCGCGGTTTGAATCGGCGAGAGCGTGGGTTTCAAAAACCGCGCGTTGTCAAAGCAGAGCGTTTGTGTGAAGAACGCGCGCAGGTGCAAGTCGACTGCCGCGTCGATTTCCTCCTCGGCTGAGGACGCTGCAGTACTACTCAATTCTTCGTATCCCTGGCCGCGGCCGTACCGGCGCCCGCCGCCCAACACAAAGTTCCCGTTCGGTCTCTGCACGAGATATTCGCCGCCGTAGTTGAAGCTCATGTTTGTGATCTTATGGTTCGGGTCTAAGCTCAATGATTTCCGCCCCTCGCCCAGCGGTTCGATCTCGATAACGTGTCCGCGGGTAGGCGTGACGAGAACGTTCGTGCTCGAGGATTTCGTGGTGCTGATTATATCCGAGGAAATTGACAGTAGACTGTCGAGATACGCGTTTGTCGCATGCACCACCTTGTTTGCGAGGATCGCGCCTCGCGTGGTTTGCACTTTATACAAGAACGACGAGCGTTTCGGTGCGATGCGCAGCGTGGACCCGTCAATCTCCTCGAACCCGTCCGAGTCTGAGTCCGCGTGGATCCCGTACGCCGACTCGGATCCGCTGCTGCTGCCTGTTAGTACGTTTCGCGAGATCTTAGTGGCGCGCACGTTGGTCTGTAGGTTGAGACCGTTTGCGAGACTGCGCTCGACTAGGTGGGAGACCAGTTTTGTGGGCGAGATTGGAGTCGCGGGCGAGGCTATTGCGCCAAAACAGCCTTGTATTCCCGTAATCTGTCAGAGTATTAGCATACTTGCTCTCCCGCGAGTGAAAAGGTAGAGAAAGACACGCACCCGTCTAGCCTCCTCACGCATATAAACCCGCACATCATGCACATCCCCTCCGAGATCTCTCATCACCGCAAGATTATTCAGCGCCTGCCTGAACTCTACTGGCGACAAAAAAACTTGCCACGCCTCGCCGTCCTTATCGGTCTCGCACTCGACGCCGTCCTGCTCGATGAGCTCCATCAGCGCCTCGAAGTTCCGGCGCTCGAACTTGTTGTGCCGGACCGCTTCCTCCGGGCCAAATTTCGAGAGAACGTCGGTGGTGTAGGTGTAGTAATCCGGACGTAAATGACCGCCGTTGCGACCCGTCGCTCCTAGAAATTTCACATTAACACCACTCGCAACCACCAACAAGACTCCGCAGTATTCTCACCATTACACACATCCCCCGCTTCCAACAAGACAATCCGCATCCCCGGATACGCCTTCAGGGCATGGTACGCGACACTGACCCCGCTGAACCCCGCGCCGACAATCACAAGATCCGCGGTCTCGGGCAGACTGGGTGTCGTGCGCATGTTTGCCAGCATCGCCGGCGGCGGGTCGAGCCATGGCGACGGCCGCGACGCAGACGGATGGATGCCGCTCGATGATACTGAACGCATCGCAGGCTGCTATCACTGACTATAAAAAAGAGGCAGCTGAGGGGGAATTGATTGCTGAGAGCGCAGATGGGCTGGAGAAGAGCACCGAGCGCCTCGAATGCGATAAGCTCCACTAGTTCTGCTGCTCTGCTCGGCCCCGTAATCGGCCTCGAGGCTGAAGTTCTGTCAGAACAAAAGCTGAAGGCCGGGTAAATTATTAAAGTTTGAGAACTCCCAACTGGGGACAGGGTAGGGGCACGGTTTTTAGAAAATTCTGTTTGGGAGCAAAGACGAGAGAAAAAATAATCCGTGAACAAAGGATTTCAGACTTGTGGTTTGTTATAGATCAGAAGAGCTGTTCACGATGGGTTCTAAGAGGAAAAGTTCTGAGGCTACTGCCTCCAACACTGTCTCTGCTCCTGCTGCCTCTGCTGCAGCCTCAGCAGAGACGCAGTCGTCAGAGAAAATGACATTTGACTCCATGGGCCTTGATCAGCGCCTGATACAAGCAATCGCGCGTCTGCAATTTGCCGAACCAACGTTGGTACAGGAGAAAGCTATCCCGCTTGCATTGGAAGGAAAAGATATTCTCGCGCGGGCAAAGACCGGATCTGGAAAGACGGCGGCGTATGTTATTCCGCTGATTGAGTCGATTATCAGGATCAAAGAGGTGAGTACTCCATATTCTATCGTCTGTATTTGAGGGGTGAGCGTGACGTGGCTGACTTTCTTTATGCAGAGCAAACCGGATGAGAAAGCGGTGAGAGCATTGATTCTGGTGCCGACTCGAGAGCTGGCTGATCAGTGCTTGCGACTGATCAACAACCTGCTTCCGTTCACGGGCAAACTTGTTCGTGCCGTCAACATTGCTCAGAACGTTGCTGAGCCTATTCAGAGGTGCGTCTTTTCTTTCTGTTTTCAAAAGTATTATTGGATGATGTTAATATGAGTATAGATCACTGCTGGCAGAAATCCCCGACATAGTCGTCAGTACTCCCTCCCGCGTCCTGAGCAATCTCAACAACTCCAACCTCTCCGCCAAAGGCATCACGCACGTCGTGATCGACGAAGCAGATCTCATCATGTCTTACGGCTACGAAGACGACTTGCAAGCCATCCAAAAGCAACTCCCCAAGACCCTGCAAGTTTTCCTCATGAGCGCGACGCTGACCGCCGACGTTAACAACCTCAAGGGCATGTTTTGCCGCAACCCTGCCATCTTGACGCTGCACGAGGAAGAAGCCGCCGACGCAGACAGCGGAAAAGTGGATCAGTTCATTGTCAAGTGCAGTGAGTTCGACAAGTTCCTGCTCGCGTACGTCATCTTCAAGCTCGATCTGATCAAGGGCAAGACGATCGCCTTCGTCAACGACATTGATCGCTGCTACAGACTGAAGCTGTTTCTCGAGCAATTCGGCATCCGCTCCTGCGTCTTGAACTCAGACCTGCCTATCAACTCCAGACTCCACGTCGTCGACCAGTTCAACAAAAACATCTACAGTCTCCTCATCGCGACCGACGACGCAGACCAGCTTGCTGCCGAAGAAGTTCCCGACGACACCAACGCATCGAAAAAGTCCAAAAAGCGAAAGCTGAAAGACAGTGAATACGGCGCCTCGCGCGGTATCGACTTCAAAAACGTCTCCTGCGTGCTCAACTTTGACCTCCCCACCACCGCACGCGCATACACGCACCGCATCGGCCGTACCGGTCGCGCAGGAAACTCAGGCATGGCGCTATCCTTTGTCGTCCCCTCCGATAAATGGGGCACGCACAAAGCCTCCTCTCTCGAGTCGGCGAAGAAAGACGAACGAATCCTGCGACGGATTGAGAAGGAGCAGCAGAAATACCACGGCGCGGAAATCAAGCCGTACGTGTTTGACATGAAGCAGGTCGACGCGTTCAAGTACAGAACCGAAGACGCGTTCAGAGCAGTCACAAAGACCGCGATCCGCGAAGCCCGCATGAAAGAGCTCAAGCAGGAAATCCTCGCGAGCGAGAAACTGAAGAAAGCATTCCAAGAAAACCCCGAAGAACTCGAGCAGCTGCGCCACGACCGCGAGCTGCACGCGGTCAGAGTACAGAGCCATCTCAAACACGTGCCGGACTATTTGCTTCCCGAAGCGGGCCGCAAGAGTTTGGTGAAGGATCTCGGGTTTGTGAGTATGCGTAAGGGATCGGAGAATCGGATACGGAAAGCGCGTGCGCTGCATCGTGCGAGAGCAAAGCCGAAGCGCGTTGATCCGTTGAAGAGCTTTAAAGCTAAGAAGGTTACAAAGTAGATGTCCGCATAAAAGTTGTCTTTGTTTTGTTTTCATTTTGTATCGGGCGTATTAGATTTTCTTACGTGATAGACATGTATACTGCGCGTTGTATATTAAAAGTAGCAAGCAAGTATCATACATAAACACTCAAACAGTCAAAACAAAGCAAACCCGATTCCAATACCAATCACCAACTAGTCATACAATCATTTACATAACCCGCTCATCCAGAAAGCTCATTTTTCTCCTTTTGGTAGATCTGGATCTTTTCCAGCTGCTTCTGGATGTTATCCTGAATGACGCCGATGGCAGCCGACAAGCGGTCCAGTTCTTCGTTCTCGGACTGCACGCTGAACGGCACGCGGGCTGTTTTCTTGGGCGGCAGGACTGCGCCGGGGGATTTCGTTAGGATCTCAAAGAGGTTTTCTGTTGGTTCGTTGAAGACCTGCGCACAAATTGTCAGTCAGAGTGTTTCAAATATAATAAGAAAGAAGGCAGCATACGAATTCGTCATATTGTAGACTGGTGACGGTGGCGCCTTCGGCTTTCTGTTGTTCGGCTTCAGGACCGTAGGGATGTAACTTGAGATGGTGGTACATCGCTACATTCTTCTCGTTCGCCTCGGGGACAAAGTATACGCGGACGGAAATCTCGAATTCACCCCATCCGGTTTCAGTCACCTCGAAAGGGGGTTCCTCGATAGCTACACGCAAGAGCGGTTAGAAAACCAACCTGACTCGACGAGAAAGAGAGAGGACTTACACCGCGTAGAATTAGGATACGTCTCGTGCAGCTTAAACACCACGCGCTTGATTATATCCGACAGATCCTCGCCGTTGACACCCCGCAGGAAAATGGTCCAGGAGTGCGTGTGGTCAGGCGATGTGTCGGGACCGCGTTGATCTTCGCCCAGCGGGAGCGCGATGTTGCCGTATATGAACGGACGGCATATTTGCAGGTTCTGGTAGATCGTCAAGGTCAGCTCGTGTACAGCATTAAACCACATCCATAATAGTTATTATTAATACAGATACACACCTTTAATCTTTTTGAGGACATGCTGGTGATCAACTGTAGTGAAAGTCGTGAAGCGAAGAGCTGCGGGAGGTAAGAATATTCGATCCGGGTAACATTATTGATCTGGCTCAGTCCTGTTCTATGCGGCTTGAGCGAGCAAGATAACAGATATCTGATAACTGCTATCTCTGTTGCCGGCTTCAATTGCTATAGATATTTACTAGGCTAAAGTAAGAGTTTGAGAGGGGGTTGTTTGTTGCTGGTTGATTAGTGAATGGTGTTTGTGAACTTGGGTTTGAAGTATACTGACGCGAATACCGTATAGACTATCATTCACTACCCACCATGAACGACGAACTTGGAATGAAAATTGCCTACGAGGAGGCCCTTAAGAGTACGTCGTTTTTATCTATGCTCTTTCTGTAGCATATAGCGAGCACTGCTGACTGAACCTGCAACAGGCTACGAGGAAGGCGGTATCCCAATCGGTACTCAACCATGCTATCTCTTCAACTCCATTCTACTTTCTCGAGTACTAACGTTGGTGGATTGATATATAGGCGCTGCCTTGGTCTCAGCCGAGGGAGTCGTGCTTGGCCGTGGACACAACGAGCGTATCCAGAAGGTATACCTGTTTTCTGCTTCAATCCCTCAATTTGAAGGAACGAGATCCTAACATCGACTTACCGACAGGACAACCCGATTCTCCACGCCGAGACGTCAGCTCTCATCAATGCCGGCCGTGTCGATGCTAAAGTCTACAAGACTGCCACTGTATGTTTTTCTTTCTTATTTGTGCGGTGCTCAAGAGTCAGTGCTCAAGAGTAAAAAGGCAATGGCTAATCGCAATCTATAGATGTACTCCACCCTTGCATCCTGCTTCATGTGCAGCGGCGCCTGCATTCTCTACGGCATCAACCGCGTCGTCATGGGCGGTACGTAAACTCTCTCTGTCTTACAATCACGATTAACCGCTAACGCGACTACAGAAAACCGAACTGTTCAGGGAGGCGAGGATCTGTTGGTCTCCAAAGGCATCGAGCTTATCAACTTGAACGACGAGAAGTGCTACCAGCTGATGCAGAAGTTTATCAAAGAGGTCAGTATATCTATCTTCTAATGATTTCTTTGAGAAAGTAGTGCTAACGACAGGCTGCCTCTTAGAAACCGCATGAGTGGCACCAGGCGCACCCCGAGGAGTTTGAGGGGTAAGCTTTCGACACCAGTTATTCTAGACTTGTCGATTTTTGTAAAAAGTGTGCGCGTTACGGCTGTCTTCGGAGCTGTATATGACGGGCTACCTCGTATTTTGCCTCTGATTCAAAGTCTTGGGAGAAATCTCAATTGAAAGTACTGTTAATATGCATATCGTACACTAATTCACAGCCCATCCGCCATGTCATTTTCAGAGATTAACCAGAGCATGAACCCATCACCAAACTAACGGGAAAAAAGAGAGAGAAAGACATCAAGCGTCGACCAAGCCGTATAACATAGTCCAAGTGAGCACAAAACTAGTCAACCCGGTGAACGCATTCCCGGTCCACACATAACTCGGCGAGGTAAAGAACTCAGCCGGCTTCCCCTTTGCGAGGATGAAAAACATCAGTAAGCTGACGTAGGCGGTGCCGGCAAAGTAGAAGAGGAAACCAAAGTATGATTCGAGACCGAGGATGCCTGCGCCGACGCCGAAGATTGTTGAGGTCACGCTTCGGATGTAGTAGACTGCCTATACACATAAGTATGATAACAGTTAGAAACGAGATTATGATTCATTGATTTATTCAGACACAGCTCGTAGGTGGAAGAAAGTAAAGTACCTTTGTGTTTTGCGCCAGGCTCTCGCTCGATATCGGAGCCACAGCTCCTTCCAATTCTTTCCGATCCATGGCTTATTCTGTGCGCAGAATCAATAGCAATACCTAGAATGACGAATGGCAGCCAGCGATGGTAGAATAATGTATCTGTGCTGGGTGTTGGTGATTGTGGAAGAGAATGATTCTGGATTGAAAGGTCGCGACCGGCGGATGGAAAATGGGACATTAAAACTCTCTTTCTCGATAGCGGTTGACCTGCTATTGTACCTTGATCTCTTCATAACCGTCAACGCAGCAACCTACAGCATTGAAGAAACATTCATGATGAACTTATAGCTTGATATTTACTTTATTTGAATGCGGTTCTGTCAAAAGTCATGCCTAGTTACTTGCAATCCGGCGCAGCTCTACTCACAGTCTTCATCTCGCTCTCTTCTGCGGCCGTGTATTTCGCCTTCAAGTCCGCAGAGGAATGGTCAAACTACGTTGACACTTACACGGATTACAATGGTATGTGTTCATTGTGGGATGTCTGAGTGTTTCAATTGTGTGCTTTAGGCCGGAATGCGGGCTGACGGTTTCTCTAGAAGGTAGTGACACCTCACTTAAGGATCTAACTGTGCTTTCGATAACAGGAGGCTACAAACAACGCGTCCAGTATGTCCCTTGCTGTCCTATCTTTCTGTCTTGATTATTGAATTTAGCAGACATTTGGTCTAACCTACTCCAGGGCACAAAATGTACTGATCGCCAGAGCAATCGACACCCCGGACTTCACAGTCACTCTCGCTACCCTCCTGCGGAGTTCAAAACGCCTAAATCGGTTACGAGCAGTGCGAACGCTTGCGCTCATTCTTTCTAAAACAAGCGACCTCTTCAACGTCATCGGCGACACCTGCAAATACGAGATCCTCACCGGCCTCGAAGTCACCCTTCTCTACACCATCCCCGATTTCAACAAAAACACATCCGAAGACGTTGATCTCCGGTCAGAGACAATGGCGGTTCTCAACCAGTACATCCATTTCTTCAGAAACATGGTCTTTGGCATCCAGCTCAAGCCGCCGTTGCTCACGCGGTATTTCAAAAAATACATCGCACTCTCGGAACAACAGCCTAGCAAGCTGGCGCCGCTGGAACTCGTCAGCGATACCGATCTCTATGAACATGCAGACGAGCAGATGTATACACTCATGCGAAGACTGCTTGATTATCCGGCGTTTAAGGAGCAGATCAGAACTTATAAACCGTTCAAGCAAGCATGGTCGGGAGTCCATCATCGTTGATGCCGTAAGGCTGCTACATTTCTACTGTGCATTGAATGCAGAGTGACTACAACTCTTTGTTTCTACTTTCTACGCTTGTATATTAGACCAAATATCATAATTGCGACATAGTTATCGCTGTATCTTCATTATCTCAATGTATATATTACATAATAGCTGACATAAAACACGAAGGGGCTTGTGTCAGGTGAGTGGCTGTACTTCCGCAGCACTCCGACTCGAAGCAGCGGCAGCAACAGCTCTCGAGAACACCGCCTCCCGCACCGAATCCGACGCAATTCCTTTTGAAAAGAGCACCGAAAAGCCATGCTGCTGCTTCAATACCACAACCTGCTGATCCAGTCGATCCTGCAGGAGCGCTTCGCGCCGGATGCGCAGCCGACGCTCATCGACCAGGTCATCTCTGATTTCGATAACGTCACCTACCACGTCTCGACGCCAGAGTCAAAAACAAAGATCCTGATATCGTTGTCGGTTAAGTGCTACAAGGACTTGGAGAAGTACGGGGTCACGGCGTTGCTGCAGCGAGAGTATGAGGAGTACGCTGTTGCGCCCGAGGCGGGGTATGATTTCTCGATCCAGGTCGACCTCGAGAATCTGCCTGCTACCGCTGGTGAGTTGCGCAATTGCCTTTGTTTTGTTTTCAAGATTAGGATATGCAATGGAGAAGATTATTGGCTAACGTGTGATTGATGGTCTCAGAGGAAAAAGAGACGCTCATCCTCAAAATCGCCCTACTAAAGCGCAACGCCATGGCCGCTCCATTCGAGAAAGCCTTTGCCGAATTCGACAGACTAGCCGCGGAAGCGGCCAAAAACTCGCTCGATCTCTCTGTGCCCGAGGACAGCGGCTCGGAAGTGATGGCGATCCACTACCGCGAGGAGGAGTCGATCTACATCCGCGCCTCGCACGACCGAGTAACGGTCATCTTCTCGGTCCTGTTCAGAGAGGACACCGACCGCGTGTTTGGAAAGGTGTTTTTGCAGGAGTTTGTGGATGCCCGACGACGCTCGATCCAGAACGCGCCGCAGGTGTTGTATTCAAACAAGGAGCCTCCTCTCGAGATCCGCAACGTCCCCGGCGTCAGCGTCAAGGACGATATCAGCTACGTCACTTTTGGTAAGTTTGCTCGCCGAATAGCTGATGATTATGATAAATTTATCATGCACGCAGTATCCGACTAACACTCGCAACCAGTTCTCTTCCCCCGACATATCGCCCGCGACCGACGAGAAAACTGCATCAGCCACATCCAGATCTTCAGAGACTACTTCCACTACCACATCAAATGCTCAAAGGCATACATGCACTCACGAATGCGTTTCCGAGTCGCTGAGTTCCTCAAGGTCCTCAATCGCGCCAAGCCGGAGGTCGAGGAAGAAAAGAAGACTTCTTCTGGTCGTCGGTACGGTACCCGTTAGAGAGATTCGACGGAGAGAGGCTCTATATAGGCGTGAGGAGTTGCGTCTACGTTTAAAGAGAGGAGGAAGGAACGATAGAGCGAGAATGACGGAGTTCTGTTTGGTTGTCTTGTTATAGTTACCAATGCGTGACTGAGATTGTGTTGTACTGTAGTTTTATAAAATAGCTGTCGCATATAAAATAGCTATCGCACGCTCTAGAGTAGATGTTTATTGTCCTATTACCAAATCTCTAGATAACCCGAAGGAGAAATCAGACGACAACGTCATCCTCACTATCATCCTCATCCTCATCCCAATCAACCGAAATCTCACTCCCAAATCCCTCATCGTCTTCATCGTCATCGTCATCGTCACTCATGATTAGCATCCTCCCAAGCTCGCCATCCATACACTTGAGCTCGTTGATCATCTCGGTATAGTCGCCAATCCCGGCCGCCTGTGCTTTTTCGAGTTGCTGGACTGCTAAATCGTACATCTCTCCTTGCTTCGTTTCGTCGGAGAGGAGGTTGGCGTATGTGATTAAGGTCTCGGCGAACTAGGATTTTGTTAGCCATCTAGAACTGTTTTGGAAAAATTAAGCACCAAACTCACAGTCACAATCGAATCTGGATCATCATCGCTATCCGCCATGCAGTAATAATCACTAGCGAGCTCCAAATACTCCTTCGCTTTCTTCACCGCCGACACGTACTCCGCCTTATCCTCATCCTTATTCGACTTTGCACGCTCTATCGAGTCGCCATCGCTATCATCCTCGTCGCTATCACTATCAAACCCGGCCTCTGCAATCGCAAGGAACGGGTTGCCGCGTACGAGGTAGTACTCGCTGATTGTGCGGTACAGCTGCGAGTTTGGACACCGTTCGATTTCCTTGGCCAGCCGGTCCTCGATCCATGTGTAAAACTCGGGACACCGCGCAGACACAAAGCCGGTCTCGAGCGTGATCTCGAGGATCTTGGATATACGCGTCAGGATCTGGCGTAGTCGGTCCCAGGTTAACTCGACGTCGCCGGAGGTAGAAGAAAGAGGAGTAGCTTCTTCCTTTTGCGGAGTGGTTGACTTTTCGGAACGCTCGATAGGTCGTTCAACTGCCTCCTTTATCCTCTCCTTCAACTTCTCAAACCTCTCATCTGAGCTCTCAGACTCATTCACCGGCCCCAGAGGTTGCTTTCTCGCTGCGGCTTCAACCTTCGGCGGCTCTGCGATTTTACCAAACAGCTCCACAGTCCGATCATAGTCATCAAACGCCGACTGGATCGCATACACGCAGTCCGCCACCGCTTTCGACGACCTCGCCGCCGGCTTCAACTTGAGCTCCACGATCGACAGGTGCGTCTCGCAGCGCAGCGCGACCAGGTCGATACTCTCCGGATACGTCTCCAGCCCGATCTGTGCGCGCTCAACCGCGGCGAGGAGGAAGTCTTCGGGTGTGTCGGTCGCGCCAGAGCTTGAGGCCGGTTGCTGTATTTGTTCTTGTTTTTTCTCGTCGTCGGGCTTGGTGGTGCGGGTGCCGGACTTTGATTTCTTCTTGCTCTTGGCGAAGACCGACAGCATCGACAGGGTCTCGGCGTACACTCTGTGGAATTTCGCAGGTAACGGCTCTTTTGCATTTCGCAGCTGTCTGTCGCATTCATGGACAATCGCATAGAGTAATTTCGGATTTGCTACACCTATTAATTAGCAACCCAGATCACCGGCTTCAAATAGATCAAGCCACATACACCGACTCGACTTTAGATATGTCGTATGCAAAGCATACAGCTGCCCCAGTTCATCATCCGGATCAACATCCTCTGATATCTCGATCGTAGCCTGCTCTTCCTCCTCGCCGCCGGCAGCAGCTGCAGAGGTGGTTGCAGACGAAGAAGTTGAAGGTGTTTCTTTTTTCTCGGTTTTCTTGCGTTTGGCTGATTTCGCTAAGCCCTGAGGTCCCCGCTTTAACGGCATATTTGGTATTTTCTTCTCTGGACGAATTCCTCGTTTTAAATGTCCTGTTCTTTGTCTATTTATTGTATTCTTTCAGATATCGTAGATAACACGAAAAGAAAGAGAGAAAGTCGTGGCAGCGCTGGGAGTTTGGATAATTTTTTTTTAGCCGAATTAAATTCGAATTAAAATTTTTAATTTCACTTTAACCCAAGAAGAGCCGACCATGGCGCTTTTGCTTGCAAAATTACATTATTTTCATTATATTCAACATTTTAGCGAAAAAAAAGAAAGCAGAAAACTCCGAGAATGCAGATTTACACATGGCGTATGTACAATATATACAAAACCATCTAGTTGTCAGTGGGATTCACGTATCCTCTTGCAATACCAGACCGTCCATCTTCCAACTTCGCACCGGCTCTCTTCTCACCTCCCTCGTCCTCGTCCTCGTCCTCATCCTGGAAATCAGACCCGAGGCCTTTCCAGAACGAGCGGTTCTGTAGATACGCTGCCGCAGTAGAGTAATGCTGCGAGCCGCGGGTCGCGAGTTGTCCTGCGTTTCCCTTTGTCGAGATCAAGCTTGATGATGGCTTGTCGGCTGATGAACCTATTGTCTTGCTGTCATTGCTCTCGAGTTCGACTTGTACATGCTTTGCGGTCCGCTTTTGTCGTGTGTTTGCTAGCAGGGGACGGGAAGACACGTAGCGGCCGGTGACGGGGTCGAATTCAGGAGGCGCATCCTCATCGTCGTCGCCTTCGTCACCATCCTCTCCGTCCTCGTCCTCGTCCTCAGCATCATCACCCAGCGCCAGAATCTTCTCAAACTCCAACACCCACTCTCCACCACCCCACTCCACCTCTCGCTTCAACGCAAGCTTCAACTCATACGGCGTAACAATCGGCTTATAGTACTCGCCATGTCTATCCAAGATCACGCCTCCGCGCGCACATCCCACGATAACCCAGACATCCACGACATCAAAATTCGCCAACTTCGCCACATTAGGCTTACCCACCGCAATCACGTAATGCTTCTTGCCCGCGCTGCGGATCGACTCCTTCAGCGCGTCGATCAGCGCAGCAGAGTTTCGCAGCGAGAGCGTGTTGACTAGGATCCCGATCGTCGACGCCGCGCGCGCGGTCATCATCGTCTGGTACCGTCGCGCGAGCGGCATTAGCGGCGAAGTGATTGGTTTCGCGGTGGCGGGGTCGATGATTATCGGTTTTTGCGAGAGCAGGGTCGAGAGATGCAAGTGCGCGGCGGGAGGAAGCGTGCCGATGTGGAAGAGAGTGTAGTCTTGAAGCGGTGCAGCGAGCGGTGGATGCGACCGATTTGGAACGTCCGAGCGGACGGTGTGTGTTGTCTTGCCGGCTGCGGTTAGCAATGGCGGGATGATGATCTCAGACGGCGTCGCAGCAGCCGAGGAAGAGTCCTCGAGATCGAGCGACCGCGGTGCGGATTCGGAGAAGGCGGGTATAGTGGTGAGAATGTTGGGGTACTCAGCGCTGAGCAATGAATGCAAGCGATCGACATGTGCCTGGTACGGTGTTTCAGCAACGATAAGGACATGTGCTGACTTGTCTTCGATCTCGGCCCTGAATGAACTGGCGACGGTTTCAATGTCGAGATCTTCTTCGCCAAAGAGATAGATGACCGGCGTCGAGACGACCCTACAACCTGTCAACAACCACAACTCATAAAAGACAGCAGGAATACTTACGGACTGAGACAAGCAACTCCGACATGAACGACAACATCAGCATTCACATGCTGCGCAGCAATCTCATCCACGCAACACTCTGAATAGCTCGTATCTCCCAACACAAACACCTCCGCCACCTGCTCTGCTCCGTCCGCCACCGCTTCAAGCTCCTCAGCAAGCACCCGCGCAACAACAGTAGAGTGCGGCAGCAGCCGATCCGGGAACTGCAGCGCAACCCGCTTGTAGCGACATCTGCTGATAGTCTTCGCCAGCTGCGGGAGATGGTACTGCGCGGTGACTTTGTCGCGCGGCGGGGCCTCGGACTCTGGGCGCGCTGTGACTTTGAAGTACTCTGGCTCTGTCGATAACGCTGGAGCTACTGACGCCATATCTGCACTCTTCTTCACTTCTCTTTGTCAATAAGCAGAAAAGAGACGATTCAAGACTTCACGAAGAAAAAGAGTCGCAGAAATATTTTGAGCCGCAAGACACAAACACCTCAAAAGCTGACGAGCAAACCTTAAAAGCCTAACCGGCAGAAAAATGAGTTTTAGGAAGCCTGCGATTCGATGGTTTTTGCGCGTTGAGAGCTCGTCGGCAGCAAAGGAGCATCAGAAGTGAATCCAAGAGGAAAGAAGTGAGAAGAAAGAAAGAGTAGAGCGGTTGATAAAGAAAGAGTTGAATAGGAAGAGCGCAGAGAGAACCGCGCTCAGAAGTTTTGGTCGCGTACTCGGCTCTGGGGATTATCTCGTTCCGACCGGGATTTTTGTCGACCCGTCGTCTTCTGGGTTGAGCAGACAACGTCTCGGGAGTTTTTGAGAGGATAATACGAGCAGACAAGGAAGCAGAGATATACCAGTCTGCTTTGTGTTGATTATCTGCAGCTTCTCGAAGGCATTGCTCACCGTCCCGATACACTATTTTTCCCTTCAGTGTCAGAGTTGGTCGTCAACTACATCATCATCGACAATCAGCAACCAATCGACTTGCTACTGGTTTTTCGTCATCAACATCGCTACTCTGGAGCACGCGACGCACTCCTAACCCAAGCATCATAATGTCACGGTCTCACTTCCAGAGATCATGCATACACAACATGCGGAGCCTACGGCCGTCAGCATCATCGTCACTATTAGTGCTCACTTGCGCGCCGACAAAAAGTATAGAGATTCTACCTAGCCGCTGCGACGTGTTTCTCTTCCGACTGTTTGCGAAACGGAGGTATGCTACCGCACCGCCCGCTGCTGCTGCCGTGTCTGCCTCGATACCTCTCAGTAGCAGCAGCAGTAGTCAACGTATATCTGAGTTTTTCCGGTCAAATGGAGAACTCGCCAGCAATACGAGGAATTACAGTGCAAGAGTATGCTACTTTGATTTGAAGCTCACCCTGATCACTGAAGAAAAATTGCTAACTTGTATAGTCCGCACCGTTCACGCCCGCTGCTCTCTGCCACCCTCCCCCGCCGCCAATTTCCCCACGCCGCCCGCCATCAATCTACTCAAGCTACTTCCAGCTCGCAAAGCCGCGGCTGACAGCACTCATCGTCCTCAGCACGATGTCGGCCTACGCAATCACGCCTGAGTCGGCAATCATCTCCAACATGTCGCACTTTCCGCTCTCGTCGCTCTCGACCCTCTTCTTCCTCACCGTCGGCACCACGCTGACCTCCGCGGCCGCCAACGCGCTCAATATGGCGCGCGAGCCGGAATATGACGGGATGATGTCTCGGACGCGCACGCGGCCGATCGTGCGTGGTTTTGTCTCGCCTCTACAGGCGGTTTATTTCGCGATTGCAACCGGCGCGGTCGGCACAGGCATGCTGCTGTACGGCGTCAACGAACAAGTCGCGCTGCTCGCGGTCGCAAACATCGCGCTCTACGCAGGCCTCTACACGTCCATGAAGCGCACCTCGATCCTCAACACCTGGGTCGGCGCCGTCGTCGGCGCCATCCCGCCTCTCATGGGCTGGAGCGCCGCCGGCGGCTCGCTCCTCGACCCCGGCGCGTGGTGTCTCGCGGGCCTGCTCTACGCGTGGCAGTTCCCGCACTTCAACGCGTTGTCGTACAATATCCGCGAGGAGTACCGCAACGCGGGCTACCGCATGGCGGCGTGGGTCAACCCTGCGCTGAACGCGCGCGTGTCGCTGCGGTATTCGGTCGCGATGATCCCGCTCTGCGTGGGCCTGTGGTACTTTGGCGTGACGGACGCAGGGTTCGTGATTGACAGCACGGCCGCTAACGCATGGCTTGTTGCCTGTGCGGTCTCGTTCTGGAAGGAATGCAGGCCTGGCGGGCGAGGCGGTGCAGCGGCTAGTGCGAGTGCGCGGAAACTGTTTTGGGCGAGTATCATGCAGTTGCCGGCGGTGCTTGTGCTTGCGATGGTGCACAAGGCGGGCTTTTGGCAGGGGGTCTACGATTATCTGCAGGAGGCGCTAGGTGCAGCCGAGGATGAAGAGGAGGAGGACGGAGAGGAAGTGGAGCAGGAGCACATCGTGACCGTCGCCAAGGGCTGAACGAGGTAGTTTGTAAATACCCGATGAACACGAGAGATCTAGGGGACGTCCGCCGATATCGAATATGTATATACCATCAAGAATGAGATTAAACTAGGCGTTTTTTTGACAGAAAAGTAGTTGACTATTGTTCCGTAGCGGGGAATACGCACGACAACGGTTATTACCCGTTAGTTTTGGTTGGTGGTAATAACCGTCATTTCCCCTTCCCAGCAAACTGGAACCCAAAGAGCAGTCGCAACTCGACTAGAAGCTAGCGCGTGCCTGAACAACTCAAAATCCACGGTCGGCCAAGGAAGGGTTCGTGGAGATGACATCCAACCCCTTTCTCCGACGAGAGCCCCGATCAGCTCAGCACCCTGCCTGCCACACGCTCGCTCGAGCTTTGTTCGTATTAAGAAAGGTGACGACATTGCGGAACAAGACAGGATAACTTAAGTAGACGGTGGGCACGAAAAAGGTTTCATAAAAGCTCGCCGACGTTGCACGATTCCAGAAGAAAACCCGACGAAAGCCAAATTGAGTGCATAAGTACGCGCGTGTGCGGAAGAGGAAAGGTAAGGAACAACAGAGGCTTGCGAGCGTAGAGAACGCGGGTTGGTGATGCGCGCTTCTTAACCGTAAATACCGAAAAGTGCGAGGGAGGGTACGCTACGGTTAAGCCGCTTGATGGTGCTGTTAGAGATGATGACGATGGAGGAGGTGAGATGTAATGAATGAAGAGTACCCGGCCGTCTGGAACAAAGAAAGTAGCGAACGCATGGAGCAGCGAAGCAGCGAGGTAAAAGGAAGGGCATCTCTCCCTCGTTCACCCGAAAAACAAGAAGCCGGTAGACCGACACGTGAGAGGCGAGTGAGATCCAAGATTCAGACAGGATGAGAGCGGGCTAGTGGACGCGCCCCCGAGACAGAGGCAACTAGCTGAGTACGTAGAATGCCAGTGGCAGTTAAAAAGCAGCAGGACCGGTCAAGCCACACCGACACGCGATGCCACGAGAACCAGATCTGCCGCGAACAGGAGGGCGAACGTAAACATAGCGAGGCGGGCTAAATCGAGCAGCCATCGACGAATACCAATAATCACAGATCAGAGACAACAGTCTGCCCGGGCGAGCGAGAGAGTGCGGCAGCAGCGCGGCAGCAGCAGCAGCGAGCAGCATGGCGGGAGCGGCGTCGGCGCCTGCCAAATCCGGACAGGGCAGCGCCCAGTCGAGCGACGAGCGACGAGCGACGAGATCAATCAAACTTGGATCCACCGTCCCGGATTTCTATTCCACTCTGACGGCAGCAATACGCAGCCCGTCCGCGCGCCGGCACTCGTGCTGCTGCAGGCATGCATGCGTCCCTTCCTGTTGTTTAACGAGCACGCTAGCCTGGCGCTTATAACGACGGCCTGCTTCTTGCCTCTTTGGTGTCTGCGCGCTCCTCCTTCACGAACTTCTGCTGCCTGCTGTCGGCCCTTGTCAGCTGTCCTGCACAGGTCCTTGATGATCGCCGGGCCGGACTTCATTCAGTCCTCCTGTCTCTTTGTTAATAAACCACCGCCGCCCAGCACGCCCCCCTCCCGCTCTTCTCTCTCCCGCGCGCCCGCTCAGCTATGTTCATTCGTGCCGTTATCACATACGAAGTTAGCGAGCAAGCTCCCGGGCCACAACGGTGGTACCCCGTACCGTACCTTAAACCCCCAAACTTTAGTCCCGCCTGAACCTCTCTTCTAGTGCGCCCATCTTGCCTCCATAGCTTTAATTCCCGGCCATTGGGACTGCTTTGGGCATGTGTCATTAGCTGCTCTTACATCGCAAATAATATCAAACACTGCTAGGAATAGCGATGGTTATAGTGATAGTAATAATAATAATAGTATACATACAAATGTTACAAACCAGGTCGACGACTCTCGAGCAAATTTCCGATAAACAATTAAAAATGAAAAAAATTTGGCGAGATTAGAATAGTTCATAGCAAAGAGGAAGAAAGAATACAGCAAACTCCTGCAAACAAAAATCGTTCGACATAAACCAAACAAAGGATAAGATGATGAGAAAAAAGGAGAAAGAAACCAGCATGAAAGAACAAGCACAATCGCAAATATAGAGAAATAATGAAAAGAAAAGGAAAATCAGGGCGGTATTAATCGAAAAAAGTAGAAAAACCCCAATAGTGCAGTGCAATATGAGCAGAACTTCGTCGACTCACAAAAAACAAAAGATAAAAATCACTAGAGCGGAAAGAAATGACGAGAAGCAAAACTCAAATAACACACACATGACTTGACATCAGCGCTCCTCTAACGCATGAGGAGCAATTAAAAATTCCAGATGCCCTTAAACACAAATGAAAAAAAAGACAACCATATAGATGTTGCGCGACGGGCATCACAGAATCACAGATAAAAAAATGAGAGTGCGAGGCAGTAACAAAATATTACAAGATAAAAAGAAAAATGCTTTTCCCCACAAGGGTGGTTGTCGTCAAAGAAAATAAGGAAAGCCCGGATCAAGGTTGTGGTTTCACGGGTGGTTGCGCGGCCGCCGCTGCTGCTGCCTCAGCCGCACCTTCCTTTTTGGCAGACGGAGGAGCGCCCACGCCCGCTGCTGCTGCTGCTGCTGCATCGTCACTTGTCGTAGTTTTCGAAGTCGATCCTGCCGCTTGTCCTGCTGCTGCTGCTTCTCTGGATCCAGACTGTGGTGCTGATTGTGCAATTCCCGCTGCGTTGGCTCGACTGCTGTCGCTGCTGCTGCTGCTGCTGCTTTTGTCACTCGCTGAGCCGCCCGTGCTTTCTTCCCCATTCTTTGCACTTGCAGCCTTTGGTGCCGCCGCACTCGCACTTCCGGCCTGCTTCACAGTGTCCTCGGGTGATGCGCCACCAGCAGCAGCTGCAACCGCTGCTGCTGCGTCAATCTTACTCTCGGACGCCTTCCCAGCCACTGGTGATGACGACCCGTCGTGTGCCTGCTCCTTTGCTTTCTCGATCGTCTCCTGAGCTGGCACCGCTCCGCTGCCGGCGTGCTCGGCGTCAGCTGCAATGTCGATGTGGCTGTTCAATTTCTGCTCTTCGGTCTTTGCAATCATAATGTCGGACTCGTCCGGACCTGCATGTTCTGGCTTAGTCTCTGGCGCTGCTGGTGCTGCAGCTGCTGCTTCGGAAAGTGGACCAGGCGGCGCTGGCGGCTCGCTGCTCGCCGCCTTTCCCTTTGGCGGCACAAGAGCTTGGATCGGCGCATTAACTCCACCAAGAGTGTCGTCCGCAACCACGTCGGTTTGATCCTGGCGCGGCAGCTGCGACTCGTCAAGCACAAACTTCGTAGCTGATGCTTCAACCGGCGTGACCTTGTCTAGCCAATTAAGCACCATCATGATCTTCAGCAAGTTTCCCTTGATTCCAGAGTGCTTGCCGTCAATCAACGTAGACTGCACCGTAGCGTTCCACGTCCCGAGCACGTCGAGGTCCTTGCTGTGCCCGATCTCGCGCATTCCGATCTCGAATTTCTGTAGAGCTTGCACACCGTGCTTGATCAGATCTCGGTCAATCATCTGCGGCCCTGAAGCACCGGGCGTGACAAACAGCTGCGCGCGCCCAACGCCGCGCTTCATTCGCTCAGAAATCGTGCGCTGGATCGACGTGATCCAGCCCGAGGTTGCTGAAACGTCCAAGTCGTTGTGGTGCCCTTGACTGTAGATGAGCGCCACGGGTCGGCCGGAGGACTGCTGCGCGAGCGCGTCGCCAAGACCGGCGAGTTCGGCGGACGAAGGCGGGTAGGTGGTCATGACATGGTTCTGCACATTCAACTTGCGCGCGTCGCACTTGAGAGACTGCAGATCGAATTTCGCGACGTCGTCCGAGTTGAAAATTCCCTGCAGACCGCACTTGAGCGTATCAAACTGTCCGTCGCAGAAGCACGCCTCCTTTTCGTCCAGTCGGAAATTCCACTGCGTGACACCACCAAAGCCGAGGTCCTCGCGCATCAAGACGTGTAACGCACCAACGGCGTGCCGCATCATCGAGTCGCCGACAAAGAGCACCTTGTCGTAGCGCGAGAGAATCTCGCAAATCTCGCCACGGTCGAACCAGCGCATGTCACAGCCTCGCGGCATGTAAGGCGCGTCCATGCCGATTCGGCCACCGTCCGACATGGCAGTGAGCAGCTCGGCCTTGGTGCGACAAAGAGGCTCGAACGGTCTGTGAAGCTGCAGCGACGAGACCGGGCACTGGTCCCGGTTGGCGTACCCCGCAAACGCGTCAATCATGTCGCGCGCACGCGCATGCGGGTCCGGGATAGGAAAGTCGTGTGATGCGCCGCGGTACGCGATTTCGGCGAGATCGGCTGAGCTCTTGTGGTGGCCGGGAGCGACACCCTTGCGGGAGGACGAGGACGACTTTGCGTTGGCTTCGTGAGCGATTTTGGAGAGGTCGTGCCGCAGGATCGCGTCGGCCGGGTCAGGGGCGGCGTAGTATGGCGAGGAGGACGAGGACGAGGAGCCGAGGGAGAGCAGGGCCCAAAAGAAGAGGAGGACGGCAGCGGTTAGCGCGAGGTTATGCCGGGTGAAGCATCTTCGGAGCCGGGCCTGGCGCATGGCTGGCGTGTGCGTGGTTGGAAGTGAAATGGTGGATAATGGAGGGAGGAGCGAGGTAGAAAAGGGGAGCACGGGAGCGAGAAGAGGAAGAGAAGAAGGATCCCGCAGAGCGCGCTGAAGAAGAGGCGAGAGAAAGCGAAGGTGGATGAGGGAGGATAAGGGGAGGAGAGGAGGGCGGTGATGGTGAGGAGGGAGGAGAGGAGAGGAAGGGGAAGAAGAAGTGAAGGGAGGAAAGGAGGACGCGGCGCGGCCAAGTGGACAGAAGCGATTTATTATTAAAACCCAGGAAGCTTCCTGCTGACAACGCAAAAGACGGGGGCTCGTGGCGCTGCCTCAGCCAGTACCCGGTACGCTCGCAAGCCGGTACCTAAGCCGTGCCTGAGTGGCTGCGGCCGTCAGTTTACGTAATTGCTACCTCAGCAACTGTCGCCCCGGGCCCCGAGCCAGACAAGTCCTCGGCCTCGAGACTGCCCTCCACCACGACAACCACCCACCGCGCAGGCCGCGCTTCCTCCAGCTCTGCCCGCGTCGTGTTGCCCACCCGCAACCCAACCCTCTGCGCCTCGGCCTCGCTGTACGGCGCCGACACCGTCACGTTGAACACCTGGTACGCACTACCGTCGTCCTCGTCTATCGTACCCTGCCAGTCCCCAGCACCATACGTGCGCACGCTCACTTTCGCAGGCGGCACGCGTCCCCAATTAAACTCCACCGCGCTCACGTTCGTCGCCTGCCTATCCTCTCCCAAGTCAATCACCAGCGCGCTCGGCTTGCGCGTCGCCGGCCGCCACGACGTCGAAATCGAACCGTCGACCGCCGACACCGGGAAATGGCCCTTCACCCACGTACTATTCGCCTGCACGGGCTGGCACTGCGCAAGGTTCCCAGCCACAAGTGTGCCGTTCTGATCTGCCCGCCGCGTTGGCACCGTTAGCGACTCGCCTGCCGAGATCTCGTAGCGGCCCTTCATCTCCCCGGACCCGATCTCTATCGCGGCTGTGCTGCTCTCGCTGCTATTCCGTAATACAACAGTCGTCTCGTTCAGCGCGACCGTGACGTCAAAAACATTGCCCCTCCACTTCATCCCCGAGACTGTATATCCGCCCTCACCCAATTGCGGCGGCAAGCTCGGATCGAGATGAAAAGCCTCCTCGCGCGCTCTAAACCCTGTAAACCCATGCGTAAACACCTGCAAGAACCCGCCATGCCCGGTCAAGAACGGAAACGCCGGATGCGTGCCCCCGTTCTCTCTGATGTCGTCTGCTTGCTGCTCGGAGAACTGGTAATACGGTGCGCGCAGGTATGGCTGCGAGCTCGATAGAAGGTAGGTGTAGGATGCGCAGCCGGAGGGCGATAGCTCGGCTGCGTTGATAGCAAAAATAGCCCACGTCTAAACACAATCACTATAGTCAGCTCCAATTAAAGCAGATTAAAGCGCATAAAAATCTCACCATCGCTGGGCCGTCCGGACTTTGCGCCATGGCGTAAAAATCAAGATTATTCAAGCTCTGCTGAAAAGTACTACTATACTCCAGCGGATAATCCAGCATAACCACGTCAGCCTGCTTAACCTCCGCCGACCCGTTCATGCCCGAAAACTCGAGCACGATGTCCGCGCTCCGATCGACAGGGATGTATATCTTCTCCTCGACGTCCGCCCACTTTTCGTTCGCGTCCTCGCCAAGGACCGACGCCGCGCGCCGAGCCCAGTTCATGAGCTTTGCTATTCCCGCGTTCGTGAACGCACCGTTGTCGACCTGGTTTGCGTACTCGTCCGGATCAGTGATGTTGTTTAAGTAGTACGCACTGCTGTTCCCATTAGCCACCACGAGCCCCGCAAACATATCTGCAGCGTCGCGGATGATCGGCCACCCTTTACTTCTCAGCCAGTCCGTGCTGTTGCTGAGTAGGAACTGCGTCCACTGCGCCTGGGCTACGTCGACATTGATGTGATATTCATAGTCAACGCAGGGTCCAGTGGCGGTGCAGTTGCCGAAACGACCCGAGGTCCATGAGTATAGTGCGCCCGGGAGAGAGTAAGACTCTGCGTTGACGACCGACATGTTGTGAATTTTTTGGCGGTAATTTGTAATCGAGCTGGCGTGGGAAGGGTGCAGAACACTCAAAGACGGGAACATCCACGTATCGGCATCCCAGAACTTCACACTAATTAGCATCATCAAAACAGCAGAAACAAACAGACTACTTACAACCATGCCGCCATACGAATCAGAAGACAACCCCGAAACAGTAACCGAATTATCCCCCCGCCCGCCAGGTTCACTCCCGTCTCTGACCGCGCTCAACAAATGAAAAAGCGAAGCACGCACACCAATCTGCAACTCTTCCTGGTCCTCGTCGTGGAGCACTATATCGCTGTCGTCCCACAGCCGTTTCCATCCCAGACTATGATCCGCCTTTGCCAGTCGCCATCCGATCGTAGCCGCCACACGTGCCGTATAAGCTGCCGCGCGCTTGGGACTGCGATATGCGTCTGACGAGGCAATTCCAACATACTTGTGCACGGTGAACGTCTCGCCTGGATCAAGGCTGATGCGGAATTGCTGCGATACGGTGCCCGGGTAGTCTTTGATCGAATGATACCCATTACTCGTCGCGCGCGTTGAAAAATTCACACGGTTCTCGTCGCTGAATTCGAGATGCGAGTACTCGTATGCCGAAACAGATTTAAGTCCATACGGTCTCACGCCGGTCCACATGCCGGTCCCGTCGACAGACGAGAAATTCGACTCGAGATGGATGGTGCGGAACGATCCAGAGGCATCGAGCGCATCGACCACGACCACATCGGTCGCGACAACAGAGCTCATCTTCAATTGCACCATTCCCAGCGTCGGAATCTCTCGGTGTGCGATAACCTCGTACTCGAGCCATATAGCGAGCGACTCGTTTGCCCGCGGAAGCCATTTAAGCCGCGTGGTTACGACACCATCTTTCAGACTCATCGACTGTGTATAATTTTTCACCCGCGACGAGTCGACTGATCCTGGCGAATAGAGATCACCGTGCGCAGAGACAAAAAGCGAGGACCAGACCGGCACTGTCGAGATCACAGACTCGCCTCCGCGCGCGAGCAGTTCCGGGTAGTTTGTCGCCGTCGTATTTTCCTGTAAATCGTAGAACCCCGCGACGTAAGCTCCAGTAAACCGGGGCTGGAAAAGCGGCCACCCGTTCGTCTCGCTTCCGTCGTCATCAGAGTCTGACTTTGAGGCGGCCGAGTCGGCGATGAAGCCGGTTCCCTCGACAGGAAGCCGGATGCCGATGTAGCCATTCGAGACATAGGGCTGGATCTGGTAGCGGTTTTCGGCAAACCGCGAGGTGGACAATGTCCATGAGTGTGTGTCATAGGATGAATTGCCGGTGACGGCGTCGACTGTATCCGAATCTGACAAAAGCTGGGTCTGCAGCAGGCGCGAGAGGTCAGCGCGAACAGAGTGCGGCAGCAGGAGCAGCAGTAGCGCGAACAGCGCGGGGGGAGACATAGCTAACGGCCGCATGATTCCCGGACTGTCATAATTTGGTTTACGAGCAGGTATGATAAGAGCAATACAGAGGAAAGAAGAGAAAGAAATCAGAAAGAGATATCAGAACGGTTTGTGGAGGAAGGAATGCGGTTTGCAGTTTTCTGTCATTCGGACATTTTGGTTGCAGCAACTTTGCAAACTCCCAACGGTGCCGAGCCGAGAAGAGAAAGTGAAGAGCAGAGCAGACAACGACGACGTCTACGGTTTACGGTAGCGAGCAAAGAAGCGTTTGCAGACGAGCTGGTTTGTATAGCTGATCTACGGATATTATACCGCGGTGTAAATATAGGTGGAATTACATCATGGATGGGGCGCGGGGGCGGGGTTTCTGTAAATAGGACGCGATATAAGAGATAGCCAGCACAGCGCTGATCCGACGGTATCTGGGCCGGTAGCAGGTACAGGCCAAGTACCCAGACGGTGCGTGCGATAATGAATCTATTTAAACAGGATTAGGACGACCGAGTAGATTGACCACTGTGACGATTAGTGGACTGTCTGGGACCCGAGTAATCGAGACCCCCTTGCGTCGACGTCACGTCACTGCGCTCTGCTGACGTTCAGTGATCTCGATAGTCCACGTATTAGTCTGAATGGACTAACTGGATTCGAGGTCTCAGCATCGCAGCTGTCCTCTGATCGCAGCGCAGGGGAGACATCCATCTGAGTCTTCTTCACGTATTCGCTGCCTTGTTATCCACGTAACTCATCTATTTAGTATCGTATGCGCGCAGACGCACTATATCCTATATCTCCCGTCCGCACTCTCCTGTTTCCCGTCCGCAGGCTATTCTACGTCTTCGCACCGAGATCTGACTCGCCACTCGCGAGCTAGCCGCAGAGATCCACTCGTCCCCTTGACTGCTCTCCACTAGGAAGCCCGAGGTTCGCGATTGCTTGCATAGAAAGCATACCAACGACCCGCCAGAGTGGCTCTCGACTAGGCTCCGGTCCCAGAGTACTGATCACCGCCAGCACCACGGCGATCATATTTAACAGATACCACTACCGATATCTCTTCATCCATGCCATCTCCATTTACAATAGAACCCAAAGAGCCGTGTAATCGCGTAGCAGCAGAAGCAGAGCAGAAGCAGATGGTAAGGAGGAAGGGGGTTTGTGTGAGCGGCGAGTCACGGGAATCGCTCGCTCACGCGCCTTCCTCTGACTTCTTTCTATCACTCGCCTCCACCTCACTTGCTCCTACTCCTCCACAGTTATCCCATCCTATCCAATCCCCCTCCCCCCAGTAACTGCTCATCCCATCAATTATCCCCTTCTCCATCCAATCACCCCTCCTTCACCTGCAATGGTCGCCCTAACATCAGCAGCGTCCCTCCTGGCGCTGCTCGACGAGCCGGATCAGTCTCTCCAGGTATACGCGCTCGAACAGCTCAACGCCATCGTCGCCGAATTCTGGGCGGAAATCACCGATCAGGTCTCTAGAATGTGAATGCCCCTCTGTCGCTGTTATGTGCTTTTGATTCATGCTGTTGATCTCCTGTTGATCTACACCGCATTGTCATCTTTGTTGATTGAACCCTTCGCTTACACATCTCAATAGTGAGGAGCTATATGAAAACGAACGGTTTCCGCAGCGAAAACTGGCTGCCCTAGTCGCCTCAAAGGTTTGACTTTATCTTTGCACTCCGCTCTGGTAGCATTCTTCCTAACACTTACCAGGTCTACTATAACCTCGGCGAATTCGTGCAGTCAATGCAGTTCGCTCTTGCCGCGGGCGATCTCTTTGACTTGTCTGTCAAGAACGAATACGTCGAAACCATAGTCTGTACGTCGCCATCCCTCATCTCCGACTCTCTATCTCATTGACTCTTATTAATCCAATCACAGCGAAATGCATCGACTCTTACATTCGAAGCTCACAAGTTGCTTTCGATTCTCAGCAGAAGGGCGCAAAGGACGTCAGCCCCGTCGATCCAAACCTCGTCGACGTCGTCGAGCGAATGTTCTCTAGATGCATCGAAGAGGGCGAATACAAACACGTACGAAACCCCGCTTTCCCCTCAATTTCCCTCAATTACTCTACATGCTGACTTCCTCATAGGCCATCGGCGTTGCTTTGGAAGCTCGACGACTCGACACTATCGAAGCTTGCATCAACAGCGCTTTCCAAGGCGGTGCAAAGGGATCCAAGGCCGACGGCTCCAACGGTCTTACTGATGATTCGAAACAGGCCGAGGCTGCGGGAGCCGAGCTGATAAATTACGTCTTCGAAGCCTCCATGTCGCTTGTTTCAAACAAGCGCTGGCGCGATGTCGTACGTGATCTACCTACTTGTTTACCTATCTCATTTGCAGTAGCTAATCTTTGACATTCTAGGTCCTCAACCGAATGGTCCTTTTGGTCACGAAGCTTCAAAACCCCGACTACTTTACAATCACAAAGATTCTCGTGCATCTCAATGACGCTGACAAGGCCGGTGAGCTTCTCGTCAAGCTTCTGGTTGAAAACACCGAATCTTCGCTCCTGATAGCCTACCAGATCGCCTTTGATCTCGTATCGTCGACGTCGCAGCAGTTCCTCTCAAAGGTAGTGCAGACTGTCCAGGCCTCAAACGCCCCCGGCGCGGCCCAGACACTCAAGATCCTGAGCGGTGTTCCGACGCTCGATATCGAGCTCACCTTCTTGCATGACAACAACAAAACAGATCTGCTGATTCTCAACAAAACCAAGGAGACCCTCGACGGCCGAAGCTCGATGTTCCACAACGCCGTTTCGCTCGAGAATGCGTTCCTGCACTCTGGCACCGCCGTCGACGCCTTTTTCAGAGAGAACCTGGACTTTGTCTCGAAGGCGTCTAACTGGAGCAAGTTTTCAGCTACCGCAGCGCTTGGTGTGATCCACCGCGGAAACCTCTCCCAGGGCATGAACCTCCTCAAGCCGTATCTCCCTGGCGAGGCCGCTGCGTCGTCACCCGCAAACTCAAAGTACTCGCAGGGTGGATCGCTTTATGCCCTCGGTCTTGTCTTTGCCGGCCACGGTAAGGACGTGCTCGAGTTTTTGCGCAAGAATATTCGTGACGGAAGTAGTAGCGGCGGTCAGGAAGGTGAGGTTGTGCAGCATGGTGCAGCGCTCGGTGTCGGTGTTGCTGGAATGGCAACCTGCGACGAGGATATCTACGAGGACCTGAAAAACATTTTGTTTTCCGACTCGGCCATCGCTGGAGAAGCGGCAGGACTTGCTATGGGTCTTGTCATGCTCGGTTCGGGCGACGAGAAGGCGCTCGAGGAGATGATTCAGTATGCGCACGAGACTCAGCACGAGAAGATTATCCGTGGACTGGCTGTCGGAGTTGCGCTACTGATGTATGGCCGTGAGGAAGCAGCCGATGGCTTGATCGACCAGCTTCTCAAAGAAGGCGATCCCATTCTGAGATACGGTGGTGTGTTCACGATCGCGCTCGCGTACTGCGGCACGGGCAACAACGTTGCCATCAAGAGACTTTTGCATCTCGCGGTTTCGGATGTGAACGACGACGTTCGCCGAGCGGCGGTTATGTCTCTTGGATTCATCCTCTTCCGAAACCCGACCGCCGTTCCCCGGATGGTCGAGTTGCTCGCCGAGAGCTACAACCCGCATGTGCGGTACGGTGCCGCGTTCGCGCTCGGCATCTCGTGCGCGGGCACTGGACTGACGGAGGCAATCGATCTGCTCGAACCCATGCTTAAGGACCCTACCGATTTCGTGCGCCAGGGTGCGCTAATCTCGTTGGCGATGATTTTCATCCAGCAAAACGAAAAGACATCGCCAAAGGTTGAGTCTGCGCGCAAGGCGTTTGCCAAGGTTATTTCGGAGAAGCACGAGGACGCGATGGCCAAGTTTGGTGCGGCGCTTGCGCAGGGAATCATCGATGCCGGCGGCCGAAACGTGTCCATCAGTCTTGAGAACCGGCAGACGGGGACTTTGAACATGAAGGCGATCGTCGGACTGGCGGTTTTCTTGCAGTTCTGGTACTGGTTCCCGCTGACGTGTTTCCTGTCGCTGTCGTTCACGCCGACGGCGATCGTGGGCGTCCGGTCTGATCTCAAGATCCCCGAGTTTTCGTTTTTCTGCAACGCCAAGCCGAGCAGGTTCGACTACCCGCCCAAGACGGAGGAGGCGACGAGCAAGGCGCCCGAGAAGGTGGAGACTGCGGTTCTTTCGACGACTGCGCGGGCCAAGGCGCGGGCGAAGAAGTCTGAGAAGGAGAAGGCTGAGGCGGAGATGAAGATCGACGGCGGCGAGGCGGCGGCGGCGGCTGCTGCGTCGACCCCTGCGGCGAGCGGCGAGGACAAGATGGAGGTCGACGCGGAAGAGGAAGATGCGGAAGAAGAAGAGGAGGAGGAGGAAGAGGAGGAGTTTGACGAGGCAGTTGCGAACGAGGAAGTCGAGGACAAGAAAGACATCAAGGGCTACAAGATCAGCAACATGTCGCGCGTTCTCCCCGCGCAGCTCAAGTACATCTCCTTCTCGCGCGACGAGCGCTTCACGCCCGTCAAGAAGTTCCGGTCGTCAGGCGGCATTCTTGTGGTGAAGGACGGCAAGGGCCTGCGCGCGAAGACGGAGTTCATCAAGACTATCCGGGAGAGGAATCTGCCGCCGGACGAGCAGGGCGAGGACGAGGAGGCGCCGGTGCCGGAGGAGTTTGACTATGAGACTGATACGGAGTTGTAAGTAAAGCTGTAAGAGTATACTTGGTTGCATTTCTGTGTGATGCTCTAGTGTTTGTGCCGTCCTCTTTATTGTCCAGTGTCGTTTGTTTTTGTCACGTACTCATTTCTTCTAAAAACTGTCATATACAACTTGTATAAATTTCCGATTTCACATCACATTAGGCATAACTCATTCTCTACACATCTCTAAACGCCAACATCTTCCACTGCTCAGCCGGCCCCTGCGTCTCATACAACGCGATCCTGCCACCATGCCACACCTTCTCCTTCACCGCCTCCGCGACCAACTTCTCGCTCAGCTCGATCTGCTTGTCGGTAAGCGGCCACTGATCGATATACGCGAGGCTGATGTGCGGGTCATACTCCTGCTCGGCCCATTCGGCGGCGACTTGATCCGGGCGCGCGACCGCGCGCGGGTCGGTCTGGTAGGGACACACGAAGCGTTCGCGGACCGAGCGCGCGAGAAGGACGAGGTCGGGCGCTTTGAGGATGCGGAGGAAGATTTTCTTGAAGTAAGCGGGGCCAAAGTCCACGCCGGTAACTTCGATTCTCAGCCGGGGTGATGATGGGGATGAGGAGGAGGGGGAGAATAGCGAGGCGGCGTAGGCGACGACGGAGTCGGGGTCTGTGGTGGTGGGGATGTTGCTGGTGATTGTGATGTGGGGTTTGAAATGCGGGGGGGTGATTGGGACTGAGGAGTCGGAAGGAGCGGGCGCGATGGCGACGACGGAGTCGGAGAGAGAGGATATTAGGTCGGTGAGGATGGATTCGATGGAGGAGCCCGCGGGCGGGGAGAGCCAGAGAGAGAGACCTAGATCGTCGGAGGAGTTATTACCTATCGTTGCTGTGGCGCAAAACATAAGCACTAGACAAATATAGAAAAAGAAGAAGAAGGACAGTTCGTACCTGGCATTCTGGTGGTTTGCAGTCGGTGAAGTGGTGTCGAAGAAAAGGTGGGTTGAAGGCGGGGAGGAAGTCGAGGTGTTTGCTCCCAGTTTGGTGTAGTTATCTGATCCAGTCTTGCCCACTACAGCGATTTACCAATTCCTGTACAAAACACTCAATTGATTGAGAACTATTTATATAAGCTCTTTGATAGCGAGTGTATTTAAATGAGACATGTATACACGCGTGGTGGGGTATATAGGCTTAAACGAGAGGGCAAGTATATTGTTACTAAGTACTTACATAACACATAAAAAGATAGTTTGACGTTGTTGAGTGCAGGTTTTGATTAAGCTGCGATTTGGATTCATTCACTCACATCATCATCAGCAGCAGAATTCATCGGCATTGCAAAACTTATAGATTTCGCATCGACAGTCTGTAAAGTGATTGTCAAACACGGACGATAACAAAACAATTCATACAGGACAAGATGGACTTACAGATCCAAGATCCCTTACTCTGCGACTCCCTTGCGTTGATCAGTTCAATCCGCGACCTAAGTTCACGAGCGTTCGAGCTTTTAGGAGAGCTATCCCACGCATCACAAGCTGCGGCCGCCGCACTTCCGTCGCCGGAAGCTGATGTTCATGATGAGCAGGGAGAGAATGAGGAAGTCAAGAAAGAGGTGAAAGAGGAGGAAGGACAAGAGACACAGATGGAAGTCGACGCTTCTATGACACCACCACCACCAGCAGACCCGCACACGCACGCGCTCGAATGTGAATTCGCATCGCTGTATAAACCCCTGCTTGCGAAAACGATCCGCACCAGACAAGTGAGCAGAGCGCATTTGCTCGCGCTGCAGAACGCAAAGGGCAAGATCGCGCAGCGGCGCGAGGAGGTCGATCGGTTGCAGCTGGAGTTGCAGAACTCGTATTATCGGCAGCGGTATTTGAAGAAGGAGATTGAGCTCTGCATGGACTTTCGGTGGGTTGTAATGGTGTAGTGACTTGGTGAAGCTGGGCATGGCTAATTGATATTTAGATCGTCGCATTTGGACATTGACTTTGTGCCGATCGAGGAGTTTCTCACAGACCATCCGGAGTACACAATGTCTTCCGACTCCAGCACCGCAGCGCAATCCGACATTGAAATGGAAGACAGCACGCCCGAAACCCCCGCCGCCACGGAGGATCCCCCAACTACAACCACCACACCATCTCCCCCGACCGCCACCGCTCCACGCGCGCTATCCGAGCACGAGCTGATTATCGCCAGACTAGAAGACGAACGCGCGCGTCGACTACTGCTGGAAGAGCGGAAGAAAGCGCTGATAGCGCGGAAATCCGACCTGACAAAGGAAAACTCGAAGCGGAAGAATGATTTGGAGAATTTGGATGCCCAGCTGAGCAGGTTTATCGAGGTATTGCTTCATTACTGGTTTTTAGTTATATTGATTATGAGACTAATGATGGTTTATAGAGCGCTACTCCGATCCAAAAGGTCCTGGAAAAGTAATATTCGAGATAATTAGAGAATATGGAAATATCAGACAGTAAAAGCTTTAAACTCTAAATGCGAGGCGATGACGCAGGCAAATAAAGTTTAGAGTAGACACATATGTGGCCTCTCGTCGCGTCTTCCTCATTTAGATCATCCCACGTCCTGATTCACACAGTCATCGTCTTGTCAATTCAACAGTACCTGACCTACAAGAGAACACAATGGTATACACTCACGTTTGCTGCTACTGATTGAGAAGAGAGCTAGAGGCTAACGAGCTGGATCGAAAGGTGCAAACGCCAACGCAAAGGATAGCGAACCAGAAATACGCAAAGCGCGAGGAGCGAAAGAAAGGAAAGCCAGAATCCGCGTATCGCAAGAAGAACGCGGCGGCTGAGAAACCTCCTGTATCGTGGGGATGGGTTTGTACGTGTTTTCTTCTGCTGTGGCAATTTAGCGAGAGAGAGAGCGAGTGTGAGTGTATGGGCTAACCTGGACATCTAGATCTCTTTGGATTCCTGATTGCGGGCGGAATCGTGCTGCAGCTGATTAGCATGTTTTTCGGGCCGAAGCAGTAATTTTAGATAGTTTGAAAAAAAAGCTATTGTCTGTTTCGCCTCTTCCTTCTGGAGTTTCTCTTTACGATATTTTACTTTTGTAATGGTGTGTGGTATTGATGGGTTCATGTACTTGTAACTATGACTACTCTTGGAATTCTACTTTTTCTTGACACTCAGCTTATTTGGCTTGCAGTTTAAAGCAAATGTCTGGTTCAAGTGATTTATTGACGTACTGCACACGGACGACGTGCATCAGGAGATTTCCAGATTTTCAAAACACGAAAGCCGAGCAGATACTGCCAGGAATCTTGTACACAATGACGAATTTCTTTTGAACCATGACCGGCAAGAGCTTTGTAGATAATGCTGGGGACTATTGTAGCATATACATTGTTCAGCTTCGATGCTAACGGGTGAAGCTTGTAATGTCGACGCGCATGCCTTTGTGTTTGCGATTGCGTTTTATGAGTGGTGAGGTGTTTGAGCAGGTTTATTTGTGAGTTCAGTAGCTATCATAATCTCTCTGTACGAAATGTTGAGTAGGTTGTTCCCTCTTCAACATAAAAGGCAGGGAGAACATGCAAGAGCTGTGACGTCTGCAGCAAATTTAGAAGAGCACCTCCTATAGCACTTCCATACAGAAACGCCATATATAGTACAACCTCTTTAAATAGGGGTCTGATGTATGATAGAGGGCTTGGCTAGAAATAAACAAGCGTCGCAAGAAGTATCGGATGGATACAGAAGGAAGTACAGCAAAGCCCTACAAACCCTACACAAATTATAGAATGATAACCAAGAGATCTGGGATTTTGAAACTTTTGTAGATTATATATTAACATAACACTCTAGAGCAAAGATGAACTGGACATTGACAAGCAAAGTATAGAAACAGTTGAATGAGTCGTTTAAAGGCAGTCGAAAGGGCGGGTGCGAGAGGGATCTGTGGGGTTGGCGAGCCGCACTGGAGAACTCAATTTTATGGACTTACAACCTGTGTTTATGCCTGGATCATGATATTCGTCATGTTTTATTTATTTTAACTGAACAGTATTTATAGTGAATTCTAAAGACTTATCGTCAAGATGTGTATGTGAGGTCTGTATCCTAAATTTAGGAAGGTGTCGTGGGTGAGGAGGGCCTGGACTGGTGTAGGGTCGTTAAAGTTTCTGTTCCGGCCAGCAGGTTGCTGTTTTTCTTGCGCGGCCGGGTTCCATATACACGATAAAACTGCGGAAACAGCAACAATGTCGTTGGAACGTATATACATAACAAGAGTACGTATGATTTACCAGACTAGATGGCAAGATACTTACTAACAATTGATGAACAAACAGCACGGATACCGTTCAAACTGGATCGAAGACGTGCCAATCCCGCCTCCGCCGACGGGAATCGACGGCGACTTTGTTCTTTCGGCGCACGGCGAGGAACAAGCTATCGAGCTGGCTGATTACCTAGCGACAGTTGAGCCGAAGATTGAGAGGATATATTGCTCGCCGTTTTATCGGTGCTTGCAGACGGTGGATGAGTTGGCTAAGCGATTGGATGTGCCGATTTGGCCGGAGAATGGTGTAGGGTGTGTGCTCTCTTTTATTTTTTTGGTTTGTTTGTTTGTTTGTTTTGTTTGGTGGATACTAACTGGTGTAGGGAGTGGTATGGGGTGACTAGAGCTACCCACCCGGTTCGTATGTGATTCCGCGTGGTTTTCATGAGGTTTGGGAAGAAGGTAGGGAAGAAAAGGAAGGAGCTGACTGGTTTTGTGTAGCCGCGACGGTCGAGACTCTGCACAAATTCTTTCCCCTGGTGGATAAAGAGTACACGCCAATGATTGTGCCGTCATCGAACGGCGAGACCAAAGACGAGCTTCACGCGCGAGCAGCAGAGGCACTGCGACAGATAATCGAGCGCGCAAACAAAGACGGGATCCGCGCGCTGCTGATCTGCTCGCACGCCGCGACTCTGATTGCCATCGGCCGCGCACTGACGGGAAACTCCGGGTTCGAGGTGCGGACGGGCGTCAGTTCGGTGGGCGAGTATGCGGCGAAGGGGGATGATGGGAATGGGGTCGGGAAGTGGACGTGTGTGCGCAATGGCGATGCGGGACATCTGAGCCAGGGCGAGGAGCGACACTGGGATTTCGGTGAGTCTTTCTTCTTATCTGGGATGGTCTATGTTTGTGGCGATGCTAACAGGAGATGCAGAGGCGGGCAACTACGACTTTCTGGATGTGCAGGCGCACAAGTCGAGTATTGCGTGAGCTGGTGGTTTGCTGTGAGGTGAGGATGATGACGGTGATGATAATGTCTTATAGAGACACTTAGAGCTGCTGGATGGTAGATACAATACAATGATCTTGCTTGAATGCTTGACTACAGGCCCTAATGACCACAACCCATCAACTCTCACTTACTTCCTCTCTTAACTCATCTCATCGACCCGTGGCGCATTGCGGGCTGAAGCAGGCTGAAGCAGGCTGAGCGGGCTGAGCAGCGGGTGGCTTACAATAGTCGGGATTACATCAGCATCGTGCGGCGTTCGGCGGTGGTGGCGACCGTTCTCTTGCACCATTTGCTTCGCCAACACGCAAGCCACAGCGGGTTTGTAGATGTTGCTGTAATAGTTGCAGTTTTGCAGAAATATAATAGAGATTCTGTAGTGTTGATTATCTCCTATTCTTCTCACTATATCCTCCTTTTCCCCTTCTCTCTACCTCAACTGCAGCCACGGCACTCCTCCTCTCCTCATTACATAATCTCCTATCTGCCGCCCTCTGGTTGGCTGCTGCCCCCATCAAATGTGGCGTGCAAGCACGCAATAGTGGCTTGTGCGTGGCTGGTACGCTTTTAGGGTTTGTGCGCGCCTCAAAAGTTTTCAGGCTTTGCCAAATTTTGTTTTTCTTCCCCGCTGCTCCTCTTCTTCTCTTCACCACCTTCTCTCCTCCTCCCCATCCCCGTCCCTCTCCAAGCTGCAATGGCTCCTCCTGCTGGATACGTCTCTACCCGCGAGGATGCCGGTATGTCCCTCATCTTCATCTCCTTCTTCCGCCTCTAACTCCTCCAGCCGCCCGCGTGGCTTTCCTCTTCTCCGACATCGTCCTCTCCGTCCAACCCTCCCTCCAGTCGACAGAGCTGGGCTTCAATGCTTCTCTCTCTCGCATGGTCCGCCAGAAGCAGCGTGGTCTTGTTGCTCGCCGCGGCACCTTCCCTACCGTACGTCTTCCTGCTTCCTCCTTCTCTCTTCTCTCCTCCCCACCTCTCACCACACCTATCTAACTCTCCCCAGGTCCGCAGCCTGCGCTACAACGCCGACCCCTTCGCCGCGGCCCTCGACGAACTCGCCTCAAACACCTTCGTCTCAATCACCGCTCCCTCCGTCTCCGTCCCCGCGGCCGTCCCCCTCCTCGCCAAGCTCGCGCGCTTCCCCGTCGTCATCCATGTCTCCATGAGCCGCGCGTTCCCCGACTACGCTGAGATTACCGCCCTCCGCCAACTCGGCTTCACCGTCCTGCAGTCCTTCTCTCTCGTCGAGGCCCAGGATATGGCCATCGCCGCCCACATCCTCGCCATCCGCACCGGCAAGGCCGTTCTCCACTTCTTCCACCAGAACCCCGCCGCGCCCGAGGAGTCCCCCGTCCCCGTCGAGGACGTCTCCGTCATCGAGCGCGTCTTTGACCGCAACTCCCTCATCCGTCCCGACCACTCCGGCAACCCCGTCGGCCGCAACATCTACTGGAACGACGCCGCCGGTGTCCCCTTCGACGCAAAGTCCGGCACCGCAGAGACAACCCTGCCCACCGCCGACGACCTCGTCCGCGAGACCGAGACAACCTTCGAGCTTGTCCGCACTGCCACCGGCCGCTCATACAAGGCCTTCGACTACCACGGCGCCGGAAACGCAGACACCGCCCTCCTTATCTTTGGCTCCTCTGCGCAGCAATTCATCTCCACCATCGCCTCCGCCGGATGGGGAGAGGTCTACTCAAAGGTCGGCGTCGTCACAGTCCGCGTCTACCGCCCGTGGTCTGGCTCGCGCTTGCTCTCCGTCTTGCCGAAGTCCGTCAAGCGCCTCGGCGTTCTCGAGCAGCTTCACCGTCAGACCACAAAATGGGGTCCCGTCCTGCTCGACGTCATCTCCTCCCTCAACCAGGACCTTACTAAGCCCTCGCCCATCCCCGTCGTCGTCGGCTACACTCTCGGCTTCCTTGACGAGAAGACTATCGTCCAGGCTCTGCGCGGTATAATCCAAAACATCCAGTCCGAGGCTCCCATCCAGAACCTCCTCGTTGGCAGCCAGCCCTCGCATTCCGTTGATTCGGCCTTCGCCCTCAAGCTCCCCGAGCTCGAGACCGCTTACTCAAAAATGCTCTACAACGTCTTTGGCGACAAGCTCTCCGTCCTCAACGCCCTCGACAAGGAGGACGCCGGAATCGCAAAGACCATCAGCGGTAACCCCGAATACGGCTTTGGTGCCTACCTCGCCCGCGAGGAGGAGCTCAAGGCTTACATCGCCAAGCTCACCTCTGCCGTCAAGGAGGGCGTCCTCTCTGCCGAAACCTCCGAGCTCGTCTCGCGCTGGCTGCTTCTTAACTCGGAGAGCTCTCCCAAGATCGCCGAGACCACGACAAAGCTCATTGCCCAGCTCGAGTCGGAGTCCTCTGAGGTCGCTGCCGACCTGCTCAAGGACAAGGCTCTGCTTTCGCCCAGCAGCTCGTGGATCATTGGATCTGATGCCTGGGCCTTTGACCTTGGCTCTTCGGGTGTTCACCACGTCATTGCCTCGGGCAAGAACGTCAACATGCTCATCATCGAGTCCGAGCCCTTTACCGCTCGTGCGGCGGCCGATGCTTCGCGCAGAAAGAAAGATATCGGTCTCTACGCCATGAACTACGGAAACTCGTACGTCGCTTCCGTCGCTGTCTACTCGTCCTACTCGCAGGCACTGCAGGCCTTCATCGAGGCCGACAAGTTCGACGGCCCGTCGATCGTCGTCGCCTACCTTCCCTACAAGGAGGAAACCGACTCGCCTCTGTCCGTCTTGCAGGAGACAAAGAAGGCCGTCGACACTGGATACTGGCCTCTCTACCGCTGGGACCCCAAGACTGCCACCGACGAGGGTCTTCCCCGCTTCGAGCTCGACTCGAACGCGCTCAAGAGGGAGCTCAAGGAGTTTCTCTCGCGCGAGAACCACCTCTCGCAGGTCGCTCGTCGCACTCCCGTCTTTGGCGAGAGCATCTCGGGATCCTATGGCTCTGAGGTCCGCAGCCAGCAGCAGGCCAAGGCAAAGGACGCCTACGCAAAGCTCCTCGAGGGACTCACCGGACCTCCTCTTACTATCCTCTTTGCTTCCGACGGTGGCACGGCCGAGACCGTTGCTAAGCGTCTTGCGCGCCGTGGAAAGGGCCGCGGACTCGGTGCCGTCGCGATGGCGATGGACGATTTCCCGATCGAGGATCTTGGTGCTGAGGAGAACCTTGTCATCATCACCTCGACCGCCGGCCAGGGAGAGTTCCCCCAGAACGGTCGCAACTTCTGGGAGGCTATCAAGACCTCGACCGACCTTGATCTTGCGAACGTGAACTACGCCATCTTTGGATTGGGAGACAGCCACTACTGGCCGCGAAAGCAGGACAAGATCTACTACAACAAGCCGTCGAAGGACATTGCTCACCGATTTGAGATCTTGGGCGGTAAGGTGCTTGTCCCGCTTGCCCTAGGTGACGATCAGGATCCGGATGGATACTCGACTGCCTACAACCCCTGGGAGACTGCCTTGTGGACCTCTCTTGGTGTCGACGGCGTTGGCGCTAACGTTGACGAGCCGCCACCAATCACGAACGAGGACATCAAGATCAACTCGAACTACCTCCGCGGCACGATCGTCGAGGGACTTAACGACGAGTCCACCGGTGCTATCTCGGCCGAGGATGCGCAGCTGACAAAGTTCCACGGTACCTACATGCAGGACGACCGCGACATCCGCGAGACCCGCAAGGCCGCCGGCCAGGAGCCCGCGTACTCGTTCATGATCCGCGTGAGATTGCCGGGCAGTGTCTCGACACCTGCGCAGTGGCTCGCGATTGACGACCTCGCTGATACCAACGGAAACCACACGTTCAAGCTGACTACTCGTGGAACTTACCAGTTGCACGGAGTTATCAAGAAGAAGCTCAAGCCTACCATTAAGGCGATCAACGTTGCGCTGATGGACACCATTGCCGCTTGCGGTGATGTCAACCGAAACGTGATGTGTGCTGCTCTTCCGTACAACAACGCGCTTCACAAGGAGCTCTCGACATGGGCTACCAAGATCAGCAACCACTTGCTGCCCAAGACGACTGCGTACCATGAGATCTGGTTGACCGACGACAACGACAAGAAGACTCTTGTTGCTGGCGATGCTGTTGTTGACTTTGAGCCCCTGTATGGCCCCACCTACTTGCCGCGAAAGTTCAAGATTGCGATTGCGTGCCCGCCTTACAACGACATTGACGTGTACGCGAACGATGTTGGTTTGATTGCGATCGTCGACGATGACGGCAAGCTTGCCGGATTCAACGTGCTTGCTGGTGGTGGTATGGGAACCACTCACAACAACAAGAAGACGTACCCGAGAACTGGTTCGACTTTTGGATTCGTGACGCCTGAGAACGTTGTGCTTGCGTGCGAGAAGATCATGTTGGTGCAGCGGGACTTTGGTGACCGCAAGGACCGTAAGCACGCGCGTCTAAAATACACGATCGACACTCTTGGAGTCGATGTGTTTAAGGGCAAGGTCGAGGAGTTGTTGGGATTCAAGTTTGATGAGCCGCGGGAGTTCACCTTTGAGTCCAACATTGATCACTTTGGCTGGACCAAGGACGAGCGTGGTTTGAACCACTACACGATGTTTATCGAGAACGGTCGTATTGAGAACACGCCGGAGCACCCGATGAAGGACGGTCTGCGGGAGATTGCAAAGGTTATGGAGGGCGAGGCTGGATTCCGATTGACCGGAAACCAGCACGTTATTCTGTCGTCGATCAGCGACGAGCAGAAGCCCAAGATCGAGAAGATGATGTCGGACTACAAGCTCGACAACTTGCAGCACTCTGCGCTGCGACTGTCGTCGTCGGCCTGCGTCGCGTTCCCTACTTGCGGTCTCGCGATGGCGGAGTCGGAGCGGTACTTGCCTATCTTTGTGACGAAGCTGGAAGCGTACCTCGAAACTCTTGGCCTGCGCCACGATTCGGTTATTCTCCGCATGACTGGTTGCCCGAACGGTTGTGCGCGACCGTGGTTGGCTGAGGTTGCTTTGGTCGGTAAGGCATATGGTGTGTACAACCTTATGCTTGGTGGTGGATACCACGGCCAGCGGTTGAACAAGCTGTACCGGTCGTCGATCAACGAGACCCAGGCGCTCGATATCCTGAAGCCGATGTTTAAGCGCTGGTCGGAGGAGCGCGAGGAGGGCGAGCACTTTGGAGATTTCATCATCAGAGTTGGAATTATCAAGCCGACTTTGTCTGGCATGACTTTCCACGACGATGTTCCGGAGGAGGAGTAAGAGATGAAAATCAAGAATTAGAGCAGAGAGAAAGTTGAGAAAAAAGAATCTATGTTGTTGAATTTGTTGGTCTCATGATGATTTTATGTTAATAATATAATTACAGAGAAAATCTTTGTAATGTTTTGGTATATCTTGAATATTGTTGTTTTGTGTTTGTTGTTAAAATGTACAGATTTTTGATCATAAACAGAGAAAATATTAGTAATCGATTAGGAAGACAGAAACCTAAAAATATGAAGTAACTTTGCTGAGCCGAGTCTGAACGGAGTCCGATATCTTCTACCCGAGAAGTGTTTACGGTAGATCACCACAATGCAGCGGACATTATCAACAAGGAGAGCAGCAGAAGGCGTATTATCATCTACGTCAATGCTGATACGGACAGTTGAGGGAAGAGGGTCTGGGATGAGGATGCGGATGATCAAGATGAGAAGTGAACGAGAAGTGATCCCGACTCGAGCGTTCAGTGTATCTCGGTCTTCGTTGTTCAGAAACTCGCGATTGTCGCTGGCAGAAGCGAGCTCTCCGGATGCTAGCGGGATGAAACCCATCAAGCCATTCGTACGTAATCCTACTACTTTTCAATATCTTCTCTACTGCGCTGGGAGAGTAAGTTGGACGGACGTGCAGCTGCTGACGGTGTTTGGAATGAACTAGGGATCCTCGCCATGGTGGCCGATTGTGAAGGTGTATCTCTACGGATCGCTGGTGTATATGACGTTACACTGGGCGTGGTGGAAACTAGAGTCCGATGAACTTGAAGAGCGATTATCTGGTATGTATCTGACCTGCGCTGTTTTGAGAATATATAATTGGGGTGTGCTGACCAGCGGGATTTACATTAAATAGCCAAAGAACGCATGCTAGAAGATGAATTGGTTCAAATACTGGAAGGTAGGAAAGCAGAGCTATTAAAGGAGCAGCAGTGGAAGACAGAGAAGAGAGCGAGCAGCACGCGGTCGTTTCTGCGTAAGCTGTGGCCGTGGTAGGCTGTGCTGAGCAAGCAAGCAGCGGCGGAATGATTCTATGTATATTTTGCGATTGTTTACTGGTTGTTTTTTGTATATATGAAGGAATTGTAAATCAATTAGTTAAAGTAGTTATTATGACTAAAGTAGGAAGTAGCAGCAGCAGCCGCACAGCTTTAAACTCAGCTCGTCTTCTCACGAGATTTCACCAAAAATTGCTGCCAAACCTCACCGCCATCACCAACTCCACCAGCAATGACAGGCCCGACATCAACAATACGGCGGCGCGCGCAATCCTCTCTTCTCACAGCCTTCTCTGTTCACAGATCGCCACAATGCAGATCATTCTTCGCCTTCCCCGGCACCGACTCGCAGGTGCAAAAAGTCTCCCTCACCCGCACTCTCCCATACTCGCCCTCCCTGCTCTACTCCGTCGTCTCGAACGTGGACGACTACTCCACCTTCGTGCCTTACTGCACTAGCTCTAAAATTACACAGCTCGACTCCGCCTCCGGGCAGCCGTCGCGAGCGATGCTTCGCGTCGGGTGGCAGACTTTTGAAGAGGAGTTCGAGAGCGAGCTCACGTGCGATGAGCCAAACTCCGTTATCGTATGTATCTCTCCAGCACCTCACCGGAGCCAATGCTGATATCTTGTTCTCATAGGCCGAGTCTTCAAAGCATTCTCTTTTCAAGATCCTCTACACAAGATGGCGCATCTTCCCCGTCGCCCCGACCCCCACCACATCATCCACACAGTCATCACCAACATCATCTACCTCCCAAGGCCGTCTCGTCCTCGACCTCAAATTCCAATTCGAAAGCCCTCTCTACAACGCCGTCTCTGCGCAGTTTGCGCCCGCCGTCGCCCAAATCATGATCGAAGCATTTGAAAAGCGAATGGCTACCGTACAAAGATTAAAGCTGCTCGAAGAGAATAAGCCGAAGCAGACCGGCGTCGCGGACGCCACTTCCACTACAACTTCTGCTTCTGCTGCTGTCAGTGGGGGAGGTGCGGGTACTTCTAGTAGTTAATAATAGACTGTGTTTTATGTACATTCCACGTTTATTTTGATTTGCATGGCTCCAATCTTACATCTCCATACATACGCCGTACATTATTTTCTCGTTCTCTATCAAAACAGCCAAAACCCATGCTCAAAACAAAAAAACACGAAAACATGCTCGACCTACAGATCCTCAACTTTTAGCGTCAACACCTCATCCATCTGCCTCAGCACGAAATCAACCAAATAACTCTCCTCCACCAAATCCGTCATCCGCCCGAAATGCCTCTCCGTGTACGGAATCAGCGCGTCCAGCGTCCGCTTGATGTCCTGCACCTCCAGCAGTTTCTCCGGCGGATAACTCACCAGCACCACATGCAGAATCCGCTGCGCGACCGTCGCCGTCCGCGCTTTTGTGTTCCAATCCCGCACGCGGCGGAGCAGCCGAGCAAGTTGCTCCGGCGCAAGCGACGAGAGCACGCCGTCGACCTCGCGCAGGCCGGTAACTGAACCGGGCTCGTGGTGGTCCGTCATCACCGTGCGGAAAAGGTTCAGAAGTCGCGCAGGGTGATCGAGCGAGAGCGCGAGGATGATTGCGTTTTTCCACTCCTTGCGGAAAATGAAGTTTGCCAAATCTTGCTCTTTCTCGACTAGCTCCTCTTCTTCCTCGGCTTTGCGCGCGAGCTCTTCTTCTGTGATATCGGTCCAGAACGTAATCACCGAGTCGCCGCCGCCAGACGCAAACACCTTGTCATCATTCCGGGCCGCAAGAGACCACACTTTGTCCTCGTGGTTATCCAGTGTCGCGTTGCACTCCCCGCTCTTCACATCCCACACCTTGACCAATCCATCGCCACCCGCGCTGACAACCTGCCGACCCTGGCTGATGAAGATCGATTTGAGCACAGAGTTTGTATGCCCTTCAAAAGTCTTCACGCAGGTGAAATCGCGAAGACTCCACACTTTGACCGTCTTGTCGCCACTACCAGTAACCACGAACTTGTCGTATGCCGAAAACTTCACGCTCCACACACCTCGCTTGTGCCCTCTCAGGATACCCACGACCTCGCCTTCTTCTGAATCCCAGATCTTGACCGTCCGGTCCTGCGAGGCCGTCGCAAACAGCTCGTCGTTGGGCGAGATGTCGACCGCGTTGATGTCCTTGTCGTGCGCTTTCTTCGTGTACGCCGGCTTTGCAACCTCAATTACCTCCCCTGAGCTTGACCCCTTCGCTGGCTTCGGCACCGCCCACTGCTTCACCGTCATGTCCTGCGAGCCAGTGATCATAAACCGCGGGTACCCATTATTCTGCTCCACTAATCTCGAAAGCGCAACGCCGCCGACCGACCCAAGATGTCCACGGAAAGTAGCGTAGAGTTTAAACGTATCGTCTTCAGCATTCCATCGCCATATCAGCGCAACATTATCCTTTCCCGCACTCGCCAGCCAAAGCCCGTCCGCCGACGCGTCTATCGAGATCACAATATCAGTGTGTCCGACCAGCACGCTCGACGACTGCGTCTCAACCGACACCACGCGCACTTCGGGCGAATTCGTTGCCAGAGCAAGGAACCCAGAGTTCCCAGTCTCGTCATCGACGGGCCCGACGTAGGCCAGATCGATGATTTCACCATTATTACCGCACAGCCGGCGCGCAACCGGTAAGTCTTTCGACGCCAGATCGTGCTCGATCAAGGTCTGGTCCGAGAGCACAGAGATCAGGCTCGGCCACGATGGGAAATAAAGAATCTCAGACACGCCGACTTCCTCAGTCGTGATAATTTTTTCCTGCTCCGGCGTCACTTCCTCGCCCGTCGTAGGCGACCAGAGACGGACGATGCCCTTCTCTCCACCCGTGAATATCAGCTGCTCGGTCTTCCCACTCAACGTGCCCGGTGCAAGAAAGCCGACCGTTTCGAGCTGCTCGAACGCAAGAATCGTCTTGACAAGCTTATATTTTTTCAAATCCCACACATTGACGACCTTGTCCCGTCCACCACTGATCAGCAACGACCCGTCGACGCTAAAGTCGATCCCCCGTACAACGCTAACATGTCCTTCCTCCAAAATTGCGACGCATTTCCGCTTGACTAAATCCCAAACCCGCACCTGTGTATCGTCAGACCCGGTCGCGAGCTGCCACCGCGTGCTGCCTTTCTGACCAAAAATTCGAATCGCACTGATGACCCCGGTGTGGCCGCGGAAAGTATGCGTGTTGGATCCGCCTGCGATATCCCAGACTTTGACGACGCCGTCCGCACCGCCGGTCGCGACGAGCGTCGACGTGCTGTCGATGTGCATGACGATGACGGGACCCTCGTGCGCTTTGACTGCGCGCACAAGTTTTCCTGACGGAAGAGAGAAAATTCTCATTTGCTGTGACCGCGAGCACACGACGAGAAACTGCCCGTCTGGTGAGATTGCCAGTGTAGTAACTTGCTCGGTGTCCTATACCAATGTTAGCCTCAGATCATCCACCCTACAACCTCACATAGGCCTTCGTCAATACACCCCAAACAAGCAAAGCACAGCATACCCCAGATATCTTCTGCAGCCGTTTTCCGGTCCGCAAATCAGAGATAATAACATCCTCGCCATACGCAGTCGCAAGCGTGCTCTGGTTCTCGCACACAGACGCCGCGCCGCCGGTGAAGAACGGCTCCATAGCCTCGTGCGCGAACGCGGTCTTGAGCATCGTAGCTGGAGTTGCAGAAACCATTGCTGCCTCCTTCTTCCTTCAGTTTTCTTTTTTGCACAAATATCCTGACCGTTGAACGCGGGAGAGGAATCAACAATAGAAAAATCAGAGCTCGAGCAGGATCTTTTTCTAAAAAAAAAATATTCCGAGGCTCGTTGGGAGCAATTAAGGTTTATTGCCCTAACCTGACATGATTAGTAACGGATTACGTGCGCAGAGTCAGTCTTTTCTCTTCTCCCAACACGTTCAGTTCAGAGCCGATCATCGACTGCCATCTGATCTGATTGTCTTGTTTGTCTTTGAGTCGGAGACATCTGAGACTGAATTTAATCTCGAGAAAGTCATTGAGGAACTTCGTGGTTTCGTCTGTTCTTTGATCTGTTACTGAGTTCACCTGCGTAATCCCAGCTGCTTGTCTATTACTCATATGGGTGACTTCGATTCGTTACCTTGACCTGATTTTTACAGCCTGCGTGTTTGGTCTACCTGTCTACTGTGCGGGGATCAAATATATAGAATGAAATGAAAGGATTTGTTTTTTTTTTCTTTCTTGGTTTTCCAATACGGTATCGCCGCGCGCTCTTACAAACCAAAATACAAAAACAAATCTGCTCTCTGCTAAGAAATATAGAAACGACACAATAAAAAGACAATAAACGAAAAAGTAGTAAAGCAACAAACAACTATAGTAAAGACACAATAAAAAGACAAAAAGCCAAAATAAAAACCAGAAAAATAGCAAAGCTACAAAAAACAAAACAAGAAAAGAAGAAAAGAAGAAAAGAAGAAAAGAAGAAAACAAGAAAACAAGAAAACAAGAAAACAAGAAAACAAGAAAACAAGAAAACAAGAAAACAAGGAAACAAGGAAACAAGAAAACAAGAAAACAAGAAAACAAAGAAAGAAGAAAAGAAGAAAAGAAGAAAAGAAGAAAAGAAGAAAAGAAGAAAAGAAAAAAAGAAAAAAACAACAAACAACAATACAACAATAAAACAATAAAACAATACAACATGATAGTACAGTACAGTACAGTACATGAGCACAACAGTTGTCAGCACAACACCAGAGCAGCAGATACAGAAAGACCAGAAACAGTAAGAGCGCGCATAAAGCGACTGGTGCCAGGATCGGGAAGAATGCATTACGCATACTCTCAAACAAAAGACCAAGCCCCTGCTCAAGAGTTATGTGGGACTCTGCGACTCTCTCGAAGTCGCCATACCCACTAAAACCCGACTTCACCCAGAGGACAGTTATTGACTGCCCCCGTATCGGTGGACTGTCAACGTTGCGCTTGAACCGCTTGGTCGTGCGGACTCTCTTCAACGACCGTCGCCTCGGGGCTCCCTTGCGACGGCGCGACTTACCAGCGCATGAGTTTCAGAGACGCGTCAACGAAGACGTTTTGAATCCAGTGAGCAACCTGGCTAGAGAAGAAGCTCACTAGATTGGCCGCTCTGACCAACCACGCCGATCCTGTGCGCCAGGATCGTGGCGCGTACGGGCCGACCACGCAGAGGGACCGGGCCGACAACGGTATTGCAGTTCCTTTGAGCGCACTCGCCCGGTATCTGCGCATGCGGATCGTTAACCAGTCCGCTTGGTTCGAGTTAGCTTCTCTCCCCTACCTTCTCTCGCATGCATGTCACAACGCCCACGCGTGGGAGAGCGTAACCGGACAAACTGGTCCGGCATAAGCTATTCTCAAACTTCTCGCAAAGACCTGCCAGAAGGCTGATCCTACCTGATGCGGTATATGCTAACCTCAGAGAATGCTACCTGAGATAACTATCCTCAAGAGAATGCTACCTGAACCACTCGAGCCACTTTCAGATGATGCTACCTACTGCGGTGTAGGCTGGTCTCATACAGAGAATGCCATCCGCGCGGTATAGGCTACCCTCTGAAAATGCTTCTGGAACGGTAAAGGCTACCCTCTGAGAACGCTATCTCCATGGTATAGGCTACCCTCTGAAAATGCTACCTGCACAGCATAGGCTGCTTTCTGGTGTCTCCACGAGTACCACGCGCAACGGACTGCCACAGAGCGCTGATCCTACCTGCTGCGGTATATGCTACCCTCAGAGAATGCTACCTGAGATAAGACTATCCTCAAGAGAATGCTACCTGAACCACTCGAGCCACTTTCAGATGATGCTACCTACTGCGGTGTAGGCACGTCTCATTATGAGAGTGCCGCCCGCGCGGTATAGGCTACCCTTTGAAACTGCTTTTGGAACGGTATATGCTACCCTCTGAGAACCTGGTATAGGCTACCCTCTGAGAATGCTACCTGCGCAGTATAGGCCGCTCTCTGGCGTCTCCGCGAGGTATCACGCATGCGAAAGAGGGAAGAGGATTAAAACCCACCCTATTAGCCCTCGCCCACTGTTTTTGCCGTCGAGAGAGAGAGCCGGAATGCCGATCATCTCGATCTATTGCCGGGAAATAGACCAGATAGCTGATGTGAAACGGAAGTCGGGAACCTGTCCGGGGCCTGGGGGAGGGGGAAGGGGGGGGGGGGGGGGGGGGGAGAAGAGAAGGGAGAAGAGGCGGATTCGGGCGGGCGCGCGCCTGGTGGAATGGGGTTTCTGGTTTTGGCCGAAAGTACACACGCCTGACGCGTAGGCCAGGTCGTAATTGTTTTCTGTTATGGTAGCAACTTTATACTTTGCCGGTTTATATTTGAGAGTTAAGCTGTATGACCTTGAAATCTAGATCTATGTGAAAACATCATGCGCCAATTTTAGTCATTCATTCTGGCAAGACCTGAATAATCCGTATATACATAGTTTTGCAACCTGCGGAATGAGCGACTCGAGATGGTGCATGAGTGCATGCAAAACTCGAAGAAGTATGGCTTCCATGACGACAGTGAGTTTTCAAAATTACGATGGCAAAAACTAGAGAATTTATACAATATGGCGGTTTGTGCTCTAGAGAGCAGCAAGGAGATCTCGAACGCGGTTGAGCGCGAGCTATACAGCCGGCCCTGCGCCAGATGTCGGCGGCGTGAATGAGTCCACTTATGTAACGAGACTATGGCTTGCGACGCCGGAGCTAACACCTGGCGGACCGGAATTCTACGGCTGGACTGCCCAGACGGCGCGTCCGAGCCGCGGTATGATTTGGCAAACTACTGGAACGACGTGGAGTCGATGCTGGCGTCAATTCTGGACAACAGTGATCGCGGGGTTGGAATGATAGACGAGTCACCGTTTGTGGGATTGGAGCAGTTCTTTGCGGACGGAAGGTATAACGACAGCATGTACACCCGAAGGAGGGGGAGTTATAAAAATCGGATGAATTTGAACGAGTCGGAGCAAGTGTTGCCGATGATGCATGCAAGAAAGTACGGAAGAGTCCTCTCTAACGCTTTGTTGCCCTCAACACTGCCTCTTATCTTCAGAGTGTTTTGAAACCTGCTTCATCCAGCGACAGTGTCGGGAATAGACAACTGCGAAGTATTTCGAGACTCTGTTGAGAGGAACTTTGGAAGAGCCCGTGATTAAGGTTTATAGCCCTAACCTGATATATCTGTCAATCATTAGTAATGGGTCACGTGTCAGTGTCAGTTCTCCCAACACGGATAGTGCAAAGCCGATCATCGCCTGCCATCCCGTCTTCTGGAACACGACACACACACCTTCGCTGGAGACTGAATTTAATACTGAAAAGTCATTAAAGAACTGCGGGGTGCTACTCTGTTCTTTGATCTGATATTGCATTTACCTGCATAATCCCAGCAGCTTGTCTTTTATAGAAATGGGTAACAATGGAGCTGACTCTCTTCATGGGCAACAACGGCAGCGGCAACAGCTCCAAAGCCGGACCAACTCGCCGTCGCAAAATCACGACCTGCAGATCGTGCACCATCCGTCGCGTAAAATGTGACCGCCAGCGTCCAGAGTGCTCGACCTGCAGACAGCGCGGCGATAAATGTGAATACTTCCAGCAGCCAAGTAAGCGCGAGGTGCATCAACTCTCCGGCGACAGCAGCACGAGCAGCAGCATCAGTAGACCTGTTGCTGACGACAGCCAAAAAAGCGGGTCGGACAGTATCTCAAAATCTAAACGGAAGAAAACGGCGAACGAGGACGCGGCAGCCAGCGCAGGAACAGATACAGGCATGCTGGCTGTAAATCCCGAGACCGGTGTTGCGCGCTTCGCGACCCCAGCTTTCTGGCCTCATTTTTTCCCAGACGTAAGTCTCTTTTGATCCGATTCCCAGTTAAGCTTGAATAGTTTTTGCTAACCACAAGTTATCGCGAAGATTCAAAAAGCCCAAGTTTTACGAGAAAGCGACCCCTTCGGCGTACGCCGCAGCCGCGAGAGTAGTGAATTTGTGCTGCTTCGCGAGCAGTTGCTTGCATCGTATCTTCCTGAACGAGCAACATGCGACTCGGTTTTTGAATTTTACTGTGATTGGATTCTACCATTTAGCCCGATTATCGCGCGACGGGATCTAAAAGCTCTGTACGCATCTTTTTGGCGGCAGCGGGAGCAGCAGCAGCAGCAGCAACAGCAAGCGCGACCACAACAGCAAGCACAACAGCAAGCGCAACAACAACAACCAGAGACAAAACAAGTTCACCCCCATTTCTTCGCAGTGGTATTCGCAACGCTCTACTGTGGCTCATTAGCCTTGAGTGCGAAAATGAGATATGTCCGCGGCGCACCGCGACTGCTAGACTACGACCCTCTCGAGGCCGAGATAGCGGTCTACCTACGCGCGAGCGAGTCCGCTCTTCAGATCTGCGAGTTTGCTAAACGACCCTCTTTAATTTCGCTCTTGGCAGAGGTCTGTTTGCAAACCTGCCGACCGGCCGAGACGGACACGTCGGCGACGTGTCTGATCTCGCTGTTGATTCGGGCGGCGCAGACCATGGGCTTACATCGGGATCCGGAGCTGTTCAAGGCGAGCATGAGTGAGTCAGACATGCGGCTAAGGCGGAATATCTGGTACAATCTCAAATATCTTGACCTGGTGACGGCGTTTATCTGCGGTCTTCCGCCAACGCTGAAGGATCGTGCTAACGACGTGGCGCCGCCGAAGATTGGAGATATGCTGGACGAGGACGCAATTTTTATGCTTGCATCATTATCTGTCCAGTACTCGATCTGCTCGCGAAATGAGATTACCGAGTATTTCGAGCGCTCTAAATCGTCTGAGGAGCGCTTAGAGGCAGTTCTAAACCAGATGAAGCTGTCATCGGAGCAGCATCTTGAGCACGTGCGGAAGGCCTCCTCGCTCACTTTCTCGGAGCGTTCGGAGGAGGCGGATATAGACCGCCTGCGCTGGTTGAAGGAGTACATGATATATATTACGACGACTGTGCATGAGAAGACGAAGCTGCTGTTGCTGAACTATCAATACCGACTCAAGTGCGCGTCGTTGAACGTACCACAGACCGCACCGTCAGAAGATCCGGAAGCTGCGTCGATCTGGGAGCAATCAGTGCTGTCGGGTCTACGTGTGCTCAAGTTCTGCAACTGCAAGACCTCGGAGATGGCACACCCAGAGGTGATCTGGTACGAGACGAACTACCCGCAATTCCACTCCATAATCACTGTTTTGAAGGATGTATGCTACAATCCGCACCGCAAGCTCTGGGTCACGTACGACGAAGTCCTGGAGTGCGCGGGGATGCCCCGAGAGAGGTTCGTTGAAAATATCGATGAGCGACTTGAGAGTGCGCGAGAATGTATGCAAAACTCGATAATGCTGGGATTTAACGACGACAGCGATTTTTCAAAGTCGCAATGGAAAAAACTCGAGGATTTATACGCTATGGCGCAGCGGGCACTAGAGAGCAGTAGCGAGATGTCGAGAACGAGCGCGAGCGCTACAGCCGGTTTCGTGTCTTCAGATGCCCGTACCGCGAGCGAGTCCACCGCCGCGTCGAGCCTATCGATTTCGACGCCGGAGCGAATATCCAGCTGGCCAGCAGCCTTCGGTGGGATTGCGCAAGACGGCGCGCCCGAGCCACGCTATGATTTGGCAAACTACTGGAACGACGTGGAGACTATGCTGGCGTCGGTTCTAGACAGCGAGGATCGCCGGACTGGGTTGATAGACGAGTCGCCGTTTGTGGGGATGGAGCAGTTCTTTGCGGACGGAAGGTATAACGACAGCATGTATACCTGAACGAGAGAGAGGTGTGGGGGATGTCGATAGGCGAGTCGACAACAGTCGAATGAAGTCGAATTAAGTCGGAGAGCAAGTAATGCCGATGACGCAAGCAAGTACGCAACCCCGCCAGTCTGGCAGGTCGTCCACACCTTTTTCTCGCCCTCGACGGTGCCTCGCATCTTCAGACTGTCTCGAGACTTATTTCATCTGGCGACAGCGCCGGGAATAAACAGCTTCTCAGCGTTTGTTTATTTTGTTTGCGCTGCTGGAGCAGTGCCTGGCTACAAGCTTCTCGCTTAGAAACCTATTTAGTCATGACGTAAATATGACGTAACGGAGCCAAAGTCTGTCTGCGAGAGGTTTAGCTGCTTCGATGCCGACAAAAATACAAAAAGATGTGGTAGATGTGACAGCATGGCATGTGACTACAACCAGCGCGTTGAGGAGGGACGATTCGGGGTGTGAATACGCGGGTGGGTGGGTGTGAAGCAGAATGTGATGCCGAGACGGAATCCGATTTGCTCCTCCTCGGCATGCACGGCTCACGGCTCTTGCTGCCCGAATTTTGTAAGAGTAACCAAGTACTTGCATTACTATTACACTGATACACCATCACAGCTATTACAATTATGTAGAAAATTCACCCAATGCTTCTCCGACTCTCAAATATAAAACAAAAACAACATGCATAATGCAGATGATATTAAGAATTACCATGAAAAAAAACACCACAGAAAAAACAAAAAGCACGTTTTAGGACTAGATCATATCTTCCTCCTCTTCCTCGTAAATTAATGCCAACGTTCGTCTCTCGCTGCCCATCGACGAGGCACTGCCATGTCTCCGATGGGTAGATGCAATCATACTTCTCCTCTGCTGCAGTTGTTGCTGCTGCTGTTGCTGCTGTTGCCGACTAAACACATAGTCGTTGAACGCATACGCGCTTTTCAGCGACGCATCGTGGTCGGCGGGAATGTACGACGAATGCCGTCTCGGGTTGACACCCTTGAGATTGAGCTGCGGCAGCGAGGTCGGGATATACGACGGCTCGCACTCGTCGTCCCAGAATAGCTCTTCGCCGGCGTCGGCCGCGCAGCCGAGGCTGAAGACGACAGTGCTGCTGCGTCGACTGATGCCGCTGCTGCGACGACTGTCGATACTCGACGACGAGCAGGAGGAGATCGTGCTCGCGTTCGACCGCGGCCGACGGAGAGGAAGCACGGGTTCGCGCTGGAACGGAGGCATGGCGCAGTCCATCAGCTCGGCTTCGGCGAGCGCGATCGCTTTCTCGGCCACGGCGCGCGGAACGGGCAGGCCTGCGCGGCGGAAGAGAAGATCGGTGTCGATCACGGAGCCGCCTTCCATGTCTGTGTAGTCTGATGCGTACTTGCGCACCGGGGTCTTGGACCTGCGGTGAGCGAGGCGGTGGAGGATGGAGGAGGAGGAGGAGGATGATGAAGAGGAGGAGGAGGAAGAGAGGGAAGAGAGGGAAGATGCAGAGGTGAGATCGGTTTCGTCATATTCAACTGCGATCCGTTAGAACATGTTCAGAAAACACCACAGTAGTTATAAAAAAGACATACCATAGAGCACATCAAAGACAGGGAGTTTCCGCTTCTTGACCGCATTGGCAAGCGCAGTAGTACTATTTCTCGAGATCGGCATAACCGCCGCTGGCTTGCGTCCGAACCTGCCGAGCGCGACGAGCCGATTGAGCTGCGATCTGGTTCTAACAGCCTTGCCATCAATCAAGAGACCGACGCCCGAGTTGCGGGTGAGCTGGAGTAAGGAGAGGAACGGGTCTGCGTCGGGAGAGAGGATGGGCAGGCCGGTTGTTCTTGAGAGGCTTGCGGCGTAGACCGGGGTGTGGAGGAGGTATGCGCCATTTGATACAAGTCTGATGCGGAAGAGGACGGTTTCGTGGGACGGAAGCGTTTCTTTTTCCATTTCTTGGTGAACAAAGTATTTTAACCAGACGGAAGCTCTAGGAGGTTTTAAGAGAAGGAGGGGAGAGAGAAAAAAAGGAAGATAAAGATAGATGAGGAGGAAGGGGGAGCACAGAGCCGCACAAAAGGCGCACAGGTGCGACACAAAATTGGGCCAAAAATAGCAATCTTAACAGTTAAACTTTAATCCTGCCCCTGGACCGATCTCAAACCGCTGGCTCGCTGAAACATTGTCACCACCCGCTAGAGATAATGCCGACTTTGCCTACTCCGGATTCCGAGTCGCTCCTGCAGACGCTGTGGGAAACCCACTGTGCGCTTCTGGTTGATAGCAAATGTGGTACTAGTAGCGGTAGTAAAGACGTGCAGGATGTGCAGAACGACGCGGATTACCGTGTCGCCGAACGCGCCTGGTACTGGGAGTCCCTTTCGGCAGACTCCCGTACGCAGCTCGCGCAGACGCTAAAGTCTGGTCCATTAGACGACGAGCAGAGAACTAAAGCGCGCTCAGAGTGGCTTTTGGGCGGGCTCCAATACCTTTTCAAATCACACCGCAAACGCACGGCTGTTAATACCCGACTGTCAAGTTATCCCTCATCAACCTTATAGCTTTTTTTCGCTTCTGTCTTGTTTGTTGTTATATACGAGAAGAGTGTGTCTGAATTGTGCAGTCCGGCTGGGGGATTCGCGAGAAAGCCAGCGTCATCCTTAGCACCGGAATAGTGATCCTATATCTTAGATCAGCATCAACAGATACAGCACAGTTTTTACAGCAGCAGTAGACTTACGTTTTCGTATTCTCGTCATCAGACTCTAATTCTGACGAGGAGACGAAACCATCATCGCTGTCGTCAGAAACTGGCTGAGCTTGCCCTTTCTCCTCTTCCAGTTTCTTTCTTTTCTCTACTATCTTATCGTGTAGTTCTGCTTGCTCCTCCGGAGTTCTGATAGACGTCAGCACCAAAATAGAATAAGATATGCAAACAATATAAATAATCGCGTCATACCTGTCCTTCTTCTTGTTCTTGATCTTCCAGAACTTTGCCTTTTTCTTTTCATGGCTCCTCCTCCTCTTCCTCTTCCTCGTACCTTGCCCATCAGTCCTAATCTTCTTCTTCTCGCTCGACAGAATGTTATGCTGATACACTGTCCTGCCGTACACATTTGCCAACTCGCGTGCTGCAGCCCCGACAATGCCGACCGCTTTCGCGATATCAGGCCCCGCGCCCTCGACGGTGAATGTCGGGTTGAAATCCCCTCCGTTTGCCCGCTGATTCACACGATGCACGGGATCAAACCAGTCCGTAACAAGGGCAATTGCTTGCAGGCGATTGGTTTTCTTTATGACCTTTAGTAGTTGGTAGTTCTCCATTGCTGCTGTTGGCGATGCTGCGGTGCTTGTTAGGTTGAGTTGAGTGAGTGTTAAAATCCCTTTGCTTCTCCTCCGCCCTAACCCGACACGCGTCTATTTGATATCTGATCTCGCTCGCTTCCACAGTTTTGCTGTTGAACTTGATTCTTTAGTGTATTGTAATAGCTCTGGTCAGTGAATGATTCAGAAGTGATATTATTAGTACCTACAGCTTTATAACTAAACTACGCTACGATCTACTCTCTACCACTCACATCTCTACAATGGCAGAAGACACCGACATGACGATGCAGTCATTCACGAGCACGCACGCGCCGCCTAAAATCACGTACTCGAAGAAAAACGCAGCGATAGCAGACAGACGACAGCAGCAGTCGCAGCGACTAACGAGGGCGGCAAGTGCCGGTGACGGTTCGATCTACAGAGACCAGTCAAACAAACACAGAAACGAATCAAACAAGCACGGAAACGAATCAAACAAACGACTCAGAAAGACCGAAGCAGACGCGAAGGAGCAGAATAAACGACTGAAAATGGCTGTTGAGGCGGATGCGTCTCCCTCGCCATCGCCTTCTGCGCAGTCAGAGTCGACTCCTTCGTCGCCGTCGTTCAACGAGAACCCGCTTCCGAGACGTAGACTGTTTGCCGAGCCAAAGAAGGAGCTGAAGACGGCATTGAAAGAACACGTGAACGAGACATGGACGGGAGACGGATCGAGATCACCAAAGAAAGCGAAAGCGAAGACGGTTCGGATACTGAGTCAGGGAAAAGAAGGCTCTTCAGAGCACTCGCTGTCTGCGATAGGACTGAGTCCTCCGAGAGCCACATCGACGCCGCCACGAGAGATAATAAAGAAGCAGAGCAAGAAGATCGGCGAGGGTTTGTTTGCAAAGAGTAGTCTTGGTGCAAGAAATTGAGGTCGCGAGGGAGAAGATAAACTAACGTCGAGCAGGCGACAGCGTGTTTAGGACGACGATCCCGCGGCTGGCACCAGCGGGACCAGCGAGACGAGCGAAGATGGTTGTTCACCGCGACGAGGATGACATCATTGTGAATGCACCGTTGATGAGTCTTGGGAGGTCGGAGACGACGACGAAGAGTGCAGCGACTGCAACAACCACGACGACGACCACGACAAATCGAGGGACGAGAGGACTGAGTAGTGTTGTGCAGACACGGCTGAGGACGGGGAAGAGAGCGAGACGAGGTGGTGATAATGTAGAGTAGTTGCTGTTTTTATTCTTTTGTTCTTGCTATACCCTTGCTATTCTTGCTACTATTGCAATGTTGATATTATGATATCCTTATATTCTTGATATTCTTGCAATTCTTCTCTTCTCTATTACTATCTACTCTCTCTCGACGTCATCGCGCACGCGAGCGATCAAGCCACGTCAGCGAGCACTGCGCCCGCACCGCCACGGAGATAGGAGAGCGTCCCATTTTAGGAGTCACGCGGACACCGCCACACAGTCTCTTGTTCTGGGTCGATCTTCCGGGGATCCCCCCTGTCTGCGCTGCCCCGACGGCTTCTCGCGGCTTCCCTTCGTCACTTCTGCTCCTTCTCCTCCTCCTCTTCACCGGTCCTCGATATCCTGCTGATATGGCGAACAAACCCCATCGGAGACCGAAGATGCCCATTGCCGCCGCCCAGAGACAGTGCAATGTCGCGGACGTGCTGCCGGCCCAGCAACAACAATCCTCCTCCACCCCCTCCGCGCCCATGACCCTCGCTCCCTCGCCCTCCACACTCCCTCCCGCGCCGACGCCCTCGGCCAAAGACGTCATCCGCTCGCAGTTCGACCTCGAGATCCTCCTCAAGCACCGCGAGCTCGCGGTCATCGAGGACGAGATCGCAAAGGTGCACATCATGATGCTCCAGCTGCGGCGCTGCGCCGGAAAGATGCTCGCCAACGACGACCCCGACGACTTTGCCAAACACTACGCCCAGTACCTCCTTCCTGACCGCCGCTACTCCGCGCCCGCAGACCCCTCGGCCGCAGACGCGGACAGGAGTTCCTCCACTGCCTCCTCCGCGGCTGACGCGCCCAGATCGGCGTCGCTGCTCTCGTCGCGGATCCACCTCCCGCAGTACCACTCCACCACCGTCGGCGGCAACCCGCCACCCACGGGCTGCATCTACCGTCGGCAGGACGGCATTCTCGTGCGTCTGGTGTGCTCGGACTGCTCGCGCGTGTCGTTCGGCTCCGCGCAGGGCTTCATCAACCACTGCCGCATCTCGCACTCGCGGGAGTTTTCGTCGCACGATAACGCGGCGCAGATGTGTGGAGTCGAGCTCGATGAGGAAGATCAGGATGATATCGGATTAGGTGCTTTCAGACACCGGCGGCACATGCAGCTCAGCGCCGGCGCGGTTTCGTCCTCGCCATTCTCCGCAATGGCTGCCGTCAACAACAGCAGCAGCAACAGCCGATCGTCAGTAGCAGGCAAGACAATCCCTGGATCCGTGCCTCCTTCGACACCAGCGCCAATCACCGAACCCGTGCTTGATCCGTCGACGACCTGCCAAAGCCGGACCTACGACGCCAAAAGCTTCCCGTGGGCGAAAGCAAGCACGGCAACGGCTGCAACCTCCACGCCGACGGCGTCGACGCCTGCGAGCGCAAAGGACGGGAGCGACTCTAGCTTCCTTAGTCACCCGATCACGCCTCCGAATGAGGAGGTTGGGCTCGAGCAGATCCCACGGCATGTGCCATCTGTGGATATGTCGGCAGTGGGCGTGACAGAGAAGAGCGAGAACAACAAAATGACGACAGCGGCAGCTGTACAGAGTGCACCGGCACCACAGTCACAGCCACAGCCACAGCAAACGGCGACGCCGAACGCATCACCGGAGATTCCAGCGCCAGCGACACGCCATTTATCGCGACTGCTGAAGCGGAAACAAGTGGAGATCCAAGACCTGGACGACATGGTGCGGGAGTCTGTTAAGCGGGACCCGCGGGGCCACTTGTTTGCGGGTGAATCGGATGCGTCGGACGTGGACGAGATCGAGGACGTGCTGGTGCGTAAAAAGGAGGAGATGAAGCTACCTTCGGTAGCCAAGTTCAAAAAGATGATGCAGGAGTCGATGAAGGATAGCAGTCAGCAGGGCAACGGGCAGCAGACGCGGGACCGGCCTGTGGGTAGCGGGATCCGGATTCTTGCAAACTTCAATTGATTGATATGTTTTTCGAATTTATAGCGAGGTGTTTTATTATTATTATTTATATCTATTTATTAGTGTTGTTGTTGTTATAACTCTACTCACGAAAGATTACAGTAGTATCTATTAGTTACGGGAAATTGGGATTTTTATGATGAAAGGTTGTTTAGTTATATCATCAGAGTATTATAGTGTTTTAGTTTTATATTTCTCTACTGCTTTTGTTATTATATAAAATACTGTTGATTATATAGTCGCTGCTAGTGTGTATTATTACAATTATTCTTGATTATTCTTGATTAAAGGCGGAGTAATTCTGTTCCCATCGGAGACAGAGTCCATCCACGACTTCTCCCAGGCCTCTACTTCAACCAACTCAACTCCTCTCTATCAACAACAACAATGGTCTACTCTCTGAAAGACAAAGTCGTGCTGATTACAGGCGCCTCAGCCGGTCTCGGCGCTGCTCTCGCCCACGCATTCGCCGCAGAAGGCTGCCACCTGATCCTCAACTCATCTCCATCGACCTCCGCGGCCTCGCTTCAGCGTGTTTCCTCCACCCTATCCAAGCTGCGCACGTCGTTCCCCTCGCTCAAGGTCGAGTTCATCAAAGCCGACTGCGCCGAGGAAGCCGACAACGTGCGTCTTGTGGCGGAGGCAATCTCGCTCTCGAAAGAATGGGGTTTCGGCGGACGCATCGACGGATGCATCGCAAACGCGGGCTGGACGCGGTTCTCAAACATCGCGGACCTGGACGACGTCACCTGCGAGGACTTTGACAAGTGCATGGCTGTGAATGTGAAGTCGCCGTACGTGCTTCTGCGCGAACTCAAGCGCGAGAGAGAGGATAAGGCCGGGATGGGCGAGTGTGGGGGGTTCATGCTGCTCACGAGTTCGGTCGCGGGGGAACATCCCGGGGGAAGTTCGCTGGCGTACTGTGTTAGCAAGGCGGCTAATCTGCACCTGATGAGGTGTATGGCGTGAGTGTTGTTCTATTTTATGGTGATGAGGTATTGTGCTAAGAGATGTATAGGAAACACCAAGGTCCGAAGATTAGAATCAATGCGGTTAAACCCGGTGTTCTTCCTACTGAGTGGGGTCTTCAGTTTGGCGAGGAGAGGTTTAAGGCGATTGTCGATACGACGGTGCTCAAGACTGTGTCTACTTTGGAGGTGAGTTCATCTGTCTTTGAGATAGAGTGACAAGATACTGATATTATCTAGAACTGTGCGCTTATTTACGTGATGCTGGCAAAGAATGACAGCATCACCGGCGAGAGCATTACGATTGATGGCGGTCAGTGGATTTGAGTAAATTTAGAAAGACACAGATGCAATGTATTAAACGAGTCTTATAAATACAATACCAAATTATAAAGTAGTAAGAAAGTAGTAAAACGCTGTACATTAACCACCCTTGCGGTAAGAGACCTTCTCGACCTTAACCTCGCCATCGATATACTGGTAGACATACAACACAAGGACAGTTCCCTGGACATCCATGAGCACAAAACTGGGTACTGGGGATTCACCCTCGGCCCACCATCCGCTCGAAATCGCACCGGTCGCAGAACCAGGGTTGATAAAGAACTTTCCCTCGAGCTCGTAGGCTTCAAAGCGATGGGTTCCGCCCCAGATAAACACGTCGACGTCCATCTGCCGGGCGGCGATCAACAGCGCGTCCGAGTCGCCGGGAGGAACGATGGTGTGTCCGTGAGTGAATCCGATGCGCAGACTGCCGTGGGTGACGACTTTTGAGAGCGGGAGCGAGAGCGAGAGGTCGAACTCGCCCTTTACGATTTGGAGGTCTGGCGAGACGGAGCGGAGGAAGTCGTAGGTTTCGCGGTCGGTGAGGTTGCCGAGGCAGAGGATTTGGGAGATTTTGCCGGGCGCGAGGAGTTTCCGGAACTGTTTGTTGATTGTTTGTTAGTGAGTGAGAAGGAGGGGGGAAGTAGTGTTGGTATATCAGATGTGTATACCTTTGGCGGAAGTTCCTAGATAGAGTCAGTATTCAGCACACAGCGCAAAGACAGACAAATAAATCGTAAATACTCACCATCGCCCGGTCAGGAATATGTAAATCACCGATTGCAAGCACCAACATAACTGCAATTGGAATATAAACAAAGGAATTGAACTTGGATGACTGGTTAACAGGACCTGTGAACGTTGCCTGCTCTGTATCAGATTCGGTCGATGCTATCGGGTCACAAATTGTGATTGAGTCACGTTGTGAGTCTAGTTGATATTAACACTGGCAAATATTAGTAGTTGGTCCGGTTTAGAGAGGAGATGGGGTGTTGTAGTTGAGTGAATTAGAAGATGGACAATTGCAGTCAAAGTAGCTGTTTAATTGATCAGAACTGTTGTCAGATAGCAGACAGAGAGAGGAGAGAGCAGAGAGAGCGGACGATAAGGCGCTGCTTTGTTAAGTGAACATTCAACATGTCCCTGTCTGTTTCTTCTCCTTCTTCTATTACTGTTTATTCTCTATTCTATTATATCTAATTACTACTAATCTACTACTATACTTCTCTACTACTCATCGTCTATATTCTCTATCTTATCTGGTGAGATTACTAATCGCACTAATCGCCACGTGACCCCACCCAGCGCTAGCGACGCCCCCGACGACAACGCCCCGGGGCAAAATTTCCATCTTCGACACCACGCGAAGACAGAACATGTCTGCTATCCGCCGACTGAATTTGATATCGCAACACATTTCACCTTTTTCTGCTTCTTCTTCTTCAACAACTTCCTCCTCAACTCACTCGAAAATGCCCGTCTCCACCCAGGCCGCCCACCCCCTCACCCTCATCCCCGGCCCCGTCGAGTTCACCGACGAGGTCCTCCAGGCGATGGCCACTCCCTCCCAGTCCCACGTCTCCCCCCAGTTCGTCTCCGTCTTCGGCGACGCCCTCGCCCTCCTCCGCCAGCTCTTCATGAACACGGACAAGTCCGCGCAGGCCTTCGCCATCGCCGGCGCCGGCACCCTCGGCTGGGACTTTGTCGCCTCGAACCTCATCGAGCCCGGCGAGGACGCCCTCGTCCTCCACACCGGCTACTTCGCCGACTCCTTCGCCGACTGCATCGACACCTACGGCGGCGTCCCCACCCAGCTCAAGGCCCCTATCGGTGATATTGTCCCGCTCGACCAAATCGAGGCCGCCCTCAAGTCCAAGTTCTACAAGGTCATCACCATCACCCACGTCGACACCTCCACCGGCGTGCTCTCCGACATCAAGACCATCGCCGCCCTCGTCCGCAAGGTGTCCCCCAACACCCTCATTATCGTCGACGGCGTCTGCTCCGTCGGCGTCGAGGAAATCCGCTTCGACGAATGGGACCTCGACTTTGTCCTCACCGCGCCCCAGAAAGCAATCGGCGTCCCCGCCGGTCTCTCGATCTTCATTGCCTCCGGCCGCGCCCTCGATGTCTTCAAATCCCGCAAGGCCAAGCCCGGCTCCTACTACGCCTCCCTCTCCAAGTGGCTCCCCGTCATGCAAAACTACGAGGCAAAGAAGGCGTCCTACTTCTCCACCCCGCCCGTGCAAAACATCCACGCCCTCCTCGCCTCCCTCAAGCAGATCCTCGCCATCCCGCTCGAGGACCGCTTCGCCGCCCACGAAAAGATGTCGACCCACGTCAAGGAAACAATCGAGTCCTACGGCCTCAAGCAGGTCGCCGTCCGTCCCGGCTACCAGGCCCACGGCATGACCGCCGTCTACGTCCCCGAAGGCGTCACCCTCCCGGACTTTCTCCCCAAGGTCGCCAAGCGCAACATCGTCCTCGCCGGCGGCCTCCACAAGGACATTGCGACAAAGTACTTCAGAATCGGACACATGGGTGTCTCTGCCATCGGTGAGGACCGCGAGGACTTTACCTTGGCTTTGAATGCCATCAAGGACTCTTTGAAGGAGTGCGGTTACACTTTTTAGGTGTTTAAAAGTAGACTTATTTGTATAAATTTGTCCTAGTCTAGTTATGATCTTTTGAATAAAATACATTCCTAAAATATTCATTCCTTCTATATTTATGCTTGTTGAAGTTGTATTTATGTTAATTATTGAGATTTAATCGTCGTAGTAATCATCTGAGAGCAATAAAGTTCACCCACCAAATTATTATTCTCCTCTCATCACTCTACTTCCAGTTGATATTCATCATATACATCTACTTATTACATACAACTACCAATACACGGCTATTCAATACATACAAAAATTCAATCTAATATTATACTCCAGTATTCGTTTCATCATCACTCTTCTCATCTCCTCGCGCGAACAGATACTCTTTCGTTCTCACAATGAACACAAAGATCATGAATCGTCGCAACATCAACAACCTCTCTTTCCCTCTTCTCTTCTTTCCGCCTATCCGACCTTAACACGACTTTTATCTGTCGGAGTTTGCGTCGATTTAGGTAGAAAGAATGTCAAGAGTTGGTAAAGAAGGTCGCGTTCCTCAACAGATCTGGGTTTCTTGTCTATAGATTTCCGGACTACAGTAGTTACCAACATTTTTTATTCTACATGATATTCTACTCAACAAATCTGGATTCTGACTACAGTAATCATCAACATTTCTTTTATTCTACTAAACAGATCTAAAGACTTATCTATATCTTCACAGTAGTTACATTCGCTCTCTCACTACTCTAATTCATGAACAAAAACTCAAGATCAGCAGGCGTAAGCCTATTCATCGCAGAATCATCGCTCTCAATCGTCGCCCGAATCATATTCGCCTTCTTCTCCTGCAACTCTATAATTCGCGACTCTATACTGTCCTCAATAATCAACCTCGTGATCCGCACCGGCCTATGCTGTCCGATTCTATGTACTCGGTCTCCGGATTGCCATTCCACACTATTTAACATCGTTAGCAAGTTTCCTCCATCAACAATAATAAAACAATAATATCACTCACCTTGGATTCCACCACGGATCAAGCAAAAATACTTGACTGGCCTCACACAGATTCAGCGCAACTCCGCCCGCCTTCAACGACACCAAAAACACCTCAACGCTAGGCGTATTCATAAAATACTTGATCGAGTTGTCTCTCTGCGTAGGCGTCATACTACCCTGCAACTTCACCGTCAAAAACCCCGCCCGTCGCAGCCGCCACTCCACCAAATCCAACATGCTCGTGAACTGCGAAAACACAATCGACTTGATCGTCTGCCGGTCGCTCCGCAGCTTATAAAGCTCCTCCACCAGCGCCTCGATCTTTGTCGAACTCCGCCAGTTGCTCATATCAATCCGGTTCACTATACTTCCCTTCTTCAGCGTCTCCTCGTCGACCTCCAACGCCGGCGCAGTAAGATCAATCACCAGCGCAACATGACACACTGGGCACTCCAGCGTCTGCGTCGTATCCGCCTCATCAAACCCTTCCACATACTCGCGAATGCACAGCCGACAAAAGACATGATGACACTTGGCCCGAATCGCCTCCTGCGCCTCGTCATCGCATATCTTGCACACAAGCGTCGTGTCCTCCGCATTATCCGCCCCATGCCGACGCAGAACCAAGTCCGGATGGTCAGCCATCTGTCGCATCCGCGTAATCAGCGTGAAGATATTCGCATAATTGTTCAGCACAACTCCCTGCGCCACATACGAACTAAACCGCCGTTTACCATCCGAATAGATACTGCGGTACAGATCCTCTTCTTCCTCGTTGAACCGATCTCGACGCACATCCACAATCCGCGGCGGCAGTCCGAGATCGTCCGCCCGCTCGAGCTTCGTTCGGCGCAGCAGCGTATGCCGCAAAATACTGTGCAGTTTCATCATGCCTGCCTGCCGCGCCTCCTGCGTCGCAGAGTTTTGAATCGGCTTCAGAAGCTCCGTGTTAAACCAATTCGCGTGCTGCATCGGCTTGTGTCCGCACTGGTCGCACGTTCGCTTATCCGAAAACATCCAATCCAACGACGTACACGGACACTTTTTGCAGAAGTAGTTGCTGAACGGCTCGATTCGCAGGAATCTAATCAGCGAATACAGCTCGCCGATGCGGTTCTGCAGCGGCGTGCCCGACAGACATAACCGACGCTCGGTCTTGAGCGCAAACGCTGCCTTTGCAGTATTGCACTGTCGCTCCTTGATGTTATGCGCCTCGTCGAGAATCACGCGGTGGTATGTGATTGCGTGCAACGCACTTCGCGCCTTGTAAACTCCATCGCGCCGTCTGAATCCCATGTGCTCCTTGCGGAACACCGACTCGAGCACATTGTACGAAGTGATAATCACATCAACCGCCTCTAATTTCTTGGGATCCTCAGTTCTCGACGCGCCGTGATACACCATCGTCGTCAGTTTGCCGGCCGTGTTGCTCTCGATCTCTTGCTTCCACTGCATAATCGCAACCGTCGGAACGACAACAAGATTGGGCTTGCCTCTAGGCTCCGAAAGCAGCAGCGCGATAGTCTGGATAGTCTTTCCCATTCCCATCTCGTCCGCCAAAATTCCTCCGTGGTACTTTGAATTCTCCTGTGCGACCAGCCAATGCAATCCCTCGCGCTGGAAAGGCAGCAGCTTGATCGTGAGCTCCTCTGGCTGCTCAACCTGCACCATCTCTCGCTTAGGCATCGCATCAAGCTCGTTAAAGATAGTCTTGAGAGCTGGGTGGCAATTGTATAGCGCCTCGCGCGTCTTTTGATTATAACTCAGCGCAGACCGCCCCTGCCCTCTGCGTCTTCTCGGAGCGGCCGCAGCGCCATCAACCTCTTCTTCCTCTTCTTCAGGCTCTTCCTCATCGTCAGAGTAATCAGACTTACTCTCGACACTAATCACCTCATCATCAGAGTAGTCGTCAGGAAGTGCGTCCAGATCCCCATTACCCGCGCGCGCTCTTCGTCGCGCCGCAGCAGTAGACGACTCTGCCTCGTCCTCGTCAGACGCAATCACTATCGGCTTCTTCGCTCTTGCTTTCCGTACCGGCGTCGCACTCTTTGCCGGCGCTTTCCGCTTATTCGTCTTTCTTTTCGCAGCCGCGGTCTTCAATAGCGCGTCAGAGTCCGAGTCATCTTTGATGAACCCGCCTCCGTCGCTCTCATCCTCAAACTCGCTCTCACTTAAATCAACCACTTCTTCTTCTTCCTTGATTACTGCAGCCACTTTTCCTTTTCCCTTTTGAATTGGACTGCTCGTCGTTCGCGTGACTCTGCGGCGTTTCGATGCTGAGCTGAGTTCGCCACCACTGACATCGACATCTATGATTGTCAATAACTCAGTTAGTCCAGTTTTGTAAGCAAAAGCAAGCTAGGAAGCATACGTGAATCCATTTCGTCGTTCATCATGGGATCTTCACTGTCTGGAACCTCTGCTTGCTTATATTTCCGCGAAGAAGAGATGGCGGATGTAATCGCCGGTGTGGCCGGAGCTCTCTTCGGCGTTGCCACCGCTGGGGAAATTGTTAGCAAATACCACTCTAAACGACAGGAAATAAGAAAACATAAACAGAGAACAATACATACCTCTTCTTTTGCGACTCGAAAGCACTGGACCTGAATAACGAGGTTAGTACACAGCTGGTGAAGATGTAGACAATACAGGGTAGACGTGCTTGACGCAAGAATCTCATCATCTGCCTCGCTATCATCGACCTCTAAAATATGCCCGCTTGAATCTCTCGTAATTCCATCATTACCCAAGCTCTCGTCAGGAGGAGAAGACTCCAGAGCTGACAGTCTTCTGGATTGCCTGCGACTGGCTGACACGGGGGGCGTCGTGGTTCCGGAACCAAGCTCCGAAGACAGACTCGCTCTTGTAGTTCTAGAAGGCATGATGCTATATGTATCAAGAAGCACGATTCTATAGCGTTTATAAACAACCTCTAAAGACTGAAACACAGATGCAGTGAACTCGAATGGATGAGCGATGGCTGGTGATGATGGGAGGAGATGAAGCGGTGGTGATTTATCAGAATGCCTAATTGGGCCGACGCGCGCGCCGACGACGCCTGGTCACGTGCTGACGTCGCGCCATAAGCCCGCGGCGGTAGAAAGTGATGACTAACCCTACTCAATATGATGTCTAAGCAAGTAGTTGCATCAGCCACAACCCTAACAACCCTACTTTTGTTGTGCGTGACTGCTTTTGCTAACCTCCCAATTCTGCTGTCTGCCCGGCCGCGAGAGAGCAGTGGAGATTTTGTTAGCACAGTCTTGTTTAGAGATCCAGTACTCCTCACATATACCACACGACACAATGCCTGTACGTATTTGCTGTTATGATGATAATATTGCTGTATTCAGAATATGAGACTAACTATTATTACAGAAAGAAATCAAGGATATCAAGCAGTTCCTCGAGCTCGCCAGGTTAGTTCTCCAGCGTCGATAATCTAGATGACAATCCGAGCATAAACACGGTTGCAGCAGACACAGGACGGTGGCTAATCCAGATGGTTTTGTTTGATATAGAAGAAAAGATGCCAAGTCCGCTGGCATCAAGAAGAACGGCAGCAAGTTGATCAAGTTCAAGCTCCGCAACTCGCGTTACCTCTACACCCTCGTCCTCAACGACGCCCAGAAGGCCCAGAAGCTCACCCAGTCGCTTCCTCCTGGTACGTTCCAGTATTTCTGAAAGAGCCGAATCTATCATAGCATTGGCGCTAACTCGTCAATCATCTATAGGACTCAAGGTTACCGAGATCAAGAACTAAATGTTCTAAGTCGATAGGACCAAAAATAAAATCAATCAAAAATCGGAGTCTTTTACAGTGCATTGTTTTCTTCACCACAAACGTGACGAGAATCGAAAAACGGCTATGAGAATGGTTTTGTAATTATAGGATTTAATCAGAATAGAGTCGTGTGCTTCCAGACTTTCATTGTCTCAAAAGTTTCGTAGAATTACTGCAAGATTAGAGTAGCTATAGCATGCGCTTTTTATTCCACCCGTAAACAATGAACCAACAACTCTGGTAATAAAAAGCAAATTCTTTTGAGGAAAATCCCAAAACAGATCTCAAATACAGATCTATAATACAAACACGTACCATACCGTTACCCAACTATTAAACAAAACAAGAACAAACAAGACAAAAGACTTCTTGATGTGCAACGAAAGAAATTTCTATCTAAGATGAGGATTTATGAATTTCTTTCTACTTGATCGTCGCCAATCAAACATATACAAAGTAACAACTTTTATAAGCACCTCAGCACTCTTCAAGAAGGGAAGCCGCGCCGCTCTCTGAGCAGACATAGATCACGTCGCACTGGCTGTTGAATCCGTTGAATCCAGTGGCCGCAGACATCGTGTAGGCTCCGAACTTTTCAAAGTAAACCCAGTCGCCGACTTCGAGCGCATAAGGGAGGTGGCACTCGTTGGTCACGCAGTCGATGCCGTCGCAGGTGGGTCCCCAGACCGAGGCTGTGACGGGCCCGCTGCAGTTGTCAGGCTGACCGTACATGAAACGGGATCCGTGGGTCAAGACACGGACGACCGGGTGCTGATGGTCAAAGAGAATGCAGTTCATGTTTCCATAAACACCGTCGTTAAGGTACAGCATGATGTTGTTGAGCTGAGGCACTTCACGACGGGCAATGACATGAGACGCCAGCGTAAATGCCGAGGCCACATAGTAGCGACCGGGTTCAGCAATCACGCGGACAGAAGGAGGGAAGTAGGCGTCGATCGCGGGTCCGAGGACGGAAGCAATGTCCTCAAAGTTGTCGTCGGAGAAACCTCCGCCGACATCGAGAGTGGACAAAGTCATGCCGAGCGAGGCAGCCTGGTCAAAGACCTTGCTCGCGTTGCGAACAGCGTCGACAAAGGCATCGCCGCCCGAAGCTCCAGATCCGACATGGAAAGAGACACCAATGACATTGAGCTCGAGCTCCTTAGCCAATCGCAAAAGAGACTCGACAGACTGCAACGGTGCGCCGTACTTCATCGAGAACTGACACAAGGCGCCGGTGTCGTCGGTGACGATGCGCAAGAGAAGCTGGGCGTCGGGGAAGTAGCGCTTGACCTTGTAGAGCTCTTCGGCGTTGTCAAACGTCATCTTCTTGACATCACGCTCGGCGGCGTAGCGCACGAACGAGGCAGCCTTGCAAGGATGCGCATAAACAATGCGAGAAGGAGAGACACCAAGGCCCATGACAAGTTCCATTTCCTTCTTGGAAGCGCAGTCGAAACCGGTTCCAAGGCGCGCGAGCAGTCTGAGAACTTTCATGTCCGGGTTACATTTCACGGCTGAATCGGGGAGTATTAGCATGCGCCCGATTCGAACAAGGCAAAATTTCGAAAAAGACAAAATAGAAAACATTACCATAAAAAGGCTCGACGCGAGGAAGATTGAGCTTCCAGCGGACGTGCTGACGATAGACCTCACCAATGTCGGCGACAAAGAAAGAGTCTTCTCCGCCGGCATCGCAAGAGTCGGTGTCGATGTAGTCGACTCGGTTACGCAAGGCACGTGAAATGAGCGCCTGTCCGAAGATGGATCCAGAGGCTGCGACAGCGTGCGATTCGAGAGGATCGTCAGAGTCGCCGGAAGGAGGGGTGAGAGGAGCGATAGAGGCGGGTTTAATACCGGGAATCGGATCGTAGGTCATTTTGATGTCGATGTCTTCGGTAAAAACATCGTACGTGTGGGCACTCAAGGACGGGGCACACAAAGCATTTCGCGCGACTTCGGTCATCGACGTAGAAAAAAAGTAGCGGACTTCAAGCGGCAGGAGATGATTATAGTGCTCGGACGACAAGCACTGAGCGGATAGAGGACGGACTGAGGTTGCGTGGCGGGAAGATGAGGAAGAGGAAGGAAGAGAAGAAAGAAAGCGAGCAGGAAAAAACTTGAGAGCCGGTGTGCGTGCGCCTCATGTGGCGGTGCTGGCTTTGCCACTGGCTCGACGGCCTTTCATCTTTGTGCTTCTCGCTCTTTGTTCCGTCCCCGCCTTGTTCACCTGCTGTACATGATATATCTTGATTCAGGAACATAACAATAACCAATTGTACGTCTATGCCTTGTTGGACTTGAATATGCAGTCTCAGCAAGGCATAGAAAAGTGGCTAACCCAGCCTGTCGCGGAAATTACTGACGAGCACCGTGCCACCGACGTCATTACCAGCCCTACCCAATAAGATGTCTGATATCATGTGAATATCATGTTTCATACAAGAGGCGGTAGACAGCAATTGAATAGAGAAATAAGATGGAATTTATTGTGAATGTAAAGGAATCTAAATTATCAGATTGGTTGTATTGTTTGAGTCAACACAAGACTGTCACAAGCCTTGATTCACATCCAATGTACGAGTCACTCATAAATTCATAAAAGCGAGAACAAAATGAAAAAAAAAAGATGAAAAGAATCCAATAAAACACCAATAAATGAAATAAATGCAAGTTTTGTATCGCGATCTTGCGAGTTTACCAAAAATAAAAACAAATGTAGAAAGTACTCCCCGTGTAAATATGTATCAAAATATAACCCAAACAAATTCCATGAGACCGTTCTCGCTCGTCTCGAGTGAGGTGGAAAATCACATTCAGCTATTCTCTCACCTCTTTTATATCTTGCTGCATCATCTCGCTGCACAGCTGAACTCGTTCGCATTGGTCAAGAACTGGTGCGTGGCCGTGTAGTGGTAGTAGATTCCACCGACAACCGCAATATGCCACAGGTTGTGCGACGCGCCAATCCAGTCAAAAATACCACCGGGGCAAAGACACTCGGGAAACAGGAAACCGTAGGCAAGCACGCCGGCGCCATAGCACAACAGGCTCTTCAACACTGGAAAGTAGAATGACAGAGTGTTTATCAGTCCTCGCTCGAACGAGAGCTGGACAAGCACGAGCCCGCTAGACAGTGCAAGACACACAAAAAATGTTGCGCGCAGCCACCTGTTCTCTGGCTTGTCGAAGAACGGCTGCCACGCCATCACGACCCCGATAAGTCCCAGAATTGCAGTCGCACCCATGTAGATCATACGCATCGTGGGCTGGCAGTAGAAAGACGTATACTGGGTCGTCATGATTGAGCATGCAATAAGGATTGAAATACCGGTGTAGTCCACACATGCAAATTTCTGCTTGTGCTCCAAAACTCCGATACTGTTAAAAGTGTGCCAAATAGTCGACGTGAGAAGACACTTTAGCGCTGCAAACAAAAAGATGCCAAAGACGACTTTGTCGTATGTTGTCATCGTCGCAAACAGAGGGGTTGCGGGATAATAGTAGAGCGCAATCGTGAGCATCATCACGAATCCAATGATGTGAGTCCATATGTTGCAGGTCTCGTTATGAACCTTGAACATACTGACAACGCACTCTGAATACGTTGCGCAGAATCGATATCCCCGGCAGATGTAGGGGTTCTCACGCCATCCAGCGGGCAATTCCTCGTATGTGATTAGTCTCTCTCGCGCAATCCGCAGCGCAGCTTCAATACTTCTATCGATAGCATCCACCCGCTCGTTGATTTTAGAATCCACATCTTTCATAGTCTCGTTGAGAGAGCTGTAGCACTGAACTTCTAAATCAGCAAGCTTCTGCTCCAGAAACCGCAAGCCTGCGCTGACTTTTGACGGCAGAGATCCCCGAGCAACCCAAGACTCGGTGTACTGCTTCTCGAGGATTGAAACAATGGCCTCTCCACGACGCCAGCTCTCGCCAATGACCTCGCCTCCCAGACGGCCACAAGACTCACGCACGGAGAGAAGGGTCTGGTATGTGATTGAGAGACCTGCGTCTAGCTGGTTGAGTTTGGTGGAGCCATAGGATTCGAGCGCTTCGAGACGTTGTTCGAGGTGACTGAGGAATAGATCGAGCTGAATATAAGAAGATTAGCCACACATATGAAAAAAAAGAAAAAAACACAGACAGTCGAAAAGAAAAAAGAGGAATTACAAACCTTCAACAACGCAAGCTCCTCAATAGACTCAGAGTCAAAAGAAGACTTCTTGGAGTGGGAATGGAAGGAATGGCGACGACGCGAAGTGAAAGAAGACGATAAGGGCTCGAGGCCTTGTAGCAAAGGGGTTGTGACCCCGGTGAGCATGCTCACAGGCTCCACGTCCGGCAATTCCGCAAAGTCTGACATTGTGCTGTTCTAGAGAGCAAAACAGATGCAAGAGTAGAGGAGGGAAAGAGTGGAGTTGGCGGGGGTGATAGAAGAATAGCAGGAAGAAAGAAGTGCGGCAGGGTAGCCAATGCGAGGGAGAATTCAGAGCGCAGGTCCAGATCGAGGCTGGGGTTAGTTGGGCCGCGCCAGCCGACTTATCGCTTCACTAATCAAATATTCACCAGACCCCTGAACTTAGTCATAACGAGCTAGCTGATTACGGACAAGATTAAACTCTCTCACTGACAACAACAACAACGGACAACAACGACCGCTTCTCGTCCTCAAGGCGCCTCGCACTCCAGCCCAAGTTCACTCTCGTCAATGTTGTAGCACGTGTACAAGTCCGTTCCAGCCGTGCTAACAACGCTTATGTTCTCCGCATATATCTCATTACAGACATCAGGACTGGAGCAGACCAGAGTTCCTACAACCTCACCGTACTTTGAGGACGTCGTGCCAGAGAAGTTTTTGAACCATATATCCTCAATGATCAGGCTCGCCTATTCCTCCTTCATCAGCCATCTTGTTTTGCCAGCTAAAACGAATACACAACTCACCGTAGTCAGACTACAAGCTGTGAAATTCTTTTGCATATAGCACTGCGTGATCTCGATCGCGTAATCGACGTTCGAAACCGTCATCCCGTCATATGTGATGTTGCGTACATATCCACCGCCCCCGCCGACATCAGTCGCAGTCGAAGTCGGATCCGCGCCCGGCCATACTTTGATCCTTGCACCATCCGATGCATTTGACATTGCGACATTCGATACAAGCACATTCTCAACTATATCGGTGACGCCAATATACTGCCCCAGCGAGCCTACCGATATCCCATGCGAGCCATTGCAATGCAGATTTTGAACCAGCACATTTGTACTGTTGGGCTTGAAAGAGACACAGTCTAGAAGTATCACCTTGTGTTAGCTAGTCTTCTAGCATTTAGCGGCAAGTACATACCGTCCCCGTTATTGATCACTGAGTTCTGAATGACAATATTATCGCTCCTATAAGTGTCCCAACCGTCGGTGTTCTTGGCTGTGTTTTTGTTATTGCTGAATCCGGTGATATCAATCCCGTCGAATATGACATCCTGAGAGTCACTGACCCAGATATACCACATCGGACTATATCTCAACTTGAGAGGACCAATCGTGCCGCCCTCTAACCCAAAGATACCGATGAGAATCGGCCGCAGGATTGTCTTGTTGGAAGCAAACAGATCATACCAAGCCTGACCATTACCGTTGATCTCGCCGTCTCCGTACACGTTGACATCGTGGCCGCCAAGCTTGAAAAAGGTGGTCGAGTCTTGAAAGTCAAACTTGAATGAGTTTTCTTGCCAGTAGTCGGTATCATTGGTGAAGATGATCTCTCCGTCAATAACTACAATTATAATCAGCGCTGGCTTTTCTCATGATTGAAAATAGTGTTATCTCACCGATATCAACCTTGTCCAGAAACGTCAGATCCAACGGCGCCCCGATTGTATACGTTTCATCGCTCGAGAAAACAACTCTTCCTCCGTGATTGCATTTCTCCAAAGCAGAGAGAATGAAGTGCGAGTCATCGGACCCATCCCCATGAGATTTTACCTTGCATGTCTTTGTGCGTGGATGTGTCTGGGGAAACGGCTTGAATGGAGGATGCGGGGCGATAGAGTGACCGCGCTGCAAATGGCTCCTGTCGAACGACAAGCTGGCTGTTGCATATGCGAGCCAGAGAGCGATAGTATAGATCAAAATAGCTGTATTTACCATCATAGATGCTACTGTGATTTAAAGCTGTCTACAGAATCCTTGCAGACCGCTGGAAAGACCTATATATATGTCTACATACATGATCGGCTGAGGCCAATCCCGAACTTCCCCGCAGTCCAATACAAGTAGATCGTGAATAGATGCAGATGATGACGATACAGATGTCAAGTAGACCGACGGCAAATAACCGGTAACAAGTGTGAGCCTAACCGGCTAATACCACAATAACGCGATGAAGTAGGGTTTGCAGTGTCGACGGGAGGGGAGGGCTCCCCCCACACAACGATGCCATAATCGACACGATCTACGCGCCCCCGCCCAGCTCGCTAGCGTTTAACGAGGTTCTTTGTTTGCATAAAAGTTAGGAAGTAACTGGATCGCCCGCCCCCGCAGTATTGTGCGCGGAAGAGCGGGAATCCAGACCCTGGGTGCAGCCGACTGTGGAGCAGGTGACTGGGCTCTGGCCCACTTGGCTTTTACCGAGGCTACCGTGATCGTACTGTTCAGGGTCTGTGAGATCATCTCTACTCACTACCCACTCATTGTGATATTACGGAGAGACAATAACTACTTGAGCTAACTTAGTATTAAATGAAGACATAACAATACAACCAGCACTAAACAGAATCGCCTTCCTTTGCACGTCGACTCTCCAAAACGACCTGCATCGCAATCTTCTCAGCAGCCAGCTGTTCCTCGGCCGTCAACTCCCGGTCACCGTCAGGCGCGTGCTCAATCTGCTCTGCCAGATCTCCTTTCTCTCGCAGAATCAGATCCGCTCCCCGCTGAGCATGACTCTCGCCTCCGAACAAGGTGTCCATCTCCTCGAGCCTCACGCCCCTGGTCTCTGGTAGCCAGAAGTACACAAACACTGCGAGAATAATGTTGATTCCGGCAAACATGTAGAACGTGTAGAACTTGATTTTCTCAAGAATAAGCGGGAAAATCTGCTGCAAGATTGCGTTGGCAACGTTCTGCATCTGCGAAGCCATACCGACAGCCTGGGCACGGACGTTCATACTGAAGACCTCGGAGGTCCAAATCCACGTAACAGCACCCCAACTGGGTTTGTAAAACAAAGTGAACAGGAATAACAAAAAGACCGTCGCAATTCCAACCGGCTGACTCTTTGTGTCTCCCGGAAGATCGGGAGTCTGGGTCTCGACAGTCGCAACAATGATCATTGAGATCGCCATTCCGATAGCACCGACAAAGAGGACAGGCTTGCGGCCAAATCGATCAACGGTCCAGGTCGCGTTCAATGTAAACAGAATTCCAAAAGTACCATTAAGAGCATTGATGAGCTGGATGGTGGAGTTGTCTGTAAACACTTTTTTGTAGATAATCGTCGAGTAGTTGTTGAGAGATCCTTGTCCGGTCATCTGCTGTCCGCAATTGATAACGAACGCAAGCAACAGACGTTTGCGCAGCGAACGGTCCTTCCACAAGGGCCAGTAGCTGCCTCGGAGAGCCTCGTGCTCATACTCAATGGCCATTGTAATCTCGGCCATCTCGTTGTCAACTTCTTCCTCCGTCTCCCGCACCCGTCTGAGAGACCGACGGGCGTCCTCGTAACGGCCCTTCTGGACGTACCAACGAGGGGTCTCGGGACAGAACGGAATAGCAGCGCAGATCATCAGCGGTACCAGGATCTGAAAGATGACAACCATACGCCAATCCCAATTACCCAACGAGGCCACGCGCTTGGTGCACGAGTAATTGATCCAGAAGGCAATGAACGAACCGACACTGTAGAAGAGTTGCCAGAATGACATGATCATTCCACGAATATCAGCCGGTGCCATCTCGCCGATGTAGACTGGTCCAGCGGGAAGCGCGATACCCTGACCGACACCGACAAAGAACCGGCCGGCGATAAACCCTCCGATGGAGCCACTGGGACTGAAGGCTTGCACGAATGTGCTAGCAATAACGATAACGGCGCCGACTGCGATAGACATGCGGCGACCGAAGTAGTCTGAGATCGGCGCACTGAAGAAAAAGCCAGAGACGATACCTCCAACGGTGTAGGCAGTGGTAACAGAGCCAATGACACTGCTGTTGGGGTTCCCGTAGTAGTTGTTCCAGTTGGTAGAGCCTTGCACGGCGTTGAAGACGGAGGCGTCGTAGCCATAGAGAACCATAGCACACGCCGCAACCAGCGACACATACCAGTTGTAGACACGGGTCTTAGACGGCTTCTGAAATTTGAAGACCATTGTAGCAGAGGCACTCAGCTCAAGCAAAGGTGGCAGCACAAAGGCAGGAGGGGAGATGAGACCGGCATGTCTATCTTTATATATCTGGCGAGCAGATAAATAAAAGAAGCTGCGTATTGGCGATCATGATCTGTAGTGGTCCCTAATCAGCAGTCAGACGGCCGCGTTCTATTGTCTGATTCTTCCCCGCAGCACAACGGTCCACCGGCCTGAGACAGACACGAGAAGACAATGGCGGGGCAGAACACCAGCAAACCGGCGATTGCCTTTCTTTGCGGGGAAACCCAAAACTTTGAACTGTTCTGCTAGCAGCAGGGCGTGGGGGCAGCCAACCGGAAAAACCCTACACCGCTGATTGTTTTCCAGTTTGTTCCCCCCAGTGCTCTAGAGATTGGAAAAGAAGCTGTGAACAATTATTGTTATAATTAAAATATTCAAGTCATTCACTGAGATCTACTCATCAACCTCTCAATTATTCATTTGCCTCACAAATCGCAGGCTTCTTCCTTCTTTAACCGATGCGGCTCCTGTCCGGAAAACTATCCGCCCTCCCGCGCGGCGGGGGTTCCCGCTCATCCCCGCGCAGTTAAAAGCCCCTCCTCATCCTCCTCTCGATGTTGCCCTCCTCACCAGACCAAGCCCGTCTTTCACCATGGTTTCCCAAACCGTCACCATCACCGGATTTGACGTCAAGGACGTTCGGTTCCCCACCTCCCTCGACAAGACTGGCTCCGATGCTATGAACGACAATGGCGACTACTCCTCCGCCTACGTGATCCTCAATACAAACACCGACTTCTGCGGCCACGGCATGACCTTCACTATCGGACGAGGTAACGATATAGTCTGTCTTGCAGTGAAGAACGTTGCCAATCGTCTCGTCGGCAAGTCTCTGGACGAGCTCACCTCCGATATGGGAAAGACATGGCGCTATTTGGTCGGCGATTCACAGCTGCGCTGGATTGGCCCCGAAAAGGGAGTCATTCACCTTGCTCTAGGATCGGTTGTCAATGCTCTATGGGATTTATGGGCCAGAGTACTGGATAAGCCTGTCTGGAAGATTGTGGCCGATTTCACTCCCGAGGAATACGTCCGCTGCATTGACTTCCGCTACATCACCGATGCACTCACGCCCGAGCAAGCCATCAAGCTGCTGAAAGAGTCACTTCCCGGAAAGGAAGAGAGACTAAAAGACGCATTCAACGATCAAGCGGTTCAGGCATACACAACTTCTGCGGGATGGCTAGGATACGGAGACGAAAAGATGAAAGCTTTGCTTAATGAAACCAAGAAAGAAGGCTACAAGCATTTCAAGCTTAAAGTTGGCGGAAGCGTGGCGGAGGATTCTAGACGCCTAAGAATTGCTCGTGAAGTGCTTGGATATGATGAAGGAAACGTCTTGATGGTGGACGCAAATCAAGTCTGGTCTGTTCCCGAGGCAATCGACTATATGAAACAGCTCGCAGAGTACAAGCCTTGGTAGGTTCCACGCTTTATCTTATCAGTACGCAATATCTAACACTTTATATCCAGGTTCATCGAAGAGCCCACTTCGCCGGATGACATCGTGGGCCATCGCACCATCAAAGAGGCTCTTAAACCCTACGGGATCAAAGTTGCCACCGGCGAAATGTGCCACAATCGCGTAATGTTCAAGCAATTCCTACAGCTGGGTGCCATCGATATTTGCCAGATCGACTCGTGCCGGCTAGGTGGCGTCAACGAGGTTCTCGCCGTTCTTTTGCTTGCAAAGAAATTTGACGTTCCGGTGGTACCGCATTCCGGCGGCGTCGGCCTCCCAGAATATACCCAGCACCTTTCCACTATCGACTATGTTGTTGTTTCTGGAAAGAAAAGTCTGCTCGAGTATATCGATACTCTCCACGATCAATTCTTCACCCCTACCAAAGTGAAGAACGGTTTCTTTGTAACTCCGGAGAAGGCAGGGTACTCGGTCGAAATGAAGCCGTCTGCGTGGGATACGTATGAGTATCCCAACGGCTCGTTCTGGAAGAGTGCAGAAGCTGCTGATATTGTGAAGATGAACTACAAGTAAATCGGCAATGCATTGTGATAGATTATCAAAGAAAAACAATACATGCGTTGTCTGCTTCGAGGAGGAGAGTTTGGTTTTTAGTAAGCCGCAGTGAAGAAAATCATGTAGCTCTTTGGGTAAGGGTATTATACTCCCACGCAAATTCCTATCTTTGAATTTGTAATCCACACAGAAGCTCCCAAAACTTTTGTTTTCCCCGTCTATTATATTATCGACAGCTATACTCACGAACAGATGAGCACCAGTACAGCTCCTGCATCTCTGAACGAGGTCAAACATGTCGTCTTGGTACTTTCCGGCAAAGGCGGTGTCGGCAAAAGCTCGGTGACCACCCAACTCGCATTGTCACTGGTGCGCCAGGGCTTCTCGGTTGGAGTACTCGACGTTGATCTTACTGGGCCTTCGCTTCCGCGCATGTTTGGGCTCGAGGCTAGGAAGATCCATCAATCATCAAAGGGATGGGTGCCAGTATATACCGATTCAACCAAAAAGCTATGTGTTATGAGCATCGGGTTCCTACTAAAGGACCGCGGCGACAGCGTGGTGTGGCGAGGTCCAAAGAAGAGCGCCATGATCAGACAGTTTGTCAACGACGTCGTCTGGGGTCCTCTTGATTATCTGCTGATAGATACACCACCAGGAACATCTGATGAGCATATCGCTATCGCCGAACAGCTCCGAGACGCTCAACCGGACGGCGCGGTTCTAGTCACGACACCGCAGGGAGTTGCGACGGCTGATGTGCGGAAGGAGCTGAATTTCTGCAAGAAGGTTGGATTTGAAGTTTTGGGAGTCGTCGAAAATATGAGCGGGTTTATATGTCCGCACTGCGCTGAATGCTCAAATATATTCTCAAAAGGCGGAGGTGAACAGCTTGCTGCACAGTTCAGCATACCGTTCTTGGGGTCTGTGCCTATCGATCCCCAGTTCGTTCTCATGATTGAGGAACAGAACAAATTTGTCACAAAGGCGGTCAACAGTGCCGACGAGAACGAGCTGAACAAAACAATCGACGACTCAATAGCGAATTACGGACTAGTGGAGAAGTACAGCGACAGCAACCTCTGCCCGATATTTGAGAAAATTGCACAGCAAGTCATCGACAGCACGAAGGATAAACATCGGATCTAGACCGAGAAAGGCGCAAATTTTTTCACCATTGTAATATATTAATAATTAAATCTATTATTATTGTTTCCTTGTCAGCAAATAAGCTAAACAATATTATGTGTCATGCATTTACTCAGCATGTATCACATTATAAACACAAACTAAAACAGACATTCAGGCGAGGATCTTAAAAATAGCAAAAATCAGGAGTCAATCAGCAATCTAAAACGCTTTAGGCTCCTCCTTCTCTGCATACACAGGAATCTTCTCAGTAGAGCTAGCCTCCTCGTATGTATCGGTCGCAGGATTGTATGCCTCTATAACGTCCTCGCTCTCGTCTTTCCAGAGCGAGTCGCCGGAGACCGTCTCGGGTATCAATGTCTCCGGTTCAGGGAACAACAATGAAAGGGAGCTATAAACAAAGACCGCAACCCAGAATCCATAAAGATAGTTGATGTCCCAGACGTGAACGATACCTCCTGACAGGCCAAGCGAGGGTGTAACGCTGTTTGCCAGACCGGGAAGATTGGGGGTCAAAGAAATGACGAAAGTAACAACAGCCCGCCAGTTGATTCCGTGCCAGTACTGATACCGTCCATGAGGATTGTAGAGTGCAGGTACGTCGACATGCTTACGCTTGACGATCCACCAGTCCGCGGCGAGAATGGCGGCAACCGGTGCAAGGAAGACTGCGAGGCCAGACATGAACGTCAACAGCTGGGACGCCGAGTTCTCAATCTTCCAGGGCTGCATAACCCAACCTCCGATGATGGTAGCAAGGAGAGCACCGCGACGGATATTGATATACTTGGGGAACAAAGACGTCATATCGTTTGCTGCAGTAATCACGTTCGCCGAAAGGTTACTAAGAAGAACAACGGTTAGACCTGACAAAAACAATTATAGAAGTGGAGGTACTTACGTTCCGATCTGGCCAACGACCCACGAGAATCCGACAAAGAACTTTGCAGCTCGACCAGCAGGGCTGTTCCACTTTGCAGCAAGGGAAGTCGGATCCCAGATGTACTCTCCATAGACAACGCCAGCGCAAGAGGTCGAGATGATAGCCATGATACCAACAAAAGTGGAGATCACAGGCAAAAACAGACCCTGCCAGTACTGGCCCTTTCCGCCGCGCATATAGCGAGTGAAATCGGGAATGTTGGTAGCCATGGTAGCCCAGCCACCTGCCGAGGACATCATGCAGGACAGGATCTTCCATGATTTCTCTGATCCATGAATAGTAGCTTTCTGATCCCACATGTCACCATGCGACTTGGCAAGGTGGGTCATTCCGGCCGCGACGCCGATACAGGACGCCATAACGACGACAGTCTTGAAGGCAAAAAACCACTTTAGTTTGTGAGGGGGGATAAGCAGGATAGGCAACTGAATGAACCAAAACAGAGTATGCGACGCGAGCTGCTGGGAGGTCACACCGATGTTCTCCGGAATGTGGTTCGGGATGGTCAGGTAGGAAGGCCAGATGGCAGAGATGCAGTTGGTCAAGGCAAACGATCCAGAGTAGGTCTGAATTGAATGCCAGAAGAGCGCGGTAACCATTCTGACGACGACAGCGAATTTGGCAAAGTGGAAGCCAAAGCCGGACCGCGCAGCAACAGGATACGGGACATGGAGAGCAGAGCCAATCGCACCATTGAGAACGAGGGGAATAGCAACGATGACCATACCCATGCAGTTGCAGAGAATGGCCTCACGCCAGGTCAAACCGATAGCGATGATGGAGGACGGGTTCTCCCATCCCTGCATGTTCAACGCATCCGAAAACCAGAAACCGAGAATGGTCCACGAGGTCCAGGTTCGACGCGAAGGGGGGGTGACGTCGTTGTCTTTGTTGGTCCAGGTGTCCTCAGGTGCGAACGAGTTTGATTCTTTGGGGAGAATCCAGGCAGAGCGAGAGGTAGCCTTTGCCTTGACATCAGACTTGAAGTCCGAGAGGTGGCTGGTGAGGCGCCGACGGATAGACATGTTGCGGAAAGCGGTGGGGTGGCGATGTAGGTAGCTGGAGAAGGAGGAGTAGCGACGAGGGCTGGTGTTTATATGACCGGCCCAAAATGGGCTATCTGAAATCTGACGTTTGACATATCAGTCAGTCAGGCAATACACGTCTTCCCAGTTAGGTTTCTGGTTGCGGCACACGAAAGCTTGAAGCTCCTGATAGGGGAAGAAGGGTCCAAACTCTTATCGGGCCTTCTTCATAAGAGCCAAATACAGTTCTGACGATTCCAGAAGTCAGCGAAAGCAAGAAATTAGTCTTCTGCTCGGATTCTGCAATCAGAGGGGGCCGGCAGCAGGCCGTAGGCGAACGCCGACGGACGAGCTGGGAGTACTACTATCGCCATTATAATCATACAATGGTGGCCAACCGTGCGGCGCGCTGATACAGGAAAGCCTGGGGCAGCTATCGGGCATATCACATCCCTCTGCCGCCGCGACTGAGCCTTAGTAGCTGTTGATGGTCACCCGCTAATCAGTCTCAGGACGAACGAAGCATCCGAATGCGGGCTGCCGCTTCCGAATAACGTCGTTTGCGGCTCCCACTCGCCAAGTCGACGGCTAAAGGCAGGGGAGGTTCACCGCCGTGGCGTTTTTGGCGTTGGGATATGATCTCCGAAACGACTGTCCGTGCGAGCTCCCTCCTCCTCTGCACTGCAAACACACGCTCGCCGTTGGTTTGATAGTCCCGCGGGATTGGCCAGACAACGACCCACTTTTAATAACAAACAGAAACCACGAGCTGTCGTCTGAGTTTGCGGTCAAAGACCTTGCTCCAGACTCCAACGCTCGAGGTTTCTTATCTACAGCAGGAGATTACAGTAAACCTTATTCCCAAAGAGGCACCCCGAAAGTGCGTCTACCCGTCGGCCTCAGTTCTTATTCGGCTTAGTCTCGCGCGGCTGCGTGCTTGTCTTCCACACAGACACCCGTTACTCGTTGTTTGGTTTGGGCTCCACGTCTGGGCTTTGCGCCTTGCGACGGATGTTCCATTGCATTTCCAGAAGTCGGGCGCAGAGCACGAGGCAGCGTGTTTGCGCTGAGATATTCTTTCATTGACACAAAGAGCTGACGTAGGCCACAATGAGTCGCCCTGGGCATGTCTTTCATCGGACGATCAAACAAAACAACGGCGTGTTCTTCTTTGCTTTTGTCTTCAAACCCAACCGTGCAATACAAGTGGTAATAAATCCGTTTTTACGCTTTCCATCGCTTAAGCCCGAGAAAATTATGTGCTACCCCTACGCAACTCTAAATACACAACCGAGCTTCGACGAAGATGAACCCCGGGAACTACGCTACTGAATACTGTAATATCGATTCGTTTCATTAAACATCTCTATCAAATTTTACTCTCGTCATTTACAAATCTGACAGCAGCTTGACAGCCTGTAACAGCTTAGGCTCATCCTGCTTCTTTCCAACCAACTGCAGACCAACCGGGAAGCCATCGTAAGCCTTGGACCGATCCTCGGGGAACAGCTTATCATAAGCAACCTCGACCTCATTCGTCGGCGACGGTGTCGGGAACTCAAACTTGTACTCCTTCTTCTTCAAATCAATCGTCTCAGCATTGAAGATAGCAGCAGGGTAGTCTAGCGTATTCCAGGCGAGGATGACAGTGTCGCTGGCCATAGGCTCCTTCGGACGAGGGAGCTGAGGCTGGGCCGGAAGAAGAATGAAGTCCACCGGCTCACCGTCCTTAGTCTTGGAGGCAGTGTCAAGCCAGTACCTCAACCACTCTCGCTGTCTCGCCGCACGCTGATGACTCAAAGCCCAGAACTGGTTGAGATCAATCGGCTCGCAAGGGTAGAGACCGCCGTTAAGCACAGCGTTGGTCAAGGGCTCTCCAGTCTCGTCGCAAACCTTCTGCAGGAAGATACCACCATCAGCCTTGAAGAACCGAGTAGCAATATCAGCCAGCTCGGTAACTTTGTGGAGATCAATCTCAACCAGCTCATGTCCTGCAGCAGCAACCTTGCTCTGAAAGTCCTTGAAGATTGAGGTGATGGGCTCGTATGTCTTGACACTGTTGATGACACCAATTCTCAGAGGGCGATCAAGCGGCTCGGGGTCAACCCACGGAAGACGAGCGCACGAAGGGTCAACAAGCCAAGGCTCTTGAATAGCAATTGACTTCAAAATGAGCTCAAGATCACGCGCACTAGTTGTAATCGGGCCATCGACACAGAGGACACCAGTAACGTCCTCACCGTCGGGCCAGTATCCCTTGATGTTGTGGTACGGATTCCGGCCGGAAGACGGCTTGATCCCGAAACAACCGTTGGCGTAGGCAGGCACGCGGATAGAGCCACCGATGTCAGTGGCCATACCGATCAGCGATCCACGGAATGCGACAATGGCACCAGCACCACCCGATGATCCGGCGGCAGTAATGTACTTTGAGTAAGGGTTGCGGCATGCACCAGTCAGATTGTTCTCGGTATCAAGAACCATCATACTCTGGGGAACGGTGGTCTTGACGTACATGATGGCACCGGCTGCTTCCAGAGCCTCAACAATCGCGGATGACTCGGGTTCAGGCTTTCCCACCCAGGCGGCCATTCCGATCGCAGAGTCGATACCCTTGAGGTTATAGGAGTCCTTGATCGAAACGGGAAGGCCATGAAGGGGTCCAACGGGCTTTCCGTGCTCGGCGAAATAAGCGTCCTGTTTTTTGGCAACCTCGTAAGCACGCTCGAAAAAGATCTCAGTGCAGCAGTTGATAGCCAGATGAGCCAGAGCAGCACGCTTGCAGAACGCGATCGTCACTTCCAGAGCGGTGTACTCCCCGGCATGGACCTTATCCAGCAGTCCAACGGCATCGTAGTTGCTCGTGATCTCGACTTCCTTCGGCGTAAGAACTCCAGCGGTCTCGGCAAACTTGGTCAGGTTGTCCTGGTCCTCAGGGATAGGAACACGCCATTCGGCGGGGATCGCGTCAATGAGTGACTGCTTCTTGGCAGCAGAGATGGCTTTGTATGCGGGTTCTGACATCTTTCCGTCTGATGTTTGACTGTTTGGTGAATTGAAGTCGACGAGAGGCAATAACCAAGAGAGAACAGGGCACTGGGTTGGCTTTAGATGATTGGGCGAGCTCAGAAAGATAATGAGGGTTTAAGGTTTGGCTGACTCGTAGTAGCTTATCGCACGACCCGTCAACTCTGCCAAAGTCTTCTGCCTTCTCATTTCTCGCCCGCGCCCCCCGAAGGCCCGTTATTCGTTTGTTTACAGACTCCCGGTTTGCGTTATTCGGTTGACTCAGAACTGCCACTGACCGCAAACCCAGCGCCTCTTGGCCATAGTTTTACGCCTCAGGCGCCTCTTCTCAGCAGCTGGGATTCAGTAGCACGGCTTTGACTTCCGATGCTCATCCGCTATGAGCACCACGTAGCCTTTACTCAATTGAGATATCAGCGACTATGTTCTCCACTTAATTCATATCACCAGTTAACTAGTTCACATCGGCGTTTACTGGGCGTTTTCTACAGCCCGGATCTTGACCGAGCAGCATGCGGCTCGTGCTCATCCCCAGGATGATTTCTCCCAAAACGGGGGCCCGTCAGTATCTCACCCGGGTCCTAGCCGCCGTCTCTACACCTTTGCATGATCCTCTCGGCCCGCTTCCCGTTCTAAATCAGTTAATATGCTTATTGGTTATATAAAACTAGTGTCAAAGGTGACAATATCCCTCCGAACTACAAAGCATCGTAGTGGACTCTTTTCAGGTTGAGTGGACGCGGCTCTCTACCCGAGTCCTTAGAGAAGAAGCCGACCGTGCGTAATGTGAAGACTTGGATCCGGCCAGATCCTAGCCAATGGAGCTGATGCACCCAAAAGCACGTGAGAAGATGCAATATTGGCGTTGGTCGCTACTCGAAAAGAGTGGATGCTTCTCTGAGTGAGTATCTAATCACGAATGGAGCCAAGGCATAGGTAGACATGATTGTGGCAGACTGAATAGTGGGCTGTATCGCTGTAGGTAGGTAGTAGTAGGGTAACACCAGCGCTGTAGCTCGGCGCTGTCTGTATCCGTTGAAAAAGAGCTATCGATATCGACATTAGTGCATATCAAAAACAGTTCAGCTCCTTTGTCATGCGCCCTTACAAGCATTAGCTAGCGTTAACTCAGCCAAACTGCAAGTTCCAGATCACTAGACTTGTCCTTGTCTTCGATGACCGTGACCTGCTGCTCTGAGGCGTCATCTAATGTCATCCCAGCGCACAACACAGCCAAACCCTACACAGTTATGCCAGATGAGGTTTACAATAGTTCTTATCCAAACAATCTAACGGAGATGACAAATTTCTGAGATTGCGATGCTTCTTTTTCTCAATGACTCACTTGCTCTGAAAACTGATTCTGTCTTCAAAGCCTCCACTCGAACGAAAAGGATCAATGCTCGGCCTTGATTCACCGCTGATTCTCAATTTCTGCATGCTACTAAGAATTCTTTCTTATCTCAATCTCCTCTGCACAGTCGCACGCCAGGTGCGCTAATATAATCATATCGACCAAACCCAGTGCGCTGTTTTCTTTCGTTTACCCGAGATCAAGAGCATGGCTCTTACTCCACAAGCTCCAAGGTCTGAGCTAGAAGTCGAGGACTCTCCACAACTTCTTCCACATGAGAAATGTCCTCCTGACCAAGGACTTCGAGGTAAGCTCTAGACAAACTTATCGCAAACGAGGAACTATTAACTAACTTCTCTATCTGTAGCATGGCTGTGTGTATTTGGATCGTTTTGCGGGGTGATGGGATCGTTTGGCTACACCAATATCATGGGTGTCTTTCAACAATACTATGAAGTCAATCAGCTGGCCTCATATTCACCGTCGACAATCTCATGGATAACCTCTCTCCAAACGTTTGTGTTGACTGCTGGTGCAATCGTCGTTGGCCCTCTATTCGACAAATTTGGATCCAAGCCATTGATATTACCTGGCGTGCTTTTGATGATTCTCGGAGTGATGACAACGTCGGTCAGCAAAGAATACTACCAGTTTATTCTCGCGCAAGGCGTATGTACGAGCTTGGGCTCGTCGCTAGTTTTCACTACTTGCATTGCATCAGTGTCGACATGGTTTGTGAAAAAGCGTGGCACAGCCTTGGGTATCGTGACCTCTGGCGCTGCTCTCGGTGGCACGATCATGCCTTTGATCTTTCATTCCGTGAACAATCGTGCGGGCTTTGGATGGGCAGCAAGGTCACTTGGCTTCTTGAATTTGGGTCTGGGTCTTATTGCCTGCGTTTGTGTGAGTTCGCGCATCCGCCCAAGGGGACGCGGTCGCAAGTCTGAAGAATTAATAGAGCAGTCTTCATCAACATATGACGAAAAGCAGCCCTCTTGGTTTCGCCGGACGTACATCACTCCTCTATCTTCTCCTTCATTTTCATTTCTCACAGCAGCTGTATTCTGTGTATACCTCGGGGCGTATGTCCCTCTCAACTATCTGCCCAGTTTTGCTCGCGATAGAGCGGCCTTTTCCGAAGATATGGCGGGGTATCTTCCTTCCATCCAAATGGGCGCTACTACCCTGGGTCGCATATTACCTTCAATATTTGCCGACAAGGTTGGACGCTTTAATGTTTTCATAGCTGGATCCTTTCTTGCTGGCATATTCACCCTTTCACTTTGGATTCCCGCGCATACCAAAGCTCAGGTCATTGCCTACGGTGCTGTTTACGGTTTTGCAGCTGGTCCCACTACTGCAATTTGGATGGCCATGATTGCCGAGATTTCACCAGTCCAGTCTATCGGAGCACGCTTCGGTATATGCTCGGTAATTGCATCAGTGGCGGCTCTAACCGGTTCTCCAATATCTGGGGCTCTCCTTGGCGATGATCGAACTAAATATTATGCAATGGCTATATTTTCCGGGGTTCTAGTCTTGGTCGCTGCGGGCTTGGCATTTGTATCAAAGGCAGTGTATAAAAAAGATAACTGGCGAGCATTAATGTGAAAAGACAGCGAATACGAATAATTATAGTCATTGCTAGAGTGAAATTGATGTTAAAGCGGATTTAGCGACAAAATAAATGCATTTAAAACCCTAATAATTATAAACACTGCTTCACCAGTCCCGTCTATACAATAGAATGCCTGTCTTGCAAGTTGAAGACTTCGAACTAATCCTATTTCTGAGGGTATCAAAAGCGTCTGCTATCAGTATGGTTATTGATTGTAAATGCTCTTAGCTTCTGTAAAGATGGACGTCGAGACTGTTGTCTCGTGACAACTTTACCTTTTTTGTGGCCAACTAACGGAGCCGCTCCAAGTGTGGTCGGATATTTAGCTGTCCTTGTAAAATATGAATGACAGTATTCTACCGCCCAAGTCATTGCGCAGCGGCATTCTATCCTTGACTTTCAGAATCTTGATAGTCGCAATACGTTGTATTATCGATTAGTACACTGTTGGAGCACACTTGGCCCTCACTAGAATTGCATAACTGCGCAGCGGCTTTTGCTACTCCCCCCGGCATGAAGGAGGAGGAGTGTAGAAACGAAGAGGGTAAGAGGAGGAGTAGGCAAGGAGGCCAATTCAGCGTCGACGTCGATGGAGCGTGAGGTGAGCTGAAGAGGAGGTGCGGCGTGAGGTGAGGTGAGGAGGAGGAGGAGTGTGGAGGTCAAGAAACAGAACGTTTATTGACGGGCTTGACACACTCTCGGAGACTGGCTTTGTGTAGCGGTTTGTGTAGTGCCCATAGAAATCTGGACTCAGCAGGTGGGAATGACAGTTTATCTAAAGAGAGTTTATCTAAAGTAAAGTCCGGGAACTTAGTAGTAGTTAGTGAAAGACTCGGCTGAGACTCGGTTGAGGAGCGTAAAGTTAGACGCGCCTGACACGTCTAAGAAACTTGACCGAACAAAAGCGAGGAAGCATGAAGAGGAGGAGTTTGACAGGCTTGGAAGCGCGGGAGTAGGACCGAAAGTAAGGAGAGAAAGTGTCAACGCACTCGGTAAGAGTAAGGGCAGAAATCATATATATATAACAAGAAAGGCGCGACTTATAACTCGCAACAGAGCAGAACAGGGCCAGCGTTGGGTAGGTGGAAGAACAGATGACAAGAAAAAGAACAAAGGCGCGACAAACAAGTGAAGAAAGACGAAGCACAAAGAAGAAACTAAACTAACAGACAAGAGTCGTGCCTATATAGAATCGCCATGATGATGGTGAATAGACGAATGACTGCAAGATCGACTTCCGACTGCAAGCAGAGCAGAACTACTAATTCAAGATCAAGTGATTCTGAAGAATTCGCGGGCCGGCGAGATCGAGCGCCGATCAGCGCGAGTTTTCAAATCTCTCAGTCAGTACGCATTCATGGACAGATTAAGAAGGAATTATGGAGGAGCACAAACTCAGACAGAAAAACCTGAAGACAGGCACTACACACGTGAGTGCACGGGCAGATAGCAAGTGACGAAAGCGGAGGGGGTCAAGGACGCGCAAATGTAGCGGTAAGGTATCGTGCTCAAAGGGCATTGCTGAGTACCATGTAGTAAGCGCAGTAAGAAGTTGAAGAGATCACACGCACGTTTTGGAAGGGTGGTGCTGGTGGGTAGCGTTAGTGTCAGCGTCGAGGAAGAGAAACTCTGAGCCAAAGAAGCGACGCACATCAAGAAATACCCAAAGAAGAAGACCACGGATACAGAACATAATCTAGACGGAGGGTAGCAAGTGGGAGGGGGGGGTCCTACACAGTATCAGAGCATGTCGGAATGCCGGAAAATCCGGTATTCCCACTTGCTTTCTATGGGACTCGCGCTTAAGGTTTGCGCCGCTTGCCTTCGATTCCCACATGGCGCAAGTGGGAATCCGGGGATTTCCACTTTCCAGCCCTTTCTGCAGATTTTTAGACTGCCTAGCGGTATTATCGACCTCTTATTATTTGCAGATTATTTTAGTTTTTGAATTAGAGTCGATTTGCGATCATTTTGGGCCGCTTGAGCGTAGAGCGCTGTTTTGGATGGGCTGCCTCTACGAGCCCCCGGGTTTGGCTTTGGCCTTGTAAGCGCCTCTACGAGCCCCCGGGTTTGGCATGTAAGCGCCTCTACGAGCCCCCGGGTTTGGCATGTAAGCGGACACACAGTATCAGAGCATGTCGGAATGCCGGAAACTCCGGTATTCCCACTTGGTGTCTATGGGACTCGCGGTTAAGACATTGCGCCGCTTGCCTTCGATTCCCACATGGCGCAAGTGGGAATCCGGGATTTCCACTTTCCAGCCCTTTCTGCAGATTTTTGAATAGTATGGCGGGTTTATTGAGCTTGGATTATACGGCAAATGTTTTTATTTTTTGAATTAGAATTGATTTGCCATGATTTTGGCCGGGTTTGTTGTATGTCGCGCTTTTTGTATGGGGTGCCTCTACGAGCCCCCGGGTTTGGCATGTAAGCAGACTTTGGTTAGTCATCCATTCAAAAATGTATCACGTGCCATTACAAGTCGAGGGGTTTGTGTGTCTGACTTTGGTTAGTCATCCATTCAAAAAGTTATCACGTGATATTAAAAGTCGAGGGGTTTGTGTGTCTGAGATCTTAAGAGAATTAAATTGATTTTCGCAAATATTATTGTAAATTACATCAGGCCTTACGTAAGCACACTTTACACCCTAAGAGAATTAAATTGATGTTTTACCAAAAGTCTTGGAAATTGGTTTGTAAAACAACCAATAATGCTCTGTCGACTCTGTTTTTTTGTCTTCACACGTGCTGTACTCTTATACTTGATCGGCCTCTTTTTCAATTTGTTTCGGCTTTGTTTAAGCCTTCGTTTTAACATATTTGTCAGCTTTGTTTTTCTCAACTTTTGTATGAGTTTTCCTTCTACTCTTTCCCTACCTGTTCATACAAGGCTTTAATGGTTACCTTCTATGCTTAAATACTACATCTAACTGGTGGTTCTAAAGCGTACTCTCCGGGTTTGAGTGTACACCTGTACTTTGTACTCTAATATATAATTGAGGATTTGACACTGTACTTTGTACCATACAAGTTCTTCTGCTTTGTACTTTGGAATTATGTTTTAACTCTTTAAACTTGTACTTTTAACTCTTTAAACTTGTACTTTTAACTTGTTCTTTGTACTTTTAACTTGTTCTTTGTACTTTTAACCTGTGCTTTTAACTTGTGTCTCTATCTTGTACTCCAAACTTGTACTTTTAACTTGTTTTTTGTGCTTTTAACTTGTGCTTGTACTTTTAACTTGTTTTTAGTGCGCTTTCAACTTGTGCTTATAACTTGTGCTTGTACTTTGTACTCTTAACTTATGCTTTTATCTTGCGCTTTTAACTTGTGCCTCAGACCTGTACTTTTAATCTGTTTTTTATGCGTTTAACTTGTGCCTTTATCTTGTACTTCAAACTTGTACTCCAAACTTGTACTTTTAACCTGTTTTTTGTACTTTTAACTTGTGCTTTTAACTGGTGCCTGTACTTTGTGCTCTTAAATGGTGCTTTAATTATTCTGTGCTTCAAACTTGTACTTTTAACTTGTGTTTTGTGCTTTTAACTTGTGCTTTTAGCTTGTGCTTTTAGCTTGTGCTCTGAACTTGTGCTCTTAACTTGTGCTCTTAGCTTGTGTTTTTGTTTTGTGTCTCAAACTTGTACTTTTAACTCGTTTCGTGTAGTTTTAACTTGTTTTCTGTGCTTTTAACTTGTACTTTAGACTAGTGCTTTTAACTTGTACTTGGGCTTGAAACTTGTACTTTTCACTTGTACACGTTTGTGTTTTTTTAAGCGCTTTTGGCGTTGGAAGCAAGCGCTTTGGGTAAGTGTAAGGGTTAAGCTGGTAGAAAGAGCAGGGTGTAGGGTTTGTGTAGGGTTTGTGTAGGGTTTGTGTAGGGTTTGTGTAGGGTTTGTGTAGGGTTTGTGTAGGGTTTGTGTAGGGTTTGTGTAGGGTTTGTGTAGGGTTTGTGTAGGGTTTGTGTAGGGTTTGTGTAGGGTTTGTGTAGGGTTTGTGTAGGGTTGTGT